ACCAGCCACTACCTTGCCGATGCCGACGAGCTCCAGATCAAGATGGCCCAAGGTGCTAAGCCCGGTGAGGGTGGTGAGCTGCCGGGCCACAAGGTTTCCGGCGCTATCGCGAAGACCCGTCACTCCACCGCTGGTGTCGGTCTGATTTCGCCGCCTCCTCACCACGACATCTACTCCATCGAGGACCTCAAGCAGCTTATTTATGATCTGAAGTGCTCCAACCCTCGCGCTCGTGTCTCGGTCAAGCTCGTTTCTGAGACTGGCGTGGGTATCGTCGCCTCTGGTGTTGCCAAGGCCAAGGCCGACCATATCCTGATCTCCGGCCACGATGGTGGTACCGGTGCCTCTAGGTGGACTGGTATCAAGTACGCCGGTCTGCCTTGGGAGCTGGGCTTGGCCGAGACTCACCAGACTTTGGTTCTGAACGACCTTCGTGGTCGTGTCATCGTCCAGACCGATGGCCAGATCCGTACCGGTCGTGACGTCGCCATTGCTACCCTGCTTGGTGCCGAGGAGTGGGGTTTTGCTACTACCCCTCTAATTGCTATGGGTTGTATCATGATGAGGAAGTGCCGTAAGTGAATTCGCGCTCACCTTGGGAGATGCCAAAATTAACGATGTAACAGATCTGAACACTTGCCCTGTCGGTATTGCCACCCAGGATCCTGAGCTCCGCAAGAAGTTCATGGGCACCCCGGAGCACGTCATCAACTTCTTCTACTACATCGCCAACGAGCTGCGTGCCATCATGGCCAGGCTTGGTTTCCGCACCATCAACGAAATGGTCGGCCGTTGCGATGTCCTCAAGATCCGTGATGACCTCCGTACTGCCAAGACGGAGAACATTGACCTCTCGCTCATCCTTACCCCGGCCCACACTCTCCGCCCTGGCGTTGCTACCTACAACGTCCGCAAGCAGGACCACCGTCTTCACGTGCGCCTGGATAACAAGCTCATCGCCGAGTCCGAGCTTGCTCTTGAGAAGGGCCTCCCCACTCGCATTGAGTGCGACATTGTCAACACTGACCGTGCTATGGGTGCCTCTCTGTCTTACCAGATCAGTAAGAGGTACGGCGAAGCCGGTCTGCCGCAGGACACCGTCCACGTCAACATCAAGGGTTCTGCTGGTCAGTCGTTCGGTGCCTACCTGGCCCCCGGTGTTACTCTCGAGCTCGAGGGTGATGCCAATGACTACGTCGGAAAGGGATTGTCTGGCGGCCGCCTCATCGTCTACCCGCCTAGGTCGGCTGTCTTCAAGGCTGAAGAGAACGTTCTCATTGGCAACGTCTGCTTGTACGGTGCTACTCGCGGCACTTGCTTCTTCCGCGGTGTTGCCGCCGAGCGTTTCGCCGTTCGCAACTCGGGTGTCACCGCTGTTGTTGAGGGTGTTGGTGATCATGGCTGCGAGTACATGACGGGTGGTCGCATTCTCATTCTCGGCTCCACCGGCCGCAACTTCGCTGCCGGTATGTCGGGTGGTATTGCCTATGTCCTCGACATGTTCCATGACTTCGAGGGCAAGGTGAACCAGGAGATGGTTGAGCTTTCTGGTGTGGAGGATCCGACTGAGATTGCTTTCCTCCGTGGTCTCATCGAAGACCACCACCACTACACCGGTTCTGAGCTGGCTGCTCGCATCCTGCTTGACTTCAACCGCGCTCTTCCCCGTTTCGTCAAGGTCCTTCCCACGGACTACAAGCGCGTGCTCCAGGAGGAGGCTGCCAAGGCGGCCGAGGCTAAGAAGCAGCAGTACCCTCTGCCCATCCTTCCTGGCAATCCCGTCCGCACTGCCCACGAGGAGTCCAACAAGAAGAAGGAGGCCGAGAAGGACAAGAAGAAGAGCGACCTCCTCGACATTGAGGAGAGTGTCGGCGATGCCAAGGCCGAGAAGAAGCGTTCTGCGCTTGTCCTCGACAAGACCAAGGGCTTCATGAAGTACCAGCGCCGCTCTGAGAAGTACCGCAACCCGAAGACTCGCACCCGCGACTGGCAGGAGCTGTCTACGCGTCTCACCGAGGATGAGCTCAAGTACCAGACTGCTCGTTGCATGGACTGCGGTGTTCCCTTCTGTCAGTCTGACAGCGGTTGCCCAATCTCCAACATCATCCCTAAATGGAACGAATTGGTCTTTCAAAACAGCTGGGAGGATGCTCTCAGGCGTCTGCTAATGACCAACAACTTCCCCGAGTTCACTGGCCGTGTCTGCCCTGCCCCTTGTGAGGGCGCCTGCGTCCTCGGCATCAACGAAGACCCTGTTGGTATCAAGTCGATTGAGTGCGCAATCATCGACCGTGGCTTCGAGATGGGCTGGATGGTTCCGTCGCCACCCAAGGTTCGCACTGGCAAGAAGATCGCCATCATTGGCTCTGGTCCTGCTGGTCTCGCTGCCGCCGACCAGCTGAACAAGGCCGGCCACGAAGTCACCGTCTACGAACGCGCCGACCGTATGGGTGGTCTCCTAATGTACGGTATCCCCAACATGAAGCTCGACAAGAAGGTCGTTCAGCGTCGCATCGACTTCATGGCGGCTGAGGGCATCAAGTTCCAGCCTGGTGTTGCCGTTGGCGAAGGCGACATCACCCTTGACTCTTTGAGGGGTGAGAACGATGCGGTCGTTCTGGCCACTGGTGCCACCGTCGCTCGTGATCTGCCCATTAACGGTCGCAAGCTTGAGGGCATCCACTTCGCAATGGAGTTCCTCCACAAGAACACCAAGTCCCTTCTCGACTCCAACCTCGCCGACGATGCCTACATCTCGGCCAAGGGCAAGCATGTTGTTGTCATTGGTGGTGGTGATACTGGTAACGACTGTATCGGTACTTCGCTTCGCCACGGCGCCAAGTCGGTCACCAACTTCGAGCTGCTGCCGCAGCCCCCGCCGGAGCGTGCCCGTGACAACCCATGGCCTCAGTGGCCTCGCATCTACCGCGTGGACTACGGCCACTCGGAGGTCAAGACCCACCACGGCAAGGACCCGCGTGAGTACTGCGTCATGTCCAAGGATTTCGTCGACGACGGCAGCGGGCGCATCAAGGGTATCAACACCATCCGTGTCGAGTGGACCAAGAGCGCCACGGGCGGTTGGGATATGAAGCAGGTTGAGGGCAGCGAGCAGTACTTCCCTGCCGACCTCGTCCTGCTCTCCATGGGATTCTTGGGTCCTGAGGAGCGTGTCCTTGGCGACAGCATCGAGAAGGACGCCCGCAAGAACGTCAAGACGCCTCCGGGCAGGTACAACACGAACATCCCTGGTGTCTTCGCCGCTGGTGACTGCCGTCGTGGCCAGTCTCTTATCGTCTGGGGCATCAACGAGGGCCGCATGTGCGCTCGCGACGTCGACTCGTTCCTGACGGGCGCTGGCACTCAGCTGCCTGTCACTGGCGGCATCGTCAAGCGTCCCCCGTATGAGCTCATGAACCAGGAGGCCGCCCCCAAGGAGCTCATCACCGCCGCCGCGTGAAAGTCGATATAAGCATGGAAAACCGTCCTCGCTTTCCAGGGCATCCCATCACGTTCTTTCCTTTGCGATACCCAAATCAATGTTTCAAAAAGGATGACTGTACAGCGAGTAGCGGTAGAGGTTGAGGGGCTATTTTTCTTTCAACGACCATCAAGAAGTTCAAGGATTTTCATGGTATTGACGATGACGCTTGTACGATGATGGACCGGAGATACGGGACAGGGGCAAAAGCGAAGGAGCAAATAGGGAAAAGGTACAAAAGGCCGATGCATCCCAGCTTAAAGAAGAATTTGGGTGGCATGGATTTTGCTTTTTTAGGGGTCTCTCCTTCCAGTCCACTTTTGTACAATTTTGCTTTTCCCTTGCCCGAGCCCTATTTTCTCCCTAGCCTTTTCTTTTTTACTGCCTTCGATGCGACGAATAGGAGGGGGCGTTTGGACTTTTCATTTGCGGTTCTGTGGTACTTGCGTTTTGTTTGCAATTCAGTTTCGATAAACTACCACGATCCGTGAGCTGGCTACAATCACTTCAACTAGCGTTAGAGGCAATGGATCGTGTCAAAATATTGGTCTTCTGTCTGTGACATTCCATATGACTCAACCTTGGGTGACTCGTGCGCCACTCTGACATGAGCCAGCAGTCTGGTTGGCTTACTGTGAAAAGACTAAAATATGAGTGTGGACATGGCCCGGAGTGCAGCGGTCCAAAGGCGACAGCTTCGGACGACAGAAGTCCGGGGCCTAGACCAGGAAATGTAGTGCACGATGGACTCGAGGCATCTGACTGGATCGCCAATCTACCATCGCCACAGTGGGTGACGAAATAATCGACCCACCTACATGGGCAGCGGAATCCTCTATCTGGATGCATTTGTGTTGGTTTAATGCTCGCATCTACATCCGGATGTCTGCTTCAGCTACTACTTACTGGTGCTCTGCCGCTCTTTCCGGCGCCGACATGGCCCGGTGTTGGTCCGTGCACTAGCGTCTTGGCATTTAGAAGTAGTTATTGCCTAGCCCTCTTCGGAGGGCACTTGGAGAATACACGACACTTGCCACCACTCTTTGGCAGAGCCTATCACCGGTTTCCGGAGCTCTACCTGGTCTTCCCCGCAATCTTTCGCTTGACCTGCCCCACCACTGCCCCTCTCTCGCCCTGCACAAAAGTGACAAGCTCTCACTGCTGACGCTGGCCTTTGCCCGCATCCAGACTACATATGCCCATGATTGGCGGGTCATCTGGCACAGGGCCATCTCACCCCGGATTAGAAAGCCGCCGCCTGCATTCGCCCAACCCGGCCCGGCCAGGACAGCTCCGGCGACGAGGCATATCGCCAGCTATAAGAGAAGCGAACAGCTCCACAGGCAGCTGCGGCCCTGCTGATGATGTGATCACGCTATCGGGCCACTCCGTCGAGCACGCAATCTGCACCCATTGACCGCTATAGATAGAGCAAACAGCCGCATATCACCTCTTGGCCCAAAGAACGAAAACTTGCCGAACTTCGAGAAGTCCCCGGTGCCTGGTCGGTACCGTCATCATGGGTAGCAACGGCGTCTGGCCCGCCGAGTCGGAGAAGGTGTGTACGTTCGAAGCCTTTTTTCTTCCCGCGTCGTCCCTCTTGAAGATTCAATTGAGAGCGTGTTCCCCAGCATTCATTCCCACGAAGAAAAGAAAGACATCTAATCCACGGAACAAACAGAACCCCTCCCTCCTCCTCTACAACCCCCACGATGCCCGCCACGAAAACCGCCCCGTGCCGCAGCCCTCGGACCCGCACGACGTCCTCGTCCGCATCGCCTACGTCGGCTGCTGCGGCAGCGACGTGCACTTCTGGCACCACGGCGGCATGTCGCGCAAGGTGTCGCCGGCCAACCCCATCGTCATGGGCCACGAGGCGTCGGGCATAGTCGCCGCCGTGGGCCGCGGCGTCACGTCGCTCGCGCCCGGCGACCGCGTCGCCATCGAGCCGGGCTACCCGTGCCGCCGCTGCCGCGCGTGCAAGGAAGGCCGTTACAATTTGTGCAAAGGCATGCGTTTTGCCGCCGCGCCGGGCGGCACCACGGCGGGCAACGCCGGCGGCATGGCAAAGGTCGCCACGCACGGCACGCTGTGCAAGTACTTCCGCATCCCGGAGGACTTCTGCTACAAGCTGGGCGACGGCGACGATGCCGACGGCGTGAGCCTGGCCGACGCCGTCCTCGTCGAGCCGCTCGCCGTAGCCGCGCACGCCGCTCGCCTCGCCGACGTGGGGCCCGGCCAGGACGTCGTCGTCATGGGCAGCGGCACCATCGGCCTGCTCTGCGCCGCCGTCGCCCGCGCCTTCGGCGCCCGCACCGTCGTCGTCGTCGACGTCCTCGAGCGCAAGCTCGACTTCGCCCGGCGCTTCGTGCCCGGCGTGCACACCTTCTTACCCGACCCCCTGGCTGCTCCAACAAACCCAACCGCTGACGACAGCGACGACGACATCGACGGCAGCCGCGCCGACGCCCTCTCCGAAGCCACCGCCGCGCGCATGATATCGCTGCACAGCCTCGGCGGCGCCGACGGCGACGGCGCCGATGTCGTGCTCGAGGCGACGGGCGCCGAAGCCTGCGTGCAGACGGGCATCCACGTGCTGCGGTCTGGCGGCACCTTCATCCAGACGGGTCTCGGCAAGCCGCGGCTGCGCGTGCCCATGGTGCGCATGAGCGAGAAGGAGCTCACGCTCAGGGGGTGCTTCCGCTACGGGGCCGGTGACTTCGAGCTCGCGCTGGGGCTGATGCGGCAGGGGAAAGTCAGCGTCGGGATGCTCGTCAGCTCCGAGGTGCCGTTTGAGCGGGCGACGGAGGCGTGGGAGCGGACGGGGAGGGGGGAGGGCATCAAGAATTTGATTAGGGGGCCGGTGGATTGATATTGTGGGAGTGACTGACTGGTGTCGATCGATTGATTGATCGAGGTGGGGGGCTGGGGAGAGAGAGAGCGAGAGAGAGAGAGAGAGAGAGAGAGAGAGAGAGAGAGAGAGATGTTTGGGAGATGGTCTATCCGTATTTCTCTTTTCTTTTTTTTGAACTATGAACGTGAAGTTAACGGACTTTTTTCCTCCATCGAGTATCGCAAGGCGCTATGATTGAAGAGAAATGTCAAGGGAAAAAAAAAACCAAATTCATCATTAACCCCTCGCGGGATCATGTCTTGCAATAACGCCGCAATCAACTTACGAGGGGAGGACTTCTCCAACTGCGCCCACTGCAGTACGAGCCCTCGTGTCTTTTGAAACTTTGTCAAAATGGCCAGAAATCTTTTCTTTGTAATCCCACGCCATGCGCGAACACCGTCTATGTCTGTTTCCCATGCCTTCTTCTTTTTCTTTCTCTTACGTGTCAAGCAACGCGGCGGACGTCTGCACGTCCTGAAAGTCAAACCCCGCCTCCACCCCCAAAATCGCACCGATGTTCCCTTTCCGAGCAGCAACGGCACCCGCCGCGGTCGTCGTGGAAGGAGCAGTAGTAGAAGGAGCGACGGAGGCACCACCAGAAACACCGGTCTGATTGCTGGTGCCGTTGTGCATCCCCGAGGCCGCCACCGAGTTCGGGTTGGCGTGCAGCAGGTGCACCCAGGGCTGCAGCCGCTGCGCCCAGAGGTGCAGCGCGTCGTCGATGTCGAGGGCCGAGTATTGCAGGTCGAAGAACTGCGAGGGCAGCGAGCTGATGGAGAGGGGGATCTTGTGCTCTGAGAGGGCGGTGCGGATGACCTTTTCGCGCCGGTCTTTTTGGCGGTGTCAGCGTGCGCTTCGTAGGGGTTGAATGTGTAGGGGAAGGGAGAGAGATTGGGCATACGTGATACAGGCCAGCGTTGGCCTGAAGTCTTGAGGGCGTAGACGAGGAGGTCTAGGTTACGGGGACATTCGAGATTGAAGTATTTGGCGTGGACTGTTCCAGGTTTGCGGGTTAGTTATCTATGACGTTTAAAACGATGGTGACGACTTCAGATGGTTGCTATACCGAGGAGGAAACGTGCTGCGACGAATATGCAGAAGCTCAGCTGTGGGTTCGTGGTCTCGACATCGACATCGTCGACTACGCGCACGGCTGCGGTGATGTCGTTGCAACTGTCCAGGCAGCGTTGGATGGCGTGGAACCACGGTTCGAAGAGGTGGTCGAGGCCGTGGGGCGGAATGGTGAGCCGTTGATATATGAGGATGATTGCACTTTCCGAAGTCAGCGCCAAGTGTGGTAATGTCAAGTTGTTGAGAACTACTCACGCGTTGAACATGCATCGGGTCATCAGGATGTTGGGGTCAAAGGGTGTGAGAGGATTGCCGGGCGTGAACGCAATGGAGCCGGAGCCTGCCTGCCATTGCAAGAGCCGAGCGTCTACAGCCTCACAGTCTACTTGTGCCTGCGGACGGTCTTCTGCGGACCTCATATCGTACGATTGCTGCAGAAAGTTGTGGACATGCCAGAGTTCGGTTGTGAACAGGCCGACGTAGAGCGAAAAGGACGAAGAGAATTCAAGATCATCAAGCGACCATATGCCCATAGCCGCCTCAGAGAAAGACCACACGGCGTTATTACAGGGTAACAATGCGTTTTCAATGGGCTGAGGTAAGCCAAGATTCCAAGCAACACCGAGAGTGGAGGATGAATCCAGGACTTCTGTCATCCAGTAGGCGCGGACGTTCTCCTCTTGTGATACCAAAGTGCCGGGTAACGGCAGCATGCGGGGCGGCAGCCTTGAAAGCTGGTTGAAGTTGGCGCATTTATTGATCACGAGATCCCGGAGACCCAGGAGTGTGGATATTCTAGAGCAATCGTGTCAGAAGGCATTCACTCCGTTCGCAGACATATGAGAAGGTGTGGCAGGCGAAAGAATCCCAGCCATTGTACACGGGACTTACCGCTTGCAAAGAGCTATGAGGTTCCAGTAGTCCGTCAACTTGCCGGCAGCTGAGTCCAAGAGCGTAATAATCAGTATGGACTGAAGGCAGTTCAAGGACAAAGTGCCCATCGCTTCCATGACGACATCATTCCGCAGAGACTTGGCTATCCTCCGTCTTTCCTCGAGAGGGGGAGCCCCGGAGACTGACGAATGTGAAATGGTCACGGCTGCAATGGCTTTGAAGACGATGCTCAAGTTGGAATCCGCGGGCGGGATATTCGCCTGCAAGACATCGGCAACAGAGGGTTGATGCAGGATTGAGAACCAAGGATGGTAGTCTCGAAACCACAAATCGCAGAGTTCATTCAAAGTTGGCGAGGCAAGGGGGTCGAAGGTGCGCAGACTTGACGGCGAGGGAGATTGGCTTGGGGAGGAGGAATCCAGGCGGGGGCTTTCGCTGGAGGCGGCGCTAGCGTGGCCGGAATCAGAGGACGGGGCAGGCTGATGAGTTTTGAGGCTGCGGACTTCCTTCTCCAGGACGGCTGGATGTAATCAGCTTTGCGCCGAGAAGGCAGGGCAACGAGACGCACAGAGCCTCTTCTCCAGTTCCGAAACATAGCCGGCGCGGAGGCCAGGCTGTTTCGCCGTCACCCAGCGGCACTCAAGGCCGCTCTGTATGCAGAAGTTGCACGAGGGCAGGCGACGGTCGCACTTCTGCTTCCGTGTCCGGCACACTATACAGCTACCAGATAGCTTAGCAGTCATCCCGGCGGGGACTAGGCGAAAGGGACAACGTACACCGTCTTGCTGAGCCGGCGGGAGTCTTCCATGTTCAAGGTGGATGCTGAGTCGCAGGAGATGGCCCGGTGGAGCAGTGGAAGGCGTCCCGACGAGCAGGTATGGCGGCGCACGAAGGGAAAGACTTCTGGGTATTTGGCGGGGCGCCACAGTGCGGCGACAAAAGCAGACACTGCTGGTGGCGGGCCGTGTCTCGCCGAAGGATGCAGAGCGGTGGGGATCGCGGGGCTGCCAGCCGACGATTGTGGGGAAGGCAGGTGGGCCGAGACCGCCAGAGAAGATGTGGCCGCCCTGTGCGCACAGCTGCTGCCGGAAGCCGGCCACAACAATCACACAGCGCCTCTCCGCATTTCTTGCCCCGCGTTGCATCCACGTCACGCCCGACTCGGCTTCAACTGCCTTCGGCCCACGTTCCCCGACCATGCTGTGCTACCGTGGAACTCAATCACCGCTCGACTTTCTGTCTCACGACATGCCCAATCCGCACCATTGATATATAAGAGCTGAAGATACCCTCCCTGGCTGTCTTCCCGACACTCTGCAAGCTTCATTGGCTTCCCACTTCCCACCCTGTCTTTCCCCGCTTCCCCCTCATCCTCCCCGATTGACCCCAACGTCCCCAAGGGATCGCAACGTCCCTTCCGTCGTCCAAAATGCTGGCCACCGACTCCCTCCACACCATCAAGCTCCCCACCTTCACCAAACCGGAGCCAGGCACTTTCCCCTCCTCCACCAGAACCGCAGCAGCAGCAGCGCCGCTCAACCCCACCTCAATCGCGCGAGAATGGCTCAGCGCCTTCGCCGGCGCGCTCTCCGCGCCGGCGGACCAGCTCGCCGCGAGCCTCGCCGGCGTCCTGCACGCCGACTGCTGGTGGCGCGACCACCTCGCGCTGGGCTGGGACCTGCGCACCGTGCGGGGCCTCGACGCGCTGGCGCCGTTCGTGGCGGCCGCGCAGCCGCGCTTCCGGCTGCGGCCCACGGCGCTGGCCGAGACGGGCCAGTTCGCGCCCGGCGCGAAGACGCCGGTCGAGGGGCTCGAGTGGGTCGAGAGCATGTTCGAGTGGGAGTCGAGCGTCGGGCGCGGCAAGGGCATGCTGAGGCTGGTGCGGCAGGAGGAGGAGCATGTGTGGAAGGCGTACATGCTGTACACGGCGTTGCAGGAGCTGAAGGGGTTCGAGGATAGGGTCGGCGTCAGGAGGCCGCACGGAGGGAACAACTCGCTGGTCGGGGGCGCGATGAAGAATGGGAATTGGACGGAGCGGAGGAACAGACAGATTGAGTTCCTGGACGCGGAGCCGCAGGTGGTCTGCGTGGGTGCTGGTGAGTAATGAGATGTCAATGGGTGGAGCTGGCCGGCGGAAGCTGATGCAGTGGCAGGCCAGTCCGGTCTCAACCTTGCGGCGAGGCTGCAGGCGATGGGGGTGTCTTGCTTGTTGGTCGACAGGAACAAGCGTGTGGGTGACAACTGGCGGTGCAGATACAGGGTGGGTTGCAGAAACATTGCCAGCCCAGATCATGCACGGCGCTGACGCACAAGACGTAGACTCTCGTCACTCATGACCCCGTCAATTACACCCACATGGCATACATGCCCTTCCCGAGCACCTGGCCGCTTTTCACGCCCAAGGACAAACTCGGGGACTGGTTCGAAGCCTACGCCACGCTCCTGGAGCTGAACGTCTGGCTTTCCAGCACCGTCACGTCCAGCTCCTACTCGGACGCCACGCACACCTGGACCATCACAGTGGACCGCGGCAACGGCCAAACCCGCACCCTCCACCCGCACCACGTTGTCTTCTGCACCGGCCACTCGGGCGAGCCCAAGATCCCCAGCTTCCCTGGCCAGTCCGACTTCGCCGGCACCGTCTACCACGGCAGCCGCCACGTCGATGCCACAGCCAGCGGGGCCGACCTCTCGGACAAGAAGGTCGTCGTCGTCGGCACGGGCAACAGCGGGCACGACATTGCGCAAAACTACCACGAGGCGGGCGCGGCGGCCGTGACGATGGTGCAGCGGCGCGGCACGTACGTCATCTCGGCCGCCGACGGCAAGGGCATCTTCGCCATGCACAAGGGGCTCTACGACGAGTTCGGCCCGCCGACCGAGGACGCCGACGTGTTCGCGCAGAGCCTGCCCGTCGCCGTGCAGTTCGCCCTGCACGTCCCCTTCACCGCCATGGTGCGCGACCAGCTCGAGCGCGAGACGGTCGAGGGCCTCACGCGCAACGGCTTCGTGCTCGACTTCGGCCCCGACGGCAGCGGCCTGTTCAGAAAGTATATCACTCGCGGCGGTGGCTACTACATCGACGTCGGCTGCTCGAAGCTCATCTGCGAGGGCAAAGTGAAGGTCGCGCACAGCCCTGATGGCATCAAGGGGTTCGAGCGGGACGCGCTGGTCCTCGCCGATGGGAGGCGGCTGGAGGCGGATATCGTTGTGCTGGCGACGGGCTACGACAACATGCGGACGAGCGTTGAGAAGGCGCTCGGCAAGGAGCAGGCGGAGAGGTGCAAGGACGTGTGGGACTTGGACGAGGAGGGTGAGATCAATGCGGTGAGTGCATCCTTCCCGATGGGCCCCTTTCGCACGGTGTTGCTGACTTGATGTGTGTTTGACAGATGTGGCGCCCCAGTGGCCATCCTGGCTTGTGGTTCATGGGCGGAAACTTGGCGCTGTGTAGGATCTACTCGAGGTTCCTGGCGTTGCAGATCAAGGCGGTTGAGGAAGGCCTCAATGCCTGATGAGGATCGGTGATGGTTGATGCCTGGACACCGTGTTTGAGTGCAACTCGGCAGTAAAAAAGTTCCCGAAAAACAAAGGTTCAGATGTCGTGTATCAGAATAGAATTATCAATGTAGTGTCATCTTTCCAGAATGAAAAAGGGTTTGTGTGTCCCTCGTGGGTAGTTGAAGCAAACATCTTGACGTAAAGGGGTATCAAAACCCCACAGACGCGACTAAGTGGAGATTCAACCACCTACGGGCTTGCGAAGGGTAAAATCTTTGGTAATCCACTGTTGCAGCTGAGATAAGGTCAGTGTCGGTGGCTGAGGCATTAAACCACCCTATCATTTGATCATCAGCATGAACTCGGTGGTTGTCGGAGTCCATTGTCGCCAAAGCTAAGCTCCCATGAGACTGCAGAGGCGAGCAGGCTCCAGAGATGTACAGTACATACAAACAATGGCCAGCCGTGGAGCGACGCAGGGAAGAGAGGTCTACCTTGGTTCAAGATGTTGATGTTGAAGTATTGACAGTTGAATGCTGCTGCTGCTTTTCAGTACAATACAAAACAATCAGTGGAGAAAGCCATTGGGGAGCCTTCAGGCAGAGCTCCGCTCAGGCACTACACGCGCGAGGCTGAAGACTGATAGGCACGAGAGCCGGCGTGTCCGGGTACCGCACAACCGCTGACGACGATGGGTGGTTTGTGGCGGGTTCATGACGCAGGCCGGTAAGGAGAAACGAGAGATTGGCGTGGGAGCGGTGATATGGCGGCTGCAAGAGATTGCCCTTTGGAGGAAGACGGCTGATAAGAATGACTGCAGGGACCGCAGCTGAGACAGGCCATCTGGTAAGCGGGTGTGATTGCAAGTCATGGGCGGGCGCAAAGAGCGCGTTGGGCCCGGGTTCTGCTCGTCAAGGCGTTATGTCACTGGTGTCGCACGCTTATCGCGCTGCCCGCCTGGCCGCTAACCCGCTAACCCACACGGCCGCGGCAATCGACCGCGCCCACTGCACCCCCGTTGCCGACGCTATCGCGGGGCCTGGCCTGGCCCCGTCGCGCGCAGGGCTGATGGCTAAAGCATCATAATGGCGGCTCTGCGCCCCCGGCTTGGTCTCTGTCGCAAGCCTTCCTCTCCCGCCCTGTCGCGCGCGCGTGAAAAAGTGAGTTCACCACCCCTCCGACCCTCGCACTCTCCCCGGAACACCGCTCGCGATGCGTGTCTGTGCGGCCCGGAGCCGCCCTCAGATCGCGGCTCTGGCGCCCCGGTCCACGACGTTTGCGCCGGCCCTATGGCCTCCGACCGCTGTCCGCCCGCAGTGGCTGCGCGAGTGGGTACACACGCCCGCTGTCGCAGCCCACAGCGAGCCCGCCACCCTCAGCACGCCCGCTGACAGATCTCCCCGTACTCAGGACGTCCTTCGACCGCCGCCCGTCGAGAACCGACGCCCAAGCCTCAATCGCCGCCCGAGAAGCCACGGTGCTCAACCACCGCCGCAATGCGCCAGAACTCCGTCTCCAGCGCCACCCGCCATGGCTCCGTCGACGCCGGCGCTGACGCCGCGCTGGCCAAGATGGGCTACAAGGCCGAATTGCCCCGGAACCTGAGCATGTTCTCCGTTTTGGGCCTGTCCTTCGCCATCATGGCCGTTCCCTTTGGTCTTTCCACCACCTTTTACGTACGTTGCCATTGCGCGCGAGCCACATACAACCCGCTGATTTTAGAAAGATCACTCTGGCCGATGGACAATCCGTGACTATTCTCTGGGGCTGGGTCTTGGTCTCACTCATTTCCCTCGGCATTGCCGCGTCTTTGGCCGAAATCTGCGCCGTGTATCCCACCGCCGGAGGTGTCTACTACTGGGCTGCTATGCTGTCGACAAAGGAATGGGCGCCAATTGCTTCGTGGATCGTGGGCTGGCTTACACTCGTCGGAAACTGGCTGGTCACTTGCAGCATCAACTTCTCCGGCGGCCAGCTGATCCTCAGTGCCATCAGCCTGTGGAACGAGGATTTTGTCGCCAATGAATGGCAGACCATATTGATGTTCTGGGCCGTCATGCTCATCTGCTTCTTGATCAACGTCTTCGGTGCCAAGTACCTGGATATGATCAACAAGATTTGCGTCTACTGGACTGCCGCAAGCGTCGTCATTATCCTGATTACGGTTCTCACCATGGCCGACACGAAGCGTAGCGGCGAGTTTGTGTTTGCTCACTACGATGCTTCGAGCAGTGGATGGTAAGCTTGAACTTCCCCATGTCCTGACCCTCGCGGTCATTTCTAACTCGTCTCGTAGGCCATCTGGCTGGGCTTTCTTCGTCGGTCTCCTCCAGGCTGCCTACACATTGACCGGCTACGGCATGGTTGCCGCCATGTGCGAGGAGGTCCAGAATCCGGAGCGTGAAGTTCCCAAGGCCATTGTTCTCTCCGTCGCTGCCGCCGGAGTCACGGGCGTCATCTATCTGATCCCCATTCTTTTCGTCCTGCCTGATGTGCAGATGCTTCTGAGTGTGGCCAGCGGCCAGCCGATCGGTACGGTCTTCAAGATGGCGACCGGAAGCGCGGGTGGAGGATTCGGGCTTCTCTTCCTCATTCTCGGCATCATGTTCTTCGCTGGTACCGGCGCTCTGACTGCCGCCAGTCGTTGCACTTATGCCTTCGCCCGCGATGGTGCCATTCCCGGCAGCCGGCTGTGGTCCCGTGTGGATAAGCGCTTCGACATCCCTCTCTGGGGTCTGGTGCTCTCGACCGTCGTTGATTGCCTGCTGGGCCTCATTTACTTCGGATCGAGTGCGGCTTTCAATTCCTTCACTGGGTGCGCTACCATCTGTCTGAGCGCGTCGTACGGTGGGCCTATCCTCGTCAGCGTCCTGCGCAACCGCAAGCTGGTCCGCCATTCGACTTTCTCCCTCGGCAAGTTCGGTCTTGCCATCAACGTCTTGACCATCTGCTGGATCGTTCTCGCCGTTGTGCTTTTCTGCATGCCCGTGAGTTTGCCTGTAGATGCCACGACGATGAACTACGCTTCGGTTGTCTTTGTCGGGTTTGGTACCATCTCCTTCCTGTGGTACCTCATCAGGGGACGCAAGGACTTCAAGGGTCCGCCTGTCGTGCAGACCGAGAATCCAGAGGACATCGGTGTTGTTGCTGGAATGCCGGTCGTGCCAGAGACATCGAGCGCTGATGGAAATGAAAAGGAGGAAATAACGAAGGTTTGAAGAAGAGGGTTAATGTGTTCTTGTAGATCCTTGTAAATGTGTCAATACCACTGTTGTTTCTTGTTCCCATATAATCTGTGCAGAAAATGTGCGTGTCGCTTTGACTCGGAACTGAGATAGCAAAAGAACGAGAGCATTCCGTGCGGTGTCATTAAAGTCAAGTCCAGGTACATGGCGGCACGGGTGTCCTGTGTTTGAGGAAAGGGGTCGAGACTTCCTCCCGGCGACAGCGAGAAGGCGGAGGAAAGGATTTGATTCAGCAAGGCTCGTCTTCAATCGGCTGATTTTAAGGTAGAGTGGAGCTTGCTGGCAAAGGCGTTCAGGTAGTCGGGGCGAATGGCGTGCTGGGCCATTCTGCAGCCTGTGACCGCCCAGGGTGAGTGGTCTTGGCGCATCATCACCGGCGTTGTAGCTCTGAGCTCAACCCGGCCGCTCCAGCTCCAACACCATACCTCCATCCGCCCCTCCATCTCCACCACACCCGCCTCTTCCGCCCGCTGCTCGCGCCAACTCGGGCCATCTCGCCTTCGGCCCTCCTCCGCATCTGTTCTCCGCCCTTCAAGCCGCACCGCCGCAGCCCGTCATGCCCGCCACAACAGCAGAGACGTTGTCACTGGTGACGCGGAACGTGTCCGTCGCCCCGCTCGTGCTCCTCTCTGCCGCAGACCACTACGGACGCACCGCCAAGGGTACCAAGAAGCGTGTCGTCGGTGTGCTCCTGGGACAGAATGACGGCAAGAATGTCCGGGTATCAAACAGCTTCGCCGGTAAGCTTGGCCTCGCTTCTCCCCCGGCAGCACCGCTGCAATCACCCTGCTCACGATCGCTGACGGCATGTCCACCACACAGTGCCCTTTGAGGAAGACGAGAAGGACCCGTCGGTATGGTTCCTTGACCACAACTATGTCGAGTCGATGAACGACATGTTCAAGAAGGTCAACGCGCGCGAGAAGCTTATCGGCTGGTACCACTCGGGCCCCAAGCTGCGCGCATCGGATCTGGAGATCAACGAGCTGTTCAAGAGATACACACCCAACCCGTTGCTCGTTATCATCGACGTGCAGCCCAAGGAGGTCGGCGTGCCGACGGACGCATACTTCGCCGTGGAGGAGATCAAGGATGTATGGCATCACTACCGGCACAGCGGACCGTCCGCAAACATAGCTAACTTCGGGGATAACAGGACGGTACCACCACGACCAAGACGTTCGTGCACACGCCCAGCATAATCGAGGCCGAGGAAGCAGAGGAGATCGGCGTGGAGCACCTGCTGCGCGACATCCGCGACGTGGCGGTGGGCACGCTGTCGACGCGCATAACGTCGCAGCTGCAATCGCTGCAAGGGCTGCACCTGCGCTTACGAGACATCGGCACCTACCTGCAGAAGGTGCTGGACGGCGACCTGCCCGTCAACCACGCCATCCTCGGCAACTTGCAGGATGTCTTCAACCTGCTGCCCAACCTCACGACGCCCAAGCCCGTCCCCGCCGCCGCCGCCGGTGTCGATGGTGCCGTCGTCCCGGCCGTCGGCGACAGCGACCTTGCCCGCGCCATGAGCGTCAAGACCAATGACCAGCTCATGACCATCTACCTCAGCAGCTTGATCCGCGCTATCACCGCTTTCCACGACCTCATCGAGAACAAGATCCAGAACAAGCAGCAGCAGGAGGATAAGGAGAACGGTACCTCCACGGCCAAGAAGGAGGGTGCTGAGAAGCAGGCCAATGGCACCACCGCGGCAAACGGAGAAAATAAGGAGGCGAAGGCAGGCGATAAGGGAAAGGATAAGGCGCCGGAAAAAAAGAAATAAGTGGGAGGAAGTTCCGTAGGATATAATGCCGCGAGAGAGCGAGAGAGAAGTAAAGGAGCCAGACATTGGACCTCTACCTATACTTGGCGGAGGGTCCTGACGAGGGGAATTAGAAGAAGATGGATGACTTTTCTTTTTTGCATGAGAGTGAGGTCGGCTGGGTCTTTTGTACTTATGTTGCACGGCGCCATGTTCTTGTTGCTGTCTTCTCTGCGCTGTCGCCGCCGCCGCCGCCGCCCACCCCGTCAAGCGAGGTCTTTGAAATGCAACTGCATGACTGCCATTAGATGAGTGATGTTCAGGGCGTTGCAATGAAATACGATAGAGCATTTTCTTTGGTCTTGGTTTCTTTGCTATTGTTCATGTGCGCGGTCATGCGGAGGTGCTTTGCCTCAACGTGCATGGAGGGACTTTTTCGTCCGCAGGGAGTTGACCTCGTCGACAACTAGTTGACTTGTTCACTTACTCCCTCAGCGACAATCCGTTTCACGTATGACTATAGGTCGTAGAGTATAGGACTTCCCGTCCTCTCTCTTAAAAAAAAATCCCGTCTGTTGATGGCCTCTTGGTTGTAGAAAACTAAGCAGCGATAAAAAAAAGAATTTCTGGAATTAGAAACCTAAAATGTAAAATCTCACACCGAATTTCCACGGTATTTAGAGAGTGGAAATGATATCAATGGCGTCTATTAAGCCATTCTCGGGACTCGTTCTGGTATCATCCGATCAGGGAGCGTTGAAGGAGTAAGAAAGGTAGTCGATTCCCGTTTGCCCTGTGCCGACGTCCACATTTCTTTGCCTCCTGCTTGCCAATAGAATTACAAGAAGGGGGTAATTCTCAAAACACCTGTTTATAGTAACAATGTTAAATGAACTGCCGTGTCCCTTGAGTCTAAAGATTAGTTCACGTACACTGTTCCAACCACGTCCGGATCACTTCCTTAGTTCTCTATGAGTATGAGGAGATCTGGAGTGAAATTAAGGCTTGTTACACCCTCATCTAGCTCTCCATTAACTTTATAACTACGTTTCTCCCATTGCACTTACTTTATCAGCCTTGGTTGCAAAGTGTGGCAAAGCGAACTGCCTACGATGGAGGGATGGTAAACAGTCGTACGGATCATGGTAGAACCGGCAAAGACATTGCTACATTATCTTTACATAAATGCTTCAATTCTAAGAGTATAGTGGGAGGTTTCTTAACGTGTGTCCTTTAAGATACGCGAACGTCTATCACGTTCTATGTGAATGTGCGGGTTGGCTCGTCAGCGATCCTGTATGTCTTCTACGCAAATACTCTCACTCGAATGTGAAATGAACTGGAATGCAATTGCTGCCTTCTTCTCCATTCACGCACCATATGCCCCTTCCAATCTACCAAACCACAGGCATGCTTAGGATCTTCACTAACTTTTAACCATGCGCCATTGCAAACCGGATTGAGGTCTTTGCGTGATGTCTAGTACGGTACAATTCGCAAAAATGGCAACCTACCTACCCTCCACCCTCCCCCAGACCGACCCTAACCCCCCCAACCAGCCGCCCACGCAGCAGCCTCCTCGACACTGACCACCCTCTCCTCCACGAACCCGGCAAACAACCCCGGCGCCCTTTCCACCAGCAAGCTCGCCAGCAGATGCTTGCACACCGGCGGCACATGGGCCCCCTCGCCACCCCGCCTCAGCCCACCGAACCCAAACCGCTCCCAAACGCCTCCACCCCCGTCCCCGTCCCCGCATCCATCATCCCCAGCAACCCCAGCAGCAACCCCTGCGTCTCCCTCACTCCTCCCTCCTCCCCCGACCCCAGCCGCAGGATGGCCGAGCCTCGGACTCGGACCTGGACCCGACCGATCGACCTGCAAGCCCGCTGGGAACGCCGCGAACGCGAAAGCGGGGCACGAGCAGTTCCACGCCGCGAGCCGGACCTCGTACCACTTCTCTGCGGCACCATCACCACCACCAGCAGTCGTCGTCGACGACTCATCATCCTCGTCTCCTCCGGCGGCGGCGGCGGCGGCAGGAGGAGGATCACGGCGGCTGTAGCGCGATCGGTGGCGGTGGTACTGACGATGCTGCTGCTGCTGCTGCTGCTGCTGGGCGGAGCGGACGTAGTACAGAGATGGCAGCGGCGGCGATTGGCATGAGTGCTCGGCGTGCGGAGAAGGAGAAGAAGAAGAAGAGGACGAGGACGATGACCCCGCTCGCCCAGCATTGGCGACGGCGGAGGCGGCGGCGGCTTTTGTTTCGCCATCGCCATCGCCATCGCCTGCAGTCGAACCAATGGTTTCCGCCGCCGCTGCTCCGTCTCCTTCCCCGCCACCACCAGCACCACCACCGCCAGGATCACCACCACCGCCAGGACCACCAACACCAACAGCCCCAGCCCCAGCCCCCGCCCCCGCCTCCGCCGGCTGCAGCATGCCGCCGCCGACGACGACAAACCGCGTCACCAGACCCCGATCGAGCAGGTCCAGCGCCGGCAGCAGCTCGTTCGGGAACAGGACGTGCAGCGTGAGGAGCACGTTTCGCGCGTTGCCCCGCAGGCCGCGCAGAGGATTGGCGTCCCCGGACGGCCCGCCGCGTGGAGCTGCTGCTGCATGAGCTGCTGCATGAGCGGCGGCGGCATCGGGGTCGGGGTCGGGGTCAGCGTCGTCTCGCCCTGCGGCTTGGCGGGTGGTGGTGGTGGTGGCGGCGTGTGCTCCGTCACCATGCCCGAGCGAGTCGACGAGGTCCGTTAGGAAGGTTCGTGGGGTGGGGAGGTGCTCGTGTTGTGCTGATGGAGGTGGTGGAGGTACGGCGGCGCCCGGACGTGGCTGCTGGCGCTGCAGTTCGCGTTGGAGGTTTTTGTTCTGCATGATTTTTTTTTTCTCTTCTGAGACGTTTATGGCGGGGGTGGCGGCATGACGCGATCGGACTTCCTTGTGGGTGCGTCGGTGGCTACTTGGTGCGTTGCGGGTTTCATGGTGGTGTGGAGTTGGAGATGGATGGGAAGCGCGTTTGGTGTGGGTGTGGTGTGAGACGTTTTTGGCACGATGGCACGTGACTGGCCTTTTTAGGTAGGTTTGCTCGACGGATTAGGCATGTACGCTTCAACCTCCACTTCACCGCTTGCTTGATGTCTTTGCGGCGGCTGTTGATTTACGCCGAGGTCTTTACGAGATTGGAATTATTTTCTTGTCCACAGCTCCATATAATTGCACGAAAGCATTTTCAAGTCATATGCGGGCTGCACGGATGGTTGCAAATCACAACACAATGATTTTGAGTGAGATAAGCCTTCTAGAGTCTGAATCGATGTCTATTTTGAATTGCATAGGCATGTAGCGCAGAAGTCGGGCAAGGTCCGATGTGTCTTCTACACAAGACTGTTCCATCCTCGCATATCTGTTGAGAAGGGAGGCTGGAAACTCCAGAGTTCACGGCAGCCGCGCCATTTGATGCAATCAACAGCCCGCATGTCGTGTGACGAAATGGACTCAAGCCTTTTCCAAAAGCGGAATGTCCTTGAAGCTCGTGTGGACGGTAAAAGCCTCGCGATCGTCATCCGACAGCGGCTCATTACCGGGACGGTCAATGACGAAGGACTTCATGCCGGCCTCAAGCGCGGCCTTAACCTCTGCATGGTGTGGAGCGGTTAGATCCCCCATTCGCCCAATGGGACAGGAGCACATACCTTTCACATTGTCACTGAGGAAGAGGATCTCATTGCACGGCTTCGCCAGTGCCCCCGCAATCTTCACGTAGCTAGCGGCTTCCTGTTTGGGGCCAGCGTTCTGCGTGTCGAAGTAGTCGACGATCATGTCGTTGATGTCCTCACCGAGATAAGGACGATGGACCTCGTGCTTCCTCTGCTGAACCCCGGGAAGCCTTGCTGGAGGATCCACTAGAGGCTCGGTGGCCTTGGGCTTCTTCGACTCAGGCTCCTCAACGCTTTCCTCGGCGCCCGTCTCGTCTGACTTGCGCTTCTTGTCCGAGCTCTCGGCCACGTCTTCGTTGGCAGACACTTGGGCACCGCAGTCATCAGCGGTGCCGACGTGGCCGAACAACAGCTTCTGAGCAGCCACGCTGCCGGAGGAGAAGATGGCGATCTGTTTGCCGTTGGCACGCCATTGGCGGAGTTCAGGCAAGACGTCAGGGTACAGTGGCGCGACGAAGGCGCCGGTATTCCAACCGTTCTTCCAGAGATAACCTGCAGACCATATTGCCGCGTGAGCTGTCCGATCCACTCGCGGTCGCGTCTTGGGCCGCCGATCTGTGCGTGGGTGCGGGGGATACGCTGATGGCACTGCCCAAAGCGGGCGGTGCCTTGGGGGTCACGAAGGAAACGGACCGATGTCGCAGCCGCCGCTAGGCCGCTTTCTCAGGCGGGCTGCCACGTATCCGCTCTATGCGCGTGTGACGGCATCGGGTGGTGACTGAGTTACGTACCTTGCAACTTCTTCAGATACGGGACCTTGGAGTCCTGTTTCATGAGATTGATCGCATACTCGGAGAATGTTTTGGCCGACTTCTGCGCAAGCTCAGGGAAGGCCTCCACGTAGCTCTTGAACTCGGCATCGTCCCACTTGGCGGTGGCCGTCTCAGGGAGGACGTCGATTGCGTAGGGAAACTGCTCGATCGCGTAAGCGTCATGTCAAACCAAACATGCCATCATAGCTAGTGCAGCAAATCTCTCCCAGCCGCCGTGCACCCAGTAGCGAGGTGTTTCCTCGAGCCTTGGAACGATCCCGACGAGCGCGCGCATCCATGGCGACCGGTGAGCTCCACCTGCTCCGCAATATTCTGTGCAACGATGGCATCCACGGCCATCGCTAACGAAATGAGAAACGAACGGCCAGGGCTCTTTTTATGCGGCATTGATGCTCTGGCGTCTCATATCTCTCGGTGCGCAACAGGATAATGAGATGACGGGTATTGAAAGCGGAGAAATCGGCACCGACATCATTGGACGGTGGGGTAAGGGGTCATGGAATGCGCGGGTTCGTCAGCTATGAAGCGACATGTGCCGGGTGATGGACGCCACGGCTTTGATAGGACTCGTCTCCAGCCCGTCCTCCGTCGGCAGACACCGAAAGTCCGACGGAATAATGTTGAGGGCACGAGCCGTGTCAACAAGGGGTAAGCGCCTCGGCGAACCGAGCCCAGGTTGCTCACGGCCGGCGACGATATCGTCCGCGGTCAGCTTTGACCGTCTTCCTCTTGGCGTTGCTTGATTGAAGCAAGGACAGAGGTCGTGCTCGATATGCAAAGCAATGCAAAGCAATGCAAGCATAGGACCCGGCCATCTGAGTGGAGCAACAGGACAAACAAACCCATCTGGCCCAGCCACAGCGCTCCCTTAGCACATGTGCTTGCTTCGACACCTTGGGAACCGACTCCGTTGCACGGCAAAGCGAGCCGTGGCCATCGGAGGGACCTACCTCGGCAAGGCCTGTCCCCGCTGCCCTTGCTGAAGATGATTCAGTTGAAAGATCTCCGGCTGGCTTGAGCAAACCGAGACGAAACAGATCTGAGAAAGTCGCCATAACGTCAAACACGCGTTTCGCTCCAGCACATGCATCACGGCGAATCGTTCCGCAACGCGCGTCCGCCCTCGATGCCAGGTAGCCAGGTGGAGGTCTGTTGCGCTTCCTCTTTTCCGCTCGCGGAGGTCGATTCCCAAAGCACTGCAACAAGAGCGGTGGACACGCGTGGAAGAGGATGTGATCCGGATGGGTCTGCCAGCGATGTTGCTCCATGTCTCAGTCCGAGGCATGCCTCCGGTTGCCCACGTGTTGCAACAGTTGGAGAGCGCCGGTGGCGCCGGACGAGCCTCGCGCCATGCAGCGGTGTGAGTTTTCGCCGGAAGAGGTGTGCGGTGGTGGTGTGCCGGACACGCTGGCGGAAAGCTGGCTTCTTGCACGCGGGCATGGAGAGGAAAATGGAAAGTTCCGGACGAGAAGAAGGAAGCGGTTGAGATGCGAAGCAGCAAGGAGAAAAAAAAAAAAGCTTACCAGGACCTCGCGGACGAATGAGATGGAGCAGACGGTGCCCTCTACAGCACGCCGGGTCAGCAACCATCGCGAAGACGAACACCAGCTGCAGGTCGGAACAATGCGAGCAGGGCGGTTGAGCCGCACACGGCAGGCGCTTGCATGCGGCGTGCGCAGTAGTAGTCAAGCTCCCGACAGTCGGTGAGGGGTCCGAGGTCGGGCGGCGCAGAAAAATTTGTCGCTGAGACAAAGAACATACCGATGTCGAGCAGGACGGTGGTGACGGGCTGCAGGCGGTCCGCCATGATGGAACAAAGATGTAGCTAGTCAATTGAGGTGAGAGGATCCGCCGGAACCAACCGAGCACTGGGCTGGGTGAAGGAGCAGTGGGCTGCTTCTATGGAGCCTGGGAGCCTGGGAGCCTCAGAAACTCGAATCGACTCCACACCAGCGATCTACGCGACAGCGCCGCAGACCCTCTGCGGGCCGACACGAGGCCGATCCGCAATCGGCTGCTCTGTGGCTCCACGCTCCGCGCTCCACGAGCTGCGCTGCTGTGGCTGACGCCCGGCGTGCTGCTCGAGTACGTAGTAGGCAGGCCCCGCTACTGCACAGGTGGCCGGCAATCACAGCAATCACAGCTAGCGTTTGGTGCTGCACAAAGTCGGTGTACCGCGCCAGGTCGGCTCCCGCGCATCACCCGCAGCAGTTATACCAATGTAGAGGTGCACAGTCGACCGCTAGCCCGTTGGTCTGCCGTTTGGGGCCAGAACGGCGTCCGCATGCACCCGTCTGCATTAGCCGGCTCGCGCGGTGGCGAGACATTGGCGCATAAGCGGCGCGCTTGTGCCTGCGTCCAGCGAACGGCAGCGCGCGCAGCGAGGGCCAAGACCTGGCCGGCTGGGGAAGCAGCTGTGTCGCTGTGTCGCTGCGTCGCTGCGTCGCATGCCTGCGCCTGCGCCTGCGCGAGCTTCATTCTTCTGGCTTGGGGCTGACCGACTTTTGGCCGTGCAGAAACTGGCCTCGCACGCTCGCTCGCGCGCTGCCGCCAGCGGCCGCGGCCGAGATTAATCGCTGCGCGTCTGCGCGGGAGCTTGTTGATGGCCGGCGCACGTTCTCCACATCCCGCAGCGCGCTTCCCGAGCAGACGCCCCCGGGAGGCACGACTCATGGAGCTCTGACGCTATGGCAGCGTGTGCAGCTCGCCGCCGGAGATGGCACTCGAGCTCTCGTCCCCTGTTGGGGCCCTGGGGCCCTGGGGGCTGCTGGCTGCAAGCGAGCCGCCGGCCAGCGGTTGATCAGACAAAAGGCTGACGCGCGCGGGGCGGCACAGCAGGCGCTCGCAGCACAGTCGCGGGCGGGCGCACGCAATTGCCGTGGTCGCCTGAGGCCCATCGGCCACTCGAGACCGCGCCGGCCAGCGTTGTTGTGCGACATGTGCCACCCAGCGCCATCGGGGCGGCGTGGGTACGAGAGAAGAGCGCGCCCGTCATGCCATGACCGCCAGGGCCGTCGTCACCGAGACAAAGGTGGGCGCGTCTGACGTCGATCACCGGCGCTTTGCGGACGTGGGACCCTTCAGCAGTTATTTTGGGTGGAGCCACCGGGCCATCGTTATTTACGGCCAAGGCAAGGAGACGGCGGGCGAGGGCGTTTCATCAGCAGGGGTGCGCTCTCTGTCGTCGGTTTCAGGGCGCCGGAGAGCGACTTGTGCGAAAGCGGGGAGAGGGGGACAGCTTCTGCGCGGCGGGCGGCACACGTAATGCGCTTCGCGCCCGCCTGCTTTGTTGCCGGCGCGCGTTGCCATGGCGGCCGCGCGACGACCGCTCGTGGAATCGGATCGAAGAACAGTTCGCCACCGAGGGTGGGCGGGTGCGCCGACTGTTGGCTGGACGTGAGTAAGGGCCGCGCTTTCCTTGCGCTAAAGCTGCCACGTTCGCGTGACGGCGAACCCTGGACGCGCTTTCCCCAAAGCGACGGCGCTGGGGGCGGCCGGGGGGTCCCGGCGCAGCGGCCAATCGAGGCCGAGCGCGCGCGTTGCGGATGGCTGTGCCCTGTATTAACGCTTCGGTCGTCCCTACAACAGCCAGCCCTCTCCTATCCGCCTCGTCCCCAGACTCCAGCCCGCCTCGCCATGTCCTAACCTCTCGAGCCAAGCTTCGCTCACGTCGTTGCATCCCGCCAACCGCTGCAGCATTCCTCTCTCTCCGCCTGTTGCCCCCTGCGACTCACTCCTCGCTCCTCGTGCCATCCTCTCCGCGCCTGCCTGCCGCCGGCCTGCAACACGCTGCTGCACCAGCCTCGACGAGCGACCACCACCGCACACGGCTCATCTCTCGCCCGCTCCCCCAGCTTCTCTTTCGCCCGCCCGACCTCAACAACACCTCTCGTCGTCTCCACCCCCGAGTGACTCATTGCATTGGGCACTGCCGCCATCTGGACCCACGCCCGACTCATACCGAGCTTTGACCTCTTGCCTCGCGTCATCGCAACCGGATGCTCTGAGCCACGCCGACGACAGTCCAGCCGTTCATCACATCATACCCCCCCACGTCGACACCCTTTAAGCTTCCAGAGCCCGCCCTTTGATGGTACACGCGATCAAAGCACACTCGACAGCCACACACCCCGCCTCAGGCAGTATCGTCGTTCCGTCGATCCCGCTGCTCTCAGCACTCCCCCGAGACCCGGCTCTCGTCTCGGCCTCCTCCACCGACAGACACCGCGCACTCCCTGGTCAAATCTGAGTGTCGGGTAGATCTTCGGGTCTTTCCCTACGTGCCACGACTTCTTCTCTTCTTCCCTCACGCAGCGAGCTCTTGCGATTCCTTCAGCTTACACCATCGGTTCCGGCCTCGGTTCCCGCCATCCAACAACAACGGCTCTCGACCCCCGACGACCTCAACCGATACCTTTCCTACACTCGTTGATTCGGGTTACACCGTACTCTGATCTAATCTATCAAATGCCAACAACCACACTCCTTCCATTTCCTTGCCTCTAAGCCCTTCCGCGGTTCCTCCCAAACTCGACTCGACCTCTCTCCTCCTCTGTGCATATTCCGATTACGACACTATACCACCTGAGCGATACGGTGTTTTTGCTTTTCAAGCGCCTAACGACACTTACAACTGTTACTGCAAAAAAAAAGTCTCTCGACTCTCAGACTTTCATATCTTCCATTATCTATTCTGTATCATTCTTACCAGGTCCCTTTCGCTTTCGCACTAAAAGCACCATAGATTTGGCTTTTCTTGCTTCAGGAGCGGATTGTCGGCTTGTTCTTTTACGACGACTCGGTTCTTCTTGACGGCGACTTTTCATTTTTTTCCGACGCCGGTTTCTTCCAAACTCCTCGTCCTAATATCTCTTGGAAATGGAGTGTATGCGCAGTCAGTTCAAGGATGGCGCACTTCTCGACGGACGCTTCGAGACCCTCTCCGCTCTCAACCATGGCTCCTTCGGCATGGTCTTCATGGCCAAGGACCTCCTCACCGGCGAGAGCGTCGCAGTCAAGTGCTTGACCAAGACCTCAGATGCCAATGGATGCCCGGTGGCCTTCGCGGTTGACGATCGCTCCGAGGAGCTTACCATTCACAGTAATCTCAGCTCGCACCCGAACATCGTTAACCTCATCCATACTTTTGAGACTGAGCACCATGTCTACCTTGTTCTTGAGCTCTGTCCCAATGGTGACCTGTATGAGGCCATTCGCCTCGGCCGCGGTCCCTTGGAGACGGAGCATGTTCGCGACTTCATGCTCCAGCTGATTTCTGCTGTTGAGTTCATGCACTCCAAAGGCATCTACCACCGCGACGTCAAGCCCGAGAACATCTTCCTCACCCAGGACGGAAACATGAAGCTTGGCGACTTCGGTCTCGCGACCACCGACGAATGGTCCTACGAGTCTGCTGTCGGCAGTGACCGCTACATGGCCCCCGAGCAGTACGACTGCGGAACCAACGGTTACTCACCTGCCAAGGCTGACATTTGGGCTGTTGGCATTTGCCTGCTCAACGTTCTGTTCTCTCGCAACCCTTTCGCTACGCCGACACCTTCGGATCCTCTGTTCCGCGACTTTGCTAGCGACCGCGAGTCTCTCTTCGATGTCTTTCCCAACATGTCTCAGGACACGTTTGAGATTCTAATCCATTGCCTTGCCATCGACCCCGAGAACCGTTCGCTTAGCGCCGTCCGCGAGGCTCTCGACCGCGTCATCTCTTTCACCACCGACGACGAGTCGCTCGACGAGTTCTGCAACGAGGATTGCGATGTCATTGGAGCTACTGCCAACCGCGAGCCCCTTCGCACGCCTTCGGTCAGCACTGCCAACCTTAACCAGGAGGGTGCTTTCCCGTGGGCGAGGGCTCTTGCAATGACGCCTCCTCAGCCGGTGCGCCAGCTTTCGACCATCCACGATGTCGACAGGTATTCCGAAGACTTGTTCACCGACTCTGAGCGTACTGATGGCGATTGGTGCTCGTTCAAGCCCGAGCGTTCGTCTGTTGTATCCTTTGTCGACTCTGGCCTCGGCATCTCTTTGCAGTCCAACGAGGGCACGAAGCCTCGTCCCATTCAGAACAACTCATCGAGACCGTTGGCTATCCCTGGCTCCATGCCCATGCGGCCCATGCCTAGCCTGGCCTCTGCCTTCGGAGCCAAGGCCGACATGGTTTCCAAGAGTTGGAGCGATCTTTGGGATGAGGAAGAGGAGGAGAACCTTGGTGGATTCGAGTTCGATTTCCAGGACAAGCTGGGCTTCAAAGAGCGTGTCTGGAGCAACGAGCCTGGCTCTGGCCGCACCACGCCTCGCGCTGGCCTGACTGAGATGAAGGATCCTGCTAGCGTGCACAACAGCAGGAACCGTAGCCCGCCGTCGGCACCTCGCAGTGTCATTAGCGAGCAGACGGGCTTCATCTTCGAAGACCAGCAGCACCCGCCGACTGAACACAAGGAGCAGCGCAAGCCTATCGTTGTGCAAGTGCAACACAGGCCGGCGGCTGCTCACGAGACGGCAGGGCCCCGCTATTCGCCGCCACCGAAGAAGCGTTCGGGCTTCGACATGACGGAGAAGTGGGCAGCGCTGGGTAATCGCAGGCGAGCTCAGCCACCAAGCCCGGAGAAGGCCAAGGAATCTCCCATGGTGTACTCGCTGGGAAGCAAGCAACAGAAGAGCGACAAGACTTTGAATTGGAAGCGGGGTATGGGATTTGGACATCACAACATTCATGGGTTTGATTTCGGCGTTGGAAAGGGACATCATCAGGGACACCAAGAGTGGAGTTTGAGTAAAGATTGGCGCCACCACGCAACGACGGGCGACGACATCGGCGATCTTGAGTGGGTTGGAGGTTGGAATGACCTCCACTTGTAGTTCGGCTTTCCTCTATACATGCATGAGGGCAGTAGTGTTTGGAGCTACGGCGTGCATGGTCAAGGAATACTAGGGGCTTGAACTCGTATCTTCGCATTGGTAGTAGGCCGCTGCGACAACTAGAATGCAAGATTTACCCGCTCAACAAACTGTCTTCAAAGTGCAAAGCAAAGGGAAGCGCGGAGCGCAGTGGCAGTGTGGGGCCGTGAGGCAGGCAGAGGCAGGCTGGAGCCAACCTTCCGGCAGTTCTCGAACGGGACGAGTCTTCCAGGGTCTGTCCACACGTGTGGTCGAGGGTGCTCGGCTGCCACGGCTCCAATGCAGGCGTCTCGACTGGGCACTCATCCCTACCCTCAGCTGGAACCAACCGAGGCCAATTACAGCTAACAGATAACAGATTTTACCTTCGGGCGGCAGGGAACGGTTTCTCGTAGCGCACTCCTTCGCTACCGCAGCTGTTGCACTGTCTCCCGCCCGCTCCAGCCACCTCGAGACGGCGTCGTCGCTATCGTGGTCGCCGTCGCCGCGACTACTCGGGCCACTCTGCCATCCATTCCCCCGCGTTGCGGCGATTATTCTCTCACAAAATGCTGGTAGCGTACCACACAACTTTTCTCTCTCCTGCCGGAATTGTCATGGTGCTCCACGGGAGCTGTCGCATCGTGTTCATCAGCAACGGGGTTGGGAAGGGCGAGCAGGTAGGGCTGTTGCCGGTTCGGGTCAGAAGTGCATGTCACGCCCTGTTTCGACATCGACCGATTGCGCAATGCGTCCGTCCCCTTACACCGCTCTCTGCTGCTGTTCTCCATGTCGCCGTCTGATGTGTGTGTGTGGGTTCGTTTGTTTGTTTGTTTTGTTGTTTGGGGCATCTGGAACTCACATCAGCATAACTCACTCTCAGCCTTGTGCCCCCTCCCCGCCGGCTGAGAGAAGGCTGGGCAATGCATGCGAGAAGGAAAGGTCGGTGGTACAGACTGGTTTCCCCCCGCCGCCACGATCTTGCTGGTGGTTTTTGTGTCGCGCGTATGCGGCCCGGGCATTCGTTCGTCTCACCATCATCACTACGACTGTTTATTCTCCGCGCGCCTCTTCTTGCCTGCCTGCCTGCCTGCCTGCCTGCGGCCCCCCCTTCCCCGCTTTTCCAGGAGAGGTTCCTGTGTCTCATCATCGCACGCACGCATGACGGACACTCCATCCCTTGCGTACGGCTGTACCTGACAAAAGTTTAAGGTGGGCAAAGTATGGCGCGCGCGCGCCCCCCCAAAGGCGCAAGCCCCGACCAGCCTACCAAGGCTTTTCCGATATTTTTCCCTTTTATCTCCTGTCGGTATTTGGTATCTCCGGGGTTTGCATAAAAAAAAACAAAAACCCAAGGGATCATTAGGCAAATAGATCGTCCCATTCCTTCGCTCGGGCACCATCCTGGTGCTGGTACCTACACAAAAAAAAAGTGTGGGTGGGGGCGTCCGGCGGCTGTTCATCACAAACCGTCCCGCACAGCACAGCCCACCCCTTCCTTGTCCCGTTTCTGACATTCCCTGTATCCGTACCGGCGTTTGGGTGTGCGCCATACCCCTACCCCGCGCTAATGAGGAATGGGGGAACGACGAGTCTCGGAGACGCTCCCGCCGATCGTGGCGGGGGCGGCGGGTGATGATTGATGGGATGGAGGGGTTGTGATGGCCCTTTTGTTATCATCACACACATCACATCACAGGCGAACGAACCAGTTCCCCGGGCCCCGGCCCAGGGCTGGGAGTTGTATGGTGGTTACTTGTTTCTGTCGTACGTGTGACATCTTCTTCTTCTTCTTGATTCGTTCCCTCTCTCTCTCACACACACATTCCCTCCCATCATCATCAATCACTTGGTTCCCCTCTTCTACCTACCTACCCTCATCGCTTCTCTCCCAACTCTCTCATCTCAGCTCTTCGGCCGAACCTTGGGAAAGACACGAAGCACCGTCACGGGGCTAACAGTAATCCGACTAGTCCAGGCCCTTCTGCCGACCCGACGGGGAGGTTTGGTAGGCTAGGCGCATTACTCGCTGCCTTTGCCCCAAAGTTTCGTTCTTTTACCTACTACCTATTTCCATCGCTCGGCGCCGGCGCCGGCGCCGCCGCCGCCGCCGCCCCCAAGCGCGCCTCCGTCCGTCCCCCGTCCCTGCGCGGCAACCCGCGGCCCGCGGGCTGGCGAATTCTGGGGTACGCTAGGGTAGTGGTGGTGACGAAGAGGTTTAGCAAAAACGTAAAAGGCCGCTGACGGGCGCGCACAGCTGGGGGAACTAGTGGCTTAAGGCTGATTGACGAGCATGCAGCTAGCTAGCTTGTTAATAATTATTTACTAGGCTGGTGAAACTCGCCGTACGTGGGGTGATTGGGGTGAGGTGAGAGCCGGATTCTTACTAGAAAGTTTAACTCCGCGCGCAGCAGCAGCGCCTCGGATGCCTGCAGTTTTAGGTGCACTTTTTGGCTGGAGGGCGGGGGGGGGGGGGGGCTGTGGGTGGCTGAGTGGTCTAGGTATGTGTTTTGTATTTATTATCGAACGCCTCTTTTGATTTTCTCGTCGTAGTTTATTGTCTACCGGTACCTTCTTTTTTCCCCTTCCTTGGGGGTTCTAGAATTTGGGGAAAGGGCTCTTTTTCAATGGGGCTCTGCCGCGAACGGCGATGGAAGGGCAAGTCCTGGGCTCATCACAGCCTCGTTTGTTGTTGTTGTCAATAATCACGATGGTTGCAACGAACATGGACGCCAGCGCATGATTGTGGAACCACCTTGTGTCCTGCTGAATAGGCCGGCCTGGGCAGATGGATGTATGGGTGACCACCAGGCCGGCAGAAGCCGTGAGTATGTGTGCACTGTACAGGCTGCCTGTGTCCGTGAGGCAGGGGGGTGCATGTGTCACATTTGGTCCAACTGACACCCACCATCGCACACCCCGCGGCGACGGCAGCAGCAGCAGCAGCAGCAGCAGCAGCAGCAACAGCATCGGCTCCTGTCAGGCACGCTCTGCCGAGCATTTCGGCTTTGAGACAAGGCGATCGTCTATCGAGATTCTAGTCAGGAACGGGGGGGACTTGGTTAATGCCTCCCCACTTGTTCTGCTCAATCGATCTTTTCCTCTTTCTTTTTTTTTTTGACGCAAGAATTCTCTCCCTTTCCTTTTTTCGCTTCTGGAGAAAGTCATGCATGCGTCCGTGCTGGTTTAACCCCACCCTTCCGTTGGACCCGCTCCGGCCCGTGGCTGCCTTGATGCGAGTGCTTTCTTTTTCCTCGTGTTTCAAAGGAAACAGGGCCCTTGCCCGTCCCAAGACCAAACTGTTCGATAAGGTTTTTGCACATGACATGCTTCACTTGTTTGAGAGTGACACGGTTGGTTTGGTTTTGGCCGCCACGTGCCATGACTCCTGCAAGGCGGGGGGGTAGGCCGGTTGTCATCATGCTTCATCCCGTCTGGCCAAGGGAGAGGATCCGATTGGAGCAATGTACATTCCTCAATCTTATTTTTGAGTTTGAAGTTAGACTGACGTAAGGTCGTTGGGTCGGACAGAGGGCAGTTGCCGAAATTGCAGCAGCGAACGCGTCAGGGATAGATGGAGCGACAACGACTACTATCGCGAAGGGATCAGGAAGGCTTATCGCAGGATGGAGGGATGAGCATGTGATTGAACCGGAACTGCAGATAAGCAACTCGTGCGTGACGCGTCCTCGCTTATCTTTCGTCATGATGGACGTGTTTAGGAATGCGTCAGCCGAAGTGGTGCTTGCTTCGGCTCGTTACGCCTTCGTACGAGGTGCGTGCCTCTCGTTCGAAAATCCTCCTTCCCTAGCTCACCGTGGCCCATGCTTGCTTACCCCTTTGGACTAATCACGTACCAGAGATGAAGTTCCGCCCGTTTGGTGAAAGTGCCGGCGAGACGTTCAACGCACAACGCCACATCCTCTTTGACTAGCCCGAACCGGTAATAGATGCCGAAGTCTGAATGGACCTCCAACATAAGGCCGGACTGCCATCTATACAAGCCCTCCTCTTCCTCTACCTCGGTACGCTCTCCGCCCTCCTCCGGAAGTCAATCCTCGCCGTCGGATCGGCAAACAGCTCGGCCGAGCTCTTCAGCGTCGGCGGCCTCTCCGTCACGCCGTCGGGCAGCTTCAAGTCGTACATCAGCAAAAGGTAGGCGAGCGCGACCTTGGCCTCGTTGGAGGCGAAGAAGCGGCCCGGGCAGGCGTGGGTGCCGTGGCCGAAGCCGAGGTGCTCCGGGCTCGTCGTCACGAACTGCCAGCCGTTTTCCTGGCCGGGCCGCTCGCGCAGACGCAGGAAGCGGCGCGCGTCGAAGGCGGCGGGGTCCGGGTAGAGGGCGGGGTCCGAGAGGTTTTCCATGGAGACGCAGAGGACGGCGTCTTTGGGTATGTGCGTGCCGTCGCTGAGGGTGAGGGCGGATTCGGCGACGCGGTTGAGGGTGACTGCGCGGGCTGTTAGCATGCCACGGACCCAGTCAGGGGAAGCAACTTACGCAGGGTGGGAGGGTGCAGGCGCTGCGACTCCTTCAGGAAGCTGTCCATCAGCTTCATCTTGTACAGGCTCGTCTTCTTCCAGCCGTCCTCCTTCAGCACCTGGCGCACCTCGTCACGCAGGTCGTCCATGACGTCTGGGTGGGTGACGAGGTCGAAGATGGCGTGGGTGAGCAGGTCGCCCGTGGTGTGCAGGGCGACGACGGAGAAGATTAGCTGGTTAAGGACGGGGTCGTAGGGGCGGCCCTTGGCCACCTCCTCCATCCAGGCAATGGTATCTCTGCCTTTGGTCTTCTCGCCGCGGGCCGCCGCCTCGGCCACCTTGGCTCGGCGCCGCTCGATTTCCGGGACGATCAGGGCGCGGGCTTTGGCCGTGGTGGCGCGCACCTTGCGCGAGCCCGGCAGGTAGAGGTTGACGAGCGGGCGCAGCCACGGCGGGTACTTGCGCAGCTCCTGTATCGCCTTGAACGCCTCGACGGTAAAGGCGATGAAGATGTCGAGCCACCCCCGGTTGCGGCACTGCTCGGCGCCGAGGAAGACGCGCGTGGACATGCGGGCGATGTACTCAAGGATGAAGGGCTTCAGAGTGAGGCCGGTCCATTCTGAGGAGTTGAGCGGTCAGCGTGTGGCTGGCAAATGTCGCGTCGACACCCACCTTGCGGCTCTCCAAGATTGTCCAGCAGCGTCAGCTCGCTCTCATCGCACAGCTCTTCCGTCATGGTGCCTAAACCGTCAGCCACAAGTCTCTCGCCCAGCTTCCCGAAGCCTTACCAAGTGCCTGCGTAAGCTTGGTCCGGACCGTCTCGGCGAAGACGGGGTTGTTCAGAACGTTGTGGAAGCCCTCGAATCCGTTCAAATGACCCAAGAACTCCTACATTGCCCAAAGTTAAGATCATTCCGGAGTGGCTTGTGGAGTCTTTGTTCAACGCACATTCGAAGCCCACTTCGCAAAGCTCAACCTGCTGTCGCTCTTGATCTCATTCGCATACGAGTTGGGCAAGACGATCTTGAGTCCGACTGGACTGACAACCTGGAACGGCTTCTGGAACTGTACACATTGGTCCCCATGTCAGCAACGTAACCGAGGAGTGGGAATGAGAGGGGAGGCAACGAACGGCTCTCAATCCATGGGACACAACGTCGCTGGCGCGTGTGGTCCAGTCCCGCTTCGCTTTTTCGTAGTCGTTTTTCTCGTGCAGAAAGGCGGCGGGCAGCGCCGGGTACAGTTTCTCGCGGCGCGCATAGACCGCGGCGAGGAGCAGGACTGAGGCGGTGGCGAAGAGCTGGAGGTAGAAGGCGGCATGTTGGCTGGCTGTGGGGATGCTAAGCGGAAGGGCCCCGACGGTGGCTCCTGCCGCGAGTGAATGGTTCATCTTCGGTCGATACGATGCCGGCTGTCAGAACGCAAAGGCCAGAGGGTGGAAGAGCAGGTCTGAGTCATTTTATACATGTGGTTGTCCCTACGTAGTACCCTGATTCTACTTCCCCACGAGCTCGTTTTGGCCGCCGCCCCACACGGGAGGCGGAGGCGCGGTAACCCGATCGTGGAGACGTCTGCTCGAATCCAATCAGCGCCAACAGTGACCATCGGCTTCGGGACCTCGGCTAACGGAAATGCGCGTGGCCGATACTTGGGTCGGATGGCTGGCCGTGCTGCAGCCTCTCCCACAGGTCGATCAACCGGCGGGCCGTAAAGCGTCTCTTGTCTCTTCCCGCACTTCGTCTGAGCGCGTGGATCTCCCGTCTCCCGTCACTTGGCGTAAATCATCCACAGAGACTGGTTGATGGTCACTGCTTTCAGGACGGCCTTCGCCCCGCCTCAGTCTTCGCAGGGGGGGAAACCTGATGCAGCTAACCGCCACTTGATGCAGCTGCAGTGCAGATCGACTGCCCCATTCCGCCTGTCGGGCGCTTGCGGCCTTTTATGACCCGAGACAAGTTGCGGGGCAAGGACATGTCGGTGGAAGATAGCACCCGTGCCGGCCACGAAGAATCAGATAGATGCCATCTTCTCCGTCTGCATGAACGGTCCATCTTGGCGCGAGAACCGTAGGACCTTTTGAGCACAAAGGCAGTGAGATGGAAGTATTATAGGTCCGGAAAGTGAGCTTCTTTGATGCTCCATCTACTGAATATGCAAGTGCCGTCCGCCAAACTACCGCCCATGGTGTGGGTATCTCATGATGCAAAGAATACAAAGTTGTAAGAACGAACGCCCTGCACAAGAAACTACTCGTGCACCCTGACGTACGTGAGAATGTAGGGCGTGAAGCCTCCATCGTGGGTGCGCAGCAGTTCCTTGATCACCCCAGGCTTCTCGACGACGTCGTCACTGATGTCCTGGATGCCCTTGGGCGAGACGACTTTGGCCGTGTAGTGACCGCTGTTGACTCCGCCGGCATGCTGGAGCACCGCCGTGAGCTTGTACCTCAGCGTGCCGGGCCGCTGCATCCTCTTGTCGTCAAAGTACTCGGAGAGGTCGAGATACAGCGGAAACTGCACCGGGTCCTTGACCTTGCTCTGATGGCCCCAGCCGTCGGATGCGAAGCGCGCCAGCTGCACCATCAGGATCTCCGGCCCGTCAATCACCACCTGCTTGCGGTCGTGCACCTTCTTGCGGCACTGCTCGCACTCGATGCTCGGCAGCGTCTCGTAGAAGAACTGGTCGAAGTACGACTTGAAGTCCAGCCCCTTGCGCGGATGCCGGATGTTGATGCTGGCGTTCAGCCAGATGATGGGGTCCTGCGTCTCTTGGTGGCCGCAGCTGCGGCAGGTGCGCCGCGGGAACTGCTTCAGCCCGAACAGCGCCTCGACCTCGTTGAGCGGCATGCATGCCTTGTGGGCTTCGCTGGAGGACAGGTTGGTCAGGATGAAGACCATGAACTCGTGCGCGTCCTGTTGGCGGAGCCGCTCGCCCCTGCTTCCGCCAGGGCACCGGGGCAGCTTGTTGATGGCGTTGTCGAAGTCTCTGACAGCCCGGTCTACGCGCTGGGCGCTCCGGCGCTCCGCCCCGGCCGGCCAGTATGCGTTCGCAAGCCCACGGAGGGCACAAGCCAGGCAGCCGGGCTTTAGACAGCGGTATTTTTGGCTGCTTCCGTGCAGCTTGATCCAATTGACGAAGATGGGCAGGTTCATGAGCACTTGGAGACAGCTCCTGCGGTAGCAATGCACGCCGCTGTGGTTGACGAGTCCAGTGGCGCCCAGATCCTTGCGGCAGTATTCGGTGCTGAGACGAGAGATGGTGTCATGTCTCTCGGATTGCTCCTTCGTCCTAATGCGACGGCGCTTGCGGGCGGGTTCGGTTGCCATGGTAGCCTGGGTCGCGGGAACGAATTGAATGGGTGCCTTCAATATCTCGTCAAGCTTGCGCTTAGCGCTGGACTTGCAAGGCGTGAGCTCGCCGGACACGCCTTCATCGGATGCGGCCACGGGCACATAGGGAACCTGTAGTCGTTGGACAGCCGAGTCGAGGCAGGATGGCTGACGTTCAGGGGATTGATGGTGGTGTTCGTTGTCGTCACAGACGGTGCTGCTCTGGTCGACGGTGGGCTTGATCTTGGGCTTGGCCGTGTCCGTAGGTTTGGTGGTGGCTTCTTTCTTTGGGTGCGGCTCGTCGAGCGTGATGAGGCTCTCCGGCCTCGACTCGGGCAAGGCATGCTTGTCGGAGGACATGGTGGGCGGCGGCGGCAGGTTCTTTGCGTGGGAAGACAAAGAGAGCTTGGCCGGCCGCATGCGATGAGAGGAAGACTGGAGGTGCCGAGAAGAGAGGACCACAAGGCGGCGGCGGCGGGTTTTGGCTTTGAGGTGGGCCTGGGCCAGCACTTTACCATTGACCCTGGACAGTGCCATTGTGGGACGGGCAACAATAGCAGTGGTGGTGAGGAGATGCCAAGGCAACCCGGGTCAGCCGAACGAAAGGGAACTACAATAGACAAGAAGGAAAACGCTCCAGCGATATTTACAGGCCGGTCGGGACGTGGTCAGGGCGGGAGACATGGAGCGAGCACGTGCCTAGGGTGCGCGAGGGTCGAGGTGGACGGCCCGCATCAAGCAGGCGACGGGCTTCGCGGGCGGAGCGCAGCAGCGGGAGCCGCAGCAGAGCAGGCAGCAAGGCCCAGGGGGAAAAGGGTTTCGGTGGGATGAAGTCAGCTTCGCGCTCGGGGAAGGATGCGGCTCTCCTTCTCCGCGACCTGATTTTTTTTTTTTTGCAGGCGGCGCCACTTCCGCCGAGCCATCGAGCCCCAGCCCACCCCGCCCGCTCCGCTCCCGCCCACCTGCAAGTCATTGCCCCTCCGCCCACGCCCTCGGATCAGCCCTACCTGCACCAATGTCCGCCCACCGCGACAGCGTCGCCTACGAGGACGAGCACGTCCACCAAGTCTACGAGCAGATCGCCAGCCACTTCTCCTCCACCCGCTACAAGGTACCGCGCCCCGCCGCATTCCGCGCGCCCGCGCCTGCCGCTCATCGCTTCTCCAGTAGCCATGGCCCATTGTCGAGCGCTTCCTAACCGGCCTGCCTGATGGCGCAGTCGGTCTTGACATTGGTTGCGGCAACGGCAAGTACCTGGCCGTCAACCCGAACGTGTACATTGTAGCTTCCGACCGGTAGGCAGACTCGACGCATGCCATGTCTGGCCGCTGACCTCTATTTCAGTTCCACCAACCTCGCCAAGATAGCCACAAGGCACCAGCCGCACAGCGCCATTGTCGCCGACACCCTAAGCCTGCCTCATCCCCCGGCGGCCTTCGATTTCGCCATATCCATCGCCGTCATCCATCACCTTTCCACACCAGAGCGACGTGTCGAAGCTACAAGGGCTATTCTAGAACAATTGAAGGCTGACGGAAGAGCTCTGGTATATGTCTGGGCACTCGAGCAGAAGGACAGCCGGAGGGGCTGGGACGAGGGCCACGAGCAAGACGTTATGGTGCCTTGGGTTATGAACAAGAACCAACCGAAGAGAAAGAAGGGCGCCGCTCCCGAGCAGACGGATGCTGTCCCGGCCGAAGCCCCCCAGACATTTCACAGATATTATCACCTCTACCGAAAGGGCGAACTGGAGCACGACATCGAGTTGGCTGGAGGAGATATCGTTGAAGCTGGATACGAGAAGGACAATTGGTGGGCCATCATGAAACCCAAGGCTTCATAGGGGAAATCTGCTCCGGCCATGGCCTTTGGTTAAAAATGAGTGCCATATCTTGGGCTGGCCACGATTATTGACGACGAACGATGCGAGTAAAGCAGATCCAAGTGAAAGAAAATTACTTTCTCTACCGCTCCCAAGTCTCCCCCGCATAAAGCTGGTCCATCTCGATATCAGCCATGGGCCTCGAGCTCGTCCCTGCATGACAAATCGGCCCCGACACTTTGTGCCCCCAATACAAAACCGGACTCCACTCGTCAATAAGATCCGTCAACGTCTGTATATGGCCGTACGCCGCAGGCTGCGGCCCCTTCGGTCTCCACACGCTCAACGCAGTGACATAGGCCGCCAACGCCGCCACCGCGCCCGCCAGACAAAAGAACGGCACGCCCCTGACATACACCCAGCCGTACTCGACCGTCACCGCCAACCCAAAAACCCAATGGATGGCGGGCTTCGCCAGGAACAGCACCACGGCCTGCCAGCTGGACACGGCCGCCCACACGGCGTCGTAGCCCTCGAGCCGGTACCCTCCCCTCCGCGCCGCGCGCCGCCACGCCAGCTCGTCCCTCGTCAGGCCCACCGGCAGCTCGGCGGCGTGCAGCGCCAGCGTGACGCCCGCCTGCAGCGCGGCGAAGACGCCCATCCCGAGCAGCTGATGCCCGCCCGTGAGCGCGACCCCGGGCTCCCCGGCGCCGCGTCGCGTCATGAGCAGCTCGACGGCGACGGCGCCGACGGAGGCGAGCGTCGCCAGCGCCCAGAGCAGCCACACGACCGTCCGGGCTCCCTTGTGCGCCGCCCAGCTCGCGCGCTGCCGGCGTCGCGGGGCCACGGCGCCGACGCGGGAGCTGGCGGCGTGCGCAGGCGCATCGGCGACGCCCAGGAGGCAGCGGCCGGGCTGGTGTCTGCTGACAACGCCGACGATGCCTTCGGCGGCGGCGACTTCCTGACACGCGACGACGGCGTCGACCGGGCTGGAGCTCCACGTCGGGACGGCGCGCGTCGCGGTCGAGGCGAGCGCGCACGTCGCGACGGCGGCCTGGACGAGCAGCGCGGCGCCCAGGCAGACGGCGGCGGTGCCGGACACGCCGATGGCGGCGGCAGCAGCGTCGGCGTCGACGCTCCAGCCGTCGATCCGCATGAGCCGCTCGATGTTGTTGTCGTCGTCGTCGTCGTCGTACGCGTTGACGAGCAGCAGCGACGACGACGCGTACGCCACGACCATGGCGGCCAGCATGACGGCGTTGACGTACCACGCGTTCGCCACCGACGACGACGACGCCGGCGCCGACGTGAAGAGCCGCAGGTTGCTGTTGAACGCCAGCCGGCCCTGCCGGGCGAGGCCCCATTTCAGCGACGCGGCGTGCACGTAGCCGAGGCTGTCCTGCAGCACCGTCAGCCAGACGTTGACGGCGAGCGGCGCGAGCCGCTTGACGAGCGGGGGCAGCGGCAGCGGCAGCCCGTGGAAGTCGGTCCAGTGGTGCGTGTAGAGGAGGAGGTAGAGGCCGCCGCCGGTGGAGGCGAGGCCGGTGAGCCAGGTTAGGGCGAGGAAGAGGGCGCAGGTGTTGCGGGTGGAGAGGTCGCGGTTGATGGGGGGGGGGGGGGTGGGGGGAGGTTTGGGGGGGGAGGGGTGGCTGTGTCGTGTGCTGCTGGTGTTGGCGGTGAGGGTTGTGGTGGTGGAGGAGTTGTTGTGGTGGTGGTTGTGGTAGTAGCGGTGGGCCATGGTTGGAACTTTGGGTTCGTCTTGTGGATGGATTTCGCTTGATGGTGTTCTCCACAGTACCAGAGCGAGTTTATCGCTGTTGCTGTTGCTGCTGCTTACTGCTGTCGTCGCTGTCTCGGTCGTATAGGTACGAGCTGATCCTCAGGCACTGACGTCTCAGTGCATTCGCAGTTCTCCGGAATGAATGTCGGAAACAACAAGGCTCTCCTCCAGGCACATGGGCTCGGCGGGATCGGCCTTACTTAAAGCCCCCTTCAGCCTAGAGCAAAAAACATGGTTGCCTCAACATGGGGAACGCGGCTGAGCCTCTTCGCTGACGCCAAGAATGCTGGAGCAAGTAGCCATCGATTTGCTGCCCCCAAAACGCTTGCTTTCTCTCTCCACCAAAAAGCCACACACAAGCCTTGATTCCGGGCTAAGCAGACGCGGTTCGTCGAGGCGACAACAAGGCTTACCTGACATGCAGCCCACATGCGGTGTTCCCTATTTTTCATTGGCTAGCAGTCCCAAAATAACCATCGAGGTGCTTCTTGCTTGACCCGTTTTGCTGAAGCCGTGTCTCGGGATGGGCTGAGGCTTGGGACAGAACGATCCGGGCTGGTAATTATAAGAACGTGCGTTGTGTTGCGTCGCACACACACACACATACACAGCCACCGCGCCGGCCTCTGTGCCGCTTTCGCTTTCTTCTCATGCTCCATCACCTTTCGGCTGATAAGGCTGAGGGGGCGATGGGGTTTCGTTTCCCCGCTTCTGTGCTCAGTTGGGATGTGCGGATTGGCTTGTCAGGAGTCCCGATGGACAAGGCTGGACTCTGGGGTGTAAAGCATGACTCTGGAGCTGGAGCTGATCATGGGCGGCTCGTTTGGGTAATGAAACAGTGTCTCTGTGCACCTATGTTCGAGTGTTGTGGAAATACATCACATTTCTGCGGCTTGCAGCACACGTCAATATATGCAGATTACTGCTACTCGTGAAAGAAATGGTTCGTCCGAGATGCAGTGGCTGTTTGCAAAGCCTCTGTGATGCACGAGGCGGAGCTGATGTGCTTATGCCGGCATTGAATTCCCATCCACTTTGTTTCCAGTTCAAATTATCACATTCTCTGCGGCTGCCCTGTTCGAATATCAGCCAATCATACCGTATCTCGACTGTGTACCTTGTCGAGTGTTGCTCATTGGCCACTGTTGCCATGTGTAAGCACAAGGAGTGGGGTGTCCTCGGTACCTTCCCTCCGAGGCTAAGTAGCTGGCGGGGAAGGTGGAGTAGCAGCAGCTCATATATAGTACATTCCTCACGGCTAGAATAACCATCTCTTAAGACATTCCACAACATTCTGAAAAAAAAAAAAAAAGACAATGGTTGATTGGCGTGCGGTTGCGAAAGAACGACGAGCAGCGCAAGCCGCCCTCATCCCGCCGGAGCTGCGTCTCAAAAGCATCCCCGACGGCCTCGTCAATGCCGTCGAGTTTGTCGAGTCGTGCGGTCTGCTTTCCGCCGAGGAGCTGCAGCTGACGGCCATGACCGACGCGCGCGCCTTGGTCGAGAAGCTGGCGTCCGGCGCCATCTCGAGCGTGAGGCTGACGACTGCTTTCATCAAGAGAACCGCCATCCTGCAGCAGTTGATCGGCTGCTGTACCGAGATCTTCTTCGACGAGGCCATCGAGCGGGCGAACAAGCTTGATACCCACCTGGCCGAGACGGGGAAGCTTGCCGGGCCGCTGCACGGGGTGCCAGTGTCGGTGAAGGACGGGTTCAATGTCAAGGGTGTGGACACCGCTGTTGGTATGTCTATTTCGACAAAATCGGCGTTGGCTGCTCCAAAATTCTGACCGTGTCGCCATGGTAGGCTGGGTTGGACTCGTTGGCAAGCCAGCCGCGGAGAACGGCCCCGAAGTCGACTCTCTGCTCGGGCTCGGGGCAGTGATTTACTGCAAGACCAACATCCCGCAGTCGCTGATGATGTCCGACTCGTACAACCACGTCTTCGGCCAGTCCGTCAACCCCTTCAACCGCACCCTCATCTCGGGCGGCAGCTCCGGCGGCGAGGGCGCCCTCGTCGGCGGCCGCGGCAGCGTGCTGGGCATGGGAACCGACATCGGTGGCTCCGTCCGCATCCCCGCCGGCCTCCAGGGGCTGTACGGCCTCAGCCCGACCATCGGCCGCGTGCCATTTCTCAAATCAGCGTACGCCAGCCATCTTTTCCCCCCTTCCGCTTCTTCTCTCTTCCTAACAGCTGTTTGATTCTTAATGGCTGCAGGCGGGACCAAGAGTACGTCGTCCCGCCCGTGGCCGGCCCGCTCACCCACAGCCTTCCCACCCTAGAGCACTACCTGGACAGCCTTTTGGCCGCGCGCCCGTGGGAGACGGACCCGCGCCTCTTCCCCATCCCGTGGCGCAAGGAGCTGGCGACGGCGCCGCCCGAGGGTCGGCGGTTGAAGCTGGCTTTTGTCTTCGACGACGGCGTCGTCAAGCCGCAGCCGCCAGTAACGAGAGCGATTCGGGAGGCGGCGGACAGAGTGAGAGTCGCCGGCCATGAAGGTAACGGTCCAGACAAGAGTTGAGAAGTGTTGTATGCTGACCGAGACTGGCCAGTTGTCGAGTGGGACACCAAGAAGCATGAAGAAGGCGTGCGGCTGTGGTTCAAAGCGGTCCAGGCGGATGGCGGAAAGGGGTGTAGGGAGCTCTGCTCGCTGGTCGGCGAGCCGTTGATCGAGGGCATGGTCGTCGGGAAAGAAAGTGACTATCTCGACGTCGCGGCTCGTCAACAGGTACGTCGCAGATGTCGTCCCATATTGATCGGGGCACAGGAATGACGCACCCCATTAGCTCTCGCTTGAGAAACTGCAGTACGAGAGGGACTTCCTCGCGCAATGGAACGCGGCGGGCATCGATGCCATCGTCATGCCTCTCTTCCCTTGGGTCAACTACAAGCCCAAGACGTGGGTCAAGTCCAAGCAGTGGCTTGGGTACTCTGCGCTGTGGAACCTGTTGAACTATGCCGCCCTGGCCGTTCCCGCCACGAGGGTCGCTGCGGAGCTGGACCAGCCTGGGGAAGAGTGGAAGAATCATGTGCCGCGGAACGAATCGGACAGGTTCAATCATGAACAATGTGAGTGCCGGCCGTGTCAATGTAATATTTCGCTAATGAAACGGACGTGGTACGTAGATGATGTCAATCTGGTCAATGGTATGCCCGTGGGGCTGCAGATTGTCACCGGTAGGTTCGGGGAGGAGAAGGCTGTTGCAATCGCAAAGATATTGGAAAGTCTGAGGTGAATGGAGTTGGGAAACTGGTTGCATATGAAGATTTGGCAGGCGAATATGGGGTGACAATCGCTCGAAAACAGAAACTCCACCTCCGAAACAGCTGTATCCCGCTCCTTGGTCACCCGAGCACCCCGCATGCGATGCCAAGAATGCCGCTTACCCGAGATGCTGAACGGAGAGGCTTGGTGCCAAGAGGCTGGAGGTGAGCAAAGGACCCACAGTAGTTTTCACCTCCGCCTCGGCATCCCCAATGATGTATGCCCAGCGGCGGCCGAGATGCAGCACACGGTGAGGATTTCTTGTCCGTCTTGACTTCCCCACAGCTTGCTCCCCGCAAGCGCGTATTAAATGCGGGATGAGGCCCTGTTTTTCTTCTTCGCGAATATGCTGCTTTGATCTTTGGTTTATTTGACCACCATGCCTCCGCCTCACGTGGATATTGAGGCGACAGAGCCCAACAGCTCTTCCTCATCAACTGGCACCAAGTCCGCCGAGGAAGGAACACACCACTTGGAGCAACCCGACGGCCAGAGACGACCAAGTGTCGCTGCTCTTTTGTGCAACCCTTTGGCCGGACGCACTGAAGAGGATGTGCTCGCCGAGGTCGACGCCTGGGTTGAAGAAAAGGGCTTACAAGACTCGCGAGAGGCGTTTCGCAAGGGAGCTCTACTCGCCCGCGTCCAGCAAAGGGACGATGGCTTCGAGAGCGTCTCGGCCCTGAGCGAAGCCGAAAAGGAGCTGCTGCGGTACGAGATCAAGCACAGGTGGAGCCAGCCCTTCATGCTCTACTTTCTGGTCATTTTGTGCGCAGGCTCCGCCATCGTGCAAGGCATGGATCAGACAGCCGTAAACGGAGCTCAGGTTCGAGCAATCCCTCCCCAGAATCCAGTTGCCTGGCTAACACGGAACAGCTCTACTACTTTGAGGAATACGGAATCACCAACGTGTGGCAACGAGGGCTGCTCAACGGCGCTCCGTACCTCGCTTCCGCTCTGATCGGCTGCTGGACGAACGCCCCCCTCAACAAGGCTTTCGGTCGCCGTGGCACCATCTTCATATCCTGCGTCATCTCCTTCATTACCGGCTTCTGGATGGCCGCTGCCGATTCTTGGTACAACCTGCTCATCGCTCGCTTCGCCCTGGGGTTTGCTGTGGGGGCAAAGTCCAGCACAACCCCCGTCTACGCCGCCGAGTCTGCGCCCAAGACCATCCGCGGCGCACTGACAATGATGTGGCAGATGTGGACCGCCTTCGGCATCATGCTGGGCTTCGTCGTCTCCGTTGCCTTTGAGAATGTCGACTTTCTGGGCCAGTATTCCCAGTGGCGCTGGATGCTCGCGTCCACCTCGATCCCGCCCTTTATCGTCATGATCCAGGTCTACTTCTGCCCCGAGAGTCCCAGATGGTAAGCATCGCATCTGTCGCCTGCGTGCCCAACGAACCACCGCCGTTGACCCCTGACAGGTACATGGAGAAAGGAAAGTACGACAAAGCTTTCCGCGCCCTGAAAAGATTGCGGACGAACGAGATCCAAGCCGCGCGTGACATGTACTACGCCTACAAGCTTCTGGAGATTGAGTCGGCTGAGCGCGAGGGAAAGAGCCTCTTCAAGGAGTTCTTCACCATCAAGCGCAACCGCCGCGCCGCTCAATCTTCCTTCTTCGTCATGTTCATGCAGCAGTTCTGTGGCGTGAACGTCATCGCGTATTATTCCTCCGCCATCTTTGAGCAAGCTGGTTTCTCGCGGTCGAATGCCTTGCTTGTATCCTTCGGCACCGGCGTCACCAACTGGTTGTTTGCATTGCCGGTAAGTGGGCGCTGCCTTCACATGACTAAGACGGGGAGAGAACAAGGCTCACACGAGACTCAGGCTGTGTACACAATCGACACGTTCGGCCGCCGCAACCTGCTGCTGACAACGTTCCCGCTCATGGGCATCTTCCTCCTCTTCTGCGGCTTCTCCTTCTGGATCCCCAACAACGCCGACGGTTCGGTCTCGGACTCTCGAATCGCCTGCGTGGCTACGGCCATCTTCTTGTTCATGATGGTCTATTCGCCCGGCGAAGGACCCGTCCCGTTTACGTACAGCGCCGAGGCGTTCCCGCTGTACATCCGCGACACGGGCATGTCCTTCGCCACAGCCACCACCTGGGGCTTCAACTTCATCCTCAGCCTGACCTGGCCCGCCCTCGTCGAAGCCTTCCAGCCTCAGGGCGCGTTTGGATGGTACGCCGGCTGGAATTTCGTAGGCTGGATATATTGTTACTTCTTCCTGCCCGAGACGAAGGTAAGCCCCCCCCGCAACTTTGACTCTGCCAACTTGACGCTTGACATGCTGTGTTTGCAACAGAATCTCACCCTCGAAGAGCTGGACACCGTCTTCTCCGTCGGCAACAGGGAGCACGCGCAGTACTACGCCCGCAAGCTGCCCTGGTATCTCAACAAGTACATCTTGAGGAAGGATGTCCCGCCGTTTCCGCCGCTGTATCAGTTCCACGAGGAAAAGGTTCACAGTCATCATGTACAGGATGAGAAGGTTCAGGGAAAAGAATAGATAACGTACAGACCAGGTTGAGAACACTGTCTTCGGGCTTGTGTCAGTATAAAGTGCGAAGCCAAGGGTAAATGCGAACAATGGTTTGCATGGGGTTTTTTTTTTTCGGCTCTAAACAAATTTGTGAGATTACGATCGTCAGTTAAGAAGCTTTTGAAATATCTTCATCAACCCAAACCCGCCACAGTTGAACCAAAGTGTGATATCAAGCAGGATCAAACAGTTGTTACCTTCGGGAACCTCTTCCAAGCCTTTGGTCCAGTCATGTCCATGCGTGTGCAATTTGACACGGTAGCACTGAGGACGTCTCTCATGAGGCTTACGAACCCTTTGTTTGTTTGCTAACTCACATGAACACAACGTGACCAACCCTTGGCACAACCGAGCCTTGTTTGCTACCAGCAGTATGTGGAATTGACTCGACCCCAACAGCATATCGTCACATCTGATGTCTACTTGGTGTTCCTGGTGGCCATCAATGTTGAAGTTCACTTGCATGTGCGACCTACCGACCACCAAGCCACTTGTATATCCAACCAACATATGGGTGGTTGCTCTTGAACCCAGCCCCTTTCAGCAGTTGGCATTCCTGTCATGGTGCTACTCGTCCATCTCTGTTCTAATTCTGGTGTCTTCATATGCTTTAGTTTTTAGAATATATATCCACAATACGACTCAGATCATACAACGCTTTAGCTCACTCCCTGCTCATCTACCTACCAAACATACATTTGGATAAGCTGCATATAGACTTGTTGGTCTGATATGCCCGTAATGGGCTACAAGGAGCCCACTTCGTCGAGGGTATTGATGCTTCTTGACTCCCCAAGTTGTGCCAGAGTAGCTGACTGTGTTTCTCCATTCAGTCCCCGTCACCCGGTTCACATACCTCTTGGCTTTCGAACTTCCGGAATCGCTTTTCCAGCAGCCATAAAGGGGGTGGAGGAGGAGAGTAAGTTCTTGTCTATGAATTTAGCTATATCCGGTCATTCATCATGGTTATTTAACTGACAACTGCCCTTGCACTATGCCTTCACAGTCAGTCCCATCCATCTAAAGATGCGAAAACACAGGTAAATTCTTTCAACTTTCCGCTGCAATCTTCCTTTCGTATGGTCCGCTTCTCTCATAGATCTGACAATTATCAGAGGACCCACATGCCGCAGCGGGACTGTGAGCCCAGCCGGTGCTCAGACAAGACTCGTCCAAAGCCCGGCCCCGGAAACAGGGATGTCAAGGGCATGCAGGGATCAGCTTACGACAAAGCACTCAAAAGCCTCACGCCGGAAGAGCAGAGCCGCATCAACACCAACCGTTTCCGAGATGCCAGCCAGCTGCTTCGGAACCTCAGCCAAGCGAACGACAAGTCGTACCGCGAGTCTGGCATGCGAAGGGGCATGGAGAAGTTGAAACCGAAGATCAAAGCCTTCCAAGCCGTGGCCGATACCGTGGGCATCTTCGGTGAACTTGAACCCGCTGGTTCCTTGTCGATCGTCTGTGGGCTCACAAGTGCGGCCTGCTCTGTAAGTGCACCGTTGATATCCAAACGTGGATGATGATGCTTCCGATATATATTTTGAAAAGTTACGACTGACATGGAAACAGGCTGGAATCGCACTCGCTGATGCTGCTGACAATTTGGATGCCGAAGTCAAGCGATTGTTTGATCTCGCACCACGCCTGATCCAATGCAACGAACTGGCTTCGTGCACAAAGAATCCTGAGCTGATTCGAAATGTAAGGACCAAGAGACATTGGTTGATCAGATTTGACTGAATGTTGTAGGATCTTGTGAGAGTCTACACGGGGGTGTTCAAGTTCTACCTTGTAGCGACGAAGATCTTGGATCATGAATATTTCCCTCATGCAATCAGAAAGTACAGAAACGACATGACTGAAGCTGTTGAGGGATTTTCCAGCTACTGGCAGCATTTTCTGGAGGGCGTACAGCTCGACACGTTGGACGCAACCACGGAAACTCTTGATATAGCTCTCAAAAGCCAAAGTATGCTCCCACCCTGTTTCCTCCGGTTTCGCTGGCTGATCCCCGTCCCCAGTTGCGGAAATCCTTGAGAGAGAATGCGCGCACGAGGTGGAGTACAGGCCCCCGACACCAGCTGCTGGAACCTGTCAGTGGCTATCCTGGGCGGATGGCTTCAAGCTCTGGCACCAGCCAGCCGGCATGGGCACCCATTTCCTCACCATGTTCGGAGCCATGGGGTCTGGCAAGACGGTCGCCACGGCGTATCTGGCAAACCATCTCGAGTCGGAAAAGCGCACAGTCATCCGCTACTACGTGCACAACGACGGCGAGATGAGCAAGCCGACGAACATATACTGCAGCCTCATCAGGCAGTTTCTCTCGTGGCATCCGGAATTCGAAGCACGGTTCTGGAGGCTGCTCAAGGAACACAACGTCGCGGATTTCCACATGCAGGCGCGCAGGCCCGAGGTGCTGAGGCGGTGCTTCGTTGAGCTGTTGGGTGATGCACGCAAGAGAGTTTGCATCCTGCTCGACGCGCTCGACGCTTTGGATCCCGCGGCCCGAGAGGAACTCGGCCAACTCTTCCGAGACCTTCTCAAGTTGGAATGTCAGGCCAAAGTCTTCCTGACCTCGCAGCCTGACAGCCAACTGAAGAAGCTGGTCCCGGGGAAAGCCTTCGAGATCAGCAGTTGGCGCAAGGAAGTCGGCAAAGAGAACCACCGTATCGCCGAGCACTTGGTGGGCTCGAAGTGGCTGACCATGGACAAACGATACTGCAAAGAGGATCAGCACCGCCTCATCAAGGGCATCTCAGAACTAGCCGACAGCTCTCCGCTGATGGTGTACCTGAATGCGGCTCATGCCGATGCACTCATCCGGCATCCGGTGCCTCGAACCGTGGACGAGGTATTGCACATTGTCCGAAGTGCGCCATCTGGATATTCCAAGATCCCCCAGAAGTGGGCAGAGATACGGAAGCAGGTGCTGGAGCGGCTTGACGTTGGACGCGACATGATAGACCCGTTGCTGCGCTTTCTCGCCGTTGCCGCTCGGCCCGTCACCATACGGGAGGCCTGCGCCTTCGTGGTTTACGACACCCAAGACGGCGACACGATGCCTCGAGAGCTCGACGCGCACGGCCAGAGGAGCATCGTCGAGTGGATCCGTCCCTTTGTCACGACAGACGACGAGCCTGGCCCGGAGTCCGTGTTGAGACTCTACCACAACTCGCTCCAGCAACTCATCATCTTGCAGGAACCAAGCACATGGGCCGGCACTGAGAACGTCGGCACCAACGACGCCAAGAAGTACGCCCAACGAAAGGCGCAGATGAACGGAGAGCTGGCGTCCAAATGCGTGCGATACCTGTGTCTCCCCGAATGCTCGAAGAAAGGGTTCATCGAATCCGGCATCCCCCACGGAGCCTTCTTCACCTACGCCGCCTGCACCTGGCAGCACCACCTCGCCGGTTCCTCCTCCACCACCACCACCGCCAGACCAACGCCCCAGCAAGTATCATGCATCATGGCCATCTGCCGGCCAAACTCCGCCGCCCTCCGCAACTGGACCGACCAAAACGCCCGCCACGAAAAGACGTTCCTGCCCCCCCTCGCCGACCTCGACCCCCTCGTCGTCGCCGTGCACTTCCGGCACGACGGCCTGACGGCCGCGCTGCTCGACCGCCCCGACGCCTTGCAAGCCCCGAGCTTCGCTCCAAACTCCGCCCGCACCGCGCTCGCGTGCGCGCTCCAGACCGAGCGCTTCACCCTGGCCGCCGCCATCGTCGACAAGGCCGGCGCCCGCCTGCGCACCCTCGAGACATGGACCCAGCTCATGCAGGCCTACAGCCCGGCCCCCGACTTTTGGGCCCCGAAACCCACCGCCACGGCGAAGGAAAAGGCCGCTAGGAAGCGCGCCCTCGACGCCCTGGAGAAGCGCGAGCAAGCGTGGCGGAAGTTCCTCGACCCGGTCATCCCGCTCTTCCTCCCCGAGATGACCGGTGGCGGCGGTAGCAAGAATAGCAGTATCAGCAGCAGCGGTGGTGGTGGAGCCTCGGGCCCCTCCGACCGCTCATGGGCCGGCGCCGCCCTCGACCAAGCCGTGTCCAACGGCTGCCTCTCCGTCGCCCGGACGCTCTTGTCCCACGGCGGCGCCAGGAACCCGGCCTTCCACCACGCGCTCTTGGGCCTCTCCTCCTCTTCTTCATCTTCCTCCTCCTCCTCCCAGCCCATTAACGTCGTCGCCACCGCCGCCCGCCGCGGCGACCTCGACATGCTGCACCTCCTCCTCGCCCAGCCCGGCGTCGTGGCCGCCGACGCCGTTCCCCATGTCGGTGCTCGTGTCGACGACCATCATCTTCGTCCTCCTCATCCTCATCCTCCTCCTCATCCCCCTCATCATCCTCCTCCTCCCCATCCTCGCCAAAGCCACGGCCGAAGCCACAGCCACGGCCACAGCAACAGCCACGCAAACCGCCCCCCTACTACCACCACCACTTCTACCACCAGACGCGATCACCTCGCCCCGCCCGTCCCGCTAATCCAACGGCTCGCACCCGACGACGGCTCGACCGTCTACCACGCCGCGGCGCGCATGACGTGCGCCGAGTTCCGCCCCGGCGTGTTCGCGGCGCTGAAGGCGGCCTGGCCCGAGGGCTCGGCCGTGCTGGACGACAGGGGGAGGCATTGGCGGGATTTGCTGGGGCCGGCGGAGAGCGAGATGGTGGGGTAGGTGACTGGGTAGGTTAGGTAGCCATTGACTGGGTTGGTTGGTTGGTTCATCAGACTGCCAGCTGGGATGGGTGGGATATATATATATATATATATATATGTGTGTGTGTGTGTGTGTGTGTGTGTGTGTGTGTGTGATTCGGCTGGGCCGTTTCCCAAGGTTCCGGTTTTTGGCTTCGGGATTTAGGGGGAGGGTTCCGTTGGCGTTGGTATATAGACAGGCGTTTTGTGGCAACTCATGATTTTGCAACTCGTTATTGTTTCTATCTCATCAGCAAAGCATATATGTGTTGAACGCAGAAAAGGAAATCCGCACAGCTTCTTCACTTCCCTCTTGACCCCTCCACGCATACAGACATGAGTGTTGAACCACGTCCCACACCACCATCTATCATCCACCATCTATCATCCACCATCTTCATCCACCTTTCAACCCACCCTACAACCCCCCAAAACAGCCACGCCGTCTCGACCAACCATTCAACCCATCAACCATCTATTGGCAGACACCAACCCACCCAACCAAAGAACCTCCCTTACTCATCCGTGTTCTTCGCCGACCCATCCGCAAACGTGATAGTCCGCGGGACCAGCACCAACTCCTGCCCTTCCGTCTGGCGCGGCGACAGCACAGCTGCGGGATTGCTTCCAGAAAAGCTCGAGCCCTCAACGACCGAAGCATCACCAGGACCGGCAGCGGAGGCGGCCGTCGACTGCGACTGCATACTCCGCGGGGGCGGAGGCGTGGGTGTGTCGACCGGACGACTGCCGGCGACGCCCCCCTCTCGTTCCGGCGCCGCCGTGGCAGTTTCCCCGACGTCGCCGTCGGGCTCCTGTTGGCTTTGCGGTTGCTGTTGGGGCTGCTGCTGCTGCTGCTGCTGCTGCTGCTGCTGCTGCTGGCAGCCGCTCTTTTTGCGGATGACGGAGCCGCCGATGCGGTAGAGCGGGCGGGGGAGGAGTTGCGCGCCCGTGCTGCCGGTGGCGGCGGAGCGCGGGGTGACGGTTCCCGGCATGTTGGTGCCGCTGACGTTGCTGTGGCGGTTGCGGAGGATGCCTGGGAGGGACTGCTCGGTGAATGAGCGGATGTGGAAGGGTGCCGGCTCGTCCGAGCGGCGATCGGCAGAGACGGCGTTGGAGAAGGTGCGCGGGATGAGGATGCCGAGTTTGCCCAGGGGGATGCTCAAGCCGTGGACGACCTGTTTTCGTCAGTGAGAGGAGTTGAGAGATTTGGGTTTGGGGGAATCGCTTACGATGCTGCAGATGACCAGGAACCATATGACAACATACATGACCTCCTGCAAGTGGGCAGCGTCCTCACGCTGGACACCGTCGACCGTGATCTCCTCGAGGAACTCGATACTGATGTAGAGATAGAAAACGGCGCTAACCCCAATTGGTCCAAAGAACCCTACGAAGAGCGCTTGACGCATATGCTCTATCTGGTGGATGTGCTTATGCATGCCCATGACAATCGGAAGACGGCGTAGCATGAGGACCAGGATCCCCAAAGGAATGAGACGGTAGATCGGGATCACGCTGTTGTGGGCAAAGCTGTACCAGGGGCACACAGCGCCAAACCAGATAAAGACTGATACGTTGAGGAGCATATCAATTGTGGGTTGGAGGGAATCATCCATGGTCTCCAGCCGGAACCAGTCGCTGTCACGGCAAGTCAGACTAGTCCTTTGGTGAGGGCTCGAGCACTTACTCCCAGGTGAAGACGTTGCCGGCGATGAAGCACGCAAGGACATCGTCGCTTCCAAGCATACCATCGGTCCCGACAATGAAGAGCTACTTGCTGGATCAGCACTACATCTCCTCGTATCGCAATGCGAAGTGAACTTACAGCGAGGGTGATTGCAAACACCAAGAAGCTCTCGCGGTCGACATACTTCCTCTCCTCGGCCCAGTGAAGGAGCTCTTTGGCAATCCAGCCAACGGTAGCACCGTAGGCAATGCTCATGATGATGGTGTAGCCCCAGGTCTCACCAAACCACAGGCCCATGGCCTTGCTAACTCCACCCGACTCGCCTGCGCCATGATGGCCCGCGTACTTGATAAGGTAGAGAGGCAAGAACAGAAAAGGATAACCGAGACCATCATTCGCGCCAGACTCGGCGATGACGAGCTTGGCAAGATCTTTGGGGATGTTCTTGTCGGCGAATTTGCCCTTCACAATCGAGTTTGATAGAATAGGGTCGGTGGGGGTGACGCAGGCGCCAACAGCCAGAGCATGCAGAAAGCTCAGGCCGGGCACCAAGCCCCACACAAGTAAGCTCGTGATCATCCACATGCCCGTCATGCCGGGGCCCAGCAGCAGCGAGAGCGACTTCCATTCCAGTTTCAGGTACCTGCTCGGGAGCTGTATGCCAGCGATAACCAGCTGCACACCCAGCACCAGCCGGGTGAAGTAGAGATTGATGGTGTTGAGGGTTTCTTCGGAGCCCAGGGCGTACTGGTGCGGCCTGATCAAATTGGCGGCGTTGGGGCCGAAGACGACGCCAGCGAAAGTGGAAATGACTGCCACGAGGTGATGTGAGCGCTTGGGGACCACGCAGGCGGCGTGAGGTCGCACTCACGGGCTTCGGAAAGGTAGAACTTTTCCTTGCACAGGAAAGACACCAAGCCAAACATGGTGACAAACCCGCCCAAGGTCGCGCACACAATGTTGAAGTTGGAGACGTCGAGAGTCGGCATGACGGCAGCTCCGGGGCAGGGTCAGCGGTGGGAGAGGAGACAGGCGGAGACGAATGCAGTGCCTCCGGCAAGCGGGTGTTAGGGGGCTCTGGGAACGTCACCGCGGACGGGTAACTGCTGGGCGAGTGGCACAGCGGTGGAAATGGAATCAGCGCGTGTTATTGAATCATTTGTGAGATGTGTTTGGATTGCTGCTGGTGCCGTGATGGACGCCACTTTTACTCAGGCCTGGCCACAGGCGGCTCGAATGCTGTCAGAGAAGTGTTGCGGAAGATGGTCTGTAAGGGAGTGTTGTCGGAGTGGGAAGGAGAATACCGCGGGCTCGAAATCGGCCGATCGCTAACGCTAAGGCCGCAGAGACGCCGCGAGTCATGCAACCCCGCTGCCAGATACGGATTAGAAAGCCCGACAAAACTACGGATTAGCACTCAGCCAATTGCAGCGCGGGGGACTATGTGCCGAGGCGCACGTGACTCGCACGGGCAGTGCAGCGTGAGGACCTCGACTACGGAGTACGCCTGTCGGTTCTGACAATGGGTAGAAATAATGATAACAAACGATATGTATTACAGAGTCATGATAGGTTAAAGGAAACTACTACTTTAGATTATATATATCGCGACCGTTCATTCTCACACACGATGCTAGGAACTAATATCCATTAAATAATGCTACAAGGCTTAGCATGTCCATGATTGACTGAGGAGTATTGAGTAGTTTTTCTCATTCATTAAGCCCTCAGCGTCGCGTCTCACTAGTGAGACAAGTCTCCCCTATACTACAAGCCCGCCAAACTCGTGCACCGTGACCCTTCCTTCGCGCGCTTTGCCTAGCTCGTAGCTGAGCACCGAGTTGTCCGCGTACATCATGAGAAGTCTCCACCTTCGAGAATAGTCCGCCTGCCGACCAAGCATGCCTTGCACCGGCCCCGTGGCGATGCCGACCAAAGGTGCGAGCGGCCGACTGCCCTCTTCCTCCTGGTCTTGAAAGGGCAAGATCCAGTCGATTCTGCACCCGTAGAATGGCCTACGGCTCGTGAATCCCTCGTCCGTTTGAGTCAAAGACATGATGGCAACCCGTCCCTTGGCAGAGCCTACCACCACGATGCCGAGTTCGACAATCTGAGCGTACAGGTTGATGCGGTCATGCATGCATACCTGCTCCATGAACGGGTTCTGTCTGATATACTGGAAGAGCGGGTCGAAGAATCCAACCGGGGGACGCTCTGGTGACTTTGCACTCCGTGGCTGGATCAGGAATATGTCCTTCACCGAGAGCCGCATTATCGGCGATGGCGGGATTTTGATCTGAGCGCGGGTGACGCCTCCAGGGTTTCGCGGTGCCCTCCTACAGCAGCACATTCAGTTTCAACTTCTGAACGGCCTGCAATCTGGCCCAACGTACCTGAGCTCTACCCCGCGAGCAACTTCAACTTCTGTGAGAGGCTCCGCCACGCTCACGTCGTCGTCGGATGATTCGTCCGAGTTATCCTCCAGCCGGCCGACTGGGGATCCGTATATCGTGCTGGAATTGTGAACACGCTGTCGGTTGTTGCTGTTATCATAGCAATTCAAAGTCGAGGACATCCTCTCAACCTTGAGAGGAATGCCCTCTGAGCCCAACGCTTCGCTCACACTTTCCGTTCGCTTGAAAGCTCTCCGATCAAGCCACATGACACCCCAAGCTGATGCCTCTTGTCAGCAATTGGCATCCAAAGAGTGAAGAGAATATAGGAAGCACTCACTTGCGTGCAGATAGTACCGTATGCCGTGCTCGAGATATTCGCAGCCGCATTGCTTGTTCCCGGCCGATTCAGTCATGGCACAGAATCTATGGGCGTGCATGTCTACACCAGAGAATGCTTCCTCGTGGCATCTGGCAAGGTCCATTATCCTGCTGAAGCCGTTGATGTCGCTGGTGAGTATCCACCGACCTTCAGGGTCGTCGCCTGTGTTGCAGAGTGCTACGCATGGGATGTTCTCTCCGCTGTCTTGAGTGACTATCCTGTGCTGTTGCGACCTGTTTGGCAGCCACGAGCGTGTTTTGGGCAAGGATTCCTTGGTTAGGGCAAGTGCAAAGACGGTGACAGTGTGAGCATTGCAGCTAACAGCAATCATGCGTGCTTCCCGGTGGACAGCCAGGCCCCAAGCGCTGCTGCCGACATCCTCGGAGAAGAAGGGGCGCACGTCGTCTCCATCGATGGTTTCCACACAGCCGGGCTCTTGACGTCGCTCAATGGCGCGCTGGATCTGGTTGACATGGTAGCCTATGACGCGGCCATCATGGAGTGCAAGAAGCAAGATCTCATCGTTCCCAAGAAAGTCGACCAGGAGGGCATTGATGGTCCTACCAGCGCCGAGAGGCGAGTGTTCACTGACATCAGGCGCAGCATCGACGAGCACGGTGGGAGAAAGGACGAGGCTCGGTTGAGCCGACAGCTTTTGGTCCGGGAAATTTGGCTCATATACCAGGACCTTGTAGCGGGAAGCTACGAAGTAAAGATTGTAGATATGAGAGAGAGCAGTCTTTGACAACGTCAACCGCGAACACTCGTGGTCGGAGAAGCTAGACTAACCAGATTGCAGCGCCAGGACTCGAGCCGAGGAGGGGGGTTTGTCGCGCGGTACTTTCTTGGGAAGCGCTCGATGCCACTCTGGACGCCGAGAGGTGATGCGGGAAATTCCTTGAAGGGGTGCGGCCGGGCGGGACGGTCCATGGTGACGTAGCTGCGCGGGGCGGAGCGGAGTAAGGCAGCGCGCAGGGAGCTGAGATCTACTGGACTGGCTGGGCCAGATGTGCGTGGCGGGTAGTGGAGACGCCGGGCACGGTCATGACTTGAAGCGCACTCGACGGGCGGGGTGCGAAGGTGATACAGGAACGGCAGACGGCGGCAGTGGTGCAAAGCGCGTGCAAACCACTGGGTGGGCGAGAGAGAGAGAGAGGCGTTATCGATAAGGAAGAAGCACGACTCGCGAAAGCTTGCAATCCCTGCTCCAAGCGGGGCGCCGGCTACGCACCTGCATGACCGGCCTTTGACGACTTTCTTGCGCCTCGGGCATCCACGCATCGTGCGCATTTCTCCCCACGAGCCGTCGCCACTCTGTATGCGCCGGCGACACTCGCAGCTACTTCGACTCTTCACCGCGCTTCCGAATCTGCGACCACGCTCGTTCGGGTCTTCTGCCTCATCACGCGCCGGTCATCCCGCGAGACCCGCTGCACCCTCTCTCCTTCGCCCGCAACAGAGCTGTCGAGCTTCCAGTCGCGCGATGGATGTAAGGGATTCGGCCGAAGGCGGCCCGGTCATGAGCCAGCTCCAGCTTGTCAACAGGCTGAGCGAGAGCCGGAGTCCCTATGTACGCACTATCTTCTCCAGTAGTCCAAAATTCTGCCTAGCCACGACCGCTGACCTCGTTCTAGGTGCGGGGCCATATGCACAATCCTGTTGCATGGCAGATGTGGGGCCCCGAGGCCCTTGAGTTGGCGAGAAAGACAAACAGGCTGCTGTTTGTGAGCATTGGATATGCTGCCTGTCACTGTACGTGCCAGGCCGTCGTCGCACCCTCCTACCGACGCCTGACGGATGTATAGGGTGCCATGTCATGGAGCGCGAGTCCTTCGAGAACCCGGAAATCGCAAACATCCTCAACAAAAACTTCATCCCCATAAAAGTTGATCGCGAGGAGCGTCCCGATGTCGACCGCATATACATGAACTATGTGCAGGCCACTACTGGCTCCGGAGGCTGGCCACTCAACGTCTTTATCACTCCGGATCTCGAGCCCATCTTCGGTGGCACATACTGGCCCGGGCCTGGCTCTACCACGGTTCTGGGCGACCACCCTTCGTTCCTGGAAATATTGGACAGGATCAAGGATGTCTGGCAGACCCAACGCCAAAGATGTCTGGAGTCTGCGAAGGAGGTCACGGCTCAGTTGCGCGAGTTTGCCCAGGAAGGTACCATCAGTAAGAATGGCGAGGGCGTTGTTGGAGACAGCTTGGATTTGGAATTGCTGGAAGAGGCATACACGCACTTTGCCAACAAGTACGACAAGCAGAATGCCGGCTTCGGGAAGGCACCTAAATTTCCAACTCCGGCTAACCTGTCGTTCCTCCTGCGTCTTGAGCAATATCCTGAAGCCGTGGAGCATGTTGTTGGCGACAAGGAATGCGCGCAGGCAAAAGATATGGCTGTCGAGACCCTTCGAAGGATGACTCATGGAGGCATCCATGATCAGGTCGGTAATGGCTTCGCTCGGTACTCGGTAACACAGGACTGGAGTCTACCTCACTTCGAGAAGATGTAAGCCTCCCGTATCTCTGTCTTGGCCTTGTCTAATTGCCGCAGGCTCTACGACCAGGCCCAACTCCTCACGGCCTATCTAGATGCGTACTTCGTCACCAAGGACCCTGAGCTGCTCGGTGCCGCTCACGACATCGCAACATATCTCACGAGCCCTCCGCTTCAGTCCAAGGATGGTGGATTTTTCTCTTCCGAAGATGCGGACTCACTGTACCGTTCCAATGACAAGGAGAAGCGTGAGGGGGCTTTCTACGTGTGGACCAGGAAGGAGTTCAAGACCATCTTGGGGGAAAAGGATGCGGAAGTGTGCTGCAGGTACTTTAACGTCCGCGAAAACGGCAACGTCAGTCCTGAGCATGATGCTCACGACGAACTCATCAACCAGAACGTCTTGGCAATCAGCTCCACACCAGAAGCTCTTGCAAAGGAGTTTGGCTTGTCAAAAGACGAAGTTACCAGGATTCTCGAAAGCGGAAGGAGTAGGCTGCTAGAGCACAGGAACAAGGAGCGGCCTCGTCCAAGCTTGGACGATAAGATCGTAGTCGCCTGGAACGGTCTTGCTATCGGCGCTCTTGCACGGTTCAGCGCGTTTCTGGATGCGACCGGTTCGGACAAGGCTATCGTCTATCGCCAGGCCGCAGAGAAGGCAGTGCACTTCATCAAATCAACACTGTACAGCTCTACCGATGCCTCGCTCAAGCGCATATACCGTCAGGGTCCTGGAGACGCGCCCGCCTTTGCGGATGACTATGCGTTCCTTATTTCCGGTCTAATCGACCTCTACGAAGCTACTTTCGACGACTCCTACCTCGAGTTCGCCGACCAACTACAGCACACGCAAATAAAGTGCTTTTGGGACTCGATGTCTGGAGGTTTCTTTTCTACCGCAGAAGGACAGAGCGATCTCATCCTACGTCTGAAGGATGGCATGGACAACGCCGAGCCCAGCACGAACGGCATCTCCGCCGCCAACTTATACCGCCTCGGCGCTTTGCTTGAGGACGCGGACTATGTGAAGCGCGCTAAGGAAACATGTGGAGCTTTCGAGGCAGAGATCCTGCAACATCCCTTCCTGTTCCCGAGCATGCTCGGCGGCATAGTGGCTCTGAGGCTGGGCGTAAAGAGCATTGTCGTAACTGGCAAGGGCGAAAATGTTGAGAAGGCCATCAAGAAGGCGAGGAGCGGGATTTCCACCAACACGACAGTGGCGCGATTGGGTGAGGGGGTCAAAAGCGAGTGGTTGCGCAAGAGGAACGAGGTGTTCAAGCATCTTGATGTGAAGGCGCCGCGTGTACAGGTGTGTGAGGGCGGTGTCTGCAAAGATGAGTTGGACATGTCAGACATGGGTAAGGCGCTGCCCGATGTCAAGTGATGGGCTTGTAGGCAGGGTCAGTTTCTGTAATGATTTGGGTTTGGCTATTTGGGCATGTTGATGTTGGTTACCAATAGCGTATAGATTTGCTACCTTTTGGTTCAAGCCAAGGCTCGATGCAGATGTTGTAGAAGTAAAGCATCTAAATTTCGATTCATATATCACGCTCCTGCTAATTAGGCGCAATTCTCCTCATGACCCATCTGTAGGCGGTCTTCGCCTTACCTGTTGCGGAAGCGATCCTCCCATCGCAGCAGGCAGCAGCGAAGCCAGATGCAATGTTGTCAAAATTGCCCCCGAAAGAGGCAAACCAGTCATGTATGGCGTCACACCTCCAGGCAAGCGCTGTTGCCTACGCCTCGGACCCGTTTTTCTTGACTCACACATCATCGCCCACACCTATATAAACGACGCTCCCGTCGCTGGTAACTTTTCTTCTCCAGCTCTCTTTGCCTGTGGCTTAGATCAAGTGTAGTATCTGTTCTTGTTCAGTTTGACCGCTGAATACTCTTACGTTCGTCAAACACTATTTTTGGAAAGCGGACGGGAAGACGCAGGATTCTCCGGCTGTGAGGGACCCTCATATTGTTGGAGCCTGGTCGTCCTGTCCACTGTGTCGCCGGTATTTTGCACTGCCTCCGGCTGATGCGACCCTGAGACTCTTTTGTCCTTTCGGCCGAAGTTGGTCGTCGGGAGCCTTTTCTTTCGTTGGTGGGTCCGCCTTGCGCGGGCCATCGAGGAAGGAGACTGTTGGCTTTCCTGTCTTCTATTTTTTTTTCTCTAACCCTCTTGAAGTGGAGTAGGGATGACATGGTGGATTGGCCTGGAGGATTGGGACAGGGCTATCATCGATGCGATGCGATGGAAGGGCATGCTTGGCAGGATCCTGTGAGGCGGCTGCGCTGACGAGAGCGTTGCCACACCACAGGCTGTTGTCTACTAGTGCGAGTTTGATCCAAGACTGCATGTGATACTGTAACAGAGTGCCATGTCGCCGGCCGCATCACTGGCTGTGGCACGTTGTGAGTGACGATGTTCTGCCTGCATGTCTGTGTAAGCGGCGTTGGCTTATGTTGACAAGCTTGGGGCGCCTAGTGAGTATGCAACCTTCATGCTGGGATCAAAGCAGAAAAGCGCAATGGACAGCGAGGCTTCGGCTTGCATTGGCGGACCAGTTGAAGCGCGACGAGCCCTGCTGCATGCTACGACGTCTCGTGCGACAGCGATCTTGTACCCCAAGCGTGCGAGAGATAGGCGTCCAGTGAGGATCAACGCTGTCCGAAGATCACGGGCTGCCTGCATGCCAAAGTACACGACTTACATACAAGTGCGCAGTCGAAATACTTGGCTCTGATGGACAATGAGCAGTGTGGGACCATAGAAGACACATGTTCGTAAGCTCTATCTTTTCTCCTTCAACGGCGAGAGGCAGATGCAGCAAACACACCACGGCTGTGCTGAACCCGCAATTGTTCGTAAGCTAGCCATGCTCCATCTATCATCCAAAAGCGCAGAATAATATTCGGGTGTTCTGCCGGTTTGGAAACTTGAGGACCATTCGCTGCGAAAAAAATCACGGAAAATCATGTCTTGGTCCTTCATTAATGTCTGGGTCCGGGCGGCTACTCACTAGTCCGTAAGCGTGCTGTGGACAGAAACAAGAGCAGGAGCATAAGGTTTATTGATCACCCGAAGCTCGCCGTTTGGCGGCCTTGCGGAAGCCGACGAGTCTTGAGCTGGCTCTCCACGTTCCTGCGATCCATGGCTCCCGCGCGGAGGTTTCCCGTAGAGGAAAACGTGATGAAGATGAGACGGTTTTCGCGCGCAGGCGGCGCCAGCTGTGCAGGAGAGACCGCCGCGCTGTGGTGGAGCCGTGCCCGCCATGTCCGACAAACCTCGCGCAGCTGCAAGGCACGGTTGGAATAAGAGTGGTACGCTTGACAGCAGACGGAGATCCCCCGCATCTCGCTCGTATGGCTGACGGCGCGCTGATGTCGTCTATGCGGTGCGTAGCGGCTGCCACTGCGCCAGATGGCGGCGGCGGCGGGGTGCAGAAACTCCACGGTGCACGATGCACGATGCGCCGGCGGCTGCAGCCCACGCTCGTGATTTTGGCCGCGGCTCTGCTCCCTGCATGGACTTGTTTCGAAGCCCATCTAGCCGCTCGACCCGCGTCGGCGGCTGCAAGGGGCCCCAATGGGAGCGGTTTCGGGGCTTAGGCCATCTGGGGCGGGAATGGCTGATGAGGCGCGAACGGTGGGCAGTGGTGAGGAAGCTTGTGAGGCAGCGCACGCAAGCGCCGCGCGCAGAGGCAAGAGCGTGGCCGGCCCGCATCACAACCCCCGTGCGGCGGCTACAAGGCGTGCTTCACGCGGCAGCGAGCTTCCCTTTCCGCTTCGAGCCCAGCACCGGCGCTGCCAGTTTCAGCTCCCCCATCTCATAACCTGCAGCGCGCCCGCCCGTCCAGCATTGCCGTCATTTCGCGATACGACCGCCGTGCCGCTGCCACCCAGCACCGCAAACACCGCAAACACCACGCTCGCGCTCACGCTCGCGCTGCCCGCCGCTCTTCTGCCCGCGCCCGCGCGCCGGACCAGCCCTCGCACCGCCGCCGCATTCCTCGGTCGCGTTCGCGGCGCTTCACCGCTGCGTCGCGTTGACTCGTGCTTCGACGGTCCCTCGCGTTGGACGCCCGCTGCGCGCTAGAGCCCAGCCACCCCTGCACGCGCAGAGGCCTTGGTCCAGCAGCAGGATCCCGTGGCCGCCAGGCTGTTTACCACCATACGCTGCTGTTGCACCGCCCAAGACGCTCCGCTTTCCTCTTCCCCGGCCCTTTTGGAGGAACGCCTCACCATCGCCATCTCGTCGCTCGCTCTGGCCGAGTCGCAAGCAATTCCTCTGTCGCTTGTCGACCTCACTCCGACACCCGCCATCCGGCGCTCTGCACGCGACTAGCGTCGGCCGACCAGTCAGATCCTCTCATTGGCAAGAATGTCCCAGTACGGGAGCTTTAAGGATTTCTGCCGCGATGCCGGCAACAGGGCGGCTACAATCCCAGGTGAGTCCGCTCGTCGCTGTCGCATGCTTTGGCAGAGTCGCATTGGCTGACCTGACCTGCTTGTCCGCAGTCTGCAATGTAAGATCGATCCGCTCCGGCCCCCGACGCGACCGCTGTCGCTGCGTCGCTGCGTCGCAACCACGCCGCGCCCGCTCGCTAACCACCCGCGATACAGCTCTTCAGCTTGTCGCCCGCGAAAAAAGGCTCCGATGCTGCAGGCTTCGGCAATGGCTGCGATTTGACAGGCATCTCGCTGAGCAACGGCCGACATCTCGCGAACTTGGGTCAGTGTTGCATCACGCCCATCTCGGCGAAACACCGTCTAATTACAACCCGACAGGCTCCATCCTGCTCTGCGGCATCGCGATTTTGATATCCGCATTCCTATTATGGCGCTCTGAACGAAAGAAGGCCGCTGTCGGACGGAGGTGCGTGCAGTGCCGACGGTTTTCCTGTGGATCGGCCGCATACTGACGTGCCGTAGGGAGATGCAACTCTTCCTCCTTGGCTACATCATCATTTCGATTTGTGAAATCTTCACCGTCGGAGGCTTCCCGCTCGATGGCGCCGTGCGCAGGGTAAGGCACAAATCTTCACATCTCGACTCCCAGTGTGTTGACGGTTACGCGTAGGCTTTCAGCGCGGTCCACATTGCGGCCGTAGTCGCTACAGCTTGGATCCTGCTCCTCAACGCTGCAGTCGGGTTCCAGCTGCTCGACGACGGCACTCCGCTTTCGCTGGGTCTTATCGTGACCTCGTCCGTGATCCTCTTCGTTGGCACTGGATACATTGCTCTTGACACGACCTTCCAATGGACCGGCTACTGGGATGATACGCTGACCACTGCAAAGTCGTATTCTCTGTACACTCTGTACCAGCTCGTCCCGCTGGTGCTCATTGTTGTCTTTTTCGTCATGGAGGCCTATCTGGTTGTTCGCGTCCTCGGCGAGAAGAAGCCTATGCGTAAGTTTAGTGGCAAATCATGGGCTATTTGATGCTGGCTCTGACTGTGATTAGTGTACCTGGCGGGTGCGGCACTTCTCTTCGCCATCGGACAGATCTTCCAATATGTCATCAGCGTGCATCTCTGCAATGCCTCGAACGGCAAGATCAACGGCGGCCTTTTCGAGACGCTTTTCACGCTTTGCGCCATAGCAATGGTCTGGGTCTTCTGGTCCAGCATCACGGAAGACGACTGGCCCATGCCCGTTACCGGAGGCGCCTATACATAACTTTCCTTTTTGTTTAATGCGGTTTAGCGCTCGTTGCAGTCACGGGAGCGCAGAGGCAGGGACGTAAGATTTTGCAGAGCAAAGCAAAGCATGGCGTGTATGTGTTTACGAGGATGGTGGATTTTGGTATTCGCCGATGGACGACATTATTCCCCCAAATGAATGTTTTCTAGTTCCGATAGATAATTTCTCCAGCGTAATGAATGGCAGGGCTGGCAGACAGCTTGAAGAGAAAAACACAGAAACATGGGCCCCTATAATGCGCCTCTGAAGGACTACCCAGGGACGCGCCAGGCGAAAAGGCACTAGCGGAGGGATCACGTGCGGCGCGTCGCGGGATGTCGTTGCCTCGAGTCAGGGCGGACCTCTGACCTCATGCGACCGCCTGCGCAGACCCAGCTCTGTCGCACCGCTCGTTTGCGCCGCATGGAGGCGTGTTGCCGCCCGTAGACAACTGGTGTTTTGCTATTCGTTTTTATTCCCCAATTCCCATTTGGTCGCCTGCTTCACCGGTCCCACTGGTTCGACAGAACCCTGGGCCGGCGCGAACCCACGGCTTTCACCTTCATACGCACCGTTCATTTTTCTGCGCCCAGGCCCCAGCTTCGAATGTTTGCCGCGACGACCCCACAGACGACGTCTTTCTCCTCCTCCCGATACCACCCACCGTCGCCACCTCCGTCGCTCTCGCCCACTCCTTCCGCGTCGCCGTCGACCGCACCACCGCCATCAGCCCCGCGGCAGTACCTACCCGCGCAAACGGTCCGCGTGAAACATAACCAGCGCACCGGCCACTGTCATCACATCCGCCATGGCCGATTCGGGCGACGAGTACGTGTACGGCTCCGATGACCAGCGGGCGGGCGGCGCCCCGGGCAAGAAGGGCCGTGCAAAGAAGGGCGGCGGGCAGACGAGCAGACGGTGGGAGCAGGGCGTGCACGCGGACGCGCATGCCTTGAAAGAGGCCGCCGACGGGAGGCTGCTTCCCGACGAGGAGGACAACCCGGAGGCCAAGAAGAGGAAGAGGTAAGATGCGTCTGGGTCCCTTTTTTCCTTTCACTGCCGCCTGCTTTCTTTTCTTGTACGTCTGGACCTAAACTGGACACGGAGCGACTGGAGTTAGTTTATTCGATCATCTGGATACCCGGATCACTCAACCTGCCCGCGTGCGGAATTCCCTGGATACTCGATACCTGTGTTTTTTGGATACTTGGATGCGTCAAGGGGTTTGCTTGTTGCTTCCCTGACGATAAGCTCGAAGGATTATGCGTCCTCGTTCTTTGAGCTTCGATCATGATTTCGACGAGAGGAGAGTATTGCACACTACTGCAAAGATTGTGGAGTTCGGACACTGTTGCAAGTGTCACCTTCGTCACGACATGTCCACATTGAGGTACAGTGCTTGGAAGAGATCCTGGGCATTGTCGTCAGGCTCATTCCGAACGATTGACGGATTAGAATGAACACCGTCCAGGATATCCACTCGGACGGCAACACGAGGATGTTTCGGTCACGATTGTTACTTTCATAGGCTGTTCCGAACACACTACTGACGTATCACTAGGCTCCGACAGGATACAAAGCCGTTCCAGCGTGGTATCATCCGCCATGTCGTACTTGTCATCGATCAATCGGAAGCGATGCTTGAGAAGGACTTCAAACCGACTCGGTACTCTGCAACTCTAAAATACGCTCAGGAATACGTACGAGAGTTCTTTGAACAGAACCCAATCAGCCAGTTGTCCGTCATGAGCATGTACGACGGTCTCTGCAACCGCGTCAGTGAGCTCAGTGGAAACCCGAACGACCACATCGGGCCGCTGCAGAAAATGCGAGATACTAGGCATCCTAATTATCAAGATCCCAGAGGCAGCCCGTCGTTACAAAACGCACTAGAGCAAGCTCGAGCTGCCTTGTATCACACACCTAGCCACGGGACACGTGAAGTCATCATTGTTCTAGGCGCGCTTCTTTCTCTCGACCCCGGCGATATTTTCAAGACAATTGCAAGCTGCGTCAAGAACAACGTCCGAGTCAACATAATCGGCATGGGCGGGCGGCTAAGAATCTGCCAAGAGATATGTTCAAGGACGAACGGCGGCGACGAGAACGTGTACAGCGTCGCCGTGGACCAACTGCACCTGCGCGACCTCCTCCTCGCAACCACGACGCCACCCGTGATCCGGCAAACGACGACCGAGGCTCCGAATCCGGCCTCGCTGCTGAAGATGGGCTTCCCCTCCCGCGTCGTCGAGAACGTCCCGACCATCTGCGCCTGCCACGGCATCCTCACCCGCGGCGGCTACCTGTGCTCGCAGTGCCAGGCCAAGGTGTGCAGCCTGCCGACGGGGTGCCCGTCGTGCGGCCTCACGCTCATCCTGTCGACCCACCTCGCCCGCAGCTACCACCACCTTTTCCCTCTGCAGAACTGGACAGAAGTCACGTGGGAGCGCGCGAGGCAGGTCGGCAGCACCGAGTGCAGGAGCTGCCTCTCGCCCTTTCCACACATTCCCTCGTCGACGTCGGCGAAAGCGAAGAAAGGAGGTGGCGGTGGCGGCGGCGGCAATAACGCGGCAAACGGTGAATCGAACGGCCAAAACGGAGTGTGGCAGAGGCCGCAACAGCAGAAGAAGAAGACGGAAGGCGCCGGTGCGAGCGAGAGCTCCCGATACGAGTGCGAGAGTTGCGGGAACCACTTCTGCGTCGACTGCGACGTGTACTGCCATGAGATTGTGCACAACTGCCCCGGTTGCTTGAGCAAGGTCTTGCCGGATGGTGAAAATGGCGGTAATATCATGGATGGCGTGGCGGCGACGACGACGGCATCGAATGGTACTACGTGATGGGGTCGTGGCTTGATGTGTTATTGATTTCTTTTTTCCGAGAGGGGATTTGGCGTCGATGAAAGCGATATTGCGTGGGTCCGGAGGAGATATTCTCTCTTCCTTTCTATTTCTTCCTCGAGGCGTTTGGATAGGGATGGCTGGAAGGATAGGGGTGGATTTGCCTGTTTTCTTTTTTTTTCCACCCAGCTAGATGGATGAATGGGCGGCATTAAGGGGTGTTGGAGGTTCGGATACCGTTGAAGACACCATTTCTTTTCTTTTTTCTTATTACAGGGAAGGGAAGCTACTATCGGAGAGGGAAAAGGAAGAAAAAAAAAAGACGTCGATTATGGAGAGTGCAATGATAGTGGCGAGCCTCGATTGACGCGAACTATGGAGGGGGGTTAACATGTACGTATAGAATGATGAAGACTAGTTGAATGGTGACAAGATATTTTGGCACACACTTAGCCCATTGATGCGGAAGAGTGAAGGGGCTTAAGACTGCTGTCCCTTGGCGCCAATGAAGCTCGGAAGCGATCAGTGAAGCCGCCGAATGATTGTTCTCTCGGTGCCAGAGGACCGTGACAAAGAGCGGTTGCAAGCGCTCTGCACATGGTACCGCTTTATTTTGTCGACGCAATTGAAGTCGGTAACTGGTGTCTACCGTACTTGCTGTGACGCACCCCAGCCAGCTCTGTGTCCACAAAGTCACAAAGGGGAGAAAGGAATTCCCCGGGAATTGCCACGCAAAGAGTGTATATGTTGTCTTTAAACGAAAAAACCACCATCCTTCGCACGAGCTATCTTCGATAACGAGCTATTGTCCTTCGAAGTAGTAGAAACGCTAACGAACAGAAAAACCAACCCTTCTCCACTGGAAACCGAGAAGCAACACCGAACTACAAACCCGACACTCCTCACTCCCGCAACCACAAGCCCGGGTCTTCCACACCAGGCGTACACACAAACCTTCCCGTTCCCCTCGACTTTCACTCTCCCTCACCACGGCTCCCCTTCCCCTTCCCCTCCCCTCCTCCCCTCCCCCTCTCCCCACGACACCCGACTCCCCATATCCATATCCCCAACACTTCGACAACCACACGACAGTACCGACCGCAGCAACCCCATACCCGCCCGCTCACCCCGCCCGGATGGGTGACTACGTCGTGCTGTGGATCGTCATCGCCGTCCTGCTCTGCATCCTCGCCCTCTACGCGATCGTATGGGCGCACCTGCGCTTGCGCATACAATGCATCCGGCGCCGGCGGCTGCTGCTGCTTGACGCGGACCGTGCGCGCGAGGAGCAGCGGCAGCGGCAGTGGCAGCGACAACAGCATCAGCATCAGGTCGAGTTGCAGGGTTATGATCACGATGGTCATGGCTTGACGGGCGAGGAGGAGAGGAGAGGGATACAGGAGATTCTTGGTCGGAGGAGGGGGTATGGAGAAGAAGAGGAAGAAGGAGAAGAAGAAGAAGTGTGGCAGGGCAGGTATAATCAAGGGATGATGGGGGTTGCGGGCGACGAGGAGTATCGTCGTGATAGGGAGGTGTCTCCTTCTCCTTCTCCTCATCCGCAGGCGCCCAACGCGGCGCGGTCGTGGGAGAGTTTTCGACAACCCCAGTCGGCGGAGGGCGGTGGTGCCGGTGCGGCGTATCCGCTTTCGCATCCTCCTCTTCCGCGTCTGCCTTCGCTTTCTCGTTCGCCTTCTTGGGCGACGATGGTGTCGACGACGACGATTCCGGAAACGCCATCGCAATCCGTTAGGGCCATACCTCGTAAGCCGCTCCCTGTTGCTGCACTGACGGGTGGCGTCATGCGGGGAGGGAGCGAGGCGAGAAGGGCGCGTCTTGCAGAGCTATCAGCTTCGCCTCCGCCGCCGCCGCCGTCGCCGTCGCCGTCGCCGGAGATAGTCTTTACCCCGGCCACGCCGCCAGAACGTCATCGCGGCGACCGCTGCAGTCGCTTGGTAGATCCGACAATGCCGGTGGTGTAAAAGAGCAGGCTCTGCAGAATCTTCGTCTGCTTTGGTGGATTATGAGGAGCAGATCGCTGTTACCGGTGATGGACTCAGTTTGACGGAGAGGTGATTTAGTGGCTTGGATACTTGATGTCAGTAGAACAGGTTGGTATTGTTGTTCAAAGGGTGTGAATCATGTCGGACATGATAGAGAGGAGCGGCGGAGGTAAGGGAATTTTCTCCTTATTTTCTCTTCCTATAAGGTCTAGGCGTTATTGTGGTATCTGTTAGTAGGGTGTAGTTATGATGTGAGACAAGGCTTTACTGCTATGAATAAAGCATCTAGAAATACTGATTTTCGACTTCTGCTTTCATGTTTAACAATCTAATGGTTCTTTCTTCCTTAAGTTCTTGTCACTCTTTTACTTTCTTTACAGACCCCGTTTCTATGTTTGATCTGAAGTCTAGTCGGTGTTGAGTTTCCTCCAAATATCTTGTTGTGAGATGAAAGAGCTGATGATGCTTGTAATGGCGACCACGGCTGGAGAGACAGGAATCCACTTGATCACGGCGCCAGGGGTCAAAAGGTCGCACGATCCGCCTACTAGTTGACGTAGGTGGGTGGAACGCTGTTTTCTGGCCTTCTCAAGGGCACGCTCCTTCTCTTCCACGTGATCTTTCTTCGGTAGAGGTTTGAGTTTCTCCACGGTTTGGTCTTTGGGTTTGGCATCCCCGTTTGTGCTGGTGGAGATGCCATTCTCTGCTGTGGCTTTTGCTACATGGAGCCCGGCCTGTAGACAGATGATCTCGTTTCGATTGGTGTAGAGGTTATAGCAGGTGAGAATGAGGGAGCATGAAATCGAGTAGAACCAGAAGCGCTGTGACTCGACGAAGAACAGGGGCGCCCACGAAGACTTTTTCACACCCGAAGCATCGAGCTGAGCGAGCACAAGAGTAAGTAGAAGTTGGCATAGCGCGGAGAGAGAGAACAGCAGATCAATGATGGAGAAGAACGTACAATTGTGATTGCCTCGGTAAGCAAAAACATGCCCAAGTATGACCACTTTGAGATGTTCAAAAAGGCGAGCACGCCTTCGCGCTCGCTATCGACCAGAGCCTCGTTATTGCGCAGGGCGTCGGCAGCAACGAGGGCAGAGTCAATCCACTTGAAGAGGCGAAAATAACGGCGAGCGAGAGCGAAGTTGGTGCGGAGGGTACTGCTAACATGGACTACTTGAGCGGCCTCAGCGGTCTGGCCCGCAGCGAGAAGGCTGATGTTCAACTGGGTGATTCCTTGCAAGAGTCGCAGGGTCTTTTCCAATGCAGCGGCATCGTTCATGAAACGCGTGAAGTGGAGGAGGGACATTGTGCCGAGTAATGGGCAAGGGGTGAAAATCGAGGGCGTCTTCTGTCGGCGTTCCGGCGGGATAGGGGTCAGCTGGCCAGGTCGCCGGCTACCTCATGAAGCAGCGAAGGATTGGGACAAGGCTGAGCAGGCATTGTGAAGAGTGTGCGAGGACAGATGGGCAGCGGCTTATCACGGTAGGAGGGCCGGGGACCGGGGACGCGGTGGGCCGGCAACGGTGGAGGGCTGCCGACCGAGAAACTAGTGGCCGGTCCGGCTGCGGTTTCGGTCCAAGGCAGCCACTCGCAGCTGACGGCGAGTGAGGTGCGCTGAGAGCAGCAACCTGGGCGCCCTGCACGTCAATGGTGAGGAGCTGGTGAGAGCGTCTCCTGTGCAGCTCGCCGCGCTGCGCCGGTGATGGATTGCTGCGGGCGCCTGGGCGGCGGCGCGGGCCTGAGGCCTGAGCCGTCCAAGGCAAAACTTCGTTCCCGGGCAGCGGCATCCCATCTCCTGCAGCCCGGTCTGGTTCAAGCTCACCGTCATGTCTGCATTGCGGAGCACGTGTTGGAGGCAGCATATCAAGCTGCCTAATTGGCATCGCCCGGGGCAAATCGCGGGGTTCCACTCGCCGGCTTCGAGCTTGGCGGGGCAACGACGGCTTCTTAAGACCACTCTGCAAACGACGCCGCATCCCTCCCCTCACAACCTTCGTCCTCTGCTCAATCCCCGTCAGCTTGTGCGAGGACTGCCGCAACTATCGCCACTGATCCGCCTCTGCAGCACCGACTCGTGGACTCGAGCAGCCATGGCTTCCGACAGGGACGTTTTGCCTGACACGTGAGCCGCCCTCCCCACCACCCTGCACACCTCGACCATGGTTTGTCTGACCTGACCCCCGCAGCGTCAAGCCCTCCAACTATGCCATCTCTCTGTATGACATAGAGTTCGGCGGTGCTTTCGGCTACCAGGGCACCGTCACCATCTCCTCCGAGATCCGCAGCCCCACCAAGGAAATCGTGCTCAATGCCTACCAGCTGAAGATTCACGAGGCCTCGGTCGTGACCGAGCACACCAAGACTCAGCAGTCGATCAAGACCACCAGCGTTTCGTACGATGACAAGAACCAGCGCGCCACCCTCACCTTCGGCCAGGATCTGCCTGCTTCCTCCAAGGCCGAGGTCACCATCAAGTTCCAAGGCACCATCAACAATGCACGTGTCACTACTGCACTGCGCATTGCACCACTTGCTAATAGACAGATAGTTGATGGCTGGTTTCTACCGCTCGAAATACAAACCCGCTGTCCCTGCTGTCGCTTCCGTCGCCAAGGATGACGAGTACCACTACATGTTTAGCACTCAATTTGAGTCTTGCGACGCTCGTAGGGCCTTCCCTTGCTTTGACGAACCCAACCTGAAGGCCACCTTCGATTTCGAGATCGAGATCCCCGAGGACCAGACTGCTATCAGCAACATGCCCGAGAAGGAGACCAAGAAGGCTTCCAAGTCTGGTTTCAAGGTTGTTTCCTTCGAGAGGACCCCCGTCATGAGCACCTACCTCCTGGCCTGGGCTGCTGGTGATTTTGACTACGTCGAGGACTTCACCCGCAGGAAGTACAACGGCAAGAGTTTGCCGGTCCGCGTCTACACCACCCGTGGTCTCAAGGAGCAGGGCCGCTTTGCGCTTGAGCATGCCCACAAGACCGTGGACTACTTCTCCGAGGTTTGCATTTCTCGGTTGCAAAAAAGCTCGGCCTCACGTTAACAGCTGGACAGATCTTCCGGGTTGAGTACCCTCTGCCCAAGGTCGACATGATTGCTGTGCATGAATTTGTAAAGACCCCGTTTCCTCCATATTTCCTCAGCATTCCCAAGTTTGCAGCGACAATGCTTGGCTAATCTTTCTTTAGCCAATCATAAGTCACCCCTTCACCATATTCGCTTTCCTCACTGGAGCTCTCTCAGCTGATATCCTTTTCTAGTCACACGGTGCCATGGAGAACTGGGGTCTCATTACCTACAGGTAGTTTCTCCTGAGAGTTTTCAGAGCAGCAGACTCGCTAACCCTACGAAAGAACTACCGCAGTGTTGTTCGACCCGGAGAAGTCCGACCAGAAATACAAGAACAGGGTGGCATACGTTGTTGCTCACGAACTTGCCCACCAATGGTTTGGCAACCTGGTTACGATGGACTGGTGGAGTGAGGTATGCACGAGTAGAGAAATCGAGGTTGGGATTTCGCTGACCTGAATTCAGCTGTGGCTCAACGAGGGTTTCGCCACCTGGGTTGGCTGGCTGGCTGTGGACCACCTTCACCCTGGTAAGTGAACTAAGACGCAAGCTTCAACAAAACGCTAACAAATGGCAGAGTGGAACGTCTGGGGGCAGTTTTGCGTACGTCATCGTCGAGGTACAATTCCACGTCAATCATATACTGACAAGTTCAATGCCTGACTTAGAGCGAATCTCTGCAATCAGCGTTTTCTCTCGACTCTCTTCGCAATTCTCACCCTATCGAAGTGCCGGTCAGGAATGCCCTTGAGGTCGACCAAATTTTCGACCACATCAGCTACTTGAAGGGAAGCTCCGTCATTCGCATGCTGAGCGCACACCTTGGTGTTGAAACCTTCCTTCTCGGAGTGTCGCAATACCTGAACGCATTCAAGTACGGCAACGCTACGACCAACGACCTGTGGACGGCTCTGAGCAAGGCCTCTGGCCAGGATGTCAACACTTTCATGGATCCGTGGATCCGCAAGATCGGGTTCCCCGTCGTCACCGTTGCCGAGGAGCCTGGCCAGATCAGCGTGCAGCAGCGACGCTTCCTCCTCACTGGCGACGTGAAGACAGAGGAAGACCAGACAACTTGGTGGATTCCACTTGGCTTGAAGACCGCTTCCAAGACGGCAAGTGGCACTGAAGGTGCCCTCACCACCAAAGAGAACACCATTCGCGACGTCGATGAGAGCTTCTACAAGATCAACGCAGACCAGACTGGTTTCTACAGGACGAACTACCCACCTAACCGCCTTCTCAAGCTTGGCGAGGCCAAGGACAAGCTCAGCATCGAGGACAAGATTGGCCTCGTTGGAGACGCGGCCGCCTTGGCGCAATCTGGCGATGCTACCACGGCTGGTTTCCTGGCTCTCATTGAAGGTTTCAAGGACGAGTCCGAGTACATGTAGGTAGACGTCGCTCCCGCTGTGCTGACATGTGCTAACATGTACCAGTGTCTGGCAGCAGATTCTTCTCACATTGGGCAATGTCCGCTCGATCTTCTCCGATGATGAGACGATTTCGAAGGGTCTTCGCGTGCTCACACGCAAGCTAGTGACGCCGGCCACCGACAAGATCGGGTGGGAATTCGCTGAGAATGAGGATTTTCTCAAGGGCCAGCTTCGTTCTCTCCTGATCTCGGCCGCTGGTCTCGCCGGGCACGAGGGGTAAGGATTCCCCACTTAGGTTGGGCTTCGTACGACTGGGCAGCGCTGACGGAATCTGCAGTGTGATCAAGGAAGCGCAACGCCGCTTTGCTGCGTACCAGAGCGGTGACAAGAAGGCAATTCACCCATCGCTGCGCGGACCGATCTTCAGGATCGTGGTGACCGAGGGCGGTGAGAAGGGCTACGAGGCGATCAAGCACGAGTTCGTCAACAACACATCGATCGATGGCAGGGAGATTTGCTTGCAGGCGCTTGGGCGCGTGCAGACGGCAGAGCTCGCAAAGGCGTACCTCGACTTCCTCTTCTCGCCGGCAGTGCCCGTCCAGGACATGCACAGTGGGGCAGCGGCACTGGCCGCCAACTCGAAGACGCGGCACACGCTGTGGGCCTACGTCAAGGAGCACTGGAGCACCAAGGTGTACCCCGAGCTGAGCGGCAACATGGTGGTGCTGGACCGCTTCATCAAGCTCTCGCTCGCCAAGTTCGCCAGCTACGAGGTTGCAAAGGACGTCAAGGCCTTCTTCGCGGACAAGGACTGCAAGGGCTTCGATCGGGCGCTGGCGCAATCGGATGATATCATGACGGGTGGCGCCAAGTACCGTGAGAGAGACAGCGCGGTCGTCAAGGAATGGCTGTCGGCGCACGGCTACCTCTAGACGACTCAGTATCGTCGTGTGCAGCACTAGGCTGCGGCGGGCGTGGAGAGACTAAAGTGGAGCAGGGTGGCTCGCAACAGAGTGTACACAGTAGGCAAAAAGTGGTAGCGATGAGATGATGCATGCTCAGCTGAACCCATGATTCGACGTGTGATGAAGAGACTCGTGCAGAGGGGAGGCGCGAGCAGGAGGGCGGCATCATCGGCAGTTGGGGTGTCGGAGGGACCAGTAAGGCAAGCTGGAGCAGGGCGGTTGGCGGATCGGCACTGCTGACGGCAGGCGGGGCCTGGGCGAGACAGGCACGTCCCATGCAGCGGTCGTACGACCAGCACGGCGCTTTGGGAGGGCGGGCGGGAGAAAATTCAAAGTGCGGCGGGCTTGAGCCGAAAGCGGAGGCGAGAGGGTGGTCGAGACGGAGGGCCTGGGTTGCGAACAGCGGCGCGGGCATTGGGCGTCGGGCCTGGCGTGGAGCGGCGGAGCGGGCGCCCCCGCAAAACACGTGAGGAGAGCAGGGGCGGCGAAGGGCGCGCACGGGCCCGGTGACCTGATCGCCGTCGACTGATCTTTTGGCCGCCAGCGACGAGACCGTACGAGAAAGACAACCACCACTCGCAGCTCAGTGCCACGGACAAATAAATTGGTGGCAGCCCGCCGCACCCACCCACAGCTTACCCTAAACTCCCTACCCTCGCGCCCCATCCCCAATCCGCCACAGCGCCCCACCCGCCCTATTCATGTCCCTGCCTTAGACATCCGCTTCCTGCATCCATCTCCGCCTCAGCCCGCACTCTTCCCCGCTGCACAGCATATCTCTCCGCAAGGCGCGCTTTGCCAAGCTCTCCCCCATCCCTTCCGTCTCGATCCGCAAAGCTGTCACCAAACATGTCCGTGGTACGTATCGCTGCCTTCTCTTCTTCCGCCTCCACTTCCTCCTCCTCAACCACGGCCGCATTCTTCCGCGCATACCGCCCGCCGCGCTACTTCCAGCGCTCCTACGTCCCAAGCGTGCGCCCCAGCTTCTTCACCCAGCCCGCCCGCCTGCGCCACGTCCGTGCTGCTGCAACCACCCCGTCATCGCCCGTTGCCCCCAGACGCCATGCGTCCAACGGTGGAGGCTCCGGTCCCCAGCGCGGCGCCGCTGGCGGCGGACCTCCCCGGGGACCGGGCGTGTGGGCGCCTAAGACGCGGATAGCCATTGGCGTGGTGTTCGTTGGGGCGTTGATATACTCGATGGTGAGGGATTGAACGTGTCTTGTCGTCGCCGTTCGTCGATGGCCCAAACTTGGATCGTCGAGCGTCCAGCGGGGTCAATTGCCGTCTCCTCGGATTGCTACACTTCCCTTTGCTTTCACCTCTCATTCGCCGTCGTTTTTGGGACATGTTTTCACCGGCGGGATTGGTTGCTAACGTGTGTATGGGCGCACAGGCTACCCAGGACGTCCAAAACCTCGATGGCCTCTCGTTGGCCGAGCAGGACAAGCTCACAAAGCGCGAGTCGGGAGTGACGACGACGTCGCCGATGCGACTGCGGATGGAGAAGTTCATTCACGAGCAGCAGAAGGAAATCGTGGCGGCGCTGGAAGAGGTCGATGGCAAATTATTCCAGGTGGACACGTGGGACCGGCCGCACGGCGGCGGCGGCATCACCTGCGTGCTGCAGGACGGTAATACTTTCGAGAAGGCGGGCGTCAACACGTCGGTGGTGTACGGCACGCTGCCCCGCGCAGCCATTGCCAAGATGCGCGTCAACCACAAGGCGCTCGACCCGGACGTCGAGAGCCTCGAGTTCTTCGCCGCCGGCCTGTCTCTCGTGCTGCACCCGTGGAACCCGATGGCGCCGACGGTGCACCTGAACTACCGCTACTTTGAGACGTGCGACCCTCGCGACAACAACACGCACGCATGGTGGTTCGGCGGCGGCTGCGACCTCACCCCCTCATACCTGTTCGACGAGGACGCGATCCACTTCCACAAGACGATCAAGGACGTGTGCGACCGGCATGACCGCGCCTACTACCCGCGCTTCAAGAAGTGGTGCGACGACTACTTCAACAACAAGCACCGCTCCGAGTCGCGCGGCATCGGCGGCATCTTCTTCGACGACCTGGACGAGACGGAGAAGGACCAGGAGCAGCTCTTCGCCTTCGTGCAGGACTGCCTGCGCGCCTTCGTCCCGCAGTACCGCCCCATCATCGAGCGCCGCAAGGACATGCCCTTCACCGACGCCGAGAAGAACTGGCAGCAGATCCGCCGCGGCCGCTACGTCGAGTTCAACCTCGTGCACGACCGCGGCACCAGCTTCGGCCTCAACACCCCCGGCAGCCGCGTCGAGAGCATCCTCATGAGCTTGCCCCTCACCGCGAGGTGGCAGTACATGCACGAGCCCGAGAGGGGGAGCAGGGAGGAGCGCTTGCTGAACGTCTTGAAGTCGCCGCAGGAGTGGGTGTAGTAGAGAGAGAAAACTCGACCCCCCCTCCCCCCCTCCGCCCATCCTTGTCAGGGAGCGGGACGGGACGTGCCAGGCTCCCTCCTCTTTTCTTGTTGTCCTCTTTCTAATACTTGTAAATAATCGTCGTCACTTGTTACGTCTCTCCCTTTTTAGCTGCGGCGCAAGGTCCATGGGGTGGTGGGTGTGAGGTCTGCGTGGCATGGGCTCTATCTCCGGTATCTGTATGTATATATGTGCAATGAAAGTGGCAGAGCAGAGGATGTGGTGGGTGGGTGGGTGGATGTATGAGATAGCGCGGAAATTATAGTCCCGCGTTGCATATCGAGTGGAAACAGGGACGAGTTGAAGGAAAAAACTTGAAAATAATTTTAAATCAAGGAACGAAGGCATCTTGCTTTGCTACCTGATCGTGATTGTTATCAAGCTTGAGGATGGAAGAAACGAACTGTGATAACCCGATGTTGATCTTGGTCTACTGTTTCCTGGTCGAAGGGCCTGCGGAGACTGCGGAGTCTAAGTCGGACCATTCCCGGATATTAAAAGGCATAGCCATAGTTCCCCTAGAAAGCTAGGATGGATTCTCTCTGGATAGCTTATAAAACAGACGAATTAATATATCCCGCCTACATCTTGATATTTACAATTTAAATGGCTAGCTAAGGCCCCGAACGAATAGTCTCTCTCCGTAATCTAGACCTTATATACATGACTAATTACATAAACTAGTCAGAAGTTTCATTCGCTCGCCCACTGATCTTGAATCCCCTCCTGTCAGGCATTACCCCTGGTCGGTGGGCGGCTCTGGAAGCTAAACTCTAGTTGAACTAAGATTGGTCCGGTTGTGGCTGGTTTGTCCGGGTACATCAGCTATAAGTCTGGCGTAGTATTTCGTGGTCACGTTGGACGCCGTGCAGCACGTCTTGTACGTTTCAGTCTCTAGATGGACATGGTTTGAAAAGCTTCTGTGAGCGGAAACAGTAGTTGTGATTGAAGCCGATTTCCGTAATGCGGTAGCCCTAGACAAGACACGAGGATAACACCCTTTCCACACATGCATAACGCGGTGCCTGACCATTTGATGTCAGTGCCAGACTGTTTCTCCCAGTTCACATTGTGATTATGTATCTACAAGCTTTCATGATTGTGGTTGAAGACCGGACATTGGGTAGAGTTCTAACTTCCCGCAATGAGACTTCTGGTCGATCTGGATTTAGGCCACTGCCAGTTGAGAACGGCCTGGCTGTTGAAGAAATCGTGCATAGCACTGTGCTAGTGGAGATTAAGGATAATTGAGGTATGAAAGATTGTGAATATCCTCAAACCAGAGATTGCTGTGAACTTTGGATTTATCCCCGGTTTCCTGTGGATCCAAGTCCTCTCGAAGCAAGTGCAAAGTGGCACTGATTTTGGCGAAGGCCTCGCGTATCCACCAAGCGGCTAACAGGCGGCGCAGCGCCTCCAAGCCAACTCTGGACTTTGCGAGCTGTAGGCAGGTCTAAGCAAGTAAGGCAACCCTTGACATACTCTGCGGTGCCTGCGCAAGCCTGTAGACGCCCGCTATAAGAAAACGAGTCAATTTCAGGCTCCGTGTCTACCACCTTTCCCACAAGCAGGCCAATCGTGGTTGGCTGTCTGGAGGTAGCTGGATGGTGTCCAGAATGACTCTCATAGACTGCGCTGCTAATTGCTGTGGGAGAATATCGTCACTCAAACCCAAATGGAACAATTCCGCAATCCTGCTGAGAAAAGTCTCTCAGCCAAGGCCAGTCCTCGAGCAGTTCGGGCGGCAGTTGAAATTGTGACATTGTGTCCATGCTACTGGCAGGCATTAAAGGTGTGCGATGAGTGGGCACAGCGGCTGTGAGGTCGGCAATGGTGTTCTGGAAAGGTGTCTGCGGAATTGCATTGCGCTGCATACGCATGTACTCGTCAATACGATCCACTTGGGAGCGTAGGCCTCGACTGGTGCCTTGGGTGCGGTACAGGCCCGATTCCAGGCTTTCAAGGAGATCTGCCATAGACAGCCTGATGTGAATCAGTAGGGGCAGGTTGTGAAACACGTGTCTCAGTCATCGTAGGCGTGGCGATGACGCCAGTCAAGTTGAACTTACAGCATACTTCGAACGTGCTGGTAAGACGCCTCGGATAGTGGACTCTCCATGACCGAACCCAAGATTGCTCCTATGCCCGCAAGGTGGTAGATCTAAAAATCAGCTCATGTAATACAAGACGTAGCAATAGCACTCACCAATGGCGTGCTGATCGCTTTCATGTACGGCACAGGCACACGGTGGAAGGTTGACAAAAGCTCAGCAGCGACGTTGCATTTCTGCTCGACGTCTGCGTTCTCCTCGACAGAAAAGAGAACCATACGCAAGAGTTGCATGGTAGCTTGGATGTTGGCGGCCTGGAAACCGAAAATGTCTTTGCAAGAGTCACCAGTCACGGGGGGTATCTCCTTGAAGCGAGTATGCAGCTGCGAGTACATGTCGAGGACTGATTGCAGAACGCCCGGGCCAGAAAAGGCCTCGGGCGTAAAGAACATGCGTACAGGGCGCAGCGCAGCACTGGCATTGCGATGGGATCGGAGACGGCTGACGATGTGTTCAAGCACACGATAGAGATCCGTGGTGAAATTCCAGCCGTGCAGCCAACAAGAAGGGTCAGTGAGGCCGGGCGAAGCGGCATGCAGTTGGTCGCCGTCGGCCTCGGCAGGATAGCGCACGTGACAATGAGCCTCGCGGGGGTACAAGGGGCCACTCCAAACAACGGAAGAGTAGACATCGAGGGTGTAGGTGGACCAGAACAGGCGACGTCTCTCCTCGCGCTCAATGGAGGTGATGTCCTTGGGCCAGTGTACCTCATCGGAAAAGCGCTGGATGGCACAGAGGGTGAAGAAGTGGCCCTTGTACTCATGCAAGGACTCGATCTTGCCGAACTGGATACTGGCAATTGCAACCAAAGCGCACGCTCGAAGGTAGTGCAGACCGATTGCGGCAGGGAGATCCTTCGGGATGGCGTCCTTGGCAGCAGTATAGAAGGTCTCGGCAGGAATATCGTCCAGCTGGGTGCGGTGGGTGATCCAGGGAGCGAGAGCGCCGTCTCTGGCCCTGCTTGCGGCTATGGAGCAGGCGGCCATGATGGAGGCAAAGAAGCCACGGTCGTGGAGATATTCACGCTTCTGGAGATGGCGGAGCAGGGTCTCGCGGTGGAAGAAGGGAAAGATGGGGTAGACGATTTGGTGGTAGATTTCCATCAGCGAGCGGATCGAGGGCCCTGTCGACGGCTTGTCAGCAAGGCGGCGGCGGCAGCGGCAGCTGGCCGAGGAGCTTACCGCAGGCCACGGCGAAGGACTTCCATGCCTCGCCAGGAGGATCGGGTGTGTACGAGACAAGATGGCGGTCGGGAGTCTTGGGCGGGGCAGGCTCAACACTGGGCGGGGCAGCGTAGGAGGGCAGGGCCTGGGAGGCGGCGGGCGTCTGGGTGTACTGAGCCGGGCTGGGGTGGGAGTCGGAGGGAGTGCTGTGTGCGACGCTGGAGGCCGACTGTTTTACGGCGGGATTGGAGCTGCGAGCGCGGCGCCACGGGCGGGTGTAGGAGCAGGTAATGTCGAAGTCGACGCAGTTCTGGCAGCGCTGGGCATCGCTCTCGCTGCCCTTGCACCGTATGCTCCGCTTGTGGCAGAAGTCACCTGCGCGTCGGCGGGGTCAGACGCGAGGCGGACGCGTTGAGGGGGCCAGGGGGGCTTGGGGGCTTGGGGGCTTGGGGGCTTGGGGCTTACAGGCGCGGGAGGCGCGTTGGAGCTTCTTGGGGCGGCCATCGGGCATCTAGAACGGATTGCTGGAAGCGCGCCTGAACGGCAATGCGAACTGGCGTCTGGGGAAAATTGGTGTTGGTGAGTGGTCTGAGAGCGGCCGGTGGAGCCACCCCGGACTGGTGCGTGCGCTTGACGCAACGGACGGAGTGCTGTTCGCGGACCGAACGGGCGGCGGCGATGCTGGGCGGACGGCGGGCGTGAGGCGTTGTTGCGTGCTCCTTCATCCTGACCATGTGCATCTGGCTAGTCCGATACCCCCTGTCCACAGCTGTGCAGGCTGGATCCGCAATGTTGGCCAGCCCAGTGGGTGTTTGAACCAGCAGCAGGCGCAAGCGGGACTGTGTACGATTTCCCACGCGGACCACTGCACATGGTGGTGTTCTAACCACGCCCTGATTTAGGCTATAGCGGGTGGTCACAGCCGTCAAGGGGGTCTACCAGCAACTGGCGGGTATTAGGCCAGCCAAACACGGGCTAGCCGAGAGTTCCATCAAACCCCGCCAGCCGGCGCCCGCTCCGACTCCTGCTCGCATTACGCCCACCACTCGACTCGTGCTGCACCAAGACCCCCGCCACCCACGGCAGCTGTTCTACACGTATGCTCTTCCATTTCCTCGCACAGTCTCGCCTGGGCCCAGCTCTTCCAGTAGCTGCCAGGCTCTGTGCCATCACTCTCTGACCGTCGATCCAACGACACCATGCTTCTGTGCTTTAGACGTTGCGGCTTCCGTTTGGATCCTGTCAAGACTCACTGACGTCTCGGTTTCCACAAGAATGCCGCCGTGCTCCCTGTACGCCTGCTCCATCTTCCAGCTGAATGGACTTGAGCTCGAGAACAGCGCATCGATCGACTCGAGCGACCTGTCGGCTGTTTCAGGGTAGACTGCAGCCAACATCAGCTTCCTGTGCGTCCGGGGGGCATAAAACATACAGAGGTATATGACTGGGATCCATATCAAGTTGAGCCCAGCAAGCAGGAAGTACGTTCGGTTCTTGAGAGCCGCGAGCACCAGCGGGTTGACAAGCACCGTCCACCCAACCCCGACTGCCCACCCGGTGATGCCGAACCCATTGCCCTGCGCACGCATGTCAGAAGACCAAATCTCTGTGGGAACCAGGAATGCCACTGTCCCCCAAGTTGCCGCATAGCAAATGTTAAAGAGGAACAGCATTGTCACGGCTGCTGGTGCGAGCTGCGTCGCCAGCTCCGGCCGCCACCGCACTGCCTCGTACAGGCTCCCAGCGATGACATTCACAGCGAACAGCCCTGCTGCTCCGCCCATTAAGCACATGCGACGCCCAAGACGATCGACTATCTGCGCACTGATGATGGTGCCTGCTATGCCAACCGTGTTTACACCTCCTGCCAGTCCGCTCTGCATGAGTGTCGAGTAGCCCGCTTGCGATAGGAGCACTGGTGCGTATGCAGTCACAACCTTTTGACAGTTAGCTCAAACGCGTTGAAAAGAATGAATGCTCACCGTTATTCCAGTCCACGATGCCATGATCTGAAGCAACATGCACAGCCAAGCACGCCGACCCAGATGATGACCTGTTTTTCCACCCTTCCCGACCAGGATCTTGGCAAACTGGAGTGGCGAGCTCTTCTTGCTTTTCTTCGCAACAACAACAATCTCGACATATTCCATTTCCACTTCTGCATCGTAGCTGCCGCGGAGATGCTCTAGAACTTCTCTGGCTTCGTCGTGCCTTCCGGCAATTGCGAGGTAGCGAGGACTATCTGGTAGCATCTTGACGCCAGCAAGCAAAAGAAGTGCCGGGAGGCATTGAAAGGCGAGCAGAAGGCGCCACCGGATATCCGAATATCCATTGTCGATGAATGAAAGGCCGAAATTAAGCCAATACGCGACCGAGATACCAAGATCTGAAAACATTGTAAGTGAACGTCTGAAGGCTGATCCCCACGTGTGCCTACAATTGGCAATGAAAACGTATCCAAGAAAGCTTCCACGATGCGAAGCTGTAGACGTTTCGGAAACAAGGACTGGCGTAATTCCAGTCAAGGCCCCGGTCCCAAGGCCTGTAACGACGCGGGCCACGAGGATGAAATCGCTCGATTGCGTGGCAGCCTGCAAGGCGCCTCCAATGAGAGCAAAGATGGATCCAACGAAGAGCCTAGTGTCTTATCAGCACTCGAAGCCTTTTCCAGGATTGTATGCACGTGCCCGTTGATTCGTCCAACCCTGTCGGCAACCCAGCCGCCAGCAAAACAGCCAGCGATGCAACCGAGGTAGTACACCGAAACAATGCCTCCTTGATGAACCCTGTCTGTTATGACGCCATTCGGCCGACCAATGTCCACTTCTTGTACATATCTGGGCGAGGCGTTGACACCTCCCATAACGCCCTGATCATATCCCTCGAAGAACATGCTAATCAGAGAGAATATCTGGATGGATATATTCAAATTTCCAGGGGTCAAGCGCTTCCAAAGCGTTGTGTAGCCCATGGTGCCCGGCTTGCGTTGTTAGGCGGGAATGTGAATGGGCAAGAGAAACAAATTTCAGGCGAATGAACCCGCCAACGCTGGGGTCTCAACTATGCGTTTGAACGTGGTTGCACACCAGAAGCCCCTTCCTGTTTTCTCAGGAAACTCACTGACAGAAGCACGCGCTCTCGGTCACACCAGCCTCATCTCAGACTGGCTGCTCCTCTCTTGCTAACGCAGGGACCGGGCGGCGCGATCCGACAACGTGGGTGGTGGGGATGGGTTCGGCGAGTCTGATGTGCGGGCGATCAGATGTCGTCCAGTTGGGAGCGGGAAGGATTCTTCGGCAACACTTGCCGATTAACCGCTTTGCCGTCGCTCACGATACATGCACCTTATTCGTCCGCCTAGCGGTTCGTCTGCTAAACGTTAATACGGATACACCCTGCGCCCATATTTCCCCACGTTCTTCCTTGCTACTTACCGGGTCCCAGCATGGCGGACCGCTCGACGGCCGTTTGGGTTGGAAGGGGCTAGTCGTCCGGCGAGACCGTCTGCACCAACTGTCTCAAAACCCGTCTTTATCGCAAACAATGAAACATGTGCCTCTGGTCAAGCATCGGGCTGGCAGGCTTCTCGTCATTTGCTTCACCTAGTCTTTTCTACACACCTGGTCAACAGGTTTCCGACCAACTCCTGCCGGAGGCAACCAACCGTTGAGAAGCGAAAATGATGTCAAACCTACTAGCGGCTTCCGTGCCGAGTCTGACAACAATGCATTGTTCATCCGCCCCTTTTGCGTCGAACAATAATCTGGAACAATGGCTTTCATAAAGAACAATCCAGACGAGTCGCAATGTATAAGTGCGACAGGTATTCAATCACCTTTCTTATCATCCTCAGGACGCTGTCGCAACTACTGCACGGAGCGTATAGGCATCTACACTCCGTTCAGTCCTACCATCAAACCGACCTTCATTAACAGGTACTCACCAGCCCCAGCATTTCCAATATGGCAGCGCTCGAAGGGAACCTCATTGTCATGATCGCCATTTGTTCGGTTCTCTTCGGTTCTTACATCAGCTTCCAGGTCTACAATGTAGTCACGCTCTTTCGCACAGCGCGGCTTGCGAGGCAAGGTAGCCGTGATCCCGAGCTAGGCGCCAACAACCCTTCCAGCACGACCGGCAACGCTCCACCCCAGGCGGGCATCGAGCTCAAGAAATTGCCCCCGAATCCTTTCTCCAGGACCAACACTTCTTTCCTTGACCCCCGCACTCCCCCGCCTGTCCCCTCCATCAGAATCACCACCACCACCACCACCACCACCACCACTCCCCGTCGTCCCGCCGCCTCATCACCGTTGACGGATGCGACCACCACTTCCCCATGCCACCCCAGCCCCACCTACCACCACTGCTCTCGCGACGGCCGCCCCTGCACAATCTCGTGCTGCAGCGACCCGTTCGATCTCGAGGCGCTCGTCTCGTCGCCGCACTCCCTCCAGTCGCGCGACGCATACAGCCCGCCCGGCCTTCTCGCAAGCCCCCCGCCGACACCCGCGCCGAGGCGGCTGACGATACGCGAGAGGAGACTGACCCCGCTTCACGCCCCTACTAGCAATGGCGATGGCAGCAGCAGCAGCAGCAGCGATGGGCGTAGCGTCGTCTCGCCGCCCACCGCGCCCGACGATGCGTTCTCGGTCGGCAGTGATGACGACGACGACCTCGCCAGTGATAGGACGGGGGTCATTCCGTGTAAGTTCTCTGGGGAGATCTCACTGCCGCCGTCGCCACCGCCGCCTTTAGCTGGTCTGGGGGATGATGGCAGCGATGATGACGATGATGATGATAGAGCGATCTCCGGACTGGAGAATGTGGAGTTGGATGAGGCGTGGCCGATGCCCTACCACCACATTCCAGACCACATCCGGCTCTGCAGATACACTGTCTGAGGGGGAGAGAATGAGGCTTAGAGTGTGAGTACGAGAGGGGTGGTAGTTTGTCTCAATACATAAATTTGACTATATTTGCAACGTCTCTTTTTCGTCTGATGTTTTATCTTGTGGCCTTGTTGTGGCCTTTGTGAGTTGTTGATAGCCCAAGTGACTTTGCAGTATTGTACATGACAATAGCTTTACCCAAAACGCTTACCGGCTCAGAATACCACATCACAAATTCATCTCCAAACCGTTTTTTTTCTTCCTTTTTTTTTTTTTTTTGCATATTAGGCCATAGCAATGGATTCGTTACTACCTCGACTATTTACCTCTACTCTCATCAACGCCTTCCCAGAATGCCGCTGAACCACTACACAAAAACTGCACCGAATTTTCTTTCTTTCTCCAGAATCTAACGCACTTCTTCTCCTCTCTACATCCCCCTTCCCCCTCGCTCTCCCATCTCATATCACCACCACTTCCCCATCGCCACCCGTAGGCCACCTCCCCCTCTTCCCCTCCCCCCTCTTCCGCCTCAGATCCTCCTCGCCCTCCCACAGCGCCAGCCGCAGCCGCGCATGGAACGCCTCGATCGCGCCGACGCACCGCTGCCGTTCCTCGTCCAGCGACCGCACGGCCGTGTGGATGGCCACGGCCGTCCTGCCTCCGTTGTTGTTGTTGTTGTTATTCTTCCGGACGAGGAAGAACTGCCCCTGCCCCTCTCCCTGCTCCTGCTGGACCCAGTGGTTGGCGCTCGCCGCCTCGGCCAGGTTCCGCACGCACAGCCGGCGCGCCTCGGCGAATGGGTACGTCGTCTGCTCTTCGGGAAGCGGGTCCGGGTCGGTAGCCGGGTAGGGCGAAAAGGCGAAGGCGTTGACAGAAGCGTCCTCGTCGTCGGGGTTGGCGTTGGCGATGGCGATGATGCCGGAGGCGACGAAGAGGCTGAAGGCCCTGAAGGCGTCGATGCGCTGGACGGCGCCCCTGGCGCGGCCGGTGCGGCGGTGGAGGTGGGCGGCCGGCAGGACGGTGGCGGCGACGGCGTCGAAGACGAGCGCGAGCATGTGCAGGACGTGCGGCTGTTCGAGGAGGCCCGAGTGGGTGATGAGGAGTTCCGTCGCGCCGTGCATGGCGTCGAGCATCGTTGAGAGGAGGGCGTCGACGACGGCGACGCTGCCGGCGTCGGAGAGGCTGTACTGGCAGCTTTGGTAGTCGAGTTTCTCGAGGATGGGGCGGGACGCTTGCAGGAGGGGTTTGGCGAGGATCCAGCCGGCGGTCGTCTTGAATGCTTGTTCGATGTACGCGGGGAATATGCCGCACAGCAGGACTTGTCGGAGAGTTGGCTTCCTGGCATCGCCTTGCTCGGGCTTCCCGACGGTTGCTGTGCAGAGCTGATTGGCGAGATATGCCTGCTCATTGTCGACAGCGGCACGCTCCGAGACGTTCTGAATGAACGAGACTAGTTGCTTGAGGGTCTTTTGTTCCAGAAGTTTTGGCGCGTAACTCTTCAATCTGCCCACCACATAGGTCGGGTCCGTTGCGGGTAAGGGGAAAGCGCTTGAGTCAGTGAAAAATTGATCGACTGGACAAATTTCGTGTGTGTGCTGCTGAAGGAACTCGACTACGTTGTGAACGAACTCCACATAGGCGCCCTTGATGGCAGAGCTTTGTCCCAGGTCAAGATAGTTCTTCTTCATAGCAGCCATGAACTGTCTTATGAGGCCCGCATAGCCCCTACGAAGTCCTGGAAGATCATTATGGCCAGCATACATGGCTCCTTCATAATCGTCCCGCATGTTGGACAATACGCTTGAAATCAAGGCCAAGCGCCGCTGACGAAACTCGGATAACTTGATGTCGACACGGCTGCTTTTTGGGTCCACCAAGAAGGGTAGGTTTCTGAGGAGCGGATGACCTGGATCTCTGTTGATGAGGCTTGTCGTGAGCCGGTGCTGAAACTTTAGTGTAGACTCGCGCTCAACGAGCGACAAGAACCAGGACAGGAATATGCCGTCCTTGTTTTCGTCATAGCTGTGCGCATCCTGATCCAGGACCATCGCCATGAAAAGCGCCGTGTATCGACGTGTCTGCTCAGTATCCTGTAGTTGGCGCCACGAGTTTGCGTGGTATGGGTCAAGAAAATTGGACCATCCTCTTTGGCCTATACGAACCAAATGATGCGCGATCATTGTCCATGTCTCCATTACCTTTATGAGAAGCGCATCGTCGGGTGCGGTGTCGGCACCAAAACAGCTCGAGACCAGCTGCCATACGGCGTCATGTAGGAAGTCGATGGAAGACAGTGAAACAGTTGTGCTGCTGATGACTGTAGGTTCAATGTCCTCAAGGCTGAAGCCGCTTCCGTAGTCCTGGCTGTCTTCACTGGCTTGCTGGCTTTCTCCGTGATTGTCTTGGTTCCGAAGGAGCCTGAGGCAAGCCTGGAAGACTTCTAGCACTTCCGCAATGAGCCTACCAACTTGAGTATTCTTGGCGTCGAACAGTTTGAAGGCATCAGCAATTGCGGACTTGTGAAGCAACGAGATAGCGGTTCCGGTTTCACGAGCTGTTGCCATTGCCGCTTTCATACCGTACACAGCATCTCCGAGTGTGGCCACTATTTGTGCCTGGTTGTTCTTGATGGTCAACTGGAGTTGCTCTGCTGAGACGTTATCGTTCCCTGACGATCGCGCAGCTTCGTATTGACTCTCGGCCTCGGATCTGGCCAGTCTGTACTGGATCAAGTTCTGAGAGATGATCTCCTTGAACCATTCCGCGAATGGCATCAGAGGCTCGTTTCCTTCGGTAGTAGATATCTGATACCTGACAAGGTTCGACCAAGCTCGCACGCTGAGACGGCAAACCTCTCTATGGGATCTAGTTTGGTCCACAAGATTGCGTAGGGAGGTTAACCGTGGTCGAAATCCTGGCGGTGAGACCCAGTATAGGGTGCACAGTAGGTCATGCTGGTTACGCAGCCCATCTAAATCCTCTTGTCTCAAGTCTTCTTCCTTGTGATAGGTCCGCCGGTGATTTGGCACTAGCCTCCAGGCAATACTCTGAATCTGCCTTTCTGTGCAAATCCGTCGCAAACACTGGAAACCTACAGCCAGAATTCTCAAGAAAATGTGGAAGGCCGTATCATCAGGTTGTACATCTAATCGAGGATGTTGGTGCAAATCCTCTAGGAAGCGCGGTGAGCCCTTGCTTTCCTCGTTTTGTAGATGATTGAAACCTCGACGCGAGAAAAAATCAAAGACTGAAGTCAGTAGAGAATCACATTTTTTCCAGCCCCAGACATGAACGAGATTGTAACATCTCGTGAGGCAGGCTCGGACGTAAACGTTGATGGACGCTCCGTTAGTCCGTACTGTTTCGGGGTAGAGTGTGAAAAGCCGGTTGATCATTGGCACGGCTGCTGCCCAATCGCCCTGAGTGGAATGAAGACAATGCTCTGGCTTGACAAGACCGCTCGAATCGATTTCCAAATACGGAAGTAGGCCGAAGACATTGTACCAAAAGCGCTCGAACGATTGGACGTGGCAACACTTGGCGATTGAAGAAGTCCATTCGTCCTTGACAAGGTCCCAGAATGATTGCTGTGGCGTTCCGCGAGCGAGGAGCATATGATTGACCATAACAACAGTTTCGACAGCAACCCTGTCCTCACGTATGCCTTGTTCGCGAGCAGTGTGACGGCGGTTCTCATCAATGTAACTTCGAAGCTCACCCATGCCCTTTCGTAAGACAGACTGGAGGGCTGGCTTCACGAGAGATATGAACAGTGAGTTTGTGCTTGCTTTCCCAGGAACGAAGGTTTGTTGTTGATCCGCAACTTGCGTTACTTGGAGCGCCAGCAATGCCAGCATTACCGACAGACGTAATCGCATTTTCTGATTGCCATCATCTTGAATCGGGTTGTCGGATAGGTTGGCGAGGTCTGCAAGGATGCTCCCCGACGCTGAGTCGAGCAGATTTTGCATTCTCGACACAAACGGACGACGGTCGATGGGGTCCAAAAAATGTAGAGTTGTCGAGAAGTATTTAGAAATGTTTCTCAAGACACAAAGAAAATCAATCAGAGCCATGGGTAGAGAACGGTCGGATGAGTCCTCCGTTCGATTCTGGGCATTTTCGAGGCGACTGGCAGTCGATGATAGGAGGGACGCCATTTCGGAGGCTACTTCTTCCGTCCAAGCACCCCATCGGAAGACTGTACCCTCGTGACTGAAGGTGGAAAGACCGGTAGGCGCATCCATGTCGCGGCAGCCAGAATTTAGCGCCTGTTGGAATTCGCCACTGCCTATCATTGTACTTTCGTGGAAGAATGTCCCGGACCACAGTCGAGAAACGTCAAAATCCATAGGATACCGAGTACCGTATAGCCCAAGGCCTTCCAGCCGAGGGGCCTCAGTGACGGTGGTCTGTAATGGAGGTGAAGAAAGTCGTTCCTGAATGTGCGGTACGGGGTCGCTGGGCTGCCTGAACTCCCGGGTTTCAACGTCGATGCGTCGGACTTTCGCTTTCAGCCTTCTTCTTGGCTTGGGTAGAGGTCGGGGATCCTCGTGTTCGACGCTGGGAATGACTACGGTTGGTTCGGGATGAGGATCCGGTAAAGGTGTAATTTCATCCTTATCTTGAAGAAACCTTTCCAGTCGGGGGTTCCTCGACTGGCCTGTCCAAGCGTCCCGAAATTGTATTTTATTGGCGCTGACATACATGCGGTCCAATTGCGAAAGCTTTCTGCGAAAGGCAACCACACGGTCTCGGGATTCATGCTCATTTTCAGATCTCTCCAATTGAGCTGTTCTGTAACCTGGCTGCTTTGGCTTCGGTTGGAGAGATGGGGGTCTATGCGCAATACTGAATTTTGGCTTTGATTTGCGAGATTTGGAGGAAGGGTTTGGCGATGCATCTCTGGGTATTGCTATCGGGTTGAGTTTCATTTGACGCATCATAGAATGATCGGTGTTGACTCTACCGCCTTCAGGACCAGACAATTCGCTCCTGCTCGGAGAGCCATCGTCCCTCTGAAGCTTCTCAGGTGCTGGCAGACGCTTTTGGCGATACTGGCCGTGTACATCCAGGATGCATTTGTGAAGAGGTGGTTGCGTCGTTTGAGGATTTGCATTGTTCCTCGTTGAGGGTTTGATTTTACTCGCACGCCAGTCACGAAGCGCGAGGTTCGCATCTTCAGTATCAGCCTCAGTCTGCAGCCTAATGAGCTTGTTGGTTGGACTGTGCCTGCCTTTGTTCGGATGTTGCCGCGCTTGACGAGCAGCGATCTTGAGGAATTGGGGGACTCTTGCAGTTCCTTCCTTATTCAGAAGTGGGGCATCAAGGATGCTCAGTTCTGGAGCCCGGCTTCTAGGCACACGTCTCGACCGCTGACCGTTGGTGGCCTTTGACTTGGATTTCCCAGGGCGTGCCCCCCTGGAATGGAGAGGTCGGTCTGATTTGTCAAGGCGATGCGACTCTGCCCGGGTACCCATCGTGTCCGTCAGCTTTAGTTGTCGTTTCTTCCCATGCTTCTTTCTGACACTCTGGCGTGGGGCCGGGGGTAACATTGGGTCAATCCAGTCATGTTCCTGAATTTCAAAAGCACCCATATCATCAAAGCTGTCAACAAAGCCAAGATCCGCTTCAAGGTTTTGCCGTGGCTGAGGCATACTCGCTGAAGCCGAATCGCTACCGGATTCACTAAGATCATCCTGGATAACGATCGGGTCTACGTTTCTTTGCCGAGTCGAGGGACCTGGACTTGCACGGCGAGATATTATTCTTGGAATACCTGGGCGAGGAGAAGCATCGGAGATCGGTCTTTGGTAATGCAAAGGCTCTGAGGGTGGTTTTCGAGTCGCTTGAGCCTGTTGGTCCAGCCTCAGCCATGATGCAGGAAGAACGCCCTTGATTCGTTTCTTCGCTTGTTCAAGGCTTTTTTCTCCATATTCATTGCTATTTCCCTCATCTCCTTCATCGGAAGACGATTCAGAAGACAAAACCGTGACAGAAGCCGTGCGCTGAAGTCCCCGGTGGCGTGCAGTACTGATGGGCGGTTCGTCATCAGAATCAGAATCCACAGATCTCACTTGAACCGGCTTTCTCGTAGATGACGTAGCTGGCGTTGACGGCAGCGGTAGCCGAATCGGAGGTAGGTGTCGCAGCTGTGGGGGGCGATGGGCTTTTCGAAGCTGTTCATTCTGATATGGAAGATTCTCGGAAGTGGGTGGGGAGAGCGGAGCTTCAAATAGCGTGTTGATTTGTTGCGTTTGATATGCGTTGCTGGCCCGCGGTGGGTGATGCACGGAGCTGGTCCTGTTGAGTGATCCCTTCTTGGAAAAAGTGTGCAGTATCTTCCGCCGCTTGAAGCCCTGCTGGACACTTCCGTCATGCTTCCTGTGCAAGAGTACACTCAAATCTGGAAACTCGAAGTCTTCATCATCGATGTCCATGCACGCATCGCTCAGACTGGTCCGAGGATTTGGTTGGGCCGGCAGTGATGTTGTCCGTTCCAGATTTGGTGGTGAAGACGGCAGTTCGATGGGGGAGCTGTGCCTTACACTACTCAATTGAGTGTGATCAGCCACAAAATCTCTATCTTGAGAATCTAGCTCTTGGCTTTCCCCGTGGTTCGGCCTGTCCTGCTTTTCGTGGTGCTTTTGATGCTCTAGGGCAACATGCACAGGCTTCAACCCTCTGGACTTGAAATTCCGGTCCCATTGTACAGCCTCCAGAGCGTATGGATGTAGCTGGATGGGGTTCCGTTTCCTCAACGCCCGTCCCATCCGAATCTTCTCGGCAATCGCTTCGTCGAACTGGATTGCTTCCCGTGGAGGTATCACTACTTGAACCAACTGCCGAGGTCCATTCTTATTCTGCTCTTGTGGGTGTCGCCCTGACGGAAGTAGCGGCGGCGATGATGTGAGATAATCAGGAGGCTCGATGTCAGATCTGGCGTCACTTAAAGGGCTCGAAAAGGCAGAGATGTTGTCTTGCTGCAATTCGTCCACGGCATCGTTTTCGTGCGTTGGAGTAAGCGGTCTCGGGAGACCAACTTGCGGGACATGTCCTGGGGTAGAAGTCAATTGCTCGTCGGAAAAGAGCTGAGTGGAGAGGGATTTCCCTGCATGCGCATGCGTGGGGCTCCCAGTGGCAATCTCGGAGCTAGGATGACCGGCGATTGGAATACCATCCGACGAAACAGGCAGATTAGGGTTGGCGGCATGGGCGCTGCGATTCGTATGAGGACCCCTTTGCCGAGAGAAAGTGTCCGTTCGGGGCGTGGGCGAGCTATTTCCATTGGTGGTATTAAGACGCAGGCGAGGCCCATTAAGTACCCTGTTTTGTGAGCTGTCCAGGGAGAGTTCATCCTGGCTTCCTAGAGGAACTATGGCTTCGCCTTTCGGTGTCAGAGAACGGTCCGACTCGGAATCTGCAGCCGCCTCAGGATGTTCAAGGGAAGAAGCCTTGGTCTCCGATGGCTTCGGCGTCGAGTCGTCCAGGTCAAGATCATCTTCCTCATCTGAGTCCGCCACGTAACCTTTGATGCGCCACTGCGACATGGAGACGGGTTGGCATAGCGGTGGCTCACCAGAAGCTGTAGGGCCAAAGGTACGTGTGTTGTCGTACTGCAGCCGGGGGGCAACGGCAAGGTAAAGCCGGTCCGGGGGCAACGCGCGACGCGTCCTCGCGTCGCATGTGGCTGGTGTTGCTTATCGATAAGGCGCTGACTAAGTAAATTGCCTTTCTGATTTTCGAAGGCGTCACCACTGCGACAACGTCACTCCATCTCGATTTGCCGCAACATGTCGAGTTTCAACAGCAGGATAATACCTTTGATCATTGTGACAGGCGTAGGCATCTGGAATGGTATGCACCCGGCCCGCTCACTCGGGCATCAGTGCAGTTTCTGATAGCACGGCGTAGGCATGTACGTGTTTGAGCCCGCCTTCAAAGAGCAGCAAGAACAGAGAGAAAAAACATTCGAAAAGCAGCAGTACGTGTGGCATGGCTTGTATCAAACACATCATCTCTGACGTGGAGCAGTGCAAGTTCGGAAATTGAGGGATCCCAAGAATTAGCGACGCAAGATTTTGCCGCAAAGACACCAAGTGCCAATCCCGCAGACAGACAAAATGATGCCCTGGCGTTTTCTCAGCAGCCTGTAACGCCAAATGATGCCTCAGGCTCGAGTTCATGGTTCAAAAATTGGGGCTTAGCCTGGCCAGGCAGCAGAGCAAACGGTGAGGCGGAGCAACCCAAGCATAACCCAGCGAAGTCTTTGGTCCACCACCCATCCGCGCCCAACCCTCAAGACAAGTCGGAAGACTAGCAGAGAAGACATTATTGCTGTATGAATATCATTCCCGTGGCCCAACTGTGCTAGGAGCCGATTTCTACCACTATCTCTCAGTTGTCTCCCGCAGTCACGTGCTCACGGGAGACCTTCACTGTCCACCATGGTCAACCTGTAGTGCTGCATAAAGCTGCTGTTGTAAGTGCAGACACCCGAATCAACATGCGATCAGTTTTGCGAGAGTGAAATGACTGATAGCTGGACAGTCTGGCGGTGCGTGTCAGCTGACGGCAGTGCTCTGAACTGCACTATTCCACCTCCCCACGACCCACCCACCAATTCTCCCAGTCACAAACCTCACCATATTTCCCACACCAACAATCGAGGGCATGCGAACCTGTGATGCAAACATTTGAACTGTCCACCTGAACACATCTGTCGAATATTGACGCTTCTGAGTGGACCCGACTTCTCCACGTCCATCGTCCATCTCAAGCCACGACCACCTTGACAGCGGGTGTCTAGATTGCAATATTCTGAGGAGCGCGTGCATCTTCAGTGATCCACCAGGCTTTACCGAGCATGAAAGTACATTGTACGTCTCCCACCGTCGTCGCGGCCACCGCTACTTTGCTTGTCCATTAATCCTCTCAGAGCTGCCTGAGGGACGTCCTGGGTCCTCTGGCCTTCTCTACCCAATCAGACGACTGTTTTAACACGCCCACAGCGCCTCTTCTGGACTTTCGTTGGTTCGGTGGCCCAGTCCAGCCAGGACGAGAAGAGCCGATCGGTGCCAGACGTAGGTGGGGTGGGCGAGAGGTAGGAGGTGCATCAGCGGGAGGCCGCCAAGACTGGGCCTCGCTTCCCACCTTATAAGCCCAGCACCCCCCCTCAGGCCTGCTCTTCCGCTTCCTCCCCACCTCCTACCAAACTTCACTGACTCTTTTCACCAGCCACTTCTTGTCTTAGTCCAGTCTTCTTTGCGTTGCCAAGACGACGGAGGTCTGTGCATCAACTCCCTTGTCGTTGCTGCTCTCCCTCATGAGACTCTGAGCCACCTCCGCAGAGTCACATGCCTACCATGCCGTCCTCAATGCCGCATCGGGCTCACACGTCTGCCATCCGCAACGACTCTCATGTCGAACGTGCCCTTCGCAATGCGCACGATATCAGCATCGAGGCCGCCCCGTCAGCCGATTTCCTGCTCTTCCCAGACAAGACTGCGAACATGTTGCCGCCTTGGGTCTCATCACACCCATCCATGTCGCCCAATGGAAAGAAGCTCATGGAACAACCCCAACATCCCTCACGAAAAGTTGGAGTCGTAGCTATGCCGCCCGACAGATCGACATGCCCTCCCAAAGGGTACGCACCAGTATCTGACTCACGAGAGGCCCGAATTATGCCAAGAGCAGCCCCTCATCGCCGCGAACGGTGTACTGGGTCGCTGCTCTGTCATAGCAAGCCCATTTCGAAACCAAAAAGATGCAATGTTCCACAAGGCACCAAACCTAGGCACGTGATGCCATACTGGACGTCGTCTCCACGGAGTCGGCACCTGCCAATGCTCGACCCGCTGCCGCCACAGCTTGGTTCCCTCGCAGTTCCCTCATGTGGTTCACGCTACGACGTGGAGCCAAGCTTCGCTTCGGTCCAATCCATGTGTGGATCGCGGAGCCCATCGTCCGAGTTGGGTTATGCCGAAGCTGGGTACGGGGAGTCCTCGTCGATACAAACAGCGACGAACCAGTCACCCGATGGGAGTGACATCGACGGTCCTTGTTCGCCTCCCCCTACTCCAAAACCAGAACGTCTTCCCACTCCCGATCTCCCGTCAACCGAAGCTCTTTCATTTTGCAACTGTTGTACCACAGCAGATGCAGGCCAGTGCGAAGCTTGTACACTTTTCCAGAATAGGAATTTGCAAAGGAACTTCGATCTTTTTGGCGTCGGATCCATGTTCGATTGAATCTATTCTTTCCTCGTGTAGATTGTTACGGCGTTGGCGTTGGGGCGATTTGATTCGATGTACAGCCTGAAAGAGACGGCAACAGACAGACCGGTACGCGGGAAGGTTCGAGCGAGGGTAATGAGATTACGAAAACATGGTTGACATAGGTTGGCTGTGGGGGTAGCACAAACTGGTTTCCTTGCTAGTCGCCCAAAAATGAGAGTTAACATACGAGAACCTAAGGTTCAAACAAAGGAAATACACGTGCGCGCAACTAGAGCATTAAAAAGGGCGGCATGCCGGAGATCAGCTGTTTGCTCACCTGGCGGTTGACATCATCCAATCTGTGCCCGCATCATTGCGTGCTTTGTCTTGTTGTTGCAGTGCAACTTGGCGACGAAACCGTTGCAATCAGGTCGTGTGGAAAGCCCCATGGCTATCCATCATGACCGCCCTTCGCTGGCATAGCCGTGGTTTGCGAGAGGCTCTGCCTTCTTCAACCCACCTCTTATGTCTTTCCACTGTCCACTACGAAATAGCGGCCGACCTTGCGTTCAGCATGAGCAAGCACATCCCAGTCCTCTGCGCCTTTGGTGTCTACGGGTCCCTCTTTCCTTTCTATTCTTTTGTAATGCTTCCCGCGCACAACTTCCTGATCTAGGGCCTCCTTGAGCGAGTGTAAGGATATTTTGGTCTCATCCTCAACAGCGCGTGTCTCATCCCGGATAGCACGTAGTGGGGATACGCCTTCGGTGTTGACTTCTTGGATGGCGCGCACGAAGTGGAGCTGTGACCGCAGGGTCTTTAACATTCTCGCCTCCTCTACCGTATCTCTAGGTTCAGGTAGTGCAGAGAGATTGAGGAGATGTCGCAACTGCTTTGGAGTGATGTCTGGTGCATCGGTGGGTTGAGCTTCGGCAGGAAGCAGTGTCTTGACCGACCATGTGGGCTGGGCTAGGAGGGCTTCGATGTCTTTGGCACTCTTTGTGGAGGAGTATCGCAATGAGACCAGCGGTGATATGGATGACAGCGGTCGTACGGATGCAGAAGCGCTCGCACACCTCGCGCTTTGCGCAAGCGGGCGTATTTTGATCATGTCGCTACGGCGGCCGTGTTAGTGTTTCTTTGCGCCCATTGGCATGCTTTCTGACGAAGCATGAAATATTCATGAGTGCGCTCTATGATCCATACCGAAGATTCTGGCTCCACAAGACAGTTGGTGTCGGCTTCGTCAAAGCGGAATGTTTAAACGGATGATGTCGCTGGAGAGGTGAGGTTCACGGTTCCTTATCGATAGGCTGTCGGGCGTGGACCAAGTGGGCTGCGACTGCCGCTGCCTCGTAATGGTTCCAAGACCAACACCGCCCCTCCACCACGCACTGCGACTCTACTACCATCACCCGCCGAGATCTCAGAGCCATCCTTTCTGATACACCCGCATACCAACCTCCCTACGCCCTACGCACACCATGGCCACACAGGACCCCCGCGCATTGCTGCAGAAGGTACTAAAGCCGCCTCAGAGACCAGCTCGGCGAATGCTCACAGCTCCCCGCAGGCCGAGAAGGCGGTCGCCTCGGCCGGTTCAGGCTTCAGTCTGTTCGGCGGCCGTGGAGAAAAGTACGAGAATGCTGCGGAACTGTACATCCAGGCCGCAAACGCATTCAGAATGCAGAAGCAGGGTGAGCCGAGCCCCGCAGCCCGCCCGGGCGCAAACGCATGGCACTAAGCAGCTGTTTCGCATAGGCAAGGAAGCCGGCCTGGCATTTGAGCGCGCCGCTGCGATCCAGCAGAACAACCTGAACGAGCCGGATGACGCAGCGAACACCATGACCGAGGCCTTCAAGACGTACAGGAAGACGGACCCCGAAGATGCCGCTCGCTGTCTCGAAGTCGCCATCAACCACTACACTTTGAAGGGTAATTTCAGGCGGGCGGCCACATGGAAGCAGAACATTGCGGAGTTGTTCGAGGTTGAGCTTGGCGATCAGAAGCGTGCTATGGAGGCATACGAGACTGCTGCTGGCTGGTACGAGCAGGACAATGCCGAAGCGTGAGTGTCTGCTACCGGGGTTCCGATCCGGCCATTGGCTGACAGTTCTTACAGGTTGGCGAACAAGCTGTTCCTCAAGGTCGGCGACCTTGCGGCTCTGGAGGGAGACTACTACAAGGCGATTGAGAACTTCGAGCGTGTCGCCAAGTCAAGCATCAACAACAATCTCATGAAGTGGTCGGTCAAGGAATACCTGTTGAAGGGAGGGATCTGCCATCTCGCAACCAACGTAAGGATGAAGGAGACAGCTTTGGCCTGACGAACTCGGTACTGACATCACCTAGGATATGGTTGGCGCCAGGCGGGCAATGGAGAGCTACCACGACCTCGACCACACCTTCTCATCGACTCGGGAGTCCATGCTTCTCAATGATCTTGCCGAAGCAGTGGAGGGCGGTGACCAGGAGCTTTTCTCCGAGAAGCTTTTCCAGTTCGATCAGCTGTCGAAGCTTGACAAGTGGAAGACGACTCTGCTTCTCCGCGTAAAGGGCAACATTGAGAAGCAGGAAGAAGACTTCTCGTAGGCGAAGAAACAAGATAGCTACGCCGAGGTAAATCTCATTGGAAGCAGCACGTATTTGAATACCAGCGAAGACAGGAGACTTGTCTATTCACTCATGCCAGAGTTGCAAACGGGCGTTCTTGCAGCTTTTCGTTCATTTGGTTCTGTGCGGAGTTACGAATACATGACTTTTGCAGACAGCACCTTCAATTCTCGCACGTTCAGTCGGTTCAATTTGCCGACACGCTGAGATACTGACCACCAGACGCCCATGATCATAAGCACGGGAAACGCGAAGAGAAACGATTTGGTATTGCTGTCTAGTTGTCAGGTATTGCCTTGGCTGCCCTTTTGGGCAGACTAAAAAGGACGATGAATAAGGCAGTGCAGCACAGAGGGACATATCTAGGTCCCCGACTCTGCAATGCTTGCTCCATGCCGGACGCGACTCCTACGGCACTTGGAGATCTACCATAAGCATCTATCAGGCAATACCTAGTAGTTCCCAAACGCCCAACATCATTACGACAAGCGTAGATTCGGAAGCGACGTTGCATGCAGCGATAAGGACCCTGCAGGAAGGCGGCCAAGCCATGTACGTCATCAGTAACTCATAGAGCATTCCAAAATGCTTCCTTGCTTCACATCACCCAAACGAATGCAATTTCTCAGCTAGACGGCTGGCAAGCTACTCCGCCACTCTCACAGTCCTTTGACCCAACCCAACGCCAAGAAGCGATCCACTCCAGCACTCAAACCATGTCCAAGATGCTTTCAGGGCACATGCCCTGGTCCCACAACGACGAAGGGCAGGGAAAACAGCAAGAAGAAGATGGCCAATCCCTCACCACCGTACTGGAGACGCCCGAGCTCCGCGGCGAGCTCACGCTCCTGCTCGCCAACTGCCTCGCGTCGATGCGCGCCACCATCACCGACGCCTTCGACGCACGCTTCGACAGCGCCGACTCGCAACCAGAAGCAGACCTGACGGGCGACGACGCGCTCCGCAACCCCAACCTGGACGCGGGCAGCGTCGACGTCGAGGCGCTGGACAAGCAGCGCAGGGAGCGCGAGAAGCGAGAGAAGGAGCTCTCGGCGCCGGCGATGCAGGAGCTCAAGAGGGCGGCGCTCGGCTTCTTCGACGACTGGCGCGACGCGGTGCTGGCGCGCGTCGGCGAGGTCGTCAACTCAAAGGAGACGGCGCAGGGCCAGAAGAAGAAGGCGGTCGCGGCGTCGGCGCCGAAGGAGGGCACGAGGCAGCGGACGCTGTCGTCGTCGTCGTCGAGGTCGTCGCAGCCGGACGAGGCGGTGGGTAGGGCGTTGAAGGAATTGTACCCGCCGATCGAGACGCCGCTTGTCGAGCTGGGAGAGGAGAGGAGAGCGTTGGTGTTGCATTCGATGCTGCTGTTGCTTCTGAGCTTGGAGAATTATTCGGCGCATTCGAGGATCCTGCTGCTGTATTTGGCGAGCAGCTTGCGACTGGGTGTTGAGTTTCTGACCGACGATGAGAAGAAGGTGGCGAGAGGCCTGCTGGAGGCGGCTCATAAGATGTCGGCGGAAGAAGAGACGAAGAAGAAGGCCGAGGAGAATGCTACAAGCCGCAAGTGGAAGGTCGGGCTGGCTTCCGTCGCTGGTGCCGCTGTCGTGGGCATCACTGGCGGTTTGGCCGCCCCTCTGTTGGCTGCCGGGTTAGGTATGTTGACAGTGGCTTGCAAGCACCCCTCATCCATACAGCTAACTAATTTTTCTTAGGCTCCGTAATGGGTGGACTCGGTTTAGGTGCCACTGCTGCAGCTGGCTACTTGGGAGCGGTGGCTTCCAGCAGCGTCATCGTGGGCGGCCTTTTCGGTGCCTACGGCGGCCGCATGACAGGCAAGATGATGGACCAATACGCCAAAGAGATCTCAGACTTCGGCTTCGTCCCCATTCAAGAGTTCCACCGCCCGCGCAAGCTCGACAAGGAGCACCGGCGTCTACGCGTCGCGATCGGCATTTCGGGCTGGCTGACCAACAAGGACGAAGTGGTCGAGCCGTGGCGTGTCATCGCGCCGTCCATCGAGGGCTTCGCGCTGCGGTACGAGCTCGAGGCAATGCTAAATCTTGGTAACGCGCTCATCGGCATGGTCAAGAGCGCAGCGTGGGGCTACGCTAAGAGCGAGATCATCAAACGCACCGTCTTCGCCAGCCTGACGGCTGCCCTCTGGCCCATCGGCCTGCTCAAGATCAGCCGCGTCGTCGACAACCCGTTCAGCGTGGCCAAGGCCCGCAGCGAAATGGCCGGCCAGGTGCTCGCTGACGCCCTCATCAACCGCGCCCAGGGCGAGCGCCCCGTCACCCTCGTCGGCTACTCGCTCGGCGCCCGAGTCATCTACTCCTGCTTGCAGACCCTCGCCGAGCGCAAAGCCTTCGGCTTGGTCGAGAGCGTCGTCATGCTCGGCGCGCCCACGCCGTCCACCGCCGGCGACTGGCGCCGTATGCGTAGCGTCGTGTCCGGCCGCGTTGTTAACGTCTACTCTACTAACGACTACATCCTTGCTTTCCTGTATCGCACGTCCAGCATCCAATATGGTGTGGCGGGTCTGCAGAAGGTCGAAGGCGTGAGGGGAGTTGAGAACGTGGACGTCAGCGACATGGTCTCGGGTCATACGCGCTACCGGTATCTGGCGGGTCGGATTCTCAAGAAGATTGGCTTCGAGGACGTCGACTTGGTGGAGGTAGAGAGGGAGGAGCAAGAGATGCGGAAGGCCGAGGAGGAGGAGAAGAAAGAGGCTAAAGGACAGAAGAAGGAGGATGGGGAAGGCAAGGATGCGGATGAAGAAGCTAAAGCCTTGGAAAAGGAGGTGGAGACGAAGAGTCAGCAAAGTCTAATGGAATGGACGACTGAGAAGCTGCGGCTGGGCGGAGGAAAGAGTGCAGGCAAGAAGGATGAGAAGGTGGAGACACAGACGGCGATGTGAGAAGATACACAGAGGAGCCAGATGCGGCTCCAGATTAATGAGCATAGACACGATATCTAATGAGCACACATTATGCCCACAGCGGGTTACGAAACATTGATTTTTCGGTACCCTATGCAGGACAACACCTTCCCCTCCCCCCCTGTTTTTTCTTTAGCATGAACAGTTGAAGCGACTTCCTGGGCATACATGAGCCATATGAGCTCCATAGCCTTGCAAACACGTTCAGATAGTAGGACTCCACTGTCAACGTAAGTAGGGTGCAACATCTCCATGGGGTAGATGCAGATAGGCTACGGTTGTTCCTTTGCAATTCACTGTTCGATGGATGTTGGTCAAAAGATGTCATTGATGAAACGCTTCCCAGCTTGCCTCCTTCTGGTCTTCCTGAACGCCGTCTTCGAGAGTAAATCATACAATCCCACGCTGAATATGTACCGGATCACCGGAACTTGCTGACAATAACCGCAATGATAAGAAGAACAAGAGCAGTGATGATTGCAATTGTAATCACCCGATTCGTAGCCATCCTGTGAATAGATATTGTATCAGCAAGAGGGTTCTTGACAGAGGGCCAGATGTGGGTTAACAGGGAGACAGTACCTACGAGCCATCCCCCTCAGCGTCTTAATACTCCTGTCGGTGTAGCTCTCACTCTCCAGCAAATTCTGCCTCGTTCTCTCAATGGTCTCCCTCTGCGAGGCCAGGTCTGCCAGCGTGTTGCGACCGATATCCTCAGTCTCCAGAGCAATGCGGTGGCTGTCCCTCAGACGACCGCTGCTACGCTCCAAACGATCGGTGCCCGAAAGCAGCTGTTGGCGCTGCTCGAGCTGGTCATCGGCCGTAGGGTTGTCCGAGTAGCGGTTGCCGAACAAGGCACGGCGGTCCGACGCCAGCGACGTCAGCTTGCGGCCAAGGTCGTCGACATCCTGCTGCAGGTTGCGGAAGCGCTGGTTGACCTTGTTCTTGGCGGGCCCGGGGATGTTGGGCTTCTCGATGCGCATTTGGTCGAGCTGCGGCGGGTGTTTGTTAGTGTCGGGCCTGGCCTCGTCTCCCGCATCCATGCCCGAGTCTTACCAGCTCCTTCGCCTCCTCCTGGGCACGCTCGGCCTGCCGTATCGCGGCTTTCCTGGGCTCGCCGGACAGCTCGGGGATCTGGTCGAGCTTCTGCTGGAGGTCCGCCTGGACCAGCTTGAGCTCGGCTTCGTAGCTGGCGAAGCGCTCCGAGCCGGCCTCTGAGTCCATGATGTCCGCCATGATTGCTGCTTTCGATGCTGCGTCAATCTAGACTAGCGGTGAACAGTCGCAGCCCGCTTCTGTCGGGACAAAGAATGCTCTCTCCTCGGAGTGGCTGGTGCCTGGTGTGGAGACGGGCGGGTTGCGCGGATGGTGGAAGGTGCGGTCGTGAGTCGTGACAGAGGCGAGCGCGCGAGGGTCCAGCACGAGCGAAGCCGATCGACAGAAGATGCGGGGGGTATCTCGAGGTTGGCGGTGGGGTCGTCACGCAGCGTGGTTGGCGTCGAGCGGTGGCCAAGCGGAGGAGGTGGAATGTCGCCGCGGCCGGAGTCGCTGGCCGTTCCTGGCTTGGGCCTTGGCGCGCCCCCAGCGCCCGATCCCTGCTGCTGCGTCCAATGCACCACCCCCTGCTGCATTCCGCTTTGCGATCGTTTTAGTAGTGTTCCGAGACTTGCCTTCGCTGGTCCTCAGTCCTCTTTCTCTCCGACCATCTTCCTCAGACAGCCTTTTATTCTTTGATCCCGCGGTTGTCTGTCTCTCACCTTCATAGCCGGATGATGTCAGCACCTGCTGCTTCTGGAAGTCAGTCCCACTCTTGATCGCGAACAGCCACGAAACAATCAACACCATGGAAAAGAAAAGGATTGCAGTTGTGGGCAGCGGCATCACCGGCATTGGCGCTCTCTATGCCCTTCGAGATACCCCTCATGAAGTGCACCTCTTTGAGGCCGCCGACCGCCTGGGCGGCCACACCAACACCGTGCAGTTCAGTTATGAAGACCGCAAGACTCCAGTCGACACCGGCTTCATTGTGCTTAACACTGCCACTTACCGTGAGTCGGTCTTTGTGTATGGACGGGCTTTTGTTGATTTCGTCAAGCAAACTTCATCGCATTCCTCAAGGACATCAACGTTGAGACGGTGGAAACTGCCATGACTTTTGGCATCTCCCGAGACGAGGGAGCATTCGAGTGGTCAGGCACCTCGCTCCCGTCCATCTTTGCTCAACGTCGAAACCTTCTCCGCCTCTCCCATTGGCGTATGATTTTCGACATTATCCGCTTCAACCAGTTCGCTCTCGATCTTCTCCAGGATGACGCTGGTGTCGACCTTGACCTTAGCATCGGAGAGTATCTAGATCGCGAGGGATATTCCGACAGCTTCAGAGATGACTACTTGATTCCTATGACTGCCTGCGTATGGAGCACCGGTGCCGATAAATGCGCTCTGGAGTTCCCTGCTCTGACCTTGATTCGCTTCCTCTGGAACCATCATCTCCTTAGCACCATCAGCGTACGACCGCCATGGTTGACGGTAAAAGATGGCGCCCGGTCCTACATCAATGCAGTCATGCGGCACTTCCCATCCGACAGGATTCATCTGTCGGCTGCTGTCAAGAGCGTTGCGAACGAGGATGGCAAGGTGGTTATCGAGCTCCCAAACGGCCAACGAGACATCTTCGACGACGTTATTCTAGCATGCCACGGCGACCAGGCCAGAAGCATAATCTCCGCGTCCGCCACAACCGAGGAAAAAGAGATCATGAGCGCCTTCCACACAAGCCCCAACACCGTCTTCTTGCACTCAGACCTGGCACTCATGCCCCGTCGTGAGGCTGCCTGGTCGTCCTGGAACTACCTCACGACAAGCTCTCCGACGGCACTGAGACCCAAGGTGTCTAATCCATCAGCCCCCAAAGGTTCCTCGTCAGGCGCGCTAAGCACAGTGTCTCTAACGTACAACATGAACATTTTGCAGCACATTCCTGTATCAGAGTACGGCCACGTGCTTGTCACCATGAACCCGCCGCACATGCCAAGGCCTGAGCTTACGCAGGCAGCTATTCAATATGCGCACCCGCTGTACACTGCCGCAGTAGTAAAATCCCAGGAGCTGCTTCCTACAATTCAAGGCACGAGGGGCATCTGGTATGCTGGTGCCTGGACTGGCTATGGTTTCCATGAGGACGGATTTGTATCTGGAATAAGAGTGGCTTGTGAGGGTCTGGGTGGCGATGTGCCATGGAAGAGGGTCGAGACGAAGTTCATTAGAGGCAATAAGCCTCATTTCACAATGAAGGATTACATAGTCCGCATCCTCGTTGCTATCCTCTTGATATGGATTAGATTGGTGGAGAATGCGGTGGCATTGGTCGGAACCTGGTGGGGTAGCACAAGGAAGGGCAAGGTTGCATGAGTGTTCAGATAATAAAGCGAACCGGTGTCAAATACCATAGAACCTCTTCCCGTTGTTAGACCCTGAGGCGTAGCAAAACCCTTATATCTTCCATCATGTTCATGTCTTCCCTAACGCGAAGTTGTTAGGGTCATTATGTGTGTTTGAATACCTCGTCTGGGCAAGCCGTCGCCGGTCTAAGCGCGATCGATGCCGGCGCCGGTGTCCTCTACAACGAGAACTGACTCTGAAAACTCAATGCTTACATAGGACCCAGTACCCACATTGAGTTCCTCAGAAAAGCAAGTCGTCTTGCAGATGGCCGTTATTGGGAGCAAGCTGATCCTTCGGTGGGTGCATGTAGCGGGTTCATGCTTGCTGAAAGCCGAAAGGCCCTTGCGAGAGAAGTGGGAGTCTGGTTATTTGAAGTCCATAGCTTAGACTTCAACCATTTCCAATATCTTGGCACACCTTTTGTAGTTGCCGCAGAGTGGTTACTGTCTCCGGCCCTAGTTCTTCGCCACCAGCTGCTGGCTTGTTGAAACGACCGTATCTTAGATCACTAAGATCACTGACAACGTTCTTGAGGTCGTTTAACACGGCTTCGGTTTCTTCCTCGATTCCCGCAATCTCCACTTCAATGTCCCGCTCAGCTTGTTCCATATCCTCAGCGACCGCCTCCGCTGTCCTCTTCTTCGGCCTGCCTGCAGTCACACGCGCAGTAGCGCCAGCGCGCCCGTGTAGGTCCTCTTCCATTTTGACGTCCATCTCCTCCTGGCGCGTGAGGCCGGCGGCAGCGCTGTCGGCAGCTTCATCGCGCCTCCGTGCTCGTGCAACCTCGCGCGCCTGCCGTTCGCCACGTTTGCATTCAGCGGTAATATTGCGCTTCACGTCATCGGTATCAATGGCACGCTGGTGCTGTAGCTCGCGGTACAGCCTGGGTATGGCGGGATTGGACTGGTGGGCGCGCGGGAAGAGGTCGGTGAATTGGCGCAGGGTGATGATGGTTTGGAGCGGCGCGGGAGGGAGCAGAAAGTTGGAGAGGATCGAGGACTCGTTCGGGGCCATGGTCGCGGCGGAGAGGAGCAGTGCGAGGGTAGAGAGTACCGCAGGTCCGAGTGTGGGCGTGAGTGACGCGTTGGTGGCGGACGCGCCGTGGAACAAGCGAGGACGGGAGTCGACGCGTCGGGGCGTCCCCCAGCAGAAAGCCGCTTTCTTCGCTCCTTCCTGCGCAGCCATACCCGTAACCACGTGAACGCCGCATCAAGACTCTGCCTCGAAAACTTCCTTCCGACCCGCTACTGCCTCGTTGGTCTTGTCTCCCGTCAACTTCATCCTCGCGCCGCCCCTTCGCGCACTCGTCATGGCGCCTGCATCACAGCCTATGTTTTCCAAGGACGAGAAAGCGCTGTGCTTCCATCACGAGCTTCTCTACGAGGCCAAAGTTCTTGATGTAAAGGCGTTAGATCCCAACGACAAGAAGAGCGCGTATCTTTACAAAGTCCATTACAAAGGCTGGAAGGCCACGTAAGTACGCTCCCTTTCACCGGTCCCGTCACCGCTCCATGGCTAGCTGCAGCCGCGTCTCCTTGTCCTCACTTCGCTGCTGCTCGCCGACCATCACCCCGTTCACCTGAAACAACCTCCGGGCCCGTTTGCTACGCCGCTCTTGATGTGCGAGTCCCCGGCTTCTGGGACTTCATTCGCCACAGCTTCACTTCCAAAAGCCTTAGCATGTCGCTCGACCGTGACTTCGACGTTGCTAATAAACGTGCTAGGTGGGACGATTGGGTTCCGCAGGATCGGCTGCGTAAGCTGAACGACGAGAACCGCGAGCTAGCCAACAACCTCAAGAAAGAGTTGGAAGCCATGCGCCGCGGCTCTCAGGCCCAGAAGACGGCGGCGACTTCGCACAAGAAGAAGCCCGAAGCCGGCTCCGCACGTGGCAGCGAGGGTCGTGAGACGCCTGTGGCATCAACGAGTCTTGCTGGCCGCAAGAGGGGCAGAGACTTCGAGGTCGAGAGGGTAGGTGACCTCACTTTCACTTCGCGTCACCCTATTTCCTATTGTTCGCGCTTCAACGTCCTATTGTCACCATTATTCTATTGTACCTATTTCGCACATGCTTCGTTATATGCCCGCGCCGTTCTTTCGTTTCGCTCTTGCTCTCCGGTACCTTCAAACTTTTCCATTCCTCCGAATCGTTCAGCATCGCTATGGCTCCCACCTGTCGTTCTGCGAATCCTGAGCGAGTTCAGGTCCTGGCCGTCGAGGAATCCCAGTCGGGGAAACGGTCCACGCAGAGAAAAGGGAAGAGCCAGGGAAAGCAACCCCCCGAAGGAAAGAGTACTCCGAAAGAGAAGGGGCCCAAGAAGAGAAAGAGAAATGAGCTGGGGAACGAAGCTGAGATGATGGGGCGGCCAGCTAAGGGGGCCAAGCTTGTCAATCAGCGGCGTACAACAGCCCGTTTGACCGTCCTCAAAAACTGGGGCAGAAGTGGAACTGGCGATTCTGATGTACTTCAATCTGCGTTGCTGTTCTGCACTACTTTTGGCATGTTTCGCATGAGTACTTGCTAATACTTGCACAACAGGAAGAGACTTTCCGCACAAGGCCAGCCATCCGCCTTCACATGCCCGACAGGCTCAAGTCGCTCCTGGTTGACGACTGGGAGAACATTACTAAGAACCTTCAACTTATCAACATTCCAGTCAAGGTTCCCGTCAGCGCTATCCTAGACATGTATGAAGATCAGGAATCGCCCAAGCGGATCCCAGGCAGCGCGGAAGCCGACATCCTCGAGGAAATTATCGCTGGTGTCAAGGAGTACTTCAATAAAGCTCTTGGCCGCATCCTCCTTTACCGGTTTGAACGCGACCAGTACCTGGAGATCTACAAGCGGACGGAGAGCCCCACGGACGCACTGGCGGGCAAGACGATGTGCGAGATCTACGGTGGCGAGCATCTGCTCCGTCTCTTCGGTACGTGAAACACCATGGTCCAGATGATCGTCTATATGAAGTCAGCAGAGGTGTGCCGGTGTGGCAGTGTGGCAATGTCGCTTGATGCTTGGCAAGACGTGTTGGCCTCCTGGTGGGGGCTGTTGGGTTGGGTGATTAGTTATTCCCGAGTGCCAAGGCTGACCCTGCTGAACAGTGTCATTACCGGAGCTGATCGCACAAACGAACATGGACCCTCAGTCAGTGAACCGGCTCCGCGAAGAGCTCGTCAAGATCACCATGTGGCTCAACAAGGATGAAACGGTGGGCAAGGTGTTCGTGTCGGAATATGAATCGCCTGGCGTGGAGTATGTCGACAAAGCCAAGGGCGACGAGAAGCGCTGATGGGGCGTGGGGAAAAGCAGAGAGGTAGCACAGCCAGGCGGGGCGGGCTTGCAACGGCTGGCGCGTGCTCCTGCACTGGACGTTTTTGGTTTTCGTGGAGGCGCATCGGGCGTTCGCGTGGCAACTGGGGCCATTGCGTGGACAGTGAGAAGGGTCCACTGGTAACTGACACGATGTGATTTCTGAGTTTTCCTGTTCCCCGAGATTTTCTGCAGAGGCCCCTGCCCGGTGGCCTGTTACTACCGTTGGCGTGGGATTGGGTCCCGTTCGGCAGCGCGCACGGGCTTGGCATTACCATAAGTCACAACAGGCGGACAGGTCTCCAGCAAACTTCGTGTTGGCTGGGCCGTTTGATGAATGGCGGGTCGTTCCGGACAGGGGCAGGCAACCAAAAGTCACACCAGGTGCCAGGCTCTTCTAGCCAGCAGCGTGGGGTTTGAGGCAGGCCAGGAACCATAGTTGAGCAGAAACGTAGGTCGAAAATGCCCATGAAACGAGCCAACAGTGGTACGGCAGCCAGGGAACAGTCGCGCATGACAGAAGCCACGGCGTGGACGATGGCGGCTGGCGCCGGAGCACCTGGTGGTGCGTGTCGCGGCGAGGTACCCGCGACCGGGGCCGACAAACCATCGGGCGCGCTTCCCCGGGGCGTGAAGGGGGGGGAGTGCTGGCGGCCGGCTTTGGCATGGCGAGTGGCACCAGCAGCCTCACGTTTTGGATGGGCAATTACCGAGGCGGCGGGTAGGGCCATCGGCTACGGAGCCAAGGGCGGCAGGGATGCGGCGGGATGGACTCGGCGGGCGGCGATCGTTGGACTCGTCTGGTCTCGAGCAGAGACAGAGACACACAGAGACAGGCTCGCCGCATCGGGCCACGAGCAGGCGGCATGCGCAGGCGCAAGCCACAGCGGTGCCGCGCCCACAGGCTGCCGCATCGGCGGGCTAGGTGCTGGGGCAGGCGGAGCAAAAGGCCAGCGGGCGCCGCGAAGATTCGCCGTGGGCTGTCGCCGTCCAGGTCGCCGTCAGCCGTCAGCCTCCGTCAACAGCGCGGCCGGTCCGGAGGCCGGATGCTCTGCGACGATCCCGCATCCCGGTGACGTGGGCGACAGGCCACTTCGCTCGCACACCAGGCTTGATTCGGCGGCGCAGTCTCCGCTTGCGCTCGCAGCCGCCTAATCAGCCGGCCATTATTGATGAGCTTCACATAACCCCCGCGCCTCAAAATCCTCCCAGCCCATGATCCGCGCCGCGCTTACCTCGACCCCCAGCTCCCGTGCGGCCCTTTTCAGCTGCCAAACCCCCGTTGCGTTTTCTGCACGCCCGCCGCCACGCATCCCAGCCCGACGGTCTATTCTTATTCAGCACACTGCCGACGTACTGGTGCCCGTACCTTCCTTGCACCTCACCTGCTTATCTTTTCTTGCCTCCCGGGACCCAGCGAGCTCCAGCCCGCTGCTCCACGCTGCCTCTGGTCCGCCGCCCATGCTACCATGAACTTCTCGTCGAGTCCTGAGAGCCAATTCCACGCCTGCTACTCATAGCCACCCTCGACCCGAGTCCTTGTCTCTCCTTCTCACTCTCGCCGCGCCCCGTCCCCGTCGCGACTCGCACCATGAGCCTTTCCCTCAAGGAGGAGTCGTGGATATGGTACTCGCTCGTCATCTTCGTGGCCGCCGCCCGCTTTGCTTCGCGCATCCTGCTGTTTCGCGGCGACCTGCGGAAGCTTCAGATCGACGACTTCATCATAGCCCTAGCCCTCTGCTCGTACACGACTTTAATTGTAACCATCAACATCGTCGCCTTCACCGAAAGCAACCTCCTGCCTCCCGGATTCGACATGGACTCTTTGACGCCCCCCAATGTTGCCGAGCGAAGGTTCGGCAGCAAACTGGTGCTCGTCGTTGAGCAGTGCCAATGCGTGACCATTTGGGCGGTCAAGGTCAGTACACCGCTGCGGGGATTGACGCGCGCGCTCGTCGGACGTGATAGGCAGCAACCTGCGCCGACTCCCATTCCGGCCGACGACGCAGCGCCCCCACCCTCAAGCGCGCATCTTTGCTGGTAATTTCATGCTGACCCTGGTCCCAGGCGTGCCTTCTGATCATGTACTATCGCCTCACGTATGTTTCCACTCCTTCCTTGGCGCCGATGCCACCATGCTGACTTTTCGTGCCGCAGCATTGCCCTAAAGGAAAACATTGCGGTGAAAATACTCTCCATCTACGTCGCCTTTGGTTTCATTTTCATGGAGATCTTCTACTTTGGCGTGTGGTGTCGGCCTTTCCCCAACTACTGGGCTGTTCCGACCCCAAACACGCAGTGCAACGCCGCGACGAATCACCTCATCACGAATGCCGTCTTCAACATTTCCTCGGATCTGTTCCTCCTCGTTCTCGCCCTCCAGATGATCATCCGGAGCCGTCTCCCCATGCACCGGAAATTGGTTGTCAGCCTGATCTTTGGCATTGCCGTCTTTGTGATCCTTGCATCGATACTAAACAAGTACTACTCGTTCACAAACCCGTTTGGGGGCTTGTGGACGTATTGGTACACCCGAGAAAGTAGCACATCGCTCCTCGTGGCCAACCTCCCGTACACGTGGACGCTTCTCAGGCGCCTGTTCAACCTAAGATCGTTCGACGGCCGGTCGTCAGGCACAGGGACCGCGACAGAGAATGGAAGCCGCTTCAATTACCACTCAAACCGCACGGCTCGCGGTCGCCACGCATCTGTCCAGCCTAGCATGCTCAACGGCGAGCCAGTGTCGTCGCCACCATCTGCATTAACGACACCTAACGGAAAGCTTCTGCGCCGGTCAGATAGCCACACGGTCACCACACGCGGCTCGGTGGATTACGCCAACCGTCGCCACAGCGGTGCCCCAACGATGGGCGCTTCAAGCACTCTTGACAGCAGTCGCAGCTCGGCCGCGCGCTCCGACAAGCTGCTCCTCAAAACCTATCCTCACAACCACGAAGTATACGGGCGCGCCGACCAAGAGGCACTGAGCGTCGAGCCTTGGGATTTCGGCATAGACCTAGGCGGCAGCGTCGCGGAGGAGGCGGAAGAAGAGGAGGGAGCATACAGGGATCACACGAAGGACCGTGAGAAGCTGTTCAAGGACGCGTACATGGACATTGATCCCGCAAGACTGGGGCTCGACAGCGCCCACAGGGAGGCGGCAGACCTCCGCGAATTCGAGCGCGCCATGCTTCGGGGTGACGCGTGGGACGAGGAAGCTGCGATTGGCGGCGGCGAGGCCGCGATGGCAGCTTCTGCGCCTGTGCCCCATCTTTCGGGATCACGGCCGTCGAGCCGACCTGGAAGTTCAGATCGATCGACCACTACGGTCAAGTCACCGAGCTCACCGACGAAGAGTCTGCTGAAGGAGTAGCGGTAGCACCCTTCTCAGACCGAGCAGCGAGATGTCTACAGTTGTCCGACTTACACAGCGGGGTGTCTGGTGTACTTGATATTTTTCCTATCTTTTTCTCACTGCCCGATGCTTTGGTTCCTAGCGCCATGGCGCAGAAAGAGGTTCTGAGCTACAGTATTGTTTCTTTTTCTTTCAAGTCTTGATGATACCCTGGGTCTCGGGTTCCTAGCTTTTCTCACTCTAATTTACACGGGCTCGAACGAGAGAGCAAAATCGGGGTTGGCGTTTTTTCTCCCATGTCTTCCTTTTGTGTTTTACTTTCTTATACACGACGAAGCGGGAATGATAGCCAAGAGCCTTAGAGAGAGGATGAGGAAGGAGAGGTCGGGACCCCTTGTACAGAGACAGCATTCTAGACGGGAGCGCACAGGGCGGCGTGATGGTCGATGACGAGAACTTCAGAGGTCAAGATCAATTAGGCAAGAAACGACGTGGACCGCGGTCCGGTAGATGATGAAAAATAGAATCCTGACACGAGCGATGTTGCAAGAGCATGATGATGATGGTGATGATGATGATGAATGAGGATGTGAGGTGGTGGTTGCCTGTTGTGGCAAAGCCGGGGTTGGGCAGATCGCGTTTCGAATGTGATGTCATTGCGGCCCGAAAATGAGGGCCTTACCTAGTTCTTGCCTCGTCGCATGCCGTGCCGATGAAGAGGGGTGGATGGCGGGGGGCACAGGGGTGCCTGATGACGATGAAACCGGGTGGCCAAGGGGCGGTGTTTTGGCATGGGAGAGGAAGGTTGGCCCGTAGCAGCCCTACTCTCTACAGCTAAAGGAAACTGCAATTTCTCGTTGTGTGATTTGGTCCGCGTGGGGGCGGAATAGGAAGCTGGGCGGGCATGCGGTGGCCGACACACAGCTTTCACGTTCAACGGTCATACGACGTTTATTGTTGTGTGTGTGCGTGCGTGTGCGTGACGTGGAATTCTACTTTGAGATGGTGGAGTGCCTGGTTCAGACACGGAGCGTCAGCTTCGTGGGCATGGGCCGCGTGGTGTGATTAATAACCCAAAGGCTTTCTGTCTCCTTGCTTGGCTGTGCAACGGTAAGGTTCACAGCCAGAGCTAGGGCTAATCGCCGTGACACATGGCTACAGTTGTAAAATGTTACCGGATCGGCTGCGATGCTGCGATGCGAGGTGTTGGTCCCTGGCTTCAACGAGTAGCGTGCTCGCTTAAGGCAACTACTAGTCCCCATGCACGCCACAGAGGTATGAATTCCAGTGCCACTCCTTGTGGAAGACAAGGCTTGCGGAAGCATAGGCGTGCATATAATACTCACGATTGCAACACTCACAAACTTTTGGGTTGCTTCTCCTTGACACCCCTACAGGATCACGTCTCTTGAGGTCCCTCTCCATGTAAACCTTATCACGCACCAACAAGTGTTTCCCCAGCAGCGTGCTTGATTCGAGTAGCGCTATCATCTTCAAAATCACTTGAAATCCGTTGATCGTTACCCTACATGGTGGCTGCAGTATATGACGGTTGATCTTTCAACCACCACCATCAAAGCTTGGCATACCATCAGCAGTTCAGCTGTCTGACAACGTCTTCGATGGTCTAGTGGTGATGATTTCCGCTTGTCAAAGCATCTGCTCTAGCAAGCGCGGGAGACCGGGGTTCGGTGAGTCTTTACTGTTCGAATCCTCTTCAGTTCTTAATCTAACAGCGTTAACAGATTCCCCGTCGGAGAGATTCCATATTTTTTTGCTCTTTTTTTTTTCCTGAACGGGCCGACGTTCTTTCGCTTGTTTAACATCCCGAGCTATTACGTAATAACCCTTTTACTCCGCTCGCGAGCCATGTGTATGCATATGCATGTCTCGTTGAATTGGTGGTTGTTTTTTGTATATTCCCGCCTGCATCGTTGTTCCTCCCCCACCGGAGCATGGCATCTTGGTCGATACGGAGATATGTTGCAAAGAAAACGAGATGTAAACATGGTCTTAAGGGTGGGAAGAAAAGATTGTGCATAAATATCGGCATTGTCCCGTCGGCCTTGTGGGACCCGGCCTACTGCCGGCCCGAACCTTAGCCAAACACTGACCTCTACCCGTCGAGCCAATGCACAAACAAAACACCTCGGTCTCGTCCAAAGCAGATCCAGATCGACTATGCTGCGCCAGTATCGAGATTGTACACTGAGTTAGCATACCTGTTCATTGAGAGATCCGGAGATTCTTCCATTTATACCACGGGCCCCGGAGGCTGTGCCGGAATCCTCGAGCCATTGGAAGGGCTGTCGTTATGTATTCGGCGGCAGAGATGCTTGTCCTGGATCATACCCATACGACGAAGAGAAGATCCAGTCCCGGAGCAGAGACCCCGACTCCTACGAGAATTTTGTTGCAGCATTTGACGAAAACCGGGTAGGAGAGTGTGTCGGACGGTAATCGCAGACGGCAAGCGTCTTCAGAATATTTCCATGCTGCTTGCAAAACTTGGCAGACGGCAAACAAACCGGGGTGGCCACTCTCAATTACCTTTTCCAAGCTATCAGCGCCCAGTATAGTACATACAATTACAACAATGGTTTCCCTTTTGCTAATTGTACAGGAAAATACTGAACCGTATACCATAGTCAAACCTGATAACCACAGGAAAAAGCCTACCGTAGCGACTTTCAGATGTTACCAAAACTTACATAAGGATGTTTCCCTAAATGCCGATTCCCGAAGAAATCATAGCATGCATGCATGCCCTTTCTCGCGGGGGGATACAAAACCTCTCCTTCCCAGACTACTCCAACCGTAAAAAAAAAGAAAAACAAGAAAACGGCAGGAGTACGGAAGGAATTCTCGTAAAGGTGTGGAGTAAAACCAATCAAAGAACGCAGCACCCACCGCAAGCGTTGGACCCGCGGCGCCGCCCTAAGAGGAGAACTCGATAAGCCTCTTGCTACTGATGGTGAAGACGTTGCCGATGTTCCGGCCAACAGCCTCGAAGCGGATGAAGTCGCACGTCTGGCTCTCGAGGTGGTTGAACAAGGCGGCCAGGGTGGGGAACTTCTTGCCGCGGCAAGAGCCGTGCTTGTTCGGGCAGTGGTACAGCGGCGCCTGGTGGACGGGACTGAAGACGTGGCTTCGCAAACCGCTCGCGCGGCTGAAGACCTTGTGGCAAACGTAGCACTCGTAGCCGCTGTGGCCGTTCCACGCGCTCTTGGGATCCCACTGGGCGTTGCGGTCCGGCTCGGTCGCCCATCCGACCAGACGCTCCGTGATGATGCCGTCGGGATCGCGCTGCTTGATGGCCTCGTAGATTTTGGTGCGGCTGAGATTGCGGGCACGGGGGCATGAGCTGGTCTCTAGGTGGTGGGAGACGCCCGAGGCGGTGGTGAAGGCGGTTTTGCAGAAGGGGCAGGGGACGGTGGCGCCGCGGTGAAGGCGCGAGTTGCGGTGCTGGCGCAGGTTGTCTTCGCTCCGGAAGTACTTGTCGCAATCCTTGCAGTGGAGGTGTTTGTAGTGGCCCTCACGGTCCTGGTGCTTGTCACGGGCGGATGCCGAGCGGAAGGAGCGGCTGCACGTCTCGCAGTCATAGGGATAGGACCAGTGGTCCTTGTCGTCCATGTGCTCATCACAGGCGGATGCCGAGCGGAAGGAGTAGCTGCACGTCTCGCAGTCGTAAGGATAGGACCAGTGGTCCTCGTCGTCCATGTGCTCGTTGGCGAGCCACTCGGTAGAGAAGCGAGCTGTACAAGTGTCGCATTCATACTCCCAGATCCAGTGGTCGGTGTCGTCCATATGCCGATCGCAGGCCCTCTGGCTTGCAAAGTCTCTGTCACAGGTATCACACTCGTAGTCGTACATGTTGAGACGACAGCAATTGGAGGCGCCTGAAACGGAGAGAAAGCGAGGGCGACGAGGTATGGTGTTTGCCGTCTGTTGGGGACCGGAACTTAAATAAACACACTACGACCGAGCACCCGCGGGTAGCTGCTTCCCGAACCGGCCATATCATCCGGCAAGGGCCCAGGTTCCCCTCACATTATTATTGTTGTCAATCTAGGTTTCACCAACGGGATGACTTCCTGTACACCAATCAGCAGCTGCATCACCAGTATTGGACTGCAAATTGTTAAGCCCGACAAGTAGCAAAATCCATATTCGCGACCTTCTTGTGAGTAGGTATTAATCTCAACAGCTGTATAAACAATACATCCGCACGAGCCCCCCTTTTCGCCCACGACGAACCCTCACAGTTCCAAAATAACTGCGACGCCATGCCCAGAACGAAAACAAGAGATCCCCCAAATACTTCCAAATGACCAACAAGCCAAGCTTTTCCAACAACGCACTAGTATGTGCTCTTGTAAAAGAAGGAAAAAAAGACGGACGGGAACAAAGTCTTCTTACCCGGTCTTTCCGGAGCCAGCACGACGGTGGTTTTTCCGGACCCAATGAAAATGCAACCCAGAAGAGACCAAACTCCGGCAACAAGTTGATGACAGGGTAGCAGAGGCTATGCAGGTAATAGTGTAGTCAAAGAAATTCGTAACGGGACATGATGTAGAAATTACCCCAAGAGCTTTATCTACGCAAAAAAGAAACAAGCAGCAACGTCTTTGCGAAATACACAGTGCTCTTCCTCACGCGTACCTGACAGGTGGAGGGCCACTGTACGCCGGAGGCGGAGGACCGTACCAGGCGCCACCTTGGGGGGGATGCGCCGCCATGAAGGGTTGTTGACTCTCGTTCGGATTCATGCCCATGCCCCGCGGGCCAGGAGCCCACGGCGGAGGCACGCGAGGGGGCGGGGCCCTGCCGACGTGGGCGCCAGGCCAGGGAGCGGCTGCGGCGGCGGCTTTGGCGCGAGCCCGCATGCGGCGCCGGCGACAGCTGCGAGAAATGCATCCGAATATCGAGAGGAGGAGCAGGACCCCAACGCCGACGCAAACGCCAATGACGATGCCCTTGTTGCGGCTGATCCAGTTGCCAATCTCCTTGCCGACATCGGACCCGGAGCAACGACCCTGCAAGCGAGTTGGTTAGAAACAAATGGGCCAAGAAACCTGGCAAATGACTTACATTGCTGCAATGTCCACCACCGCCGCACTCCGTGCCGTCCAGGAAATTCTGCTGCAAGCTGTAGCAGACCCCGTTGGGAAACTCCGGACTGGAACAGCTGATGACACACGTGTTGCTGTCGCAGGCGTACGTGTCGTTGGATCCCTGCGTGTACGCTCCCAGTGCCGACTGACATTGTTGGTTTCTGCTGGTACATTGCCCGCTGGCGCATTTCAATCCATCGCCACAGCCGGTTCCGTCGTCCGAATGCGTGTCCGCCGGACAGTACGGCGAGTCGCCTGTACATTTCTCCTCGGGGTCGCAATCACCGGTCGAGTCGCGGCACACAGTGCTCGACGATGCAAACTGGCAATCTTTGCAGCAATCTTCGTTGGAATCGTCACAGACGGCGCTGTTCTGGAACTTGCAAGTGGTGGGATTGCAGCACGGATTATCTCCACAGCCGTCCGTGCCGCCGCAATCGCAATCTTCGCCTTCTTCAACGATGCCGTTACCACATTGCTGGCCAGAAATGGTCGTCACGCCCTTGTTATTTGTCAGGCAGGTGGACTTGACGCTGTTGCGGCCCATGGCGCTGCAGATGTTTCCGATGGAGCACGCCGAAAACTTGGTGATGCCTTGGGCAGTAGACGGGTTCATGATGAATTGCTCACCGGCATCGCAGGTGCTGGAGCTGAGCGGACAACATTGCTGAGAGCTGACGGTGCTACTGTCGGAACAAGTCGAGGAGGTGCAGTCATGCACGGCACCAAAAGTGTGACCAGTCTCGTGAGCAATGACCTGCCATTCAGTGGGTGTCCGCGCAACCACGTTGGCACCCGCAACAGTCTCGCTGCCGCTGGTCGAGTTCTCACTCATGGACCCCTGCACACACGCCTGTCCAAGCCAAGCAAGGCCAACGGCCTGCCCCGTGGGGCAATTGGTCAAGAGGGTCCAGTGAGAATTGGTGTCCTGCCTTGCACCTCTCCATTCGGAGAACAAGTTCAAGCGGTCCTGAATAGTGACGCTGTCGGAGCAATCCTGGTTCCAAGGGGTACTCGACGGAGGAGTTCCAGGGCAGCTAGCTTCGCTCACAGTCAAGTTCTGAAGGCCCAAAGTAATGTTGAACGTTGATTCGTAAAGATCAGAAGCGGAGTTCATGACGTTGATCACGTTGGCCCTAGCGGATTCCGTGGAATTGAAGTCCTGGGTGTATGTGCAATCGGTGGCGACGCCAACCAGGGCGACCTTGCGTGCAGTGGGACAGCCAGCCGTCGATCCGATGGTAGACGCTAAATTGACACCCGCGGAGTTTCCAGAACCAGGCGTGGAGTCGAGCTGCCGCTTGGAGAAAAGCGAGCTGATCGGGGTGTTCCAGAAGCCCTCCTCGCGCTTCAGCATCTGGCCGTAAACAGGGTGATCCATGTTCATGTTGAACTCCAGTCTATCCGAGTGGCACGCTAATTCCGAGCCCAGGTCGCGGCGCAGCTCCTGGCGTTCGTGGTCGTAGGCCGTTTCCGAAATGTCCGAGTCCCTCCATACCACCATGTACTCGTCGTCGGCATGCTCCAGGTCCGGATCCAGAAGGTGCTTGGTCGCGCGATAGTTGGAAGCGGTATGCACGTGATGGTGGTCGTGATCCACGCTGAACACACCCTCGAAGACAGGGTGCTTGCCATCGCGGTGGACGGTGAGGCGAGCCCAACCCTTGTCCACCCATTTGGAGTCGCCTCTCCTGACCCAGGCGCGGCCCTTGTAGACCTTGTGGTCTAGCCGGTCGATGGTTTCGCGGCGGGTGACCTCGCCGTCGGCGCCGAGATATTCAATTGTCGCGCCTTCTGCGATAATGTCATGGTTGGGCTCCAGCGCGAGGCGCACGCGTTGGTCGTTGAAAAGGTCGAAGCTGAGGTCGAATTCCGACAGGGCGGTAACGCGGTTATTGTATGTATGGATCGTGGGGTTGCGGAGGACCTCGAGGGCCGTGAGTGGGTTTCGAGCCACCGAGCTTGCGTGGACAGAGTCGAAGAGGGTGGGGATGACGACGACTGCCGTCCAAGCGCACGACGCAACCGCCGCGGCGGCGGAGCGGAAGAGGCGCATGGCCGTGGGGTTCAGAACGGCCGAAAGCGGCGATCACAGCGAGCGACTGAATCGCAGAGCGAGCGAAGGAAGATGCGCGGTGAATGCAGTGAGTTGTCAAAGAGAGCGAGCGAAATGCAAGGCCGTAAGGGTGAGGGCGTATAAGACAACACGAGGTGTTGCGAGGCGAGCGGCTGGAGCTGTGGATGACGGCGAAGAGAAGGCAGTGCAACAGGCCAAGTCGGCTTGGCGTTGCCCAAGGTCGCAGGCTCCGCGCCGATTCCCGCCAGCCCCCGACATTTGTCTCGTTGGGCCGGCGACGGCTATCTTTAACACCGGCTTTCCGCTGCCCGCGCCCGGGCTGTGCCATTCGCTCCCATCGAATCCACGTTCCTAACCGCCTTCCCCGCACGTTCGCGCCATCCAGATCTGACGGCGCGTGGTGAGGACATCGTCAGCGCCCAGGTTTTTCGTGGCCGCCGCGACCAGCGCTTACAGCCGTCCGCGCTTAGGCCGGCGCTGCGACGCCTGCGTTCCAGCCAGACCCATTTCGCCTCAAATCACACAAATACGACACCCCCTTTGATTCAGAATGCCCTTTCGCTTCTTCGCTTTGAATTCGTAGCTAGCTGATCTCGACACACCCTCTCCTTGCTCATGTGACGACGCGGCACGATGTGCCGCTGAATAATGGAACTATTATCGCCCAGACATGGGGGAAACTGCACATGATGGCCGTCCAAACCCGGGAACGGGACACCCCCCTTTGTGTCGACCTTGCTTCCTCAACGCCACTCATAAAACAGAAACACGGCGTGCGCCGCTTGCACAGCCGCTTGGGAAGCCCCCCGACTGCGTTATCTAAAATCCTCTGCCACTTGCGATATTACTGTATCCGTCAGGTCGTGAAGTTGAGAATCGTTCATTTCTTCTTGTTCTGGTGCACCGTGTCGATGATCTTGTCAACAATTGACGGGTCCGATAGCTGCATGCCAAGCATTAGTAAAAGAGCCGAGTCATCCGGAGCCACGCGTACAACGAGCTTGGCTTGCAGGTAGACTTACCGTTGAAGTGTCGCCAAGCTGGTCCTCCTCGCCGGCCAGGATCTTCCGCAAGATACGGCGCATGATCTTGCCCGATCGCGTCTTGGGGAGATCTGGCACCACGAAGACAGCCTTGGGCGCAGCGAATGGGCCAATCGATTTCCGGACCTGTAGGATGAGGTCCTTCTTCGTCTGGTCGCTCGCGTCGTTGCCCTCCTTCAGCGCGACGAAGGCGTTCACTGCCTGGCCGGTGAGCTCGTCGTGAATACCAACGACAGCGGCCTCGGCAACGGCATCTGTGGCAAGGTTAGCATCAAAACTTTCATTGGCCACGATGATACTTACGGTGCTCAATGAGGGCAGCCTCGATCTCGGCAGTTGACAGACGGTGACCCGAAACGTTCACGACATCATCAACACGGCCACGGATCCAGTAGTAACCCTCGTGGTCACGGCCCGCACCGTCGCCCGTGAAGTAGTAGCCCTTGTATACGTTGAGGTAAGTGTCCCGGTAGCGCTTGTGTGCACCCCACACGGTCCTTGCCATACTGGGCCAAGGTTGCTTGAATGCCAGAACACCCTCGACATCATTACCGTGGATCTCCTCGCCGGACACAGGGTCGATAATAGCGGGCTCGATACCGAAGAAGGGGAGCGAGGCGCTACCAGGCTTGGTGGGAGTGATGCCTCCCAGAGGAGTAATGACGTGGGAACCGGTCTCGGTCTGCCAGTACGTGTCGACGATGTGCGACTCTTCCTTACCGACGACCTCGAAGTACCACTTCCACACCTCGGCCGCGATAGGCTCACCGACGGAGCCCAGCACTCTCAGGTTCTTCATCTGGTGCTTCACGTGGTGGTCACCGGCGCGCTTCAGCAATCTCAGCGCGGTGGGCGCAACGTAGAACTGCGTAACGCCGTACTTCTCAACAACATCCCAGTAGCGGGAGAAGTCGGGGTAAGCAGGGGTACCCTCGAAGACAACCGTCGCGACACCGAGCAGCAACGGCGCGTATACCACATAGGTGTGACCGGTAATCCAACCAACGTCGCCACCGCAGAAGAAGACGTCACTGGGGTGGATGTCGAAGACGTACTTGCCCGTCATCGCAGCGCCGAGCAGGTAGCCTGCGGTGGTGTGCATGACACCCTTGGGCTTTCCAGTGGAACCACTGGTGTAGAGCAGGAAGAGCGGGTCCTCCGAAGCCATGGGCTCGGGTGCAATGTAGCACGGGTACTTCTCGACCTCCTCGTGCCACCAGTAGTCGCGGCCCTGGGTCCACGGCACTTCGGAGCCGGTGCGCTTGTACACCAAGCAGTGCGAGACGTCGGGGCACTGCCTCAGCGCCTCGTCCACGATCTTCTTGGTGCCAATAACCTTGCCGCCGCGCCTGCCCTCGTCTGTGGTGATGATGACTTTGGACTTGGCGTCGACGATGCGGTCGCGCAGCGAGTCGGAGGAGAAGCCGGCAAAGATGACCGAGTGGACGGCACCGATACGCGAGCAGGCGAGGAAGGAGATGAGAGCCTCGGGAATCATGGGCAGGTATAGCGCAACAGTGTCACCCTTCTTGACGCCCATCTGCTTCAGCACGTAGGCCAGCTTCGAGACCTCGCGCAGCAGCTCGCTGTAGGTGATGGTGCGGCCCTCATTGTACTCATCGGCCTCGTAGATGATGGCAGGCTTGTCGGGAGTCGCAATGGCATGGCGGTCAACGCAGTTGTACGAGGCATTGAGGCGGCCCTCGAGGAACCAGGCGTTGTCGCCGTTGGCGAAGCTGCCGGAGTGGACGGTTTGGAAGTCGCGGTCCCAGGTCAGAAGCTCGCGCGCCCGCTCTCCCCAGAACTTGTGCGGCTTCTCGATCGACTCCTTGTACAGCTGCTTGTAGTGGTCAAGGCCGTCGAGGTGAGGTTTGCTCGGGTGCTTCCTGGCTCGGCCGTTAGCAGCGCGTCATGGCCGGAACCGCGTCGCGTGAGCTCGCGCTCCGACGGGGGAAAATGTGTCAAAGACGTTGGGAGGGGCCGAGCGCGAGGTCAAATCGCTGCCCCGCCATTGGCCGAAACTCGGCCTCTGGCAGGGGCATGGCGGTTTCGGCGCTGCGTGTGGGCGCGCGGGAGGTGGGCTACTCACTTGTGGAAGGCCTCTGGGATGTGGAAAGTGTCGACCTCGTGGGCCTCGGCCACGACGGGCTTGACAGGGCCGTCGGACATGGCGCTGAGCTGGGGGGTGGGGAGGCGGGAAAGTGGTATGAGGACTAGGCTGGCGCCGGCGCTGGCGCGGTCTAGTAGCTGGGTGCGGTGTCTCGGCGAAGAGGGAGCGTGGGTGGGCGGCGGAGGACTGGTCGAGTGAGGGGGGGGGACGAGGGTGGTGGGGTCGCGCCGGCTTATGTAGGCGGGTGCAGAAGGATTTGGGCGGGCTGAGGAGGAAGCTTTGGGACAGGATCAATGGGGCAAGCGGCGGGTTTAAATGAGGCGCCGTGGCACGACGGTGGACACGCGCTGCGATTCGGGTAAGAGGAGCGCGGACAGGGTGGGTTGGAGAGGTGCAGGTGGGCTGGCGCAAGACTGGTGCTGCGGCGCGGACTCAAGACAGACGGAGATCTCTTGCGCAGTGCAGAATCTGGGGAACCGGAGCCCTTATACATCAGGCAGCACCGGGCTCAGCTCGCCCCGGCGCAGCGAATGAGCAGGCCTAGGGTTCGGATTGCAAGTGGTGAAGTGCGGGGGAAAGCTTGGGAGGATGGGCGTTCCCTTAGCCCGCGACGTGAAGGCGTGCCAATCGCCTGCCCCAGACGTCACCAGGGCCGGCGCGGCACAGCGCAGGCGGTCTCGGCTCCCAGCCCATTTCCTCGGGTTGCGGCGAGCCATGCGATTCCTCTGCTCCGTCCGGCCTGCTGCGCTCCGCCGCTGTCGCAGCTCCGGCCCAAGGGCACGGCCGCAGCTACCCACTGCCTGCACGCGCTTAAATTGCCGGATGCTTATTTCGCATGCGCCGCCAGTGGTGCTGGCCGTGGCCACGCTGCCAGCAGGCCCTCCCCTCGGCCCAAGTTCGCGGCCGAGCGCCCGGGGCCGGAGCCGCAGATGCTGCCCTGCGTGCGTGCCTGCGGTTGGGACCGCGGTCAGTCAATCATCAGGCCGGTGATGGCGCTGCCCGCCGGCACAACCGCACATGGACCCCACGCTCCTGCAGGCACCCTGCATTTTAGCTCGCTCTCAACCGTGCCGCTGATCCACACGCCTCGGAGCTCCTAATTCAGCGCACAACATTTTGAATGAACGCGCGCTCATCGGCCTCCAACCGACGCGCAATTCAGCCGGCGGCCACAGAAAGCGCAACTTGCACCGCAACATAATCCGTACGGCACCTGCGCTCCACACCCCTGCTGCGTGCCGCGACTCGGAGCCCAGCTTCTGCTATCGTACATGATCTGCCCCGCGGCACAGAGCGGTTACCGTTGTGATAAACCGCCCCCTCCCTCCGCGTAGCACCAACGTACCACCTCAGCATTGAGGCAAACCAAAATCCCCACTCGCCTGGTGTGAGTGTGGCTTGACTCGGTCGCGGTGGGAGGAGCCACGAGGACCGACCGATGGATACACAGAGATCAATTCCCTGGTTAAGGCGCAAATCAAGGGGCGGCTGCAACACCCACAGAGTATGACCGTCGCCAGGAACAGCGACTTACAGGTACCTTCACTTGCATAGGGCGTCGTTCGTGTCACATCGGGCTGTGTTGTTGTGAGAGTCGCAACGAATATTGTTGGGAGATGCGTGCGGCAAAGCTTGCTCTCGTCTGACGGGGCCGGGGTAAGCTGCACGATTGCCGCAGAAGCCTTGCAAGCCTCCGCTCCGCTCCCACCAACGCGCGACGTCGTGTGAGCGTGTGCGCGTTGTTGCTTACCCGACGTCGGCACTGCCGGTTGCAAAGAGGACTGACCTCGCCGTGTCATTAGAGATGTCACCTTACTTTCGCAGGTAGTCGAAGCGTCCATCTGGACATGTTTGCATTATTTCTAATTCTACGTCCATATTTCTAATAATTCCACACCCGTATCTGGATACCTGCTCCACCTGCCCAAGGCGGAAGTTCAGCCAACAGTGTCGGTCTTGATAAGCAGAAGCATCCCGCTCGCTCGCTCGGCTTCGGACGACGGGAGCAACCTTAAAGCGGAGCCTACAATTGGTCTTCACGTGTTCACGTGCATCTCCGCCGCGCCAGTAGCCCGTGGCTGAAAGTAGTCAAAATCGGCAGGACCCGGACACGTGGGCAGGACCGGAGCAGAGCTAAAAAGGAAGACGCCGAATGATAATGTCTACAAGCGAAAGTATGCTACAAGCGACGGGTATATGCAGAAAGGAATGCCCAATAAAGTCGACCCAGCCCTGAATCCGCGTCTTTTGATCATCCCAAGACGCAAATAACAATGCCAAATATCCTCTCTGCTTTCCCTCGACAGCCCGTGTCCGTAGGTGATACCAAACCCCCGGAGAGAGTCATGTGCTGCCCCAGGTCCCTGCGCCCAGTCCAACGCCAACGCTAGAAAAATGCCCGCTCCACGAATGGAGGGCCGGTAGTAGTTTGAGTTTGCTCCAATATCCCCCAGAGTTCCCCGAGCTCCATCCCCCAGACCCCGTTCCGAAGGCCCCGTTCATCCGATTGCCATTTTTGGTTCATCCTCGGCACCCAACACTTCCTCATTCGGTATCTTCGGCCGCCGCCGCATCGACGTCATCGCTGTCCCTTCTGCCGGGAATGGATCCCTGGCTCAGCTGCCTCACGTGCTTCTGCACGCTCTTATCGATACTGCGATCCAGAAGCTGAAACAGCCGCTCCGAGTACTGATCCAGCAGCCTCGCCACCGACGCCTCGTCAATTGCATCGCTCTTCGCTTCGCTCTTCGACTCGCTCTTCGCTTCAGCCCTGCTTTCAGACGAAGAGTGCCTGACATCCTTCCCCTTGTCCCCAAGAGAAGTCGACGTGATGCGCAGTTCGCGCTCCAGCTCCTTCTGTGCCTCCGCGGGCAACTTATCTTGACTAGTTCCAAGCTTCTTCCTGAACAGCCTCAAACTCTTGCTCAGGTCGCTGGCAGCTGCGGCCAAACTCGACGAATCGCGCAAGTTCTGATTGCTGCGAGTTTTGGAGCGAGAGGACCCGAACGAGGGTCTGCGCAGCGTATGATGCGAGCCCTTCGGGCTGTGGTGCGCCGTCTTGGGGCTGCCTGTCGCAGCGTGAGCGTGCTTCAAAGTCGGGCTTGGCGGCGAAGGCGATCGGTTGTTGCGGGCATGCCTCCGGTTGCTTGAACCGTTCGGTGCGTGGTTTTCCTTGGACACTGGGGAAGGATCCAACTTCGGTGTGGAGCCCCCGTGAAGCGACAGCTTGGACGACTTCTTGCGCAGTGAGCCCGTCGGAGATCTGCTGCCCGTGGGGGTGCTTGCCTCATCGTCACCAGAACGCTGATACTTGGCGAGCTCGGACTGAGACAGCACACGCCTGATAGGTGGCCGGCTTGAGAGCAGATCCTTGCTCGGTGTCGAAACGCCCGCCAAGTCCATGTTCTTCGTAGTGTCATAGGATGACGAACGAGAAAGGGGAGGCTTGAAGTCCAGGTTCCAGATGAAGATGGTGCCATCGACCGCAACCGTCACCAAGCCCTTCTGGTCGGCATCACCTTCCCCACTGTTGAGGGAGATCAATGCGATGTCCGTGACACCTTCGGTATGGCCCCAGTCACGACCAAGGAGATTGCCGTTCTCCTCATAGATTCGGACAGATTTGTCGGTGCTGGAAACGCCGGCGATAACGCCCTGTCCCCTCGAGTTGGTAAAGTGTACCAGATCAGAGAGAACGACGGCTTCACCACCGTCTGTATCCGCCGACTTGAAGGTGCCAGCGAGCTGGCCAGAAGTGATATCGTACTTCTGAACTTGGCGGTCTGTGGTTGAAACAACAAGGACGTTGTCATTGTCCGCATCAAAGGCCATGGAGACGGGTGAGGTCTTCAGAGTAATGGTACGAGCAATAATGAAGGCTTTCAAGATAGCTCCATCCTCCTCCCTAGTCATGAAGTCTCGGACGACGACCGTACGATCCGTAGAGCAAGAAAGAAGGTGTGTTCCGTCCTTGGAGAAAAGGACGCCAGTGACGGCGCTCGCATGCTCATCCAGAGTCTGCAGAAGATCCCAAGCCTCGCCACTCTTTTGGAAGACTTGAACCGTCCGATCCCGTGCAGAGGTGACGATCAACGGGGTGTCACCCTCGTGGATCTCAATATCTGTGATCTCGCTTCCGTGAGCCTTCAAGCTGAAGGTGCACTTGCCGGTCTTGGCGTCGATGATACTGATTTTGGGTTAGGATGAGCTGATAAATTGGGCAAGTAAGGAAACATACCTCAGCACGCCGTATCTGTCTCCGGTGGCAACGAAGCCGACATGAGGAGAAGGTTCAATGGTTCTGAGCTCATTGACCTCATCGCTATTATCAAGCTGAGCCAAGTGCACCTTGATGTCACCTTTTTCAGTCCCATCCGAAGCCCAGAATTTGATGAGGCCATCTGCGGACCAGGTGACGAAAGACGCATCGAAAGAATTAGAAAGGGGAAGGGAGTGGACGCCCAACACAGCACCACCCTGAGCGGGCAGCTGTTGGACAACTTTGTTGGTGGATGTGTCACCATCCGTCCCAACTTCCAGAAGACGAATAGCTTTCCTGGAGTCCACCGTCACCAGGAGATCGCCGATGGGTGCCATGGCGATGATGAAGGGTGCCTCGTTATGGAACTTAGGGCTCGTTGGCGATCGCGGGGGCGATCCAGGAGGCGACTCGTCTCGCGAAGTTGGCGAAGGGGGCGGTGCGGTATCGAGCAACTTGCTGATCTCCATGGTCGCCATGTCGCCATGGATACCGGCAATGTGCAGGATGCCGTTGGAATCAGCTGCCAGCGCTGAGATTCCAAAGTCCGCGGAAGCTACTTTGAACAACCGTTGGGCGCGGTCCGAGTCATCAAGGAGGCAGATATCCCCTTTCTCCGTCGACACAAGTGCCTTTGTGTCAGAGACGGCCACGATGGAGCTGAAATTCTGTTCAACTAGAGAGCCCAAGATGCAATTCCTTCCAGGAAGAGTGATGTTCTCTTCGCGATGTTTCGTCTTGCTTTGAACATGCTGCTCTGCCTCGTCAATGCGCCAGACTTTGGCGTGTCGGGTGCCCACCAGGACGAGGCTGTTTCCAAGCCATGCGACCTTGTTGATGTGGTTTGTGCATCTGTTGCTTGCATGAAGAGTTGCCGCACCAGTGCGGGGGTTCAAGCTCCAGATGTACAGGAAGCCATCATTTGCAGCGCCCAAACTGGCCAAATACCTAGAGTCAGGACTGAACGAGACGGAGCGGACGCCGAACTTGTGCTCGGATATGGTGGCGATGGGCGTCTCGGGCGGGGCATCTGGGGCGGTGGAGAAGATCAAGATCCTAGGCTTGTATCCCGTCTAGGCCAGGGGTTAGCATCCGGGCAGGGCCCCTTGATTCCGGCAGACCTCACCTCTCCAACGGCGATGTACTTCCCATCGGCACTGAAAGCTACACATGTGGCGGCCTTTATGCGCTCTTTCGTCGACGATGACTTTCCACCTGGCGAATCAGCCCAATCTGCCGCCGGTGAACCATATAAAGAGGCGCCTACACCGGCATCGCGCGAAGAGACGGCCCCGCGACTGCGAGCATCAGATGCTGGGGTGCCGTAGGCGGAGGAGGCCGTGTGGACGGCCTGGGTGGTGGGGTGGGCGCGGAAGAATCGCTGGGTGACGTGGTGATCCTCGTCGATGGTGGCTACCACGGCGGCAGCACCGGCGGTAAAGGCGACTCGGCGCTCGTGGGGGAGGCTGTCGAAGGCGAGGGCGGAGCTAATGGTCGAGCCGACAACCTGGCGCAGCGACAGCATGTCGTCGGACCGGCTCGGCTTGCTGAAGCTGGCTCTGAGGGATCCGGATTTGCTAAAGGGCGAGGCGGCGGGGACGAGCCGGAAGGCAGGGTTCATAACTGTCTGATGGAGCGGTGAGTGCGCCATCCCGGGACATGGTCCGTTCCGCGGTACAGCTCATACCAGGTGGATGTGGGTAGCTGAATGCGGTGTGAACAGGCGCACAGCATCTCAGACCCCACTTGTGCCGACAGCAGGCGTGCCTTCCCTCCAATTGCTGTTGTTGTTTTGGGCGACTGCGCTGGCGGAATGTGGCTCTGACTTGGCAGGAGGGGTGGAACGACGCGAAAAGGAAACGTAAGAGCGGCGGCAGGTGCGGCTTCGGGGCGGGGCGCGGCAGGCGCAACGGAGGAAAAACGGAGAAGGAAAGAAAAGTGTATAAGGAGCGACAGAGTTGGTGTGCGGAGGACGCGGCGGCGCCGATGGCGCAGCTGGAAGAGGCGCGCCGTTTTCTGGAAGCAGTTCCGGCGCGCAGGCCGGCGTGAGCGTGTGGTGTTGGCCCTACTGGCCCTGCTTCAGGGGTCGCACGGGCCGGGCGAACAAAGAAAGAACACCCCCGAAGCCTCCGCATTTTCGTCGCGGCGATCATCATCATCGTCATCATCGTCACGTCGCCTCCCCCGCTGGTGTTGTTGCACCGCGCTTCGCTGCAGCCCTGTGAGCTGTACCACCGTCGAGCAGCTCGTGATGGAGCCCTCCGGCCGCCGGCCGCCACGCGACACCGCTGCACACTCAGTGCACCGCTGCACCGCTCGCTGTGCAAGATCCGCGTGCTGGAACCTCGGTCCAAAAAGGCTAGTCGCGGCTGGCTGTGCAATCTCAGCTGGGGTTTTCCCTCGGTCAAGCAGCCCTTTCGTCATAGACTTACTCGCAGCCCTCAGCCCGACACGTTGCTCTCCATGATGTATTTCCTTGCTGCTGTCACTGTGCACAAGCCAGTCTACCAGCCTCTTCACCCACCTGCGGCCAGCATGCGCAACAATGAACTGTCGGCTTGGCCAAGAACGGCAAATCGAAGCCAATTTCCCGGCCAATGCCTTAGTCTACAACAGACAGCCTGGTATCGAGATCTGCAGATGCCAATGCTGGCGTTCGGAAGCTGCGGAGAACACTCAGCTGTGGGTCTTTCGTGGTTTCGAAAGCAAGTCGAGCACATGGAAAACTCGTAAGGCAAATGCATGCTGGCACCAGCAGTCCGGTTACTTACCCAGCAGCATGGCTACACGCACTCCAACCGGAAACACAAGCGACGATCCCCCGCAGGAAAAACCATGCCCACATAGTCTGCTAGTAAACAAGCACTTCATCATTTGCAGTTCATCCTCGGCAAATGCCAGTTGGGGTACTCGTTGGGATGTCTCTCGTGGCCCATTGCGCATCATCTGGACGAGGTCGGTTCGCCTTTACGTAGATGGACGCCTCAATTGTTGTATCACTTAGCGAACCGACCTCGTACGACCTCACCAGGGTATTGGTTGGGCTTCGGAACGGAAAGTAGCAATGCCGCCATCCGGGGTATGACCAGACGCCTCCCCGCGGCCGAAATTCCCGACCTGGAAAAGGCTCTGTACGCGTACCCTCCTTCTCCGCAATCCTTTTACATGCATGCAACATCGCCGACTGCAACCACTTGAACCTGATGAAATCCTTCGAGGCAACGTTATAAAGCCGCGAGAATCCATCATCATGACTTGACCCATCCCCAATCTCTCGTGGCTTCATCGACAAGATGATGCTGCCACGACTTATTCTCTTTGCTTTCGGCGCTGCGCTTTTATGCGGAAGCAGCGGTGCCACAGTTGCCACCAATGGTTCCTACGACTACCTTGTTGTTGGCGGCGGGACTGCGGGGCTGGTGGTTGCGAACAGGCTTTCCCAGGACTCCTCGGTCACAGTTGCCGTCATAGAGGCTGGCGGCTCGGTTTTCAATGACCCGAGAGTACAAAATACAACAAATTACGGCCTGTCACTCGGCACTGAACTTGACTGGCAATACACCACCGTTCCGCAAAAATATGCTGCAAATGACATCCAGACTTACCACGCCGGGAAAGCTCTTGGCGGAACCAGCACTATCAATGGTATGACCGAGTTCTGGGTCGCATGAAAGACAAGGAGGCTCTTTTTACCGGAGCACTGTGAGATAACTCCCGGACAGGCATGACATACATCCGCTCCGAAACGGTCCAAATCGATGCCTGGGAGAAACTCGGGAACAGCGGCTGGAACTGGGACTCGCTTTACCCTTATTACAAGAAGAGCGAACACTTCGATCCACCTACCCCGTCCCAGGTAGCCAATGGGGCAGCTTACAACCCGGAATACCACGGTTTTGATGGCCCTCTGGACGTGGGCTGGCAATACGTAGCACCACAGCGAAACAACTCTGCCGCTATCATCAAGGCGACGTGGGAGAGTGTTGGCAGCCCGTACAACAAAGACGTCAACGGCGGCTATATGCGCGGATTCAGTGTTTGGCCATTCACCGTCAATGCAACCACGAGCATTAGAGAAGATGCCGCCAGAGCCTACTATTATCCCGTTCAGGATAGGCCAAATCTGCACGTCTATTTGAACACCACGGCACTCCGACTGACATGGAGCGATGGGGGAAAGTCCGGCGCTAATTTGTCTGCCTCTGGCGTGGAAGTTTCTTCGAGCACAGTAACCATCACGACTCTGAAGGCTGCCAAGGAAGTGGTGGTGTCTCTAGGGTCCACGCGAACTCCGTGTTTCTTGGAATACTCTGGTATTGGGAATCCCGCGTGAGTACACCATGTCTCGATTGCGGTTCTTATTCCTTGCACTGTACCAGTCCCGTCATGCTTGTGAGAAATTGAAGCAATCACCTGAGGGTGATTTGTTCTTCATTTCTGTTGTATGCTTTACGTCGATTAGTGATGGTTGGCGATATCTGCGATGCAATGAACTACAAGAGCTCCTAGTCGCACTCAGGGGTAGGGTCTAACGACACAGCAGTATCTTAGAGAAATACTCCATCCCGGTCCGCATCTCCCTCCCCACCGTCGGCGAGAACCTCCAAGACCAAACCAACGTCCCCATCGTCGGCGCCCTCAACCCCAACGACACGACCACCTTCCTCGACTACCCACCCGAAGTCACGTACGCAACCCTCACCGACCTCTTCCCCGGCTCCAACCTCTCCGCCCTCGAAGCCTCGGTCCGCGCCTCCATCCCCTCCTACGCCGCCCTCAACGTCGCCAACAGCGGCATCAACCCCAACAACGCGACACGCACCGCCGCCGTCGCCACCGCCGTCGAACAACAAGAACGCATCCTCGCCGCCCAAGCCGACCTCATCTTCTCCAACGCGGCCACCCTCCCCCTCGCCGAGATCCTCACCGCCCCGACCAGCGCCCCGGGCCTCTCCGCCGCCATCCTCCCCACCTGGGCCCTCCTCCCCTTCGGCCGCGGGAGCATCCACATCTCCGCGCCCTCCCCCCTCGGCGTCGGCGCCAACGCCTCCTCCCCCGCCATCAACCCAAACTACTTCATGAACCCCTTCGACAACACAGTGCAGACCGCCGCGATGCGGCTCGCGCGGCGGGCGCTGCTGACGGCGCCGCTGGCAGACTACGTCGTGGGGATGACGGCGCCGACGGTGGAGGAGGTGCCGCTGGGTGGTGGTGACGATGACGATGACGACGATGCGGCGTGGGTGGCGTTTGCGAAGGGGGCCTACGGGCCGAATTCGCATCCGGTGGGGACGGCGGCGATGATGGGCCGCGAGCTGGGCGGCGTGGTGGACGCGGAGCTGAGGGTGTACGGGACGGCGAACGTGCGCGTGGTGGATGCGAGCGTGTTGCCGTGGCAGGTGTGCGGGCATCTGACGAGCACGATTTATGCGGTTGCGGAGAGGGCGAGCGATATCATCAGGGGGACGGTGGGGAAGGATGGGGAAGGGGAGGGGGGTTCGTGACTGCGACTAAGTGGTTGGAGTGAGCTGCGATGATGGATGGGTCTTGGTTGCTACGAAGGATGCCTCTCGATTCGACACATGTTCGAAGGGGATTGGGTAAGATTGGTCTTTCCGTGTCCTATGGAGGATACCGTACTCTTCGAAGATGGGAGCTAAAGAATCGAGAAAATGCGTCCCAGTAAAGGATTTAGCTACCCGCACCAGTAGGATTCTTTGTTGCGAGTGAAGAGAGTTGGGAATGTCGGATATTTTCCCGATCTGCTGTAGGTGGCCTGTGAATTATCCGCCATTTTAGTAGAAGGCCGGTATAAAAGTACGACTATAGTGTGTAGTAGCAGTTGTTCAATGCCGGCTTGAGATGATGTTTGGGATCGGCACTCGCATTGACGTTTCAGGGTGGAATGACGGGCCGGCACTCCTCAACTCCCTCACTCCACCATCAACCTCAGACGGCACTGTCCCACACGACACCGACTTTACCCGTCCTTGAACTGGCCAGTTTCTCTTGCAACCATGTCTGTTGGATCAGAAGCGCTCGGAAAATTTTCTGCTTCGGGTGAACGGCGACAAGAGGGCCGGGCTTATACCAGCCGCAAGGTAGCAATCGTTGCTTTTCTTTGACCGGGCTCTAATCCTCCGCAACGCAGTCCGCCTTGACTAAAACAAGCTTCTCCACATGCTCTGCAAGCTCTGAGAAGTAGAGCCACCAACATCCGGAGCAAGAGCCATCCGGCGCCACTTCCTTCGGCAGTCGTCCTTAAAGAAAGCGATTATTCATTGCAAGGCGCTAAACCACTCAAACTGTGTCTGAGCCCTGGCCAGTCGCCTTGAGTTCCGACAAGCTTTTTTGCATGACGGCGTCCTGGCGGCGTCCTGTCGATCTCACAATTATGGAGACCTTAGCCGGACCTCCCTACGCCGGAGTCTGGCGGATGAGCCTGGTCATTTCGTTTCTGACTCCTGCGCCCACACGAAGCGCCGCACGAGTAGGTCGCCCGTGGCCTGTGGCCCGCCGAGTTTCGAAACACGCGCCAAAGTATAAGAAGTGCCGCTTCTCCCCTTAAGAACAGCTTCGTTTCCCGCAAGCGTCGGCACCTGCGAAGTCTGTTTTATTACATCCGAGCCTGGTTGCTCCGCCTTTCGTTCTGGTCCAGCAACATTCGCTACCTTCTTCCCCTGGCTGCCAGTTGACCTGACACTCGTTTCTCTCTCATCATGAAGTCCATCACGCTCGCTGCCGCCGCCGCCGCCGCCGTCCTCTCGGCTTCGCCGGCGCTGGCGTTGCCCAGGAGCACGCTCCGGGTGTCCAACGACGTCGCCATCAACGCGGCCACGGCGTCTTCCAAGGTCAAGTTCGCAGGCCTCAACATCGCGGGCTTCGACTTCGGCTGCGGCACCGACGGCACCTGCACGCAGACGGCGCAGAACGCCACGGATCCCATGGCCGTCAGCGACGCGCAGGGCCAGATGGACCACTTCGTCAACGACGACGGGCTCAACGCGTTCCGGCTGCCGGTCGGATGGCAGTACCTCGTGGGCCACCAGCTGGGCGGCGACCTGGACGCGGCCAACGCGGCCAAGTACGACGCGCTGGTGCAGGGCTGCCTCACGTCCGGGGCCGAGCTGTGCATCATCGACGTGCACAACTACGCGCGGTGGAACGGCCAGATCATCGGCCAGGGCGGGCCGACCAACGAGCAGTTCGCGTCGCTGTGGAAGCAGCTGGCGACCAAGTACGCCGCCAACGCCAAGGTCGCCTTCGGCGTCATGAACGAGCCGCACGACGTGCCCGACGTGTCCGTCTGGGCCGCCACGGTGCAGGCCGTCGTCACCGCCATCCGCGAGGCGGGCGCGACGTCGCAGTACGTGCTGCTGCCGGGCAACGGCTGGACGAGCGCCGCGAGCTTCGTGTCGGACGGCTCCGCCGCCGCCCTCTCCAACGTCACCAACCCGGACGGCTCCACCGACGGGCTCATCTTCGACGTGCACAAGTACTCGGACAGCGACAACTCGGGCACCCACACCGAGTGCACCACCAACAACATCGACGACGCCTTCAGCCCGCTCGCCGACTGGCTGCGCGAGAACAACCGCCTCGCCATCAACACCGAGAGCGGCGGCGGCAACACCGACTCCTGCGAGAAGCTCTACTGCGAGCAGATTGAGTTCCTCAAGTAAGCATCTAGCAGCCTCTCACGACGACGAAGAAGAAGAAAAGAGAACTGACATCTGTCCCCACAGCAAAAACGCCGACGTCTTCCTCGGCTACACTGCCTGGTCCGCCGGCGGCTTCGGCGAGACGTACGAGCTGGTGCAGACGCCCATCAAGAACTCGAACGGCAGCTACACCGACCGCCCGCTTACCAAGAAGTGCACCGTCGGTGCGTGGAAGAGCGCGTGAATCAGCGACGCTGCTGCCATGGTGGACTTGTAAATAGATATGACTTCGATGTAGCATTATGTTGGAAAGCACGAATGTTGATAACCATACAGCTTCGTTATGATCCTTTTTTCTTGTCACTTGTGGAAGAAAAGTGTTGTATAATGTGCCAATGCCCTGGTTTGTGGTCAGACGAATGCTTCAACTCCGTGCATAACAAAGCTCTTTTTTTTTCCCATCTCAGGACACTATATCTCACTGCAGTCAAAGCCAGGCACAATCAAGCCTGTAACAACTTCATGACTTTGCTCTATCCATGTACCTATACCTTCAAAACGCGATACACGCTGTCTTCCTCGCTCGCTGTCCAAGTCTAAAATACACGATGACTTTTCCCCATTCCTGCTTCCACCGTCCGATCCGCCGCTAATACCGAAAATGACAACGGCAACGACAACGACGACAACAACAACAACAGTAAACCGCCTTCTCACGCCATCCCCATCATACAAGCCATCACTCACCCACTCTCTCTCCCCCTCTCTCTCTCTCTCACACACACACACACACACAAACCAACCACCAGTCCCACCCCCGCTCCCATCATCCACCTACCTCCTCGCCGACGGCCACGCCGCACCCGCACCCGCAGCCGAAGCCGAAGCGGACGGCCGCACCCTGGCCGCCTCCTCGCCGGGCCCGACGTCGGCGGCGACGTTGAAGCCCCAGCTGCTCTTCTTCTTGCGCCTGCCGCGCTTGTCGCCGTACTGCTCGTCGAACTTGCGGATCGCCGTCAGCGTCGCCATGTCCTCGCTGATGCTCGCGCTGATCTCCTGCATCGCCTTTTCGAAGTGGTGAGGCAGCAGGGTGCGCTTTTCCGGGTATGGGAACGGTGTTGCGGGAGAGGAGGACGGGGAGGAGGGGGAGGATGACGATGATGATGCCGACGCAGGTTGTTTGTCCTTGAGGGCGAGCACGGCATCTTCGGCGGCGGCGGCACCATCCTTGCTTCCTTCCTCGGACGCCGCCGGTGCGGACGACGCATCGGCGTCGGCTTCCTGGTGCTCGCGGACCAAGGCCACGACCTCGTTCTCCTCGCGCACGCAGTTCAGCGCCGCGGCGACGCACAGGTTCTTCAGGTCCGAGCCCGAGTAGAAGGGCGTGTCCTTTGCCAGCTGGTCCAGCCTGATGCCCGGATCCAGCTGCTCGTCCTTGAGGTGGATGCGGAGGATGCTCTCGCGGTCCTTCTGCGTCGGCAGGTCGACGAGCAGCCGCCGCGGCAGCCGCCGCAGGACCGCGTCGTCCATGTCGAAGGGCCTGTTGGTGGCGACCATGATGAAGACGCTCAGGTCGTTCATGCCGTCCCACTCCTTGAGGAACTGGTTGAGCACCTCGCGGTGCGACGTGCGGTGGCGGGAGCCGGATCGGCTGCCGAACATGGCGTCGGCTTCGTCGATGAAGACGACGCAGGGCGAGAGCTTTCGTGCGAGCGAGAAGATGGCGCGCACGTTCTTCTCGCCCTCGCCGACGTACATGTCATACACCTCGCTGCCGCTGACTTCGAGTACCGTCGCGCCGCTTTCTTTGGCCACGGCCTTTGCGAGGAGCGTCTTGCCGGTACCGGGGGGGCCGTAGAGGAGCATGCCGGGGATCTTGTCGGTTGCGAGAACACCGTAGCTGAAAGCGTCGGGGCGGAGAAGAGAGAGAGATGTCATGGTTTTCAAGGCATCTGTAGTTTCTTGTGGTGCGTGGACGTCGGCGAAGGTGGTTTTGATGTTAGAGGGGTTGACAACTCCAAGAAGCAGCTTCTTCTCGTGCTTATTTGCCGTTTTCTGGACCTTTTCCAACTTCAAGTCGGAAGGGGTCTTGGTCGGTGCAATCTTGCCGGCAGCTTGGTTCATGGTTGAATCTTTAAGCGCTGCCGAGCGCTCGTTTTGTCGCTCGTTCGCCACCCAGGAGAATTTGACGTCGTCGCTCAAGCGCAGCAGAAATCCAGCCAAGATGAGTAGGTCCTTGTTTAGTTCTTGGGTTTCGCCAGCGGTTCGGTGCAGCCCAATCGCAGTTTGCACGAGGCGATGGACCTCGTGGAACGCGAACACTCTTGACTTCCAGTCGACTACTGGAGAATGTTGCAGCTTAGACATCGCATAGTCTACGCCCTTGGCGCTAGGGTCCAGTCTCCGGATCATGTCCTGGATATGCCTGACATTGATTTGTTCGTTTCGCCTGCGTTCGGCCGTATCAAAGTCAAGGGGTTGTGGCGGAAGGATTTGCTTGTCCACCTGCTCGTAACACTCGCTTATGCCCTTTTGTGTTTCTATAGACGGCTTCAGCGACGTTGCGCCGAGAGGAACGATGATCGTTCTGAAGAAACTATCTTCATTCTCTGCTTGCAGACTTCGGATAGCTGAGCGGGATAGCTCGGGAATAAGCTCAGCGGACGACGTGACGCCAACGATCATGATCTCAGATCCTTCTTTTCTCCTGTTGTGGACTAGCTCAGTGATCTTGTCCAAGACTCGTGCCCCTTGGCGGGTGACGGTGAGTTCCTTGTAGTCGTTGATGAGTATGATTGTTCGTTGCGATGGAGGTGTTTGGATGCCTTGTGAGGCGCTCTTGTCGAGGGCCAATCTGAACGAGCCTCTTTTCCAAACGAGTGGCTCTGAGCTGGCCTCCTCCCGCTGCTCTTTTTCTGTCGTCCGGGGTTGCGATTGCTCCTTCCGACCATTTCGCTTTGTGGCGGCCGCGTCAAGCAAAGCATCGAGATAGGCGCCAAGCTTCATGTCATTCCATCGCGCTGTCTCCGGCGATGAATCCCTTCCAAACTGAGCGGGGGTGAATTCAGCCGCTCCTACTGCAGCGTTTCGGCCCGGTGGCCCACGCGCAGGTGTAGACAGCGTTTTGAAATATTCGTTGATGTCTATAGTGTGCACTCCCTGTAAGACAAAGGGCGTATTTCCGCCCCTCTTGCCCCCCTTGGGAGCCGGCGACGTACGACCTCCAGCAGACAAAGGGTCATCTTGTCCATCCTCGGTCTCCTCTTCGGCCGCCTCGACTGCATCAAATTCGTCTTCTTCCCAGTCAACGCTGTCTGATTTTGACCGAAACGTCTCGTAGCCCAGAGATCGAAGAGAGAGGGCGTTGGGGTCAGAGCCGTCTCCGAGATAATCGCCAACGAGCTCTGCGATATCCTGCGAGTCAAGCTTCACGACGTCGGCTTGCAGATCAGCAGCTACATCCTCGATCAATTGGTCCAGGCGTGCGATGCCGCCGTCCTGGGGCGAGTGAAGAAGAAGATTGGACTTCGCGGAAGGGAAAGAAGAGGCCAATTCAGGCTTGGCGGTAGCAAGACTGCCGGAAATGGAAGCGAAAACCTCGAGGTATAAGGAGACATGGAGACTCTTGTCAAGTTCCGGAGTCAGGTCTTGAATTTTGCCAGCGTAGAGCTTATCCACATACTCCAAGATTTCCTCGTACCGAACTTGCGACTTGTCTTCATCCGCCAGCTTCTCCAGCACCTCCAAGAGGTTTTCATGCCGAACCTGCGACTTTTCCGCCGTCATCTCCAGCAACTTATACAATTGTTCTGGGAGAGGCAACGACAGCTTTGCTATCTCCTCCTCGGCGTTTTTGCCCGTCCAAGAGACACACAGGCTCCCCTTTGTTTCGGGCTTTGGCGGGCGACTCCCTGCAGGATTTCCGGCATCGTCCCATGGCTCTCGGGTGTCCCGAGCGTGTTCCCAATCCTCACGGATTGTGACGTTGTTGTTGAAGAAGCTTTCTGGTATTTCGATGGGAGGAAAGTCTTCGGCCTGCTTTGTCCGGGACGAGCGTTTCAAGGCGGCTTGGTAGAGGCGTCTCGTCTTGCGCAGCCTTTCCGCTAGCACGGCGGGCGACTCCTCGGCAGCCTCGGTAGCTATCTCGGGGCCGACGTCATGCTGAGGGTTCTCGCCAGCAGGAGGAGCGGAATTCGCAGCGTGGACGGGCTTCTCACTGTCACGCTCGGAGACGGAGGGCGTGCTAGGGTCGCGGGGATCGTTGGGGGAGCCGGTGGAGGAGTCGAGGCGGGCGGAGCGGTGGAAAGTCCTCAGACGCGGCGGGAATCGTCGGCCGGCGATGAGCTGGGCGGGGATTCTACGGGCAGCGCGCGCGGACCGCCATGACACGGCATGCATCCGGGATGGGGGGCGCTCGAACGAGCTCGCGACGGCAAGACTCGTGTAACGGGCTTGGGATGGGAGAGGAGGGAGGAAAGCGCGTAGGTGCAGAGGCGGCGAGCGATGCGGAAATGTTGGAGCAGAAGCGGCGCCGAAGATGACAAACACGTCAAAAGCGCCAAGCCCCGCGGCCACCGCCGCTGCAAACTCCGACCGACCGGCCAACTTTTTTGTCCGCCCCAGCTTCTCTGCGCCCGCCCTGCTTCGCCATGGCTCCACTCACAATGGAACTCGACACCATGGAGCTCGACCGCCCTGCGCTGCAGTCGCGCTCCCCCAAGGGCAAAGACGTTGCCAAGAAACCCTCGAAGGCACCCACCTCGACCCACGATCGCGACGACGCCGAGGCGAAAGCCCGCCTGCAGGTCGCCGAGAGCACATACGGCCGCGGCGGGGGGAAGATCAAGGTCAAGAACATCAAAGACAAGAAGCTGCGCTACGAAGTACGGCGGCAGGAGCAGAAGCGCAAGGACGCTGCTCTACAGGCTCACGATGCCGAGATCCTGCTGGAACACCAGAGCGGTTTCCTCGAGCCCGAGACGGAGCTGGAGCGGACGTACAAAGTGCGCCAGGACGACATCCGGGACGACGTTGCCATCGAAACGGCAAAGAAAGGCTTCGAGCTGAAATTGACAGAGCTGGGGCCGTACAAGGCCGACTACACGCGGAATGGGCGGGAGCTGCTGCTCGCCGGACGCAAGGGCCATATCGCAACCATGGACTGGCGCGATGGCAAGCTGGGCTGTGAGCTGCAGTTGGGCGAGACGGTGCGCGACGCGAAGTGGTTGCACAACAACCAGAGCTTCGCCGTTGCCCAGAAAAAGTATGTCTACATCTACGACCACCAGGGAGTCGAGATCCACAAGCTTCAGAAACACATCGACGTCACCCACCTCGAGTTCCTGCCCTACCACTTCCTGCTCGCAAGCATCGGCAACGCCGGCTACCTCAAGTACACCGACACCTCGACCGGTCAGATGGTCATCGAACTTCCGACACGACAAGGCTCTCCAACCGCATTCGCGCAGAACCCATACAACGCCATACTACACGTCGGACACCAGAACGGACAGGTTTCGTTGTGGTCGCCCAATTCGTCGGATCCGCTGGTCAAGCTGCTCGCTCACCGAGGCCCGGTGCGGAGTATTGCCATGGACCGAGAAGGAAGGTACATGGTTTCAACCGGCCAAGATATGAAGATGGCCGTGTGGGATATTCGCATGTTCAAGGAGGTCAACAGCTACTTTGTGCGGCAGCCTGGGTCGTCCGTCGCCATTTCGGACAGAAACCTCACGGCGGTAGGCTGGGGCACGCAGGTATCCGTTTGGCGCGGGTTGTTCGACAAGGCGCTCGAGGACCAGCAGAAGGTGCAGTCGCCGTACATGGCGTGGGGCGGCGAGGGCAACAGCATCGAGCGCGTGAAGTGGTGCCCATACGAAGATATCTTGGGTGTTTCGCACAACAAGGGCTTCAGCAGCATCATCGTACCCGGCGCCGGCGAGCCCAACTTCGACGCTCTCGAGGTGAACCCTTACGAGAACGTCAAGCAGCGCCAGGAGGCCGAGGTCAGGCAGCTGCTCAACAAGCTGCAGCCTGAAATGATCTCGCTCAATCCGGATTTCGTCGGTGATGTGGACCTGGCTTCGGCCGAGACTCGTCGCAAGGAGAAGGATCTAGACGCGAAGCCGGAGGATATTGTGGAGAAACTGAAGAACCGAGGCAGGGGAAGGAATGGTGCGCTGAGGAAATACCTGCGGAAGAGAGGTCAGAAGAACGTGATTGATGAGAAGAGGATGAAGCTGCAGCAAGCGCTCAAGGAGCAGAACAAGAGAGAACAGGCTGGGCTGCAGAGAGACAAGGAGAAGTATGGCCCCGCGCTATCACGATTTGCGCGGAAGGGTGCTTGAAAAGCGTTCACGGCTGGCAAAAAGCAAGTGGGTTGCGGGCGTCTGGAAGGTCTAAAAGCATAAATGGCGTTCACGGTTGGCAGATTTGACGGGTGTGAAGGGGGAACACGATACCTCAGTACTAGATGTCTCCTACTTATCCTTGTTGGTCTCACTACTTCTGTCCAAGATTCGGCCCCTCCCAGCGTTCAACTCAAAGCGACATGCACCGAAATGCGAACGGACTGACTGGACACAAGATCAGGCAACAGCCGCGTTCTGGACGGCAGGCGGCCGTTGAAGGATCACGGTGACTTGGTTAGTGACGCCGCCGAGGTTGGCTGTGCTAAAGTAAAAGGGCGAAAATCGTATTCTTAGCGATGAGACAAGCCGGGGTGCATGGGGTGCATGGGGTCCATGGGGTGCCTTTCACCGTGCAACGACCCAGCGAATGCTGACGCCGCATCGCTGCAGGGATGGGCGCCGGCGCGTCGGGGTGATCAACAGGGCTGAAGACAAGACAAGCCTTCTTTATATCTGGATGCAGGCGAGAAGGATTTTCTTCGCAGCAGTTTTCAGCTTCCGAAGCCCTGACGAGGCCGTGGTGTGGAGAGGTTGGGGGCCAACTACACCGCACGAATCCTGCAGGAACAAGTACCCGCATTTCCGGCACCCAATCACCACCAACCCCCCGGGCCTGAGTCGATTCCATCTGATTCGCTTGTGCGATTGCTATTTGCGGTTCAACCTCCGCCTCCAGGCCAAGCCGATCTCCACGTGGGTTGCCTGCGGCTCTGCGCCGTTGGGTCCCACGGTCCCGAGTCCTTGCGCCATCTCTGGAGCAGGCTCCATGCTCTGATCAAAGAGCTAACCGCGCCCCAACTCGGCTTGCCGAAGTCTCGTTGCGACTGCTGCGGCTGCTTACAGCCAGCCAACTCCAACCCGCCCGAAATAGAGCACCGTTTTCCCGTCCGGAATATCCCATCTCGAGTGCAATACCATCGAGCTCTTATCGATTTGCTGACGCGGAGATCTGTGCTAGACCCTATCTCTACGCCTGATCTGGAACCTTTTCCGGCGAGAAATACCGAACTTCTGCTTACTGAGAGAGAACGTGCATGCAATGCTCAGCCCTGCGTGAGCAACCGTTCTGGATGTCAGAATACTGACTCGCCGCCGACTTCTAGGCGCACCGAGCCCAGCCATCGACTCCGAATGAGCAACCAGATGAGCGGAGAATGCCTCGCTTGGCTTCGATTTTGGCCCGGCCTCCAGCCCTGTGACTGCGCTGCCTCATCGCCACAATCCACTTGACCCGTTCCCACACCTCGATCCTTGGGGCCGTTCTTTCTGCCTGCGTCATATTACTCTCTCGGCAGGACCATGCGCGCAACGGACGGTAAAAAGAGTGTTGGAGGAGGCTGTAGACACACATGTTATATATATGACTTGACCGTGTACCCTAACCCTCACCAATCTCATACCACTGAGAAATACATACACCTTTCTCATACTCTTTTGCTCACCAACATGGCTCCCTTGGACTCCAGACAGTTGCTGCTCGCCTCGATGAGCGGCCAGATGATGTGCCTCCCAGACCTTTGGCCGTACTTCTGTCATTGGCCCACCGGTGTGAACCCAGGACTCGATCGTTTGCGGAAAGACGAAAGTGATTGGCTTGACGCGTAAGTTTTCCACATCTCTTGCGGTTCTATGTATGAATTGGTAGCAGCCACGTTGACAACGTTTCAACTGTGCAGAAACATCCCTTCACCAAGGCTCAGAGCAGCATTCAAGAAGGCCGACTTCAGTCTGTTGGGTTCTGCAAGCTCTCCCTGGGCATCCTATGAACGGCTTAGGATTTCCTCGCTGCTGATTGTCTGGGTACGTCCGAGATGCCTTGAAACATCTTTCGGTCAATTGGCTAACCTCATCTTTCGTACTACAAGACCTTCGTGGTTGATGACGGTGAGTAGCCGTGAATTTGGGCTAGTCCTTGTTGATCGGTTTGCTAATGGCGTTGCCTAGAGCTTGACATGGAGGACTCATCCATGGTGGATGATCTTGAGGCCTCCAACAGATACCGCCATGAGCTTATTGAGCTTGTGCGCGATCGCCTTGGGCTCTCCGTACCTAACGCAGAGGACACTGCAGGCACAGTATACGCCAGCCGCCTGGCCAATGACACAGGTTACAGCCATATCATCGAGAGCTTCAATGAGATCGGCGATGCAATCCGGAAGGAATACAACATCGGTACGTCTCAAGGGCTCAGATGAGACGCTGAGAGACTCTACTGACAAGAAATTAGAGCAACGGCAACGGCTGTTCGACAACATCAAGTTCTATCTGGACATGACCAAAGAGGAGCAATGCTCCAGATTGAGCGGTGGTGTCCCTAGCCCTGAGGAGTACTGGACATTCCGTGATGGCGCCAGTGCTGTGGAACCATGCCTTTCCATGATCGAGTAAGTAGAGCCGTACCAAATCTCTTCATTCGATGCATATTGACAGAAGTTGCAGGTACCTTGCGAAATCAAAGGGACTCCCACGCCAAGTGTTCGATGATCCTGACATGAAGAAGCTGTGGACTCTGACCAACATCAATGTGTCTTGGTATGTTAGATTTTTCAGTAACAGCAGCGACTGAGCTAACAGATACACAGCGTCAATGATATTTTCTCAGTCAAGAAGGAACTGGTACGTCAGGATTCATATGCCCTTCTTTTCCTCCAGATTGCCTTTCCTTAGCCCTGATCGCATTGCTGACGGAAACTATTGTTACCCAGGCCGGCTTGTCGATTGCGAATACTATTCCAATCTTTTACGCAGATGCTTCAGAAAGCAGGGATCCCCTCGGAGCCGCGACCCAACGCGCGGTAGCTCTGATCATCGATACCATCGCCGGGATTGATGACTTGGGCGACAAGCTCATGCTTCGATACGGCACGGAAGATCCAGATGACCAGTTGACAAATGACTTGCAAACCATGATCAATGGTTGCAAGGCCTGGTGTACGGGAAATCTGCACTGGAGGTATGTTATCGTTGAGTCCCTTTCACCACCAACATCCGGTGCTAACTGGTAAATCTGCAGCTATGAGACAAGACGGTATGGAAAGCTAGGCGAGAAGCGAAACAAGGACGGAAGCCTTTTCATTCAGTTGTGAAACAAAATGTAATTTCATCTCGGCGTTGGGGGCTTCACTGGATGGGAACTTCATGGTAGATTAGAAACAACGACGGCAACGGAATACCTAATGAAACAAGTAACGTATCAATCAGCAACTCTTTGTAATATTGTCATGAGTGAATCTAGTTGGCTTTGCGGTCGATTGGTACGGCCTCGTCCAAGCCCGCACATCTCTGGAAGGCTGGCAACCACTCTTCGTCGTGGGTCAGTAATCAGCCCTCTTGCCAGACGCGCCGCAGTGACTGGGAGACGAGTGTAATGTTAAGTTGAAGGCATCTGGTTTAGGTTTGGACTGCGCTGAACCCCGCCTCAATGACACGCCTTTCCGTACTTTCTCAACCTCACGTAATTGTACGGCAGCGGTGCTACAAATCCAGCTCCAATCGAGATCGCCGCTGCGGCCCAAAACCACGGATCACCTATGTCCACTACTCCGCCAGTGAGGTGGTAGTCAACCACGTTCTGCGCCATCTCCATGGTTAGCATAGAAATCAAACTCATGCCCGCTGCCGTCTTCGCTGCGGAGGGCCAAGAAAGGCCGTCCCGGCCGACGCGCAGGAGTACAGTTTCGAGCAGCATCGATGACGAGACGCCGGTGGCCACTTTGGGAGGGGTCAGTCAGTGCATGTTTTCCTACACGGTCAGGCTGAGTCCGGAAAGCGGTGCTTACTTGATATAGCCATGATGGGCCCGACACCCAAGTCGGAGTAGAGGGACTGCAGGAACCAGAGCGCAGAGAAGTCGCCGAGGGTGCAACCAACGAGGCAGCGAAGCGTGTTTACTGAAGCCCTTTTCCATGTTGGGCGGGATGTCCAGAAAGGAAGTGTTGCTGTTGCCGGAGTGATTTGCTTTTTCTCGCAGGATTTTGTGCGTTGGCAAGCATATGTTCTGCTTGACGTGAAGAGCGTTTGACGCCGTGGTTGAGCAGTAAAACGACCACAAAAACCGATGTCCTCATGCATTCGTACACGAGGTGTATTACTCTTCACAAGCAAGCTGCATGGTCGAATGCTTCGTGTGCAAAGATGCATAGGGAGCACTTTTAACGCCGCTCCTGTTCTTGATGTTCCGTGGACGAGCGGATACTCCCTTGCACCTGCCTGAAAGAATAGAGAAAGATAGTGGGGGCCAGTAGGAGTCGATTACTGCCTTGGATGTTGTGTTGATGGAAGAGAAAATGTAAAAGGTGTGATGGATGATGGGCAGAAGCTACCCCCGGCGGGGTGTCACTGCCTAACCGAAAGGGGAAATCTTACCGTACAGCTGCCCGTAAATTTCGGGACGCTTGACGTAGCGCCCAGACCCTCCAGCTTGCAACCACCTTGCGCAATAATAAACATCAACACCACGCTTCGCCCGCGGCCCGACCCTTCCCTCACCCTAGGCCCTGTCTCCAGAGAAACCATCTCATGGAAGCGCCCCAAGAAAGCGACGCCCAACGCCGCGCCCGCGAGCGCCGCGAGCGCCGTCAAGCCAAAATCGCCTCACAAGGCTCATCACGCCTGGAAGCCATCACCTCGCTGAGCGGCCGCCCCGCTCCCGCAGTCGAAGATGGTAAGCCCACACACACACACACACACACTCCCCTCCCACCAATGCCCTTCGCACCCTCCCCTCCATCCGTACAAGCTTCTGACTTCCGCGCTCAGCCAGCCCTGCGCCCCCAGCAAAACTCTCCTCCGCGGAACCGCCCCCCACCACCACCGCCGCCGCTGCGCACGACTCCGCCGACCCGCCCGAAGTCGACATCAGCGAGCACTACTACCAGCCCGCGCCGCGCCGCCTGCCCCCCTCGTCCGGCGCGTCGGGGGCCTCCACGCCGTTCGGCCCCGCCAGCGGGAGGGACAGTCCGTTCGCCGGTGGCGGGGCGATGGACAGCGACCCGATGATGCGGATGATGCAGCAGATGATGCAGGGCGGCGACCAGGCCGGGGGCGGCGGCGCTGGCGGCGGCGCGCAAGGAGGAGGAGAAGACCCGATGATGAAGATGATGCAGGCGATGATGGGCATGAACGGCGGCGGCGCTCCGGGCGGGCAGACGGCGGAGGCGCAGAAGCAAGCGACCGGCTCGGCGTACGTGTGGCGCGTCGTGCATGCCGTCTTCTCGTTCGGGCTGGCGGCGTACGTCGCGCTGACGTCGACGTTCGACGGGTCGAAGCTGGGCAGGGTGAAAGGCGGATCCTTCACCCACCTCGACGACGACGACGCGGGCGCGGCGGGGAGGCGGCTGTTCTACATCTTCGCGACGGTCGAGGTGCTGCTGCAGACGACGCGCTTCTTCGTGGAGAAGGGCAGGCTGCAGCACGGCGGCATCATGGGCACGTTGGCGACCGTCCTGCCCGAGCCGTTCGCTGGGTACGTGAGGCTGGCGGGACGGTACAGCGTCATCTACACGACGGTCGTGGCGGATGCCATGGTGGTGGTGTTTGTGCTGGGAGTGATGGCGTGGTGGCAAGGTGCGGTGGTGAACTAGGGGAATGTTTTGGGGTCCCGTTAGGAAGAGTAGATACTAAAAAGTAAAAATTGCAAAGAATAACATATTAGGGCCAGCAGGAGTCGCAGATCTCGTGAAAGCGTGCTCTGAATGACAGCTCGTGGGTAGTGTTGACCATTCCAATTCGATACCTCTCTCATCGATATACCTGCATTACCCACTGGCCGCTGTTGGAATTGATGATCCAGACTGGACGTGTCTGGGTGTCCTCCGCTGGTTGAGAAAATCCGCTTCTTGAAATATGTCCGTAATCCCACAAAATGGTACTGTACAACCCAACGCAGCGCCCCGTATCTTTTCCTTTTCGAGCAACCTCCGCACCCCATCTAATGCCAAGCGCTCTCCGTCTAGCTCCCAGACCCCTTCGCCGCACCCACCGTCTACGAAGGCTGCAGCCCCACCTGTCCTCTTGCCGCGGCCAGCAGCTGGGCCTCCCTCTTCCGCTGCCTGTTGACCTCAGCCTGAAGCTCGCTGTCCCTGCGGGAGCGCTCGGCGCGCTCCGCCAACTCGCGCAACTCGTCCTTCTCCACCTCCGTCGGCTCGATCTCCTGCGCGCCCGTGACCTCGTACAGCTGCTGCAGGATCTCGCTGTCGGTCTTGTCCTTCATGTGGATGGTGACGATGCGCTCGTTCGGACCCGATTGGGTGGATATGTTGCCAGCCGCAACGGTAGGAGCAGCGGCAGGGTCGGCGCCGGTGGTGGTGGAGGAGGAGGAGGAAGTGTCGAAGAAGACGTTCATGATGGGCGGGTCGGACTGCGCGGCTCTGCGGTCGACGACGACGCGAAGCGCAGGGTTGCGGTACTGTAGGCGCGGGAGAGCCTTTCTGAAGAATCTCCTGTAAAACCCGCCCCCGTCGCAGCGAGGGGCGTCTTCTGTCAGAGACACCTGTCGTCGCTCTCGTCCTGTCCCGCACGGCGGCGTGGTGAGAGGTGGTTGGGAACGTACTTGGGTCCCGCGTGGCCGTCGTCGATTTTGGGCGCGAAGCGCATGGTTATCTTCTTGACCTCCTTGGGCATCACGGCGGCGCCGGGTCCAAGTCGGATCCCGAGAAGCTGTTTGGAATGGGGGGCATCGTCTTAGTCGAGTGGTCTGCGGAGGTGATGCGGTACGGGAGTGCGAGGGGTTACCTGCTGTGAATTCGCGGGCGAATTAGCAACTGCGGGCGAAATTTGGGGGCGAAAGCCACGCTTACTTGCTTCAACTTGAACATGCGCTGTCCTATCGTCGGCATCTTGGCGGTTGTGCGGAGAATTGGGGTACTGGGCGGGTGGAAGCTGTTGTTCGGCGGAGCCGATCAGAAGGTTTCCCATGATCGGAATTTTGGAACGCCGGTATCTTATCTCTCGCTGATTCATCGGCAAGGCGCGTTCATAGCTACAGAACGCGGTCGTGACATGGCCAAGCATGCAAATAATTGATGTCGCATCACAGTAGGTTGCAGGAGATTTTATCATTCTTCTGCAAAAGCCTTGAAGTAGACATGCGGATTCGAACGTACATTCTAGAATCAACATAGCAATAACTAGATAGACTCCATTGATCCACACACGTAGGATGCAGGTTTCGCTCGTGGGAGGCATCCGTGAAACTTCGATTTTGTTTAGCTAACTTGACTTGCTCTGCATAGTCCTATTGCCTCAGGCCATTAAGCCGGAGGCTAGGCTTGCATCAAACCTCACTACCGAGTTGTCCTACTTCACCACCACCTACTCTGCGCAACAAGGAAAAATGAATTGGCTATGAGACCGAACGCCCCGCAGTCCCAACTACCTAAGTCCTATAGTAGTCCCATGACGTTTCGCCGTACGCTTCCGTACTCATAACAGTACTCGTGACAGGTATTTACACCCCATCTCATCCAAAATTCTAATATCCCGAGAACCCGCAGAAGCTGTTGCATCGCACTTGCCGCAGTTGGAGCATCAAGTTCATGTGGCCTGTTCTTGTTTCGAAAGACTCATCTACTGCGCGGCGGCAGGTGCAGCAGGGCGCGGGCCACCGGGAGTGGGTCCACCTCTCCGGCTGTAAGGAAGTTAGTTCACAGCCGCGGTGGAGTATATACTCAAGTCAAGGAATGGGAGGGACTTACACGAAAGTCCTGCTGAGCATGGAGATGGCAATCATGGGCAGCCAGCTAGGCATCTTGGAGAAACCCCAGATGGCGTAGGCGACGGGGACCGCGAGGCCGTACTTGACAAGGGCGCCGTCGAAGGGGTGGAAAACGCCCTCGTAGGGCTCAGTCTCCTTGTACTTCTCTTCGAGGGAGATCTTGGCGATATCGGTGGCGGTGGTGGTGGTCCTGTTCAGGCTGATGAAGCGGACGGTGGTGGCCGGGGTGGACTGATCAGCGAGGGGAGCCGGAAGAAGCACGTGCAGGATCGAAGGAGGACCGGCGGCCCAGGTGTTGCAGAGGACGGGCTCGGCCTCGCAGTCGACTTGGCCAAGGTTAGGCGACTTGGGGCTGGCAGAGAGGAGAGGGACAGATTTCTGCAAGGCGACACAGTTAGCATTGCATGTCCAATTGGCGGGTACAAAGCTTCCAACGTACGGTCCAGGCCTCAGTCGTGTTTCCGCACAAGCCGTAGCAGGTCTTGTTGCCGCCGGTCAGGTAGATCAGCCACTCCTCGGGCGCGGAGCCTTGAGCGGAGACGCTGGGAGTCACAACGTCGCGCCAGTTCTCCAGGGTCAGGTTGGCGACGGCCTTCTCGACGACCTTGGACGCGCCGGCATTGATGGGCGACTGCACGGCGGGAATGGCCGTGGAGACATAGCCCTGGGCCTTGTTAAACCAGCCCTTGACCTTCTCGGCCAGCGGCACTTGCTCCTCGGCGAGCGCGAGCGCAGGGAGGGCGACGAGGAGAGTCTTGGAGAAGCGCATTGTGGCGGTTCGCGGGGTTGACGGTAGGGAGCGGATGCGAAGGGAGGGAGAAGGCAAGGTGAGGGACGGCGCGCGGTGGAGTGCGACGATGTGGTAATCGTGCAGATAATAAGCTGCGAGGAATGTGGCGGAGGGCTAGCTGGCAGCAGGGCGGGACTTAACCGGAAATGCGGCCAACGGTATGCAAGGCTAAGGTTAGGCCGAAGAATTGCAAAACACCACTGAGCGACGAAGGGAAGATGCCAGGTGACAATTCGCGCGGCGGCGAGGGCAGGGGATCCCGAAGCGACGCGTCGAATTAAGCTGGGAGGCAGCCTACGGCCAAATGCGGCTTAGCGGCTGCTCCACGTCTTGCAACGGCTGGTCAGAGCTCCCAACTGCAGTCGCACGCGAAGGGTGCCTGAGAGCCGGCCACCCTGCCCACCTCGCCCTTCGTTGGGGAGTGCAACCATGGCTGCTCTCTACCGGCGATGCGGGCCGCTGCTGGGCCTCGTCGCGCCCTCAGTTATTGCCAGCGGCGGCCTCCATCCACTCCCACTCCTCTTCGTATCTCTCTGCGCCTGTGGAGACCCGCACGCCGCGCACTGTATCATCCTTCATTTCTGAAACTGGACTGTGCACACTATGCGTCTTACGCCTGCCAGGTTCCTCGCGCTGGTCGCCGTCGCCGCGCAATCGTCCAGCGTCGCCGCCGGCCCAATCGAGAAGGGAGCGAGTGAGTCGTGATCTCCGCCTCCCAAGTCCAAGCGTCCTTCTCCGGACTGACCACCTGCAGACTCCACAGTCTCGGCTGCATCAGTCGTCTCCACAGCCGCTCTTGTGGAGAACACCGGCATTGGGGTTGTCCGACCAACTATCAACTATAGTCCGGTGCCGACTCCGGCACTAAATGAATCGAGCCTGCTGGCCCCCAGCGGCGATTTTCCCGTCTGCCGTGATGAGGCGGCGAAACCCTTCTGCCTGCCGGAAAACAACACGGACCTCTACTTCGGCGAGCGCTACTATGTGACGTGGAATGCGAAGCTCTTCAAGCCCAACTCTACCATTCGCCTCCTGCTCAACTGGTCCAACGACACGAGCAGGAACGTGTGGGCAAGCGGGCCTCTCCAGAGCCAGCTCGGTGCTACGGCTGTCGGCATGCAGCAAGAGTGGCTGCAGGGATACACAGCTTACAACGTCACCTTGTTCGCGCAGGTCTTGGATGCTGTCGCGGGGACTATCTACGACGGTCCGACGGTGCAGCTCAAGGCGAAGCCATCGACACACGCGCAGCCTCAAGAATCTACGGAATCGCGCAATGGAATGGCGCTGAAGGTTGGGCTGCCGGTTTGTTTGGTCTTCACAGCCCTTGTCGTCGTTGGACTGGCATATGGCATGCGTAAGCAGAGACGCAGCGGCGTCGGTAACGTCATGGGCCGCAAAAGAGGCTACGGGACCCGCGTTTCACGGTGGCAGCGCTTGGGTCGGAACAGGGCTGGCAGGAGGGATGAGCTCTCGCAGGAGCATGAGTTGCTTGGTTCCGGAGAGTACAAGGATGAGCAAGGGAAGCAATCGCGCGATTCCAGTGTGGACACTGTTATTACCAGACCGCCGAGGGACAGTCGGCAATAAACGGGAATGTCTTGCCTAGCGAAGAGGCGTTGGACGCGGAACCTGTAACTGTAATGTACCTACTCAGTATGTAGTAGCCGTGTAAGCGGAGGGTGGCTGCATCCAAGAGTACCTATGTGAAGCTGCGAGGGCTGCCAATCACGAAGCTTACCGAATGCTAGCCAGCCTGCCGTCTGCCGGACCCCCGCAAGCCCCCACATGACTTGTGCGTCGCTGCCCTGGCGTCACTCGACTCGGATCACACCACGAGTGCGGCTTTGCTGCTGCCATTCCACTGAACCATCATCTCAGCAGGGAATGTCAAACTGCGCCACCTGACATGTCCGTGATTTGTGAAGCCACCAGGACGAGCTATGATATCGACGACAGCGCGCCTTCTTTCCCCGCATCCGCGGCATCCCGCCAAGACGGCCTCTGCAAGCGCTGCGAAGTGCTGGCCCTAGACGACGGTAAGCAGGGCGGCCAGATCAAAACCGAAAATGGGGAAGACTTCGTCTCGTTCGGAGATAAGCGGTGGCTGGACCTCGACTACAAGCTGGAAGACCGCCTGCCGGCTTTGCCCGCTCTCAGCGACTCCGCCAAGGCCGGCTGCGGCTTCTGTCGACTCCTGAAAACCGCCATCTTGAGGCTCGTTGGCGGCGAGAAGACTCCCGTGCCACCTGACAGGTCACATGTCCTCGCCAAGCACCTCAGGTTTCTGCTCAAACCTGGCCATAACCACGACCATTTCCGCTCCAACCATGAGAGAGATCAAACCGTGCTCGATGAGCTTGCCGTAGAGCTGTTCTTCTCGCGCGACGAGCACATCGACGAATGCCGAAAGCCTCGGCCCAGGTTTGCCATTGAAGAAACTCTGTTTTTCGAAGTACATGCAGCGCCAGGTATTTCCTAATCGGGCACATGCCTTCGACCCACTGCTGATGCGCTTTAGGCCAGTGCGCTAGATGGCTGGGTATCGCTCGACAGCCCGTTGCTCCGTCCGCACTGTCCGCACCAGGAAAAAGGAGACTCAATGAGCTGATCGCCAACTGTTCTCCTCCGCAGTGCTCCAGAACCGCCCATTCTTTCGTCCCTTCGAGGCTGGTAGATGTTGGCGGCAGAGAAGGTTCTCAAGAACCTCGCCTTGTCCTTACCTCCGACCGTGCCAAGCTGGCCAATGGGACCTCATCGGACGTACATGCCGTCCCCTACGTTGCCTTGAGTTATTGCTGGGGCGAAAGTCAACCGCCATTCACGACCAAGGCAGATTCACTTCCGAACCACCTCCAAGGAATCGCACTGAAAAATCTCCCCAAGACCATCTGCGACGCAGTGCTGGTCACGCGCGCCTTGGGACTTCGGTACCTATGGGTCGACTCCCTGTGCATCATCCAAGATGACACTGAAGATTGGGAGAGGGAGTGCGCGCAAATGAAGTCCATTTACTCAGAGGCGTACCTCACAATCTCGGCCCTCGCAGGAGATACTTGCCACAGCGGCTTCGCCGACCGGGCACTGAGTGAGCCGGAAACCTCGTTGCAATTCAAGTCATCTCTACGGCCGTCCATGTGGGGACAATTCTATCTGAAATTACCACATCCTGCCGGAATTGACGAAAGAAGCGTCTTCTCCAGCTGCATGGATCCGTGGGATTTTCCTACTTCCCGGGTGGCACTGACAACACGCGGATGGCCCCTCCAGGAATGGCTCTTGTCACCACGAAAACTTGTTTTCCGAGATGACATGGTATACTTTCAGACGGGCACACATCGAGAAGCGGAGAACGGATTCATCACTCTTGAAGAGTCTCTGAACGAATGGGCAAACTCTCTCAAGAATGCGGAAACGGCAACACAGAGATGGTACGAGCTCATGGAGGAGTACTCGCAGAGGGAGTTGACGTACAAACAAGACCGCCTTTCCGCCATTTCTGGCTTGGCGCGAGACGTATCCGAGCGACTCACATTGGAATACATCGCCGGTCTGTGGGCGTCTGACCTGCAGAAAGGGCTCTTGTGGACGACCTTGGCGGAAGACGACGAGGACAAGATCCCGTTCTCCCGGCGCCTTGGGGAGCTGACATGCACTGACGCATACATGGCACCATCGTGGAGCTGGGTTTCCTATTCCCACGGAATTCTGTGGTCGTTGCCCGGACTTGACCTATCGAGTTCCCATGTATCTCTGCACCCAAGCTGTGAGCTTATCTCGGCAATCACCACTCCTCACGGCCTAGACTCTTTTGGCCGTATCAAAGCAGGGCATCTGAAAATCCGGGGCAAGTTTATCCAGTTGCCGTCACCTAAAGTATACCTGGCGTCAAAGTCTCAATCCAGACTTTTGACTATTCGGACAACAAAACCGGACCGGGACATTGCGTCTGTGGAACTTGACTTCCGGTTCGATCACCACATTACATATGAAGGATTCATCACACCTCTCCCATTACGTGATACGTCTCTGGAGGGTCTTTCTCTGCTCATAACGTCTAAGTTGGACGATAGGACAGTGGGTGGACTCATACTTCTGCCAACAGGAGTTGAATCGGAATTCCGGAGGGTGGGGATAGTCCTCTCCAACCCACGAGGCATGAGAGCCTTCGACGAGCTCGAGACCCACAAAATCCGGATTGTCTGATCGCTCAATGTGTCGCGTATATCGCGTTCGTAGTCTCTTCCGTAGCCGCAAGAGGAATTCAAAACCGAAGCTTGAAGAAGCCCACAGTGAACGTGACGCAAAACAGCCATGCTCATGTACATGATCACATTTCAACCCATTTCCCCGTTTCCTAAACGCCATGAAAATGCACAACATCTTGGCCTTCTCGCCTCTTGAAATTCTTGTCTGTGCGAATGAAGCATCTGCGAGGAGCCAGTCGACAGTCATGGAAGTGGTCCGTTTTCTGGTCGGGTTTTATAATAACTTCAAGTGGCCGGTAACCTGGTTGATGACGCTTACGGGGCCAGGGCCAATACCCAGAACCGTGGCGCTGCCGGCAGCAATCTGGGTACGGCCAGCGTCGTGGATGGTCTGCGCGCAGAGCCCCAGGCTCATAGCCTGCGCCTGCAGCAGCTGCATGTCCTCCTCACTAGTGCACTTCAGCGCTACCTTCATCTGGCCGTATCTTTCCCAGCGACGGAGGAGGGGCGAGTCGGGCGCCTGGCGGAGGAAAGCCTTGTAGCAAGCGAGGGTGGCATGCCCGCACTGCGCCGCGATCTTGCCTGTCCGAAAAGTCAGTGTGAACAGAAATATCATGTACTTCCAATAATCATACCTGAGCCCATCTTTAGATCAGTCCGCACAACCAACACCAGCTTGCACTCTTCGTTGCGGTCCGTGAACGGGTCGAGCTCCTGTCTTTCCACCTCATCCTCTTCGTCCTCGGAGTCACTTTCTTCCTCCGAGCTGCTGCTCTCCTCGTCCTTCTTCTCGCCCTTGTCCTTCTTCGTTTTCGCAGCCGCGCGCCCGGCCTCGACGCCCTGCAGGTACCATTCTTCAGACACGCGCTTGCCGAGCCAGAGGCCGCCAAAGATAACGCCGCCGAGGGTGCCGACGAAGGCGGAGACGAGCCAAGGGAGCGGGATGGAGACGCTCTGGCGCATGAGCGACATGGCGGAGGCGGGTGGGTCGAAAGAAGCGCTGGCTGCGCTGGGCTGTGTTCTTTTTTTGCTTGATTGGCGAGTGTTGTAAAAGAGCTCGGGTAGTCGACGTTAGTCGCGGCGGAGCTGGGGCAGCAAACACTGTGGCTACCCGGCGATACAAAGTCGTCGTAGCTCGTGTTTGCAAAGTAGAGATCACTCACTACAACGGCTCGAACTCGAATTTGAATCCTGTAGTGGTGAGACTAGAGCCCCATCTGCTTCAACTCTCTCGAATTTCAATGTATATACAAGGATAGGGTTTTGCCATCACGCAGATTTGGCGTCCTGTCTCGTAGGGGAAAATAGATTTTAGGGCGTGACCAAGACGAGTAATATCTACAGCTATTTCTTTACAACGTCAGCGCTTTCTAGGATATAATAGGAGCTGTAAACCCGTGTGGTGCTCTCAATTGCACTTGTAAAGCCGGGCACTTTCAAAGTGTGCGGCGGCCGAACGACCTCCGGCCGGCGGACCTTCGATGAGGTCGCCGCGGAAGTCGTTCTCCAGCATTCGACCGCCGGAAACACCACAAACCACCACCCCATCCACTCCACGTCTCGGGCGCACCGCCCACCCACAACAGCCACAATGGCTCTCCGCGCACCATCATCGTCATCGCTCGCCCTCCTCGCCCGCCTCACGAAGCCCACGACGACGCAAACCCAAGCACGCACCTTCGCCAGCAGCGCCGCCCTCGGCCACAAGTCGACCAAGTCCAAGCTCCGCGACGACCACGAGGGCGTGCCGCGCTACCCGTACGGGCCAAGCCTATGGTACAAGCAGTCGAACCGCGGCCTGTACGGCGGGGCGCGCATCCAGTTCGGCAACAACGTATCGCACAAGACGGAGATCAAGACGCGGCGCAAGTGGCGGCCCAACATCCAGCGCAAGAGCCTCTTCTCGCGCGCGCTGAACCGCACCGTGCGCGTGCGCCTGTCGACGCGCGTGCTGCGCACCATCGACAAGGTCGGCGGCCTCGACGAGTACCTGCTCGGCGAGAAGAGCGCGCGCATCAAGGAGCTCGGCATGGGCGGCTGGCTGCTCCGCTGGCGCCTCATGCAGACCGACGCCGTCAAGAAGCGCTACGCCGAGCAGCGCGCCGCCCTGCTCCTGGAACCCGAGGAGACGCGGGGCATGGCCGGGGAGAAGGTCACGGATGAGCAGTTGGCGACGCAGATCAGGGCATACGACGCGATGCTTGATAAGCAGGGCAGCACCGTGCCGTTGAGCGAGGCGGATCAAGACGCCGTCATCCAGGAGGCGGATCAGGAGGCTGTGGACCAGACGGCGGAAAAGGCTGTGGGCACGAAGAAGGCAGCTCCTAAGGTGGTGGCATAAACTGAGCTCTGTTGGGGATGACGGGCGGTTTGTACGCGTGTTGATATCACGGGTTTCATGGATGGATACTGTAAAATTATGATTGCATTCAGCGGACATGGTGCGAACGCAAGCTACTGGGCTCTGGGCAAAGGAAAAGTTGTCGTTCTCCAGGCCTGATCTATTAGACGGCTGTGCATGAATAGAGCTCTCAGCCAATAATGAAGCGCCAGTTCGACCAGTTTATGACCCCTGCAGACTTGAATCGTCTCGGTGGCGCCTGCGCATATTCAGCATGGCTGATCATGTATGTAGCGGAGCACAAAGACAGCTGTGTCTAGATGCGGGATGATACATACAGCCTAGTGGCATGCAGGTGTACACATGGGAATTTGCATGCACTGCTTGAATCCTCTCTCGAACCGTGCTACAGACGTGCATTCAATCGAGGCAAGCATCAAGATCTATCTAAAAAGTATGTACGCTGTTACGGTTGTGTCTCCTATCTTCAGCCTCCAATGGAGTAATTCTGTGGAAACTAGGAATGTAACGCGCCGCAAAGCCGCCCTCCCGGCTCAACCTGAAGCAAAGCCCCAAGGAACCGTTCAGACGACCCGCTGTGGTTCTGAAATACCTGTCGGCCGCACAGAGGCACGTACACAAAGTGTATTGTCTCCCCTGTGCATAGCCGGCCGAACTGTCGCAGTACTCGACCTTAGACACCTGCGAGACTGTTAGTTGCAACTCCGAGCGGAAAACACTGCGATCTGACATACCGTGAGGCGTAAGGGAGCGCTGGACACAGGTTTGTGTTTTGGTGAGGAAGAAAGTTACAGCCGCCAGAGATTTTTATGCGCGCGTCGCGTCTGTGCGTTCGCCCGCTAACCTCATGCGGACGGGCGGTGAGTGCGGCTCTTTAGGTCAACTTCCATCGCCGCTGCGGTCGATGCCTCGCGACACCTCCGCGGCATCGCCAGTCTCCTCCGGTCTTGCCACAGCATCGCCGCAGAGATTACCATCACCATCTCGAGACCCAGCGCCGCATAGCTCACCCATCATGGACGCTATATCGATCGAGGAGGCCAACAAGATCCGGGTGGCCATGGGCATGAAGCCCCTTCCGGTCCCCGGCAAGGAAGACACCTCTGGCCCCGTCTTCAAGGAACCCAGTGCCGACTCCGACGATGATGATCCCGCAAGCACGCTCGAGACTCGGTCCGCCGCCGCCTACGACAACTGGAAGCAGATCGAAGAGGAGAAGGCGGCCAAGGCGAAGCTGCAGGCCAAGAAGGATGCGATCAAGAAAGCTCGTGACCAGGCGCAGCGGTTCGCCAAGCTCGAGGGTCAGGGCCTGGGCGAGGGCGATGATGTGGACGCAAAGACGTGGCTGGCGGGACAGAAGAAGAGGCAGAAGAAGATTGACAAGGCCCGGAAGCTCGAGCAGGAACTTGCTGAACAGGAGGCTGCGCTGCAGGCTGAGTACACCGCGAAAGACTTGGCCGGTGTCAAGGTGGCGCACGAGTTTGATCAGCTCGGCGAGGGCGAGGAGCACATTTTGACGCTCAAGGATACCGCTGTCGACGACGATGAAGCCGGAGATGAGTTGGAAAATCTTGGTCTTGCCGAATCTGAGCGGGTGAAGGAGCGCCTCGACTCGAAGAAGAGGAAGCGCGCGTACGACCCGAACGATATCGACGAATCCGGCCAGCCATCTATCCTCGCTCAGTATGACGAGGAGATTGACGGCAAGAAGCGAAAGGTCTTCACTCTTGACGGCCAGGGCAGAACTGTGGAAGAAACTCAGAAGATCAAGAATGATGGAACCCTTGGCCAGTCAAAGATCAAGATCAACCTGGACCTCTTGCAGGACGATACTCCCATCTCGGACTACGTTGATCCTTCTGAGGTCAAGATCAAGAAGCCCAAGAAGAAGAAGGAAAAGAAGTCCAGAAAGAAGGCCGTTGACGATGACGACATCTTCCCGATGCCGGCGCCCGCTGCACCCAAGGAAACCGGCGGAATGGAGGTCGATCCTGCGGGGCCGGCGCCAAGGAAGAAAATTGTAGAGGATTTCATTGACGACGAGGACCTACAAGCAAACCTTGCCATGCAGAGGCGAGCTGCTTTGAAGAAGAGAAAGAAGATGAGGCCCGAGGACCTTGCCCGGCAATTCCGTGAGGAGGCCTCGGCAACCCCGGATGTCATGGACACTGTCGAAGCCCCGGAAGATGAACCCGGTCTTGTCATTGATGAAACTTCGGAGTTCGTTGCCAATCTTCAAGGACCAACAGAGCGACCGGAACGCCAACGTAACAAGTCCTCTCAGCCCCGGAGCCGCGCGGTCTCCGAAGCCGCCAATGGTGTCGATGAGGAGGGCGATGTCAACATGGATCAGTCATACGCCGAGGTTGAGGAGGCACAAGAACGTGCAGCCCGCAAGGCAAGGAGCGAGTCGGTGCCGGAGCTTACCACCACTGGCCTTGAAGAAGAGGAGACGGTTGATCGCGGTATTGCCGCAACCCTCAACCTCCTCAAGCAACGTGGCCAAATCGCCGAGATGAACGGTGGCGAGCTCAACCACAGGCATATCGAGCACCAGCGCTTCCTGGCTGAGAAGTCGAAGATGGAATTGGACGCCGAGGTGCGCGCCAAGTTGCAACGTGAGCGCGATCGCCGCTCGGGCCGCCTCGAACACATGTCGGCGCGCGAGCGTGAAGCCATGGCTCAGAAGGCAAACCAGGATCGTGACCGCCTCGAGTCGCGTAAGATGGCCGATATTTTCAACAAGGAGTACAAGCCAAATGTCGAGCTCAAGTACATTGACGAGTTTGGCCGTCGCATGAACCAGAAGGAAGCCTTCAAGCACCTCAGTCACCAGTTCCACGGAAAGGGCTCTGGCAAGCAGAAGACGGAGAAGCGCCTCAAGAAGATTGAAGAAGAGAAGCAACGGGAGTCGATGAGCAGTATCGACTCTAGCCAACACACAGCCATGAACACGGCGATGGATTCTACAGCAAAGAAGAACAGGCAGGCTGGTGTGCGCTTGCAGTAGTCGAGCGCACAGTAGCGTGAGAGAAAACTTACTGGAATACAGAGTTGTTCGTGGGTCGACGACCAGGCGTAGGGAGGGACACTGGCGTTATTCAAGGTTAGTATATACTACTCTCGTCAGCGTACAAATGGAAATCAATATTGAACGAAGCCATTCTTTTTTAGTCCGCGTGGGTTCTGGGAACGGCCATTGAGGTATGTTACCCTTGAGCTCTACGTCTCTGTCACGGACAGTCACATCTACACCATTGATGAACTAACCGCCGGTGCTGCTTCACGCCTCTTGTACTTTCGTGTCCCTGTCAAGAGTCTTGAGATGCAATGGCCTCTTTGCTTGAATGTGCTGATTGATTTATTCCCTGATTTAACCGACTTGCTAGCTTACCTGACCTCTCCCCATGCAAGGCCAAGAGCTCTGTATTGTTGAGTATCACGACATAGCCTTCTGATCAGACGAAACCTAGTATTCGGAGGCCGACATCCAGAACTTCAATGAGCCTGATGAGTTGACTATTCAGTGATGTGTGTCTTTCGTTGGCCCGAACTTCAATATCGATCGAGAATGTAAAGGCTCTGGTCGATTTCCTACACGAGCATAGCAATCAATTACGAAACATGAAAATTATTCAAAGCCCTCAGTATTACGACTCTACCTGCAACACCGGGCTTGCGCGGTAGATTCGGAAGCAACCCAATATTCGGAGGGAAATCCGTAGCCTTCAACTTGATATAGGAGTGTATCCGCCAGTTCAATGTGGCAGCTAGAAGTGGAATTTTCAGAGTCGCTCCTTTCTTGGGTGTGACTCTGGGGGAAAAGCATTTGTACAGAACAAATCAAACCACATGCTAAGAACACAAAGCTATAAATTCCTCTCTCGAGAAGAAAGGAAAAGGGGTTCTGGCTCTTACGCATCTTAATGTGGGATGTTGTGGACGGACTTGGCGCTTGTCATGATTTTTTTGGGCCAACGGTGCCCTCAACCAAGGTACACACTCTACAGCCGAACCGAATTTTAAAAACCGAGCTTAGGATATGTTTCATATTCTCTCTAAGAAAATGCTCTATTGTCCAAGCTTTTCGTAAGTCGTGGTGTCATGGAAACAGTGACGAGCTCCAGCTCTACTCTACATAAGCAGTGAATACTTGAAGCGCCTCTTTGGCTTTGTATTCAACATCAACCCCCTGTCCAACAAAGAAAATGTAGCCCTCCTTGAGCTCGTGTACCTTTCCGTCGACTTTGAGCTCACCCGAACCTTGGGTGCAGACCAGCGAGCTGGGTCCAGAGATGGCAGACAGAGTCTCGGTAGATCCACTGGGAACTTCTGTTGCGAGCATGTTGAACTCGCTCATGGGGGGAGCGTACACCTTCGTATGGCCGTTCTTGCTGCGTTGGTAGGGCTTGCTAGGCAAGATGGCCTCCTTGGCGTCGTGGGGCATAAATGTCAGGCAGGAAATGAACGTCTCGATGTTGTCCCGGTCAGGACGCGGGCAGAAGCCGGTGTTTAGGACGTTGTTCGACCGCGCCATGCACTCGATAATATCGCCAGCAAGGTAGGCATGGATTCCATCGGCGGGGATGTAGATGCTCTCGCCGGGCTGCAGTACCAGGTAGTTCATGGTGATGAGGGCAACCAGACTGCCAGGATCCTGTGGAATTGAGATCAGCGATAGGCTTGAGATCAGAGATAGATTTGACATACCGTCTTCCCATACTGGCCTTGTAGGCGCGGCAGCAGCTCTGGAATGTTGGTGTGTTTTCCAAAAGCCGACTTATCCACTTTGGCCAGCGCCTCTTCGACTTGCTTCACGTCAGACTCTGATGCCTCAAGCATGCTCTGCACAACGTGCTTGAGCGTCTGATCGTCAAACGTAGGTTTCCTGACCGTGGGCAAGAAGCGCTGCAAAGGCTCAAGCGAGATCAACTCTTCAATGTCGTTGAGCGGTTTGAAGCCACAGAAGGCTTCAAATTTGGTCAAAGCAACTGCAATTTCGGGCTTGTGGTTCGGGTCAGTGAAGCTCGAGGGGTTCCGTTTATGCAACTCGGCAGCAAGCGTCTTGTTCTACGTAGCGTCAGCATTGAGTGCGTGGAGAATGGGCGGCGAGAATTACCGGGTGCAGTTGAAGGGGAAGAGCTTTCGCAATAGACAAAACCTTGGGAAGGTAAGGCAAATCCTGGCCGAACTTCTGAATTACGATCGTGCCCATCAGCTCGTCCGGGGTCTTGTTGATGAAATCCTGAAGGTTTTCTCCCGTCTCCAAAACATAGGCAGGCAGCTCGGGGTAGGTGCCGTACCACCTGCACGGCATCAGCACGGACAGCGGGAGCGGGATCACGAGAACATACATCTCGGCATAGGGCTTGTTCTCATCAAGCTTGAAATCAGTTCCGGGTGTCTTGGAAGCCAGTCGAGCAGCAACGGACTGGGAGCCCTGCTTCCCCCACGGATACTCATTGCAGTAGCACTTCAGCTGGACGGCTTTGGGGGCCATTGCGCAGGATTTTGGCGAAAGTAGAAGTGCAATTGGAGTAATTACAGAGAGAGAGGCACAAAGAGGTCAAACGGGGAGGAGCTGTTTCGGTTGTGGCAGCGACGGAAACGGGGTGATTATAGGCAGCGTAGCAGAGCTCGACGTCATAATCGCGTCGGCCCATCGGGCGTGCAGGTGGGAGGTGCGGCGAAAAGAAGCAGCGGGAGGGCCGGAGCCCGTCGCATCCATTGTGGAGAAAGTCGGTGCGACGGTTGATTGCTAATTGCAGAGTGCCGTCACCGCGCACGCTTCGCCTCCCGTCTGCATGTTTCGACATTTCGCTGCTTGGTTTCCACGGACACGGACTTGCGTCAGGGACAACGGGACATGGCCTGCTCCATAACCCCAAGATGGCGGGGAATCTGGAAGCTCGAGGCGGTGCTGCAGGGCGTGTGGAAGCCAGACGGCGAGATCAGCGCTCAACGGCGGTTCTGGGATGTGGGATGAGAACATGGACAGCCGACAGACAGATTGGCGTGGTGACGCAGAGCGACGGCAGGGATGGCCGGGTGGCAGTAAATCGCGGTCGCGCGCGCGGTGCGGCTGCCCACTCACCGCCCGGCGCGCTCCAGGGTCCGCAGGAGATTGCGAGCCCTCTTGGCTCCCACGCTCCCTCCGCGCCGCCGCGTCTCGTATGCCACCGTGGTAGCTGCCAGTGCTGACTACATCCTCGACACCACGCTCCCTCGACTCGCGCCGTCCTCGTATCCAAAGCGCCCTCTCTCGGGATCATGTCGCCTTGATCGCCCTCTCCTCCGTCTGCAAACACCTCTCCTTGCGTGCCCGCCGATCCGCCAGCTCTCTCATTCCAATTTCCAAGCGCCGCACTCCTCCCCCGACCCATCCTCCGCCATGCATTTCGCCTTTCCTCCGCGCAAGACCTCGCGCCCGCCGCCCTACGTCGCCGCCGCCAATGCCCGCTCCCAGACTTCCTTTCTCACCCGTCGCATGGCTCGACAACTTGCCATCTACGCCTTGATCGCCCTGGGCTTTCTCTACTTGGTCAAGAATTGCTTCTCCACCGCGCCAGCTGCGGACTTCATTCCTGCCGGCACTCCGCCCGTCGTGGTGGTGACTACCTTCGATGCGAACCTGCCCGAATCGTTCAAGGAAAGGCTCAGAGCTAACCGGGAGACATACGCCGCCAGGCATGGTCAGTCCGGTCAATGCGCCGCATATGCCTCAGAGGAGCTCACTGGTATCTAGGTTACGCCACCTTCTTCGCCAACGCGTCCGACTACAACATTGGCACTAACCCGCCTAGCTGGGCCAAGGTTCCCTCGATGCGCCACGCCATGACCGCTTTTCCTCACAGCACATACTTCTTCTACCTCGATATCAACAGTCTCGTTGTGAACCAAGACCTCTCCATTGAGGATCACATCATGCAAAAGACCCGCCTCGAGAGCCTCATGATTGTCGGCCTCCCGGTCGTTCCTCCGGACAGCGTCATCAAGACGTTCGCGCACATTTCTGGGGATAACATTGATCTGGTCTTGACCCAAGATACCGACAACCTATGCCAGAATAGCTTCATTCTCCGGCGAGGGGACTGGGCTAAGTTTTTCCTGGATTCGTGGTTTGATCCGCTGTACCGATCATACAATTTCCAGCGGGCCGAGGGCCACGCGTTGGAGCACATCGTCCAGTAAGTCTAGGACAGCTGTGGATGACCATTTTGATAACTAACTTTCTAGGTGGCACGGCACCATCCTTGCCAAGCTTGCTCTTGTTCCCCAACGCATCATGAATGCCTACACCCGAGCCGAGGAGGGCACCAAGGAAGGGATGTACCAGGAAGGCGATTTCATTGTTGCCTTCCCCGATTGTATTGACGATAAGAAGAACACATGTGAGGACGATATGGCGGCCTGGTGGAACAAGTCACAGGAGAGTTCGGACTCGTCTTGATGGCTTGATTGTTTGAGTTGATGGCGTTTAATGGGTATATCCGTGTTCATGGAGACATGATGTCAGCGCGAGGCGTTCGGATTCAAATTAGCATCTCAAGTCTGATGTTTGGTGTGTGCTTCGTACAGCACTATGTATTAGTAATTTGATACCAAAGACTATTCAGGTCTACATCTTTGCAAACACACATGAAGCGATTTTGCGATCAGCTAAGGCTTGCAATGTTTTCCGTGACTGCTTGTTTTCCGAAGAATGCCCTCTGGATTATGCCGACCTTGGTGACGGAAAGCCGCAACACGCTTTCCGCTCGTGAGTTAGCCGGCGATCCTCTTCGAGCCCAACGCGTCCAAGCTCAGCCTATCTCAAACCAACCGCCACCACCTCTCCAGCCCCGCCCGCTCACAACACAAACTAACATCGGACTTTGCAAGCACTGTTCCGATCTCACTATGCTGCCACCGATAGCGCCTGCAGTGCTTGAGCGTAACCCGAAATTCAAGGCTCTTCACGAGGACATCTCGCAAAACAAACTCAACCCTGACGCGTCTACAAAAGATGTCAAGAAGCAGCGCTTGGTGGACGAGGCGAGAAACGTATGTATGACCTTAAACCTGCACGTCCTTTCACTTTGACACCTTCAACAAGCAAATGTCTAGTCACATGTGATAGCTTCGGTCAAAAGAGCCCTTCAACGCCTGCCTTTAATTTGCAGCCAGAGCAAATGCTAATCCACGCAGGAGCTGAACATCAAACGAACCGACCTAGCAAAGAAAAGAATCTTGAAAACCTCGCTCGGAAACCTCAGCGCGCGATCAGCCAATCTTCCCGACGAAGTCTGACCCCCGTATTCGCACATGACCATCAAGCCAGGTCACTGACACCCGCCAGCTTCACGAGGTCATCACCATAGTCGCCGCACAACTCAACGGCCAGATCCCTTCATGCGACCGCGAGATTCTACAAGAAGACGTCGACTACTTCACCGTACGCTCCTCCCACCCACCCATCCATCTCCCCCAACCAACCCACTCCAAGCCACCGCCTCTCTCCCTCTCTCTCACCCAGCTCTCACACACCCATCAACCAGGCCCACATAACCCCCATCTCCCGCGCCCTCTCCACGCACCTCCACCGCACCGCCCTCCAACTCTGCCGCATCGCCACGACCACCACCTCGCAACAACAACAACAACAACAACAAAACCCCACCGCCCAGCTCCCCCCCACCGCGCAACACCACCAATCCGACCTCGCCGCCGCCACCGCCTCCCTCGCGGCCCACCGCACCGCCCTCGCCGACGCCGCCGCCGCCACGCGCGCCGCGCAGACCCGCGTCGTCGAGGCCGCCGTGCGCGTGCTCGAGCAGACGGTGCACGGGAGCGCGGCGCGGGCGGCGCGCGCGAGGGCCGAGCACCTCGCGGCCGTGGCGAGGGGCGTGGAGTTGAAGATGGGGGTTGTGGCGTTGACGGCTTCGGTTTCGAGGGACGGTGGTGGTGGGGAGTTGGAGCGGGCGGTGGAGGGGTATGCGAGGTGGTTGAGGGAGGAGGGGGAGGAGTTGGGGCATCGGAGGGCGATTGCGGAGGATAGGCTGAGGGGGTTTGAGGGGGAGGAGGCGGCGGGAGGCGGCGGCGGCGGTGGCGGCGGTGGGGGGTTGTTGAGGGAGATTGCGAGGAGGTATGCGGAGGTGGAGGAGGAGATTGCGAGGGTGGCGGGGGAGGTGGAGAGGTTGGAGAGGGAGAGGGGGCTGTGATTGGCGGGATGGATGGATGAAGGGAAGGGGGTGTCGGATTGGGCATTTAGGAGGGGGGCTCTGGAGATGTGGCTGATGGTGGGAGGCGTTTGGTGGACTTAATACTTCTTTTTTTCACTTCGGGGTTTTTGTCCTTGATCAGTGGACGGAGAGCTGCTTTTTGCCGTCACGTATCGAAAAGAAAATCGTTGTAATTCATTAAGGAACATCAAGTCTTGCTCACCAAGGAAGTTCCTGGCCGTTTCTATGCCAGAATTTCCCGGTGTCTTCAAGCTTCTTGCTCACCAGGACGTCGTAGAGCTCCCCGACCACCTCGTCTGGACCCACCGCTCCAGGCAGCTCGGGCAGGCCGTGCGGTCCCGTCGTGAGCCCGGTCCTGACGATGCCCGGGTGCAAGATGACGACGATCACGCCCTTGTCCTTCAGCTCGACCGACAGGTTCTTGCAGATCATGTTCAGCGCCGCCTTGGAGGAGCGGTAGGCGTAGCTGCCGCCGGAGCTGTTGTCCGCGATGCTGCCCACGCGGCTGGACACGTAGCCCAGGCGCGGCGGCGCCGACGACTTGAGGATGTTGGGCAGGAACGCCTGCGTCAGCAGCAGCGGTCCGAAGGTGTTGACCGCGAAGGTCTTGGAGAGGACGCCGGCGTTGATGGTGGTGAGCGAATCGTGCTTTGCGTCCAGTGTGCCTGTCGTGGAAAGATCAGAGGGAGGCGGTTTCCTTCAGCATCAAGGCGTAGTTTCCAAGGGTTGAGGGGTGCCAGGTGTCGACGTACCGGCTACGTTGAGCAGCAGATCTAGCGGCCCGTCGCCGTACTCCTGCTTGAATTTGTCGATGGCGTCTTCGGACGTGACGTCCAGTTGAGACGTCTTGCAGCCCAGGCTCTTCAGCTTCTCGCCATCTTGAACATCAACAGCGTGCACGTCGTATCCCTGTTTTCCATTGGTATCAGAGTTTCTTTCAATTGCAAGAACACCACACACCTCTTTGATGAGTACTTTGGCGAATTCGTGGCCTATGCCAGAATTGGCCCCTGTAATGATGGCAGTCGGCATGGTATTTCAGTGCAAACGGATGTTTACTGTTTACTTTAGGGTGGCTTTCCAGGAACTCCTGTATATATGGGGTATTTATTGCTCACGAGACGAGGCGTACTGAGGGGAATGGCTGACAAATTCATGGATGCGGGGATAACGTCGGAAGGAATTGGATGTGCATTGGCAAAGGCCGACGTTGCCGCTACGAGTTTACATGCAATCTTGTCAACATCTGCAGTCATAGCCGCAAACAGTTTCTTGGTTTGAAAGGCACAACTTCACTGTGACAAGGTTGTGTTTCCAGCAGACATTGGAGGGGAGACGTTAGCTCTGCATGTCGTAAGCGCCGTTAATTAACGAGGCTGAGCAGGAATGGAGCGATACGGGCGTAAGCGTTCAGATGATCAGGGCGCTGCCCGGCTCAGCCAACAAATGCAGGCCGAAGGCGAAGGCAAGTGGTGCATCTGGAAGGTGTGGGAAGTGGCGCGTGGATAATAGGGCAGATGATGACGCTTTGGCCGAGGCACAGGGTTCCCTGGCGGGGAAGCACGAAGCTCAGACACAGCTCGCGTCAAGCTGTTTGCCTGCCGCCGCCATGCGCCCTTCTTCCTCTCCACTCCACGGTGACCAGCAATCCCTCAGCACGCAAACATGGCCGACACGCGCAAGACTGTCCTGATCACAGGGTGAACTCACCATCTACAGCTCCTCCCGAGCCCGCTGCTGACCGCCGTGCGCACAGCTGCTCGTCCGGCATTGGCCACAGCCTTGCTAGAGAATTCCACTCGAAAGGTTCCGTTCGATGAGCCCTCCGCCGCACCTCTCGCATCCCGGCTGATACAGTCGCCCTCCGCAGGCCTGCGCGTCTTCGCATCTGCCCGCCGTACCGAGGCCATCGCCGATCTCGCCGAGCTGGGCATTGAAACCGTTGCTCTCGAAGTCGACAAGCCCGACAGCGTCCGGCAGGTGCGCCGCGAGATTGAGGATCTCACCGGCGGCAAACTGGACTTCCTGGTCAACAATGCCGGCCGCAACTACACCGTACCCGCCCTCGACGTCGAAATGGAAGAAGTGCAGCAGACATTCGAGGTCAATGTGTTCTCGGTCATGCGCATGTGCCAGGAGTTTGCGCCGCTGTTGATCGAGGCCAAGGGTACGATTGTGCAGATTGGCAGTCTGGCAGGCGTCATGTAAGTGCCCGGCGACAATGTGCGATTGGTGTACGTGCTGATGGTTTGCGCAGGCCTTATGTTTTCGGAAGTACGTCGACCGCATGCTCCACTTCCTAGTCGAGCCCGCTGCTGACATCCTGTTAGGCGTTTACAACGCGTCCAAGGCCGCGCTCCATGCGTACAGCAACACCCTCCGCGTCGAGCTCTCGCCCTTCGGTGTGCGTGTCGTCACCATTGTTACTGGCGGCATCAAGTCCAACATTGCCAGGACGGACCGCCAGCTTCCGGAGGATTCGTACTACATCCCTCTCAACGAGGAATACCAGAGGCGTCTGAAGCATAGCCAGGAAGGTGCTATGCCCAGCGATGACTACGCTAAGAGCGTCGTCTCCAAGGTCATGAAGTCCAGCCCGCCGAAGTGGGTATGGGAGGGCAACAAGTCATGGGCGGTGTGGTTCCTCAGCAACTTCCTCCCCAAGAGCGTTATGGTCAGTCTGGCTCGAGAGTGCAATGTGGGGTCATGACTAACAGGATCCCATAGGACGCAGTGTTCTTCCGCATGTTCAACCTCTGGAAGCTCGTTGGAACGACTCGGTCGAAGAAGACTGCGTAAAGGTCTTGTCTTTCATGTGCCATTCGTTTTCTGGGCTGCTGTACAATATCCACCATTTCACAAGTTTAACTCGATGGGTAGGGAGTCGGGGTTTACCAGTACAAATGCAACAATCATTCATGGGAGCGGCCGAGTCAGGTCTTCGGTACTGGGGACGGGGGCCTTTATTTGGCGGCAGGTTGCGGTGTGCAGGTGCAGTGTGACGCGCGTGTTTCGAGGTGCAGCTGCCGGCGCGATGGATGACGCTGACTCGTGGGAGCTCGTCCTCCCGCGCTGCTCCACGCTCGCGCGGCTCCCCGAGATCGCCACCGCTATTGCTTCCGCGATCCGCGAGGAGCCTTCTCCTGGCTATTCTCCTCTTGGCCAGGCCAAGCGTCTCACATGCTCGTTCTGAGCTGAGGCGTCGCTAACAAGGGCCACCGCTACCTGCATGTAAGCGATGATCTGCCTGTTCAATAATGTGTTTGCAGCGGGCCTGACAAACTACATGACTGCGAGCACGGGGGCGGTCGGTGGGGTTGTTGCTGTTGGGGCAGGCAGGTGCCGCCGCCTCGCACCTTCTGGCGGCTCGAGGACACGCATCAGAGTGACACGGCCTCGCCGTTTGCTGCCAGGGATGGCCGCAATCAACCATTATCTTTCTTCTTCTTGTCACCTTTTTGCCTATACAGGTGCCCACGCCTCGAACCCGCATCATCGTGCATACACCGCGCCGTTCACTCACCGGTTCGGGAAGCATTGTTCCCTGCAGCTTCCGTCGCATTTATAACCCCAACCCTCTCCGCCTTCCCCCCTGCACTGCCTTATCCACCAACCTCCGCTTCCCTCTCAGCCTCGACCAAAATGGGTGAGCTCAGTCTCTCGGATTCAAAGCCTTTGACCGCCCATGCTCGCTCTACGTACGACTCCTGGGCGAGATTGAAATATCATCTAGCCCAGTCGACCGTGGTTCTCGACGGGCAATCACTCCAGATTCCTGATCTCGTCGCCGTTGCCAGGCATGGCTCCAAATCGGTGCTTGACAAGTCACCCCACCTCATTGCGAGGATAACCGAGAGTGTCGAAATGCTCCAGCGCCACCTTGACAGGGGCGACCTGGTATACGGTGGGACTACCTCTCATCTAATCATGAACTTGAGGGAGAACTGACATTCTCTCAGGAGTTAACACCGGCTATGGCGGTAGCGCTGATACGCGGACCAATGATGTCGTCTCCCTTCAAAGTGCTCTTATTCAACACCAGCAAAGCGGAATCATCTCCAGTAACGACACCGGAAGGCCCTTTCTCGGCGAACGCCAGGGCGCTCTTCACCACGTCGATGACTACGGTACCTTGTCCATGCCTACCTCCTGGGTCAAAGGCTTGATGCTTCAGCGTGTTAACAGCATTGTGCGTGGTCACTCGGCTGTCTCCCTTCCTGTCATCGAAGCCATCATGAACCTGCTCGAGCACGACATCACTCCGGTCATTCCGTTGCGCGGAAGCATATCCGCTTCCGGAGACCTGCAGCCGCTTTCCTACGTTGCCGGCGCCATTCAAGGCAGCCCGGACATTTTTGTGCGCGTCGGAACTCCCTCTCAGGTCATGCCAGCCAGCGTTGCGTTGCAGTCCCACAACCTGCAACCCGTGGTCCTTGCTGCTAAAGAGGGGCTTGGGCTGTTGAACGGCACATCTGCCTCCGGTTCCGTGGCATCACTTGTGGTCTACGAAACCAATCACCTGGCCCTTCTTACACAGACACTTACTGCCATGGCTGTGGAGGCTCTCAAAGGGACTGCCGAGTCCTTCAGTCCTTTCATTGCCAAAGTACGGCCACATAGAGGTCAAGTAGAAGTTGCTTCAAACATCTACGGCTTCCTCCAAGGTTCTCGCCTATCATCTGGCCTGGACGGCGAGAAGGACATGCACATGGCCGGGTTGTGTCAGGACCGCTACCCGTTGCGCACCTCATCCCAGTGGATAGGGCCGCAGCTTGAGGATCTTCTCCTTGCCACCGAGCAGGTGTCAGTGGAGCTCAATTCAACTACCGACAACCCATTGATGGATGTCAATACCGACCTTATTCACCATGGCGGCAATTTTCAAGCAGCTTCCATCACCTCAGCCATGGAGAAAGTTCGCGTTTCAATCCAGATGTTCGGGAAGCTGCTTTTCGCCCAAGGGACGGAGCTTCTCAACTCCGGCTTAAGCAGAGGTCTACCTCCCAATCTCGCAGCGGATGACCCCAGCCTGAGTTTCACCTGCAAAGGAATCGACATTAATCTGGCCGCCTACATGTCTGAGCTCGCGTATCTTGCCAACCCCGTGAGCAGTCATGTGCAGAGCGCCGAAGTTCACAACCAGGCCGTGAACTCGGTAGCCCTCATCTCAGCCCGCTACACTTTTCAAAGCATCGAAGTCCTCAGTCAGATGTGTGCGGCTTATCTCTTTGCCCTCTGTCAAGCTCTCGACCTCCGAGTCCTTCAGTCAAAATTCCTCGAGGAGACTTACGAAGCGTTTAACGATATTATCATCAAATCTCTCACTACCGCTGATCCTGATCAAGCAAGCTCCGTTGACCCCAAGGAACTTCAAGAAGAAGTTTGGACCGCATTGAGGGACAAGTGGAACGCTTCACCCAACGAGGATCTTGCGCCTCGTGCAGCCAGCACCGCCCGCGCCGCCGCCATGACATTTTTGTATCGAGCCCCCAACGCTTCCATTCAGGCTCTTGCTTTCGAAGAGTCTATCAAAAATGTATTACAGCAGAAGTTTGCGGACCTGCGCACACGAATGTTTGAAGAATACATGGATCTCACCCCTGATTACCTTGGTCAAGCTTCGAGGAAGATGTATCGCTTCGTGCGTGTAGACCTTGGTGTCCCTTTCCACAGAGGCCTAGTGGATTGCCCGGAATATGGGAGCCGGCAGTTTGGTGATGGGAGCGACACCAGGAAGAAGATGACGGTCGGCAGCTGGATCAGTGTCATCTATGAGGCGCTGAGAGCAGGAATTTTGCACAAGCCGGTCATGGAGGCGCTTGTGGAAAACGGTGTCTGAGATGACCTTCTTGGGAGATTCACGGGATAATTCTTGAGGGACAAGGTTGATTCTGGCAGGCCAAGTAAATGCGGGACTAGTATAAACAGTATTGTGCAGATTGGACTTCACATAGAAGCATCATGATAATTGAGTTCTTATCAGAAAGAATTTTTGCATACCTTGGCGCTTTTTCTCGTGTTTGCCAGACCTCCCAAGGCTACCTTGAGGTTTGCTTGTGACGCCACGACTGGTGAGAAACACGCAGTCCAGAGAGTATTCCACGAGTACTCCATCACATGGGTTCGTAGATTTCGGATAACCCCTACCCCTTATCTCGAGACTCCAATCGCCCCTTTCGAGATTCTGATAATCCCCTACGCTTTTTTTTTTTTTTTTTGATAGCAAGATATGGCTCGAATCTACTACGAAAGACAAGGACATATTAAAAACGCTTTCTTTATACAGTCATGGGTTGGTAATAAACAAAGGGATTTCAGCACTCCGAAAACGAGGGGGTCAGAAATCTAAACACTACTTCCCTCGGCCATACAGTGTGGATCCGCTGCCGGATGACCTGCGGCGGGGCCTGGGGCCAGTCGGGATTGCCGCACTGATGTCGACGGTGGTGACGCCGAGACTGCTGTCCTGGATCACGTACCGTCTGGCGTCGTGGCGCAGGCATTACCACGGCTACGTTGGTTACAACCAGTACCCGAATTGCAAAAGATCCCATGACTGAGGGGATAAACAGCTGGCTGTCAGCCTCCATTTGTTTCCTTTGATTACGGCAGCCCTGTCTTCTGGTTTTGACCGTCTCACAAACCCATGGCCGAACTGACTTGCATGTCGACTTCTTTCTTTATAGGTTCGCATGAGATATGAAGCTTATGCGCTTTGTGAGTCCGACGTCATTTATCAAGCTCGGATCTGCACATCTCCGGCAGTTGTCCTGCCCAACCCTTCCTTTGCGTAAAAGTCCATCGGATACACGTCGTCACCAACATCTTCTTTGCCGGCCTTGTCCATCCACTTTCCTTCTCGGACGCCTAGCGCCACCAAAGCCTCGTATGGGCTCAACAGAGGCCGAGGGAAGGCGTATCCCCAGTCGATGCTCAGTCTCGGGCAAGCGATCTGAACCCAAGCTTCCACACCACCATCTTCCGCGCTTGTGCCATCCTCCTCATCGACACCCGCTTTCCTTTTGTCCTCTTTGGAGGCGCTCATGATCTGCAGTTTCCCCGGGAAGATCTCGCTCAGCAGAATCTTCATGCATGGAATGCCCTTCTGCTTGAGGTGGTTCTCAATCAGGGTGAGGGTGTGTGGATTGCCCTGGCGGCCCAAGGCGCCGAGGATCAACCCCCATTTACGAGCCTTTTGTGCCGACTGAATGGCTGATGCACGGAGGGAGTACATTTCAGCGTGCGCATAGGTTTCGTGGGTCAGGCGACGGCTGTAGGGATCATAACGGTATGAAGGCAGGTGTGGGTTGTGGATTTGTGCCGACTCGAGGTGGAAGCGACCATCTCCGAGGTATAGCAAGCAATCGGCTTCAATGGGACCATCCTTGGAGGCGTTTGCAGCGGCTGAGGCTACGAGAGATTCGGACTTTTGCTTGGGCGTAGAGAAGCGCGGGGATGTGCATCCCAGAATTTCGCCTTTGGATAGCGGCATGATCTGAGGTACGATGATATTGTAGCCTTCTCGGCGTAGTTGCGGTGCAATGCCATGGATGGTTGCGTTGAATTGAATTGTTCCTACCATAGCAATCGTCTGTCCTGGTTTGAAGTTCCGGACAATCGTGTCGCATAGGTGTTGCGTGTCGATTCCAATGGCGACAAAAACGTATAGTGTTGCAATCTTGGTGACCGCAACGGGTATCAAACAACTATGTGCGTAGTGGACCAGCAGATCGCAGCCCAAAGCTCGCGCAGTAAAGTCGTCGATGCAGCACGCGCCGTAGGTCACGTCGCCCATTATCGTTGTGGTTATCCCCGGGCAGAATTGGGTGAGAATATCGGATATTGTTGTCGCAAACAGGAGAAGGCCCTCGGGGAGCTGGAGCGCCACGGACTTGTGGTTATTCTGGCGGATGCGGTGGATGGTCTTGTGGATTTCGAAATTGTAGTTTGAGGGGAGCAATGAAATAGCAGCGTTGATGTCCGGGTCTTCCAGGATAGAGGCTGGGATGTTGTTCAAGGCGCGTGCTGTTCTCCGGGGTTGCGCTACTGTAAGGCGACTGTTAGCACTTGACCGTACTGAAGACGCTACCTGCCCAAAGCCAGCTGTAGACCTCTGTGTCCGGCTACGCCTTCTCGAGTCACTGCAGCCTCTGTATACCTAAGCAGTCCTATCACCATCCGTACCTTGTATTGCGCCGCTGTCCTCGATATTTGCGTTTGGGTCGGCCTTTGCTCTTGCTGCTGCTGCGCTCTCTGCTGCCCTGCGGCCGACAAATCTCTTCTTCGGTTGCTTGGGAGCAATGTTGGGTTCGCCATTCAAGTCCTCTTCAGGGGTAGGCCCCAGATTCGTGGCAGCGCGATCTTCTTCCATATCGATGGCGGGGTCGTGAATTTTTCCGCGGCGGCGAGGTGAACGACGTGGGGTGAATTTCCGCCCAAAAAGCGTAGCGCACGGTTGGCGCAGGATTCAGAGATCGACAGGTACTGTGGATAAGACGGTTCGACCGGGGTAGGCGCGAAGAAGCGTGAATGTTGCAGGTTCAATATTTTATTCGGGCAGTCGGGCGATCAGGCGGCGGAAAGCGAGTCAAAGCGACGGCGATTACCTGCCTTCAGCCCTATCGGCTTAGGCCCGGCTTAACGTTACCCCACACGATGTCATTCCACTGCTCCCTAACCAGAGCTCCAAAACAGCTGCCGTCCCACTTTCATACTTTCCCTGTCCCTCTCAAAATGTCATTCGTCGTGCGAAGAGCTTGCCGGAGGCTAGCTCGTCCCACGTTGCCCGCCCTTGCCCGCCGTGGATACTCGACACCAGCATCAGATCATGTCCGGCTCGTCGAGGTCGGCCCGCGCGACGGCCTCCAGAATGAGAAGACGAGCATCCCCGTCAACACCAAGATAGACTTTGTCAACCGCTTAGCAACAACCGGCCTGAGCGTGATAGAAGCGGGCAGCTTTGTGAGTCCGAAATGGACGCCTCAAGTACGCCGACTTTCCCCTACCAGCTTCCCCGCCTGCTGGCTAACCACCACCCACGCAGATGGCCAATTCCTCCGAGATCCTCGAGCACGTCCTCAAAACCCCTCCTAAATCCGCCGAGCCTATAGTCTACCAGTTCCTCATGCCCAACGAGAAAGGCCTGGACAACTTCCTGAACGTCTACGGCGCCCACGCCGCGGCAACCACCGACAACGGCCCCGCACTGAACACATCCTCACAAGACCCCAATGCCATGCCCTCCGCACCCTCGGGCGCCGCCGCCATGTCCACGACCCCCGAGATCGAAGTCTCCATCTTCACCGCCGCGACCGAGACCTTCGCCCGCAAGAACACCAACTGCAGCGTCGCCGAGTCCCTACAGCGCTTCGAGCCGCTGGTGGCGCGGGCGCGGAGCCACGGCCTGCGGGTGCGCGCGTACATCTCGGTGGCGCTAGGCTGCCCGTACGAGGGCCCGGACGTGGACCCGCACGCGGTGGCAGAGCTGGCCGTGTCGCTGCTCGAGATGGGCGCCGACGTCATCTCGGTCGCGGACACGACGGGCATGGGCACCGCGCCGCGCACGCGCGAGCTGCTGCGCACCCTCGCCGCCGCCGGCGTCGACCGCCAGGACCTCGCCCTGCACTTCCACGACACGTACGGCCAGGCCCTGGTCAACGCCCTCGTCGGCCTCGAGCACGGCGTGCGCGAGTTCGACGCCGCCGTCGCCGGCCTCGGCGGCTGCCCCTACAGCCCCGGCGCCACCGGCAACGTCGCCACCGAGGATCTCGTCCACCTGTTTGAGAGCCTGGGCCTGCGGACTGGCGTCGACATTGAGAAGCTGTCCGAGGTGGGCAAGTGGATTTCAGGGGAGATCGGGAGGCCGAACGAGAGCAGGGCAGGGAAGGCGACCTTATCGAGGATCGCTAGGGAGAAAGGGGAAGGGTGTTGATGGGAGCGGATTCCTCTCCTGAAAGACGGGAGTGGAGTTACTTGGGTGGGAAGAGTTGAAGATCTGTATTGATTTAGCATAGCATACACTGCGCGGCAAAGCAGCTTGAAGTTTCCAAGTCATCTGTATCTCTCACGAAAAGTTGTGCTGGGAAGAATTTTGTGGACCGCACAGTACTCAGGATATTTGGATACATGTCAACGTGAGCCTGCCATCTACCCAGCCGCCTACCTCGAGGCGAAATACCACCAAAGCCATGGTATCTTTGCCCGTACTCCGTGCTTGAGAAACCAATGCAAAACTATCGCGGGCAAGGTGCCCGCCTCTCCTAAACTCGCCTGAATAATGCCCCAAGAACATGAGTGCGTCTACGCATGGGACCAAAGAAGAAAACAATGGCGTACAACACGTGTCGTACTCGAGCCAATCGTACAATGACAGAAAGAAAAACGTAGCTTTTCTTCTTCGACAACAAAAATCCTACATCTAGATCAGTTCCACGTTCTTAAGCTGCCGCAGCCTTCACTGGAGACTCGTCATGGCGCTCCGGCTCGTAGGTCGTTTCGCCCAATATCGATGGGCCGGCCGGCGCTGCAGACACGGTCGGCTGCTGCGGCTTGTTGACCGCAGCTTGTAACCTCTGGTCCAAGACCTTCAGCGCCAGCGCCCTTCTCCGCTCGGCCTCTTCCCTGCGGCCTCCCCTCGCTCCCCTGCCTGAGTTCATGAGGCTCGGCAGACCGCCCTCGGCGCGGGCCATGGCCTGTTCGTTGCCGGCATCGATGTCCTCGTGCGAGAAGGGCGTGCAGATCCTGATCGCCACCAATGCGTTGTAGAACTGGTCTGCGAACAGCTCAACCGGGGTCTGCAGTGGCTCGGGGAAGAAGTGGGCGAAGGAGAACGTGTCGGACGCGTCGCCACGGACGAAAGAGTCCTCGCCAGTGGAGGCGGATATAACGGAGGGGGACATGCGGTAGAAGCGAAGGTAGATCCATGCGGTGAAGAAGCCGAACCACGAGAGGAAGGTGGCGGTCTCAGTGCCGAAGAGGAGGCCGGAGAGCGTGTTGGCGATGAGGAAGATGATGGGGAAGTGCTTGACACGCATGCGGATGGTGCCTCTGGCGATGGATACAGTGTGTTCCGGGACAAGCTGCTTCAAGGAGACGAGGAAGCCGGCTTGGATCGCGATGCCGCCGGAGATGGTTGCCGACCTGTGTGACAGTTAGTCGGTTGACAGACCTGGACAGACTGCAGGCGGGAACGTACAAAGCTTCGTCGTTCTTGGACAGGGCATAACCAATGATGTAAAGGAGATAAGTCAATATGTTGGGTATCATGGAAACGAAGAGAATGAATTTGGCAAATTCGGCGGAGCTCCACGCGCGCTCCAGGTAACGGCCGCCGTAGAAGATGGTCAGGCCGGTGATCAGCAGGCCGAAGATGTTCTCCTCGACGACGGTTGCGATCAGGAATACCCATGGGTAAACAATAGCGGTGGCAGGAATGATGGCCAGGTATGGCGCGCCGTCCCCAGCACTCACGAGCGGCTTTCCCACGCCCTGCACCCAGTCACTGTAGCCCGGCCGCAGGATCCAATTGAGCAGGGTAAAGATGAAGAGGCAGACCAGCAGGCCGCGTGTCAGGGGCGGGACGTTGACGCGCATGACGGAGGGTCTGGAGACTGCGGCAGGGACACGGGGAGCTTGGAGAGCTGCAGCTTCTGGGAGGTCCCTGGATTGCGGGCCGGCGGGGCGAGAGGCAGGGCGGAGAGGACGCAGGGGCAGCGGGTTGCGAGGAGCACGGCTGGCGATGGGGGCGCCTCGACGGGCGCGCGCAGAGGGAGCGGGACGTGGTGGTGGAGGTGGACGAGTCGGCCGGGAGGCGGAATTGTTTGGCGATCCAGAGGTCCCTTAGAGGGCCACAGAGCCCTCTAGCACAGACGGCGCGCCGATCATCCACCCCAGGGCAGCCGGAGCCTGCGCCAAGCAAAGCAGCAACGGGCCCATCCAGCGCCGCACCCAGCCCGGCGAGCCTCTCTCCACTCCACACCGCAGACCCATTTCCAGACAGGTCCCTACACACACCCCCAGTTCCAGGAACCCACCCCCGGGAGCCCGCTGCGCGCGCGCGACATCATGCGCCATGACCGAGCACCTCTCCTCCAACGTCGTCAACTACCTGGTCTGGAGGTATCTGCAAGAGGCTGGTACGTCACCGTCCCGGATGCACGCGTTTTCTCCCCAAACACAAGCCCCCGCCGGACCATGTTGTGTCTGGATGCACCTCTGCCTGCGCACCCTGCTCGCGCGTCGAGGCCGAGCTCGGCTGCTGCGCCGCCACCGCGCGCCGACCCTCCGCATCCGTGAAAGGCCTTCACCATCCGCCCGTTCTAATTTTCAAAAGGATACGCCAAAGCAGCGCTGGCGCTGGCGCATGATTGGAACGATGAGCCCGAGACGCTGCCCTTCGCCGACAAGGTCCAGACGCACACTCTTCTGCGCATGCTCCAGGATGGCCTGTGGCTGGACGATATGCGCGCCGCCGCCTCCAATGTGCGTTCCCGCAGCTCCCCTATCGAGAATGCATCGTGCTAAGATGACCAGGGCACCGAGGAGCGTCGCTACCAATTCGGCCACGACCACGGCCGTCCGTTTGCCCGTTATAATGGCGATGCGCGCCGCCGGAAAACCCTGTCGAGCCGCCGCGTGCGCAAGGACGACGTCAATGGAACCGGGGCTGACGGAGACGCCCCCGCGCGAAAGAAGAAGAAAGGCAGTAATGAGGCACAGGCTCGGTTGAACGGCGACATGGAGATAGAAACCAACGGCGCGCCCGCCGAGTCGGAAGCCGTTGTTTCGGATGCTGAATCAGTCGTCGAGGAAGAAGTGGCGCCCTTGGTCACCACCCTGAGCCTCGGAGAAAGCAGCGTGCTGCAGACGGAGAAGATGATCGATCTGGGTCCTCAAACCACATTCCTGCGGATCAACGAGCCCGGCGCCACCGTGGTGCATACCGAGTGGAGCCCCACGGAGCCGCAACTCCTCCTGACCGCTGGCGAATCATTGTTACGCATTTATCACATCCCGAATTCATCTCAAACGCAGCAAGACACGCCGGCAGAACCCGTGTCGCGAGACCTAGACATCGGCCTGAACCGCCCAACCGTCACCGCTGTGGCCTGGACCTTGCCTGGCGAAGCACTCATTGGCACGCTGGAAGATATGACTGCTGATAGCGGCGAAAAGATGACCAAGGGAAAGCTCTATCATCTGAGCGAAGGTGGGCTGCAGACTCGCTTGGTCACAGCCGTGCTTGGCAGCGTGTTCGCCCTGCGTTACAACGCACCGGCGAACCTCCTTCTCAGCGTCTGCAGCACAGATGTCAATTCGCGCATCTGCCTGTGGAAGGAGATAAAGCAGGAGCCCCTCTACAGCGCACAGACGGATCGCCCCGTGTTTGCCGCCGAGTGGATGAGCGACTCGACATTTGTTGTGGCCGGTTACGGGATTCTTGAGGTCTACGAAATCACTGCTGAAAATAAACTGGTAGTCCAAAAATCTTTCACAACAAGCACGCGCTGGGAAAACCTGCGTTACGATGCCGTCTGCAACATCATAGCCTGTAGCAGTGCTTCCGACGAAGCCCATCCCCGGCTCGGTCTCATTCTTCCGGGAGACACCGAAATCCGCACGCATGACTTCGCACCGGGCGAAGATATCACCGGCCTCGAGTTCCAACCGATCACCAACCCAGCCTCGCATGGCGCCGAATCGCCTCGTCTGCTTGCGACATCCTCCGACTCGGGCTTCTGGACGGTCCAGTTCTGGAACGCGAAGAAGCCATTTGAGAACGTGCAAAGATTCTCAAGCGGTTCTGTGATTGAAATCGCCTTCTCACCAGACAGCTACCTTTTGGCCGCTGCTGGAACCGACACGATAACCTTCTGGGACCCAGAAGCAGGGATTTCAAAAGCCAAGTGGAAACCAATAGACAATGAGGAGCAGAAATGGGACACCACCTTACCGGATGCACGAGACACGGAGCTGGACCATCTGTTGAGATGGGATGCAGATGGCAAGAAGCTGGCGTATAAGCTGGGGAACCAGGTAAGTGCTTGCACTCCGGCGGGTGCGTCTGGATGCTAACGGGCGGGTGCAGGTTGCGATTATCAATTTCTGGTCAATGAATCCCACGACGCAGAAAGTGTAATAATACCACGGGAGCGCGATTATGCATTCAAGATTCACCATGAGAGACACTTTTGGGCGCACTGTTTTGGCGGCGTTTCTTTGCGTGCGACTGGGTTGGCAAAGGGGCAAACGTTCTATGAATTTCTTGGGTGGACGGAGAAGGGTGGACAAGAGACGGAGGGTGGAGTTGAGCTGGTAGGAAAACATGTACACCTGTTGCGCTGGATCAGTCAACGGGGGCTGGAGACCAATGCATCTTAGTTCCGAGCCCCACGAGCCTGATTCCGTCGTTCGGTCCCGGATGGGCACTACTTGCGACCTTGGGCGCAAACGTTGGAGCCGACAAGAGGGGTGAAAGTGCTCCAATGACGAACAGCTGGTGCCTCTCCCCTCCTGCAGCCAGTTACCTCGGATTTATGTACAGCAGACGCCACTCAGCCAATTGGATACGGGGTGAGATGGGCCTGACGTCGACGGCGAGTCATTGGCGCTTTCGGAATTGGAGCCGCTGCAGCACCAGCCAGCACGTCGGACGAGGCCCTGTCGGCAATCCTTCAAGTGAGATGGCCGCCTTTCCCCTGACCACCACGCGTTATCCTGGTCACAACTTTTTAAAAGCCAGCCGGGCACCGGAGCGATCCTTCAGTCCGGACATTGGGACTACGACCGTTTCGGCAATTTTGCAAGCAACAATGCCGAGCACAGAGCAACCCCACAACGCCTCTTTGTGGGGGAGAAGCTTGAGGGGCACGACGCTTGTCTATACCGCTCTTCCCGAAGTGTGGAGCAGAGGTACTGCACAACCCCAGCACATCATGCCATTTCCTTAGGCCGCGGAACTCTGATTCTCTTAACTGGCTGGTCTCTGCCCCTCATCCGGCAATGGGCTAGGAGGAGGCTCGGGCGGCGGGCCACTGCCGGTAGTCCCTACCGGAGTCCCCAGTTCAAACGCCTGGCGCCCCTGGACCCATGTACGGCTTATTGGCGCGGGTCCACAGTGTGCGGGAATGCGCCGCACTGGTGCTCCTCTTATGTTGGTGTACCCCTCTTTCTACAGCTCTCTAGAGGGCACTTGTGTTACATATCACCGTCGCTCAATCTTTTTCCTTCGCCGAGCGCCATTGATTCGCTTTCTCTTGCTTTGATTCTCCCCAGTGCTCTCTGTGACACCCCTTGCTCGAGCGCCATGTCCGCCGTACCCTCTCTCCCCGAATCACTGACGGTGGGGAGCGACGCCCCACATGAAGACGTGCTCCGCCGCATCGACTCAGCCAACCACGCCAGCACCAACGGCGTGCAGAACGGCCATGGTACCAAACCCAAGACGACAGCAGCCAACGCCGAAACACCGTCTCCCCCTCCCGCCCCCTCGACGCCGACGGCGCCCTTCACCCTCCACCAAGCGCCGGTCGAGAACTTCCGGCCGGTGCGGGTCATCGTGGTGGGCGCGGGCTACTCGGGCGTGTACCTGGGCATCCGGCTGCCGGAGCGGCTGCGCAACGTGCGGCTGCGCATCTACGAGAAGAACGCCGGCGTGGGCGGCACGTGGTGGGAGAACCGCTACCCGGGTTGCGCGTGCGACATACCCTCGCACTCGTACCAGTACTCGTTCGAGCCCAACACGCAGTGGTCCAGCCTGTACGCGCCCGCGCGCGAGATCCAGGCGTACATTGAGCGCACCGCGCGCAAGTACGGCGCCGACCGCTTCGTGCGGCTGGGCCACGAGGTCAGGGAGTGCAGGTTCGATCGCAGGGCCGGGGTGTGGAGGGTGAGGGTCGCAGAGCTGGCGACGGGCAGGGTGTTTGTCGATGAGGCCGAGGTGTTGATCAGCGCGAGGGGGAACTTGAATACGGCAGCGTGGCCCGAGATTGATGGGCTGGAGAGCTTCGAGGGCGAGGTGATGCATTCGGCCAGGTGGAACGAGAAGTGAGTGACTTCTTTGAAGAAGGCGGCGGGTTGATGCTGACATAGAGACGGTCAGCTACGACTTCACGAACAAGCGCGTGGGCGTCATCGGATCCGGAAGCAGCGCCATCCAGATAGTACCGAATCTGCAGAAGCTGCCCGGAACGCAGCTCTCGTGCTTCATCCGCAGCAAAACGTGGATATCCCCCCCGTTCGGCCAGGACATGTGGGACAAGCTCGGCCTCACCGGCTTCACCATCCCCGACGACATGAAGGCCAAGTTCAGGTCCGACCCGGAGCACTACCACAAGTTCCGCCTCGCCATCGAGGAGGACGCCAACTCGATCCACGCCGTGACCATCCGCGGCACGCCCATGAACGTCGAGGCCAAGCACGCCTTCGAGGACCACATGCGCCGCCGCCTCGCCGCCCGCCCGGACATCTTCGCCGCCCTGCTCCCCTCCTTCTCGCCCGGCTGCCGCCGCCTGACGCCGGGCCCGGGCTTCCTCGAAGCCCTCACCGAGCCCAACGTCGCCTTCGTCACCGACCCCATCGCGCGCATCGAGCCGCGCGGCGTCCGCACAAACGACGGCACCCTCCACGAACTCGACGCCCTCGTCTGCGCCACCGGCTTCCACGTCTCGGCGCCCCCGCCGTTCCCCGTCATCGTCGACGATGATGAAGTCGACCCGCCGGCGACGGGCAGCAGCAGCAGCACCACCACCATCAACACGACAGGGGCACCACCCCAGTCGCCGCCGCGCCGGCTCAGCGACCACTGGCGCGCGCGCGCGACGTCGTACCTCAGCCTCGCGACCGACGGCTTTCCCAACCTCTTCCTGATGCTGGGCCCCAACTCGGCCATCGGCTCGGGCAGCCTGACGACCATGATCGAGCGCGTGGGCGACTACGTCGTGCGCTGCGTGCGCAAGCTGCAGCGCGACAACATCCGCTGCATGGAGCCCCACCCCCGCCGCGTGCGCGACTTCACACAGTACGTCGACGCGTATTTCGCCGGCACCGTCTTTGCCGAGGAGTGTCGGAGTTGGTATCGCAGTAAGGGAGGTGGGAGTGGCGGCGGCGCCGTCACTGGGTTGTGGCCGGGGAGCACGAATCATTGCGTTGAGGCGCTGAGGAGCCCGAGGTGGGAGGATTGGGTGTATGAGTATGTTGGGGAGGGGGAGGGGGACGCGGACGGGGACGAAGAGGTGAATCGGATGGCGTGGTTGGGGGATGGGTGGAGCCAGAAGCAGAGGGATGGGGAGGATCTGGCGTTTTATCTGTACCCCGAGTTTTTGGACAAGCCGGTGCCGGGGAGACCCGAGGACAAGGAGGAGTATAGGGTGAGGCCGTTTGCGTATTGAAGAGGAGCGGATTGGCGATGGGGAAGTAGGTAGAAGCGTAGAATGTCGCATTTATTTGTTTTTTTTTTTATCTTTGGTTACTACTACAACAATCGGTGGGATCGGAGGAGAATCGGGCTGTTGCTTGATCGGGACTACTTGCTCAACGCAGATGGCCAACCCACTCAGGACAGCAGTCACTGCCCGCTCTGCTTCTTCTGACTCCCCGCCCGCTTGAGCCATCCTCCCGCCAACGTGATCCTCAGCCTCCTTATCATCGACGGCTTCGTGAATTCCCGCTTCGCCCCCGGTTTCTCCACATGCGAAACCTCGATCTTGCGGCCCTTCCCCGGCAGCGCTTCCTCTTCGAAGAAGATGCTGGACTGCGCCCTCTTGCCGAGCTTGTAGAACTTGCCCAGCTGCGCCTGGCTCAGCTTCGTCGGCATGCCGTCCGGCGGGCCCGTCGTCGTCGGATAGTAGTCGCGCCCCTCCCCTTCCCCTTCGCTGTCGGTCATGTCCGGGAGGTGGTTGTTGTGGAAGCGGCCGAACGGGTCCGAGTTGGTCGTCATCAGACGGGATATGTCGTTGAGAAGGTCGTTCCTGAAGTCCTCCGGTTCCGATTCGTCGGCGGGATCCCTTTGACGCGCCTGGGCGTGTTTCGGACGAGCAGTGGAGTCGAGGGTGACACGGCCTGTGGTGGTGGTGGTGGCGCTGGAGGATTTGCTGCGCCTCGCCTTCGGCTGGTGGTGTGTTTGAGCTTTCCTCGTCGAAGGCACACGGCGGTGTTCGGACGAGGAGTCTTTCTCGCTCGGTTCTGGAGGACCTGGCGAGAGGGTTGTCGGAGGGTTTGTGGATAGAGGAGACCTCTTGGTGGCCCTTTTGCTGCTGCGGCGCGTGGGTATGGGAATGCCATAGGACGTCGGCGGCTGGCGTGTGTGCATGGTTCCGTGGGGCGCCTTCTTGGGCGGAAGTTGCGGCTGCGTCTCCGGGTGGTGCTTGCTTGGGTCCTGAGGGAGGTTGCGCGACGGGGCTTTCTCTGGCTGGTGCTGGAGTGATGTAGGCGATGGCTTTTGCGGCTGCTTCTGAGACATTTTCAGCGAGACTGCTCGGCGCAATGGACCTGCAGGAGACTTCTCGGCTCCTTTGGACTTGTCCTTGTTTTTGGCATTGAGCTTCGTCTTTTCTTGGTTCACGGCGTTCTGGTTCTTGGTGGGATCGAGGTATATCCACACTCTTGCGGCGCGGGTGGATGGGGGGAGGTAAATGTCGCTCTCTTTGGGCAAGGACGGGGCGGCACACGAGGAGGTTGCGGCGCGGCCTCCATTGAGACAGACTTTGATGACGGAGCAGTTTCTGGAGTCGTCCAGGACGCCTCTGCGGATTTCCTTGGACACGCTGGGGTGGCCGACGGGGCGTTCGTCAATCCAGAAGCGGATCGTCTCCGGGCGATGCTCGAGCATGAACATGAGCTCGTCCGTGTCCTTTCCGGGGTCGGGCGACATGCCGGGGGCGTTGGAGCGGGCGATGTTGGTCATGTAGATCAGCTCGGCGGAGCCGTCGAGCGGGCCGGGGGGCAGCATCTTGTTGCGGAGCGAGGCGTGGACCTGCACCACGGCGTTGACTTCTTTGCTGTGTCGGGGCGGCTTGTCGGGGCTAGGCGCGGCGTCCATAAGCGGCAGGTTCTTGATGAGGGTCCATGTCTGGTGATGGGGCCGGCGCAGGCTGGGCTTCGCGGGGCGCGCTTTCTGTTGTTGTTGCTGTGGACGCGCTGGCGGCACGGCTGAGACATAGCTGGACTGCAATGTGCTGGTCAGCTGATCTGGTGCGAGATAATGCAGGCGCGGGTGCGAGTGGTGGCAAGTGAGGGCGGGCGGCGGAAAGGTGGTCGGGGGGCGGTGCACGGGAGCAACGGGAGCAACGGGAAAGGTAAGCACAGTTAATTACGGGCTTGTCATGGTGGTTCAGCAGCTGGATGTTGGTGACGATGCGTTGAGACATGGTGCAGGGGCAGCGCAAGAAGTCGAGGGCGACGGCGCGGGCGAGGGCGACTGATAAGCTGCTGCTTCCCACCGTTACACGCCCGTCGCACACGCGCTGCAGGGGCGCTAGGCGCAATTAAAACGCCCCATATAATTGCGCTGCAATTTAAGCTGGCACGCAGCCCACGCTCTACGTGTCCGCCGTGTCCGCCGTCACTGTCTTGCCCCAGCCACGTGAGCCTGCCCGCTTTCCTGCACCCCTGCCACCAACTCCCACCTGACGTGCATGCTCTGCCCAATCGAGTAGGTGCCACCGCAGCTGTCGCTCCACAAACGTCGGAGCCTACATAAGCCTATAGCCACCATGGTCACAAGTAGAGGACATGTTTGGTTTGTTGTGACATGTTTGCTCTGTGGAATGATGCCTCTGTTTCCCAACCAAACACCAGCAAAAATGGAAACGAGATGAACGTTGATGCATATATTGAAATAGAAGAGATCCCACTTCACCACAGGGCCGTGTAGTACTGGCACTTGAAACTGCTGACCATGTCGTTGAACCCGATCGTCTTGAAATCGTCGATGCCAGGCTCCTGGATCTGTCGCGATGGCCCAGTACACCGCTGGTCTTTGTACACGGTGCAAAATGCCTGCGCCACCCACAGCGATGAGCTCTTGTCGTTCATGTACGGCGGTAGCCCGTAACACTCCTGGTTGGCCTTGATTCGCTGCGTCAAGCACGATCCGCTCAGCTTCGAGTTGGCACATATTTTGATGTCCCGCCAAACGATGCCACGGGGCTCGATCGGATGCAGTTTGGTAGTCATGTTGACTGGTGGGGAAAGGGAGGGGACCTCAAAAGCCAAGTCGGCCGTTGAAGGGTCGCCAGCGGGCAGGGCGACGGCGTAGCCGGCCAAGAGGCTGAGCACGGATGCAATAGCGGTAATCTGCATTTTGATAAGCGAGTGTGTTGGTTTTTCTGTCCGGAAATGTTGCGAGAAAGGACTAGCATATGGTGTAGAAGTGGTGATTGATAAGTGTTTTCCGAAGTGATTGCGGAGACGGTGCCACGGTCTGGCCGGTCTGCGGGCTTTCTGTGGCTGTCGACTTGCATCAGCTTCTTTGAGTTGGCCATCTATTGAGTTCGACGGGAAAGATATTGCCTTTCTTTGTTTTGATGTTCTATCAATGGCGAGTGTTCGTTGTTGCGCGGCTCTCAGAGGTTCGATAATGGAAAGACATGGACAAGAAGCGCGAGGATGAATCACTGTGGCAGTAAAGGCATTGTGTAATGCAAGCCTTTGTTGCTTTGAACGATTCTTTGGTCTTTGTCTCGTCTCAAAGGTAAGTGGTGTGCCTGGAGCGCCGCAGTGCAACCCGCTCCTTTCCCCAGCAAAGGTAAGTGGCGAAGTTTGCGCCGAGAACTGCCAACGAACTACCCCTGCGAGACTCTTGGTAAGGAAAGTAGGTTGCATCGGGTTGGTCGTAGTCGGTGGACAGTTTCTCGGGTTGTTTGAGATGTTCAGTTCTTCCTCGGGTTCCCATTGGCAGTGCAGCCAGATGAGTGACTCGACGAAAAGCCGCAAATGAGAAGGGTGGAGCATCGTCGCCCTTCGCATCAGCCAGATACAGTGCAATACTGGCGACACTGTGGCCGGCGACGGTTAGGCGGAGCCCAGAGCGGCGCGCAGCCGATTGCCAAAAACTAGCTTAATCAAAAGAAGTGCCCCCGTAGGGGCGTTCTAGAGATTAAACTAAAAAGAACAGCTACTACACTTGATCTAAGCCAAAAGGCAAAGAGAGCTGAAGAAGAAAAAGAAGAGTGTCTGGTGGAGGAGGCGGGGGTTTAAATGGATTCCAGTCCATGGTAACCGAGTTGCCATGGCGGCTGACCAGACCGACCCAGCAACCCAACCAGAAATTGCCACCCGGCCGCATTTCGGAATTCTGCAGCAAGCACGAGCAAAAAGTGAATGTCCAGTGGTTCCGATTTTCCTGTCCTGTTTAACCTGCAGTCGGCCCTTGCTGCGGCGTTCACCACGACCAAACAAATCCATACCGGCCAAGGCAGGCCCGCACCCGCCATCTCCCCACTCCGCACATCCACGTCCACTCTCTAGAAGCTCCATGGGCAGCAAACTTATGGCGTCGCGTATACCAGCCCATCACCCATCAAGTGTCGTCCAAGCTCTCACAGTTCACGATCCAAAATATAAACCCAGGTGTAATAAATAAATAATATGTAATCATTTAATCTTAATTCCAGCCATGCCCAGCATGCCTGTCTCTTTAAAGAAATAAAAAAGAAGCCTTCACTAATTGCTAATGTTGTCATCCGCCTTCCTCATCACCACCCTCCCGAACCTCCTCGCAACCCTATGCACCACCTTCGTCCTCCTCCGTCCCACCACCACCCCCATCTCCTCGAACGTCTCGGGCGTAAACCCCTCCAACCACTGCCCCGGAGTCCTGACCTCCACTTCAACCTCCTCCTCCTCACCCCCACCAACACCAACAACCCCCGCCCACGTCCTCCTCCCCGGCGCCGGCGCCCGCGCACCCCACCCACTCCCGACATCATCCGGCCCCCATGCCCCGCTCCCGCTCACGCCCCCCGCCGCCGGCCTGAACGCGCTGTCGCCCAGCGGCCGCCGCGGGATCGTGATGGCGCTGCCGTTCGAGTCGCGGTTGTTGTTGTTGTCGTTGTCGTTGCCGTTGCCGTTGTTGCTAGTGCTACTGCTGCTGATGCGGTGATCTTCTTTCCCGCGCAGCCCTACTCCGATGGCCATGTCGTACGGCGTCGGCGGGAGAGGGGCGCGCAGGCGCGCGGCGAGCGAGGCGGGCGAGGGGCAGGTGCGAGAGCGGGTGTGGCCGGAAGAAGGGCCGCGGAGGCGGGTGTGGGAGGGTTTGCGGGTGAGGGTTGGGGGGAGGGGTCCGAGGGGGAGGGCGGGGGAGGGGGGGAGGACTGGGGATGGGGATGGGGATGGGGCTGGGGCTGGGGCTGGGTCGGAGTGGGGACGGGTCCGGGTGGTTGTTGTGGTTGTGGTGGTGGTCGTTGTTGTCGTCGTGGTCGTCGTGGAGATGGTGTCGGAGTGTTTGAGTGATGGGACGGTTGGGAACTTGTCGTCAGACGGAGACGGCGCTGTTGGGCTGGTGGGCGAGTCTGTCGGAGAGGAGCTTCTGGTGGAGGAGGCCTCGGTCCAGGAGCCGCTTAGCGCAGACTGCGGGTTTGTGTCGATGGTAGGCTTGATTGTGCCTTCGAGCTTGGCCCGCGTGATGCGGAGAGGTGCCGGGATCAGGTCATGGCCAAGGGGCCCGTCGGTGCGCTGTGGACCATGGGGGATCTTGTCACTGAAGCTCTCGGTCGATGGCGTGCCCTGTCTGCCAGGCTGGAGAGCGTTGGGGATCCTACGCCTCCTTTGAGCCTGGTAGCCACTCATAAGCACGCTGTTCAACTCGCCGCTCTGGATTTGTGCGAGGCCGGTGCTATGGGTCGGGCTTGACGGTTGAGGCTTGGTGGGTCTGCTGTTCAGAGTGAGAACTTGGACATCGCGTTGGTGGAATCGCGCATATGGCACATATGAAGCAGCCTTGAGTTGCGTTGTTCCGTGGGATTCATTCGTGGGATTCATTGTTGTGCGACCGGCACTGCTGGAATTCGAGGCGATGCATCTCGAGCCAGCTGTCGTCTTTCCAGAAGTTGCCGGCGGCCGCCTGCCGATGGTCAAAGACCCTGGGTGATCGACTCCTGAGGACTCGTGGGAGACATGCTCAACCTCTGAAGTCTCCGAGGAGGGGAAATCCGGCAGTGTTGCGGCATCATCGCGGCCTGCGGCCGGAACAAACAGTTCAGGGTCCTCCATTAGCGGCTCCATCCCCAAGCTTTCTTGAGAGCGTCGTGATCTGTACAGACGAGTCTGCGCCCAGCCAGCTGGTTCTTTTGAAAAATGGGTCACTGCTTGGTAGTCAGGCAAGCTGCGCTCTGTTATGCTGTTCTGAACGTAATCGGCGATGGCTTGAACTGTGTGATTTGAAGGCATAACTCCTCCAGGGAGAACTTGCGGATGTTGAGAAGGCAAATGAAGCTGAAGCCGCTTGGATTGTTGGGTACTCGGGGCGCATCGAGGCGCTCAAATACGTGTTTCTTGGTCGCTGTGTTCTTTTACAATTGCATTGTCATCTCCTCGTCAGTGAACAATGCTCGGCTTGGTGCCTGCATTGTACACACAAAATTGCCAAGCATCATGGCAACGCAACGAAACAGCTTCAAAGAATCACAAAACAAGTCTGGTCTAACTATACCTTTACACTGGGCCGAGTATAAACGACGGATGCCCTTTTCAGTGGACGGAGCAACGAGTACGCCCACAATTGTACTAATTTAACAAAAGTTCGTCACTCAAGCTCGGGAAGCCTTGAAAGAAGCTGCATAGTAAAGATAAAGACTTATAGATGAAGAAGATGCTAGGGTTCTCGCGTAGTGATTTCGCGTGCCTGTACCAAATCCGGCTAAGGCACCCTTTGTAGCGAATAAAACGATGCACATACGATCTCGTCATTCCTAAGCATAACTTCATTCTCCTGTCAGATAACGGGGGCATCATCTTGGATTGATACTTCCTTTAGGGATCATCAAGATGATCACCATGTTGTACGCAGTCAAATTCCCGCAGAAGACACTCAACATCAGTTTCGGTGTGCATGCACATAGATTCATCGCTTAGAAAACACCAAAAACATAAGAGAAAAGTCTTGAACCAGTTCTCGACTTGTAAGCTCTGAAATGTAAGTAGCGCGCCTTCTGGTGAAGGTTTAAAATGAACCTCGCCGTTCACGTATCTGGCAAACAATGGAAAAAATGGGAGAAGTAGTAGGATAACATGTAGTTTCAATATTCAATAACTAATACTGCGAGAAACAAACCAGAAAGAAAAAAAAACAAAGCAACAAGTGATATGGACATACCTCAGTCATCACCGTACAGGTCAATGACTTCCTCCAAACTCGATTCATACTCATCATCTGCATAGTCATCGCAATCTTCGTCTGAAGAACTGTCATCGTCGGAGCTCCAACCTCTACGCAATTCTTGATGGACCAGATGGCCCAGTCCCTGACCCTCACAAGGTGAAAATGGCGCATGGGGGCGAGGATCTCCCGGGCTCGAGATGAAAGTGGATACAGAACCTATCCTTGACAGCCGCATAGATTTTCCCACTTCATCAACGGAATGAGAGTGGGTGGAAGGTGAGTCACGCTGAGAGTGGATGGAAGGTGAGTCACGCTTACCATCATCGAGTTGTAGCTCTGAAAAGATGCTAAGCCTCTCCTCTGGGAGTTGGTAGGCCGAGTAGCTTACGGGTCGTGATGACACAGCTTCACTTGGGGGTGCAAGAAAGGTTGACCTATGAATCGACTTGCGCTCGGGTCGCGGAGGTCGAAGAGACAGTCGCTCTGACCTTTTCGTGTCTGTGCCAAAGCTGTCGTGAGTCGAGTGTCTAGCGTCCTCGACCGCTGGATGAGTATCAAAGACGGAGCTGGAGCACTCAACGCGCTTGTGATGTTTGCGGTCATGATGATTATCATGGCAGTCGGGCCGGTCGTGGTGACTACGATGATTCCGATGGTCTCGATTGCTGTGGCTGTCTTGGTGCTTGCGGTTATGACGCTCTCGACGGTCTTCACAGAACTGGCAGTACGGCTCTTGGTGATCGTGACGGTGTTTGCGACGGCTCTTCTTAGTGGAGCTGACCGAAGGACTGCTTCTATGGCTGGGCATAGTATTTTGATGTCTTGACCGGCGCTTCTTTCTGGGGACCATTACGACTTGGTCATCAGCTCGACGCTTGACAAGATATGTCAAGCCGGTGTCGCGCAGGACGCACACCATCTCCAGCAGCTTGTTGTTTCGAAAGAGCTTACGTGCGCGCTCTCGGATCTCTTTGACGGAGGACACGTATTCGCGAACGCGTTCTCTCGCAACTCTTCTCATCTTTTCATGGCGGATTTTGTCCATTTCTTCGTGTTCAGTTGACAGTGCTGTTATTGGGACAAGTTGGCGTTGATATTTCTTACGAAAAGCCAACGTGGGCGGCTGTTAATGTAGGCATTGCGCAGCATGATGTGTGTTTGAACAATGACTTGTGCAGTCCTTACGGGAATGAACGGCCCATAGACTTGCCAGGAGGACAAAGCTGTGGCCTTTGTCAACCGAGACCTGGATGATAAGGAGAAGGTAAGCAAAGAAAGAAGAAAGCGAGCGGACCTGGACTCCTGAGCAATAACGCCGAGGCCCTGTGCAACGCTGCGCACCTGAACTGCGGTGTTCCCCAAGTTTATCTGCTGAAACAGAGATCAATCCAAGAATTTCCTCATGCAGTTACGACGGAACGCCTACCATGACCAATTGCACCATCACAACCAGCTCGGCTCCGCCAAAGACCGTCTCGTGGGATCATCCTCCTCCGCCGCACTCAAGGTTTCTTCAAGAGACACACCGCTCCTGTCCGCAGCTGTTGCATCTCTGTCTTGTTGATGTGCGCGTTGCTCCTGCACGCCTTGGACGGCGGATTGCCGTGCACAACCTTGCTGTTCTGGCTTCGCACAGTATTACACAACTGTCGCAACCAATGACGGCATTTTGACAAAGACTACTACCTAGTAGATTTGAGTGTGCGAGCTTGTCCTGAGGGTCGGGCCGAAACCTCCTGCACCTAGCCTTGGCTGGTCCTCCTGTCCCTAGGTCCCGTCAAGGCTCCACTGTGCGCTCTTTGCACGTGATCGTCCTGTGGAGCAACTCGAATGGGCGGTCTGCAGGTGCCATCGCTCGCATGCTGAATCGGAATCGCCCCTTCTCTTTTAGCACGTGAAAAGACGCGCTCAGAAACGACAAAGTTGGGCTTGGCTCGTCCAGAAACTCATGACTGAGGAAATCTTGATTGTGTCCGCCCCCTGACTACAAGTCACCGAGAAGTATATCTAAGACCAACGCTATGCAGCCCATTAGCCAAGCGGTGCTGACCCAAAGCCAGCAAGCAAACTCCGCCCCTACCCCATGAACGCCATATCCTTGTGGCGTATGATATCAGATAATATATCAAGAAAGACGCCGCTTTTTTTTTTTGGTGGGAACGCAGTACGCTCGTCGTACCAGAGAACATTCGAGCAAAACGGCGATATACATTTTGTGCAGGGGTACGGAGCGAACCCCAAAGAGACGAGTTCGACGCGAGTGCATACCGTGCAAGCCTTCAACGGCGTCTTCTGCCACTGCCGAAGCCCATGCGCTGTGCAGCCGCAGAGCGCTTGATCGGTCTCGGCGTCTCAATGTCGTCCTCGGAAACATCTTCGCCATCGTCGTCATCAATCTCCTCCAAGTCGTCCTCCGACTCGTCCTCGCCGGAATCGTTCTCCGTCTCCTCCGCTTCGTCGTCCAAAACATCTTCGTCTTCGCTACCTTCATCCTCCTCCTCCTCTTCTTCCGCGTTGAGGTTCATCGCTCCGTCTTCGTCGCTGCTCTCCGCACCCTCCACGTCTTCGTCATCCTCCGGCTTCCTGGTGCGCTTCTGGCTTTTGCCGTCGGTGATGGCCTTGGTCTTGTTGTCGGCGGCCGTATCCTCATCCGAGTCGCTTTCGTCCTGGCCTTCAACGTAGATCACACCTTCTTCTTCGTCATCCTCATCCATCGTGGCCGTCTTCTGCATGCTTCTCCGCAGTTCCAGCTGTGCCGAGAGCATGTCGAGTTTGCCCTTGAGGTTGAGCAACGGCTGAAGACCGCTTGCACGCTCCTTTATGACGCGGTTGAGGCTGCCGAGCTCCTTCATTATATCTTGCCTTCCTGCAAGGTATCCACCGTGCGAGACAATAGCCCATTGAACCCAGACCATGAGGTTTCCTGCGCGCCCTGGCCTCTTGTGTAGGCGCTCAGCGAGTCTGCAAAGGAGGTTGGCGACAAGCGGGGAGGGCAAACGCTCGATGGTGGACCGGACGCTGTTCAGATCGTTCATTTCGAAACAGGACTCGAGCAGCTCTTTGTCGTTCGTCTTGAGCGCTTGCGTGAGGACTGTGCCGAGCGAGGTTGCCGAGGGCGCCGACAGGGCCCTGTTGCCGCTCGTTGGCGCCAATGCGCGAGAACCTGTGTTGGTGTCCTGGAAAGTAGCCTCAACATCGACGACTTCGGGTGCATTGGCCCGGAGCAGCTCGCCAAAAGATGGCGGATCGGCCTCGGCGCCAGCGGTGTCGTCGCCGCCGGCCATCTCGGCATCAGCAGCCCCCTCCTTTGCATCGGCAGCCTCGTCCTTGTGCTCGTCTGCGGAGTCTTCAAGCTCGCTCTCCTCCTCTTCACCGCTGGAGATCTCCACAACTTCCGGGTCGGCGCTCGCATCGTGCATATCGACGTCACCGTGACCGACAACAGCACGCGCCTCGTCGACGGTGTCCTGCTTCGCGCCCTTCACGCCATTGGTAGTGGTTGCCTGGACGCGCTTGCCGTCAGCGGACACAAGGGCGGCCAGGCCGGCTTTGCGCGCGGAGGTGCCGTTGGGCTGGGCGGAGGTTCGTGCTTTCTTCGCGCTGGGGGTGGGCAGGCCGGCAGCCTTGCGGCGCTGAGCCACTGCAGCAGGCATGGTGAGGCTCGCGCGGGAATCTGGGAACGGGCGGCTGGGAGGCGGTTTGTTGTGAGCGCGCCGTGTGCTGGATGCCGGTAGATCGAAAAATTATCTCAGCTTTTTTCGAGCGGCATGGATTAGATAACGCGCACGGAGGCGCGCTAGGCCGCGAAGGGGAAGGCGCAACCGCGTCAGGGGGCCACAGCTTCGGGCGCGGTAGGGGCGTAGGAGGAGCCCTCAGCGTTTTTTTAAGCCGGCGTCTGCCTCCCTCGCCGGCTGAGTTTTGGTGTTCTGGCTCGCACCTTCCTGCACGTCGCGCGCGCACACACCCTCTCGCCGCCCGTTACTCGCGTCCGCTGATTGGAGCACGCCTGGCGACCACTCCGAGGCCTGCAACAACAAAAACCCTCGACGCCCTCGCTGCACCGCTGCGCTGCCTGCGCGCCGCCTGCACCCGACAGCCACTGCCCCGACGCGCCGGCCCAGCCCGTCCGCGGTTCGCCGCCGCCCCGTCAGTACCGCTGCGTTTGTTGCGAAAGGCTGCAAAGGTCACGTGGCCTCTGCGCTCCGACCCTCTAGCGGTTTCACTCGGCCCGGAGCTATTTAATGCTTCTACCGCCTTGAGCCTTTCTGAACCTCGATTTTTCCGACCTCGCAAAGTCTCAAGCGCGTCGCAGCCACCCCCACGTCACCGCGCACCCGCCCCGACACTGCTCCGTCAACCACGCGTCACCGCCCTAGCGCGTCCTGACTTTTGCATCCACAACACCACCCCCCCGTCTCGCTTGTGCGCGCATTAATCCTGCAACGCGCTAGCTTCCACGCAACAGCCCTGTGGTGTCGGCGCGTCGTCGCGTAATCCACAGTGCTGCTGTCCGCCCCCACCTGCGTCGCATGGCCGTGATGACTTCGCCCGCAATGGACAAACCGTCCGTGGAGCCAAAACCCGTTCCATCTGCAGACGCGATGGCCTTGGATGCAAACATCAACGGGTGAGTCGCTCTTCCCTGCCTTCCTGCCTTGTCTGTCTTTTGGTTTCCGCTCCCGCCATCTTCAGATATTCTGGCGCATGTAGTTTATTGAACAAATCATTCTGCAGAAGCGCAAATGAGCATGACCCGCTATTTGATGAAGACCCCGCGCCTCACCACGTTGATATCCCTACGCCCGACGCCGATGCTCCGTCAGACGCCCTGCCAACCCCGGCCACCAACGGCGACGACACCGTGAACGGCGCCGACTCCCATCTCGACCAAGATCCCTTCGCCGACCCCATCACCGACGTCGACAGTGGCATCGCGCCCACCGCACCTTTCGTCTCCAACCTGTCGCCCGAGCAAACGTCACTTCCTGTCGCGCCCGAAAATCTCGCGCCCACTTCACTCCCGCCTGCAATCGAGCCTGCAACCTCGGACCTTCGCGAAGACTCCGCGTCGCTACCGCAAACATCCGCGCCTGCCATAAAGCCCGAAGGCGCGAACGACGCGTCTGAAGATCTTGCGGACCCAGTGCCGGCGCAACCCACCGCGTCGCCCGCAGGAGACAAGGAAGGCCAAGAAGACAAGATGGATGAGGGTGCCCAGGCGCAACCTGCGACGACTGACGCGTCCGCTCCTGCAGACGTGCAGAAATCGGATGAGCCCACCGATCCTGTCCCCCCTCCTCCACCTGCAGAGGACGCGCTGCAAACGCCCGCTGCTGCCACACAAGATCCGGCTGTCGCGCAAGATCCTACACCCGCGCAAGATCCTACCGCCACGAAAAGTCCTGCACCCGCCCCGGCGGCGACCCCTACCGCAGACCAAGAGATGACAGATGCGCCGTCAGCAAACAAAACTCGCCCCCGTGAGGACGAAGATGACGACGACGACGACGGTCCTTTGGCGAAGCGCGTGCGCACAGCAGACACGTCTATGGAGTCTGCCCCAGGCGGTGACGTGAAGCAAAAGCAGCAGCCAGCTCCGCCGGTTACCAATGGCGACGTGCGGGTTCCTCCGGCTTCAGACATCTCGGTGGCTCCCCCCGCGATCAGCAACGCGCCCGAAAAGAAGAAGTACGACTCGCAGACACTGACTCCGGCCCAACACAAGTTTCTAATGGATCGTCTACGTGGTGCGAAAAAGACTAAGCCCGCAGCACCTTTCCTGCAACCGGTGGATCCCGTCGCATTAAACATCCCTCATTACCCTCAGATCATCACCAAACCCATGGACTTGAGCACGCTAGAGACAAAGCACAAGGAAAAGCGGTACCAATCGGTGGATGCCTTTATGAGCGACTTCTACCTTATGATTGACAACTGTGTTACCTTCAACGGTCCTCAGCACCCCATTGCACAATCAGCTTGGAACTTACAGATGTGGTTTGAGCGTGGTATGCACTTGATTCCTGGGCGCGAGGCACATGTGGAAGTCCCCAAGAAGCCGAAGAAATCGGGCTCTGTGAAACCGCCACGCCGCGAGTCTCGTCCCAACATTCCGGTGCACTCCCCGACCAATTCTACATCCAACACCGCCACTTTCGCTCTTCAAGCCGATGGTACTCCTCTCATCCGGCGAGATTCGTCAACTGGTGACGGGCGCCCCAAGAGGGAGATTCATCGCCCGCCACCCAAGGACCTGCCCTACTCGAACCCTCGACCGAAGAACAAGAAGTCTCAGCTCGAGCTAAGATTCGCCGAGACGGTCATCAACGAGTTGATGAAGCGGGAACATCGGGACTTCTCATTCCCTTTTCTCCAGCCTGTAGACCCCGTTGCTCTGAACATCCCGCAATATCTGAAGATTATCAGGAAGCCGATGGACCTGGGCACTGTCGCGGGCCGATTCAAGCGCGGTGAATACACCAGCGCGAAAGACATCAAGGCCGATCTTGATCTCATCTTCACGAATTGTTACAAGTTCAATCCCGAGGGTGATGACGTGAACAAGATGGGCAAAATGCTCGAAGAGGTGTACAGAAAGGCATGGGACAAGAAGGCTGAATGGATGGAGGAGAACACGCCTGCATCAGAGCCGGCTTCTGCGTCAGAGGATGAGGATGAAGAGGATAGTGAAGAAGATGAAGATGAAGAGGAGATCAGGCGCAGGCAGGCCCAGATCGCTGAGCAGATCATGCTTTTGACACAGGAACAGCTGGCTCTCCAGGCCAAGAAGGGCAAGTCCCCCAAGGTAGCAGCCAAGAAGACGTCCAAGAAGGACAAGAGCCAGACCAAGTCGAAGAAGTCTTCGAAGCCCTCAGTCACGGCAAAGCCCAAGAAGAAGATGAGGCAGATCACCTTCGATGAAAAGCGGTTGATCTCCGAGACGATCAGCAACTTGGACGAAGTCCAGATGGCGAAGGCAGTCCAGATCATCCGGAATGGAGTGCCTGCTCTTCAAGTAAGAAATCTCCCCGCATTTTGCTTTCCCGCCAGTGATGCTAACTTAGCCGGAGGGTGTTAATGATGACGAGCTCGAGTTGGACATCGACACCATTCCCAACGATGTGCTGCATGATTTGCTCAAGTATATCAGGACGGTCAACCCTGCCGCAAGCACGGCTACAGCTGCCGTACCGACATTCGATGATGACTATGAGCCACCTTCGCGTAAGAACACTGCCACGCAGCCCAGAAAGAACAAGCCCATGGGCAAGCATGAGCAGGAACAGGCGATTGCAGAGATCAAGCAGCGCCTCCAGAACTTCAACAACCGTGGCTCCAGTTCGGACCAGTCACCAGAGCCCGTCCAGACAGCCCATAGGGACGAGTCGAGTGACGATGAGTCTAGTGCATCGGAGAGCGAAGAGGAGTAAGTCGGCCACGCATTGATGTGAAACGCCGCCGAATACCTCCTCGGGTGATTCGTTTGTACTGGCTCTGCGAACCGATTCCGTCGTCTGGGTCTTCGGCGGAGCTTTGCGATAGGAGGTGCCTTGGTGAAGCGCCGTCGAGTCCTCGTTCTCGTCGGCCTTCCGTGTACAACACCTTTTTCGCGCTTCCATCCCGATTGATTCCTTCTCTTCTTTTTTGCTTCTATTCTGTTCTTGTGCATAGGTCGAGCAGCCCCCTTGCTATTTTCCAGCCTGGGGTTGATGATGGATGACGTTTACGAGGTTGGTCAAGAAAAATTAAAAGTCGACTTTGTCATGGAGAGTGACGAGGGTGCGGCGAGAAGCTCTTTGGGTTTGGAATGAACAGGTTTGGGCGTCTTCGACGAGGCTCAGGTTGCGCTGATTCCGGCACACATTAGCAGTCTGTACAGTAGAGCGGGTATTCGGGCGATATCGCATTCATGGAATAGGCATGCTGGATTCGAGGACTGGCGCACACGGCGCGGGTGAGGTTGCAGACAGAACTGGTGCGAGGCAGGTGGGAAGTAGAAAATAGCAGTATGGCGATGAAGAAGAAGAAAAGAAGAAGAGTGGAACAGAGCCAAAGAAGCAAGAATCCCGCAAGCGTGTCGAGGGCGTGTCGTGCCTGCGTGACGGAGGTGGTCGGTATGAAAATTGACTGTGAAGCCGAGCAAAGAGCCGCGCCGCAGGGATAAAAAGCGGCAGCCGCAGAGCATGGCGGAGGCGTGCCAACCTTGGGAAGGGCAGAGGCGTGTGATTCGTCAGCGGGAGAGAGCCAGGAAAAGGCGGTCTTGGCGTGGGAAGGCAGCGGAGCGCGATCCGCGTCTTGGGCCCCAGCTTCAGCCGATTTTCTGAAGCTTCCCGGCCAGAGCCCGCGACACACACCAAAGACACCCCAGCTTCCGCCCGCCCTCTCTTTCCATCGCCCCAGCCTTCAATCCCACGTCGCGTTCGTTGACGGACCTCCGGAACCGAACATCGCACTTCCACGTAGCTGTCGCTCGACTCCGCTCGCGTCCGAGCACGTTACACATTCCGTTGTCGCAATGGCGCCCGTCCAGATCAGCGAGGTCAAGGGCAGCGGTCGCGAGAACCGCACCGCCGCACATTCGCACATCAGAGGCCTCGGCCTGCGCTCCGATGGCATGGCCGAGAAGGTCAGCGGCGGTTTCATCGGCCAGGCTGCCGCCCGAGAGGTAAAAACCACCCCCCACCAACATCACCGCTGGTCCACCCCCGGGGGAGCTTCAGCAGGCGCAATTCGGGACGGGTTGCGGGGAAAGTTGGACGTGCTCCTGGCAGCATGTTTGCTAACATGCTTTGTGCTGTAGGCGTGCGGCGTTGTCGTCGACTTGATCAAGGCGAAGAAGATGTCCGGAAGGGCCGTGCTGCTGGCCGGTGGACCGGGGACAGGCAAGACGGCGCTCGCGCTGGCCGTTGCGCACGAGCTGGGGACCAAGGTGCCGTTCTGCCCCATCGTCGGCAGCGAAATATACTCTGCGGAGGTCAAGAAGACGGAGGCGCTGATGGAGTGCTTCCGGAGAGCTATCGGTACGTGTTGCTGGATGCCCAGAAGGCTCCGGTCCTGCGACTGTTTGAGCGCCGGAGGGCGAACCTGGCGCGGCATATTTGGGCCAAGTTGCTAATGTGTGATTGGATCAGGTCTGCGCGTCCGCGAAACGAAGGAGGTGTACGAGGGCGAGGTTACGGAGCTCACGCCCGAGGAGGCTGAGAACCCGCTTGGCGGCTACGGCCGCACCATTTCGCACCTGATCATCGTGTTGAAGTCGGCGAAGGGTACGAAGAAGCTGCGCCTGGATCCGTCCATCTACGAAGCTATCCAGAAGGAGCGCGTGCGCCTGGGAGATGTCATCTACATCGAGGCCAACACCGGCGCCGTCAAGCGCGTCGGCCGCTCGGATGCCTATGCCACCGAGTTCGATCTCGAGGCGGAGGAGTACGTGCCCGTGCCCAAGGGCGATGTTCACAAGAAGAAGGAGGTTGTCCAGGATGTTACGCTGCATGACCTGGATATCGCGAACGCCAGGCCTCAGGGTGGCCAGGATATCATGAGCATGATGGGCCAATTGATGAAGCCGCGCAAGACCGAAATCACGGACAAGCTGCGGGCGGAGATCAACAAGGTTGTGAACAAATATATCGACCAGGGTGTGGCGGAGTTGGTGCCCGGTGTCTTGTTCATTGACGAGGTAAGTATCCATGGTTCCGCAGTGCCATGTACCGGAATTGACTTTTGTGGTCTAGGTCCACATGCTCGATCTCGAGACGTTCACCTTCCTCAACCGTGCCCTCGAATCTACCATCTCGCCCATTGTCATTCTTGCCTCCAACCGCGGCCTCTGCCCCGTCCGCGGCGCCGAGAACATCCTTCCTCCTTCTCCGCACGGCCTTCCCCCGGACCTCCTTGCTCGCCTGCTCATCATTCCCACGCACCAATACGGGCCCGATGAGGTCCGCCAGATCATTCGGGCTCGTGCACGTACCGAGAGCCTTAAGATCGACGAGGCGGCGCTTACCAAGGTCGGCGATCTTGGCGTGAAGGTCAGCCTGAGATACGCACTCCAGCTTCTCTCGCCCGCCCAAGTGCTGGCGAAGGTTGGTGGAAGGGGGGAGATTGGCATTGCAGACGTGGAAGAGTGCGAGGACTTGTTCCTGGATGCAGGCAGGAGTGCGCACGGCGTGACCCAGATAAGCGGCTTTATCGCTTAGAGCAATCATGAAGGCTATGGGTGTTCTAGACGTGATGAATAGGTCAACCATTTCGTCGACGGAGTTGAGTGGAGTGGGTCATAATGCATGTAAGAGTACCCCTTTTTGCTGAAGATCGGAGGTGCGTGGCATGAAAAGCTGGGTCAGGCGTTTTAAGTTTTCTTTTATTTGTAATGTCGAGAAGAATGGAAGACATCACCTCGAAATGCCATTTCCTTCTAACGTGATGTTAAGATCCAAAGCGGAGATGCTTCGTAACTGTTCCTCTGGGGTTTGAGAACGTTGTCGGTAAGGAGAAGAACTGATCCAGCAAAGCCACAGAAGTGCCATCTACCACTATGGTCTTGTCGGACTCGTAGGTTTTGGCAACCTGCAGCTTCCTTGACCAACATCGAGAATAATACTGTAAATCGTAGTGGGATGGGCAGTGTACCACAGCCACATGCAAGCCTGATTGTCAGCCTTGCATGTAGACACGTACCCGTTTAGTGAGCAGCAGCCAATCCCATGCAATTACGCCTGATGGCTGGTGTGGAGGTAGCTGAATATGCAACTAGACTCCATCTCTATCGGCACGCGTGTCTGGCATACGAAGCCCTTGCATTTTCACGGTATCACCGCTTGTGCTCGGGGCTGAGGGAAAAGGATTACGACTCCTTGAGCACTAGTTTTCTTACTACTTTTCATAATCCCGGTGATTCCAACGCTACAGCCAATGTTCGGAAGAAGTTATGCAAAGCATCGAATCAGGGCACGATGTAAATCGACTATCACTGGTTGATGACTGTAGCATGATAGCAGTGGCGGTAAGCATCCCGAGCTCCACCCCGTCAGTTGGCCAAACCACATTTTGGGCACTGTCTTGGACTGGTCTTAGCTCAGCCCATTGGACCTTCCTCGTCAGCTGCGTGCCGTCTGTCTTATTCGCCAGCTTTCTGCAGCAGAAAGAAGAAAGAAAAGAGGCCCGCTCATCAATCCAAATGGTTTCAAAGACTGATTGGTGAGTGGACGTTGAAGCGATAACAACACAGATCAAGCCGGAAAAGAAGGAGAAGCAAAGAACCGTGGGGTTCGTGCGGGGAGAGAAGCTACAGGAACCCGAGGAGGCGGTGAATAGCGAAGAACAGAGCTGGGCGGAAGCGAAAACGGAAGCGAAGAGGCTTGTCGTCGACGCAACGAGATGGAAGGAAGCAGCCCTCGACGCAATCCTGCTGACGGGGACCCCGAGTCTACTTTTAGACTGCTCGTGAAATCCTTCGTCGTGGGCTTGGGCATTTACCTTGGTTGTGTTGGGGTTTAGCATCTGGACCAGCCGCAGTCAGTGACGAATCAAACGCGGTTTTCATCGTCTCAGTGATGGTTACAATGTCCCACCGGGGGCTAAGGAGCTTGAGATGGCCCAGGAAGGGGGGGAAAAGACGCGGCTGGCGATGATGGCGCTTCACATCTCGGGAGTGGTCAAGCACGAATGCCGAAGCAGGGCTTGATTGATGAGGGAATGGCTTATTAGTGCCTCGGCGCAAGCCCAGGCCGAGCAGTGCACGGTAGCCCTATAGATGGTCCTGAAGGGGTTCCAGAAGGCGCGCCGCAACAGGGGTGCATGGAGCTGAGACGATCGGACCCAGAGATGAGGAAAACGCCGCGCAATGGACCCACTTGGCCGGAGAGCTTGCGATTGGCTCCAAATCTAGTCCGGACGTCCAGGGACTTGACTTGTGAGCAGGCAGTCTGCCGCGGCAACGGCGCGTCGACTGCCAGCCCGACTCGGTCGTTCTGAGGGCTGGCGAGGCGGTGAGGGGCAAACAGAGCGCACTGGCGGCCGCTGGCTGCAGCAGATGGAAAACGGTTATAGACGCAGTGGTTGGTGATGATTAGTGATTACCTAGCGCGCGCACGGCTTAGCAGGCACGGCTGGAGAAGAAGCAGGTGGGGTTGCGAAACCGAGCACCAGGTGGTCGGTTTGCACGAACACGTTGCAGGCCGCCACTTCCTTCGCTACGCGGTGGGCGAGTGCGGTTGTGCGATCCTCCCGAGCCACATGACCGTGCCTTGACTGCCGCGCAGCTCGCTCTCGCGTTCGCTTTGCAACCCTCTCTGCTCTGGTCTCCAGACAACGGACCGTGACACTGGTACAGCATCCACCAACAGACCACCACAACGCGACCGCTCGCTTTACACCGCCCCGCCGCCCCGGCACCGCCCCGCCTTGCGCCCGCCTTGCGCCCGCCCTCGGACGGCCGGCGTTGTGACGTCCTGCCCGTCGTGCAGCGCGCGTTCCCGGCGAGAAGAATGAGACGCGTGGAATTGCCCGGCGGGAATGCACGCGGAAGCTCCCGCGGGCACATTGCCAAGCGCTGGTGGGCTGGTGGGCCGGTGGGCTGGCGTATATAAGGATGCGTGGTACCTGATCCGTCTAGGGGCCAGGAAATCACCCGGCGCGCCCTGGGGTCCCTGGGGTCAACAACATCCAGGCGGGCTGGAGCCTGGCGGCGGCTGAAGCTTACCCCACCCCTCTGACTTGCCCAAACCAGCCGATCCGAGGTGATTGAACCTGCAGCTCTCAGACCTGCCTTGGCCCTGCCGACCGCCCACTCGGCGCGCCGCTTTTCAGCCTCACGCCGGCTATAAGACTGCGGCAACCCGGCCGTGCAGAACCGGCAAATCCTTTCGGCCCTCACCTTGCTCCGTCCATTGCCAGCGCCTTCTGTTTTTCCCTTCAGCGACATGATGATACCCGTATACCAGCTGCCCGTTCCCGTTTCCTCCACCTTTCAGCACAGGCCGCTCACCGACCCAAGACACATCCGCCTTCTCCGCCTGCATCCCGGCCACTTCGCCCTGAGAAAAGACGCCCCGTGGCTCATCGAGTACGAGATTGTGCATGTCAGCCTGGACGCCGCGCCCGCCTTCGAGGCTGTCTCGTACGTGTGGGGCAGCTCGGCCAAGTCACACATGGTCCGCATCCTCCCCACCAACCGGACCCTGGCCATCACCGAAGCCTTGATCCAGGTGCTGGCCCACCTCAACAAAAGCTCCACTACCGGATATCTCTGGATCGACCAATTGTGCATCAACCAGGACGACGAGCTGGAGCGCAACCACCAGGTGTCCATGATGGGAGACATCTACAGCAAAGCCAAGAGAACCCTCGTGTGGCTCGGAGAGCCCGATGCACATTCCAACCTTGTCGTGGGCACCTTGGACATTGTCGGCGATCGCTCAAAGGACTTTGCCTTCCGCCGGAGCCGGAAAGAAGCTGCACTCCAGGGAAAGAAGGATGTCGCCCAACTGCGTATGCATCTCCAGCATGCGCTCAACCGCCCTTGCTCCGTGCACTCGGCCGCCAAAGGCGATATGATGGACATGGATGACCAGGACGGATCGATGGGTGAAGAAGACCCTTGTCATCAGTGCTTTGAGGAGGCCGCTACGGACAGGGTCAAGGCAGCCTGTGGAGTAATGAGTCGGCCCTGGGTGAGTGTCCCCCGGCCCGCTTCATACACAATGGCTGACGTACTAATCTGGAAGACGTTTCAAGTTCAACAGATGCTGGATTGTGCAGGAAGTTCTGTTGGCCAAAGAGGTCTACATGATGATCGGAGACACCAAGCTATCACCTTGTGATTTTCACCGCGCCATTCACGCAAATCTCCAGGCTCCCAAAAGCATCTTTGGCAAAGTCGAGTACAACATGGACGAAGCGCCCGGCCTGCGTCCGCTCAGCTTTCTCACATACTTCTGGGACTCGTTGGACAATAACGACATTCCCATATTCTCCTGCATCCTGGACGACCTTCGAGATGGTATTGCCAGCGGGTACTTCAAGGCCTCGAATCCAAGGGACGTCGTATACGCCTTTTTAGGCCTTCATCCCCGAGCAACCCAACTCATCGCTCCACATTACTCATGGTCTGTGCAAGACGTATACGTCGACGCGGCCATGGCAGTAGTCGAAGAAACTGGCAATCTCGACCTTCTCGGAATCTGCGATTCCTTCTACCTTAAAGAGACGACCAACGGTCTCCCTTCATGGGTCCCGGACTGGTCCCGAGCCAGCCTTGCCAGCTCCTTGTTTGGTCCCGGTCGGGAGAGGGGTTTTTGTGCATCCGGCGCTCTGAAGCACGCTGTCCAGCCAGGACCCCGATCCCGATCCCTCTTCGTCATGGGCATACTCATTGACCGCATCACCGCCATCCATCCTCAGCAATATCCGCGGGAAAGGCCCGGCTACATGATGCACAACGCAGATGATGGCGGGAGGAGAGATTCTCAAGCACCCGACTACTTGGAGCTAGGGAAGACGGCTGAGGAGCTGACAAGAGCGCGGTCACCACAGTTTGCGCCCGTCACAATGGGAAGAATTCTGAATCTGTTACTCTTGAAGGAACAAAGGCTTTCGGACGATTGCCAGTACACATGGCGGGACAGGGAAGAAATTCTGTATTACGCAGCGGGCAGACAGGTTGCCCAGGGTGCCGGTGACCCTTTGGCGTTGGTGCCGTCGCCTTCTGCCGTCGGAGATGTGATCTGGCTCTTAAAAGGCTGTCCGACACCAGTGGTGCTCCGCCCGGCAGCGAGTGGAAGTGGCGCATATTATCTGGTAGGCGCGTGCTACTACGAGGGCGCCATGCACGGCCAACATGCCCACCTTCTCGGAAACGCTTGCAGCATTCAATTGATCTGAGAACAAAAGGGGTCCACCTTGAGTCTTGTTATTGCAAAAAAATTTGTGCTTTCAATTACCTGCTAGATCAGCGCTGCCACTACTATACCCCTCCGTAACTCACCTCGATGGTCGTCTGCGCAGCAGCGTCCACAGGCACCCACACGATCGTCGCCCTCCTCGCCTCATCGACCTCGACCTGCCGCGCGGTGCCCCCCTCTTCCTCCCCCACGACCTCGACGCACACATGCTCCATCCTCGTCCCGTCCTCGTGCCATATCACAACCCTGTACCGCGGCCCCACGTCCCTCTTCACCTTCTCGTCGCCGTACCGCTCCTCCTCCGGCACCTGCAGCAGCCGCGTCCCCGCATCCCACCCCGTCGACACGGTAATCGTCCGCCTCTGCCGAACCGTGCTCACGGCGGCGGCACCGTCGGCGGTACCGTTGTCATTGTCGTCGTCGTCGTCCGTAATCCGCTGCGTCACGTCCACCCGACGGAAGTTGCTCCTCGCCTCCACGTCGTCGTTGTGGCCGTGCTGCGCGCGGTGGTGGTGGTGGTGGTGGTGGTGATGGTGATGACTCGACGGCCGCACGGCGAGGTGGCGCGGCAGCGTCGCCAGGTACGTCCCGTCGGGCGCGCTGTCGCGCGAGACGCCGTCGTCGAGGTACATTTTGTACGTGTACTGGCCTTTGCCGTTGGCGACGGTGGTGTTGTCGTTGGCTCGACCGGGATAGACGTTGATGGTGACGGGGTTCGCCGGCTGTTGTTGCTGCTGCTCTCGCGTGCGGTCGGGGACGGATTGGCGGACTTGGATCTGGGGGATGATGGCGCCCTCACGGACGTACATGGGGCAGATGAAGGGCAGCTGGCGCTCGTCGGCGCTGATGCGGCAGTCGTAGTCGACGTGCGTGCCGCCCGCGACCTTGGGCTGCAGCGGCTCGCCGATGCTGCTGCTGCTGCTGCTGCCGCCGTCGTCGCCGTCGCCGTACGGGCGGAGGTTCATCGGATACCAAGAGTTCGTCGAGGGGAGGTATATCTCGCGGCGCGAGCGGCCGCCCGGCTCCTCGCGGTGCAGCAAAGGGGCGACGAGGACGTCGTTGCCGGCCAGGTACTGGGTCTCGGCGAAGCGCTCGTTCTCGGCGAGCAGCGAGGCGTCGCCGGCGGCGTCGGTGGTGACGACGGCGCGCGCGATGGGCAGGCCGGTGATGGTGCTCTCGAACATGGCGTCGTACAGCAGCTGCAGCAGGCTGTACCGCAGCCGCACCACGTACCGGCACGCGGGGAGGACGGCCGCGAACGCGCGCCTCTGCCCTTCCGGGATGCGGGCTTCGTGCTCGCGGTAGTACTCTGCGTATCGGTACGGTTCCTGGAAGAGCTTCTTGTCCGCGTCTCGCACGAGGCTGGGGTTGTCCTCGAAAGGCTCGTGCCTTCCGCTGTAGTGGTTTCTGCGAGGAGCGTGGTCAGTGATCAGCGGGCTTTGTGTGTATGTGTATGCATATATGGCCTACCGGAACCAGGGGAGGAGACTGTTTGCGCAGTACCAGCGGATCAGCAGCTCCGGGTCGGCGAAGTCGGACTCGCCGTACGCGAGCTCAAACCCTCCCACGTCGGCGCCCGCCACGGTCATGCCGGACATGCCCAGCGACAGGACCTGGACGACGGAGACGCGCAGGAACTCCCAGGTGGAGGCGTTGTCGCCGGTCCACAGGCCGGCGTAGCGCTGGGCGCCGGCGAAGCTGCCCCGGCCGATGATGAAGTTGCGCTTCCCCCGGCGCGCGTCCAGCCGCTTCAGCCCGTTGAACGTGGCCTTGTGCAGGTTGAGGCTGTACAGCGACCACAGCTCCATGGCCGTCTTCATGCAGGCCACGCCGTCGTCGTCCTTTGGAACAGTATTGCTCCCCTCGTCGTCGTCGTCGTCGCCCACGCCAGCGCCGCCACCTTCCCGCCCCGCCGCCGCCGCCGCCGCCACGCTGCTCCTCCGCCGCCTGATATTCTGCTTCTGCTCGCCCGGCCGGGCGTCGGCGTCGAGCAGCAGCCTGAACGGCCACGACTTCATGTCGCCGTACGCCTCGCCCATGCACGGCGACGTCATGTCCTGCCACACGAACTCGAGCCCGGCGTCGAACAGGGCCGCGTACTGCCGCCCCCACCACTCGCGCGTGCGCCGCGCGTTGAGGTTCGGATAGTGGCCCGGCGCGCCCTGGCCCTCGCCGTACGACACGCCGCCGTGGAACGGCACGCCGGCGTTGAAGTGCGCCGCGAAGCTGTAGCCGTCCGGGTACGGCCGCGGGCCGCCGCTGGGGGCGTCGTCGTTCGGGTCCGTGAAGTACAGGTCCGCGTTGCCGTACTGCTGGTACCGCTGGTCGCGGCAGGTCGGCGCCGCGGGGTCGAGCAGCCGCCGGTCGAGCACGAAGTGGCCGCCCGCGAGGCCCGAGTTCAGGGCCGCGTACTCGTCGTCGGGCGTGCAGCGGACGACGGGCGTGATGTTGGTGCTGCAGCGCACGCCGTGCGCGCGCAGCTCGGCGAACATGCGCTCCGGCGCGGGGAAGCGGGCGCGGTCGATGGTGAAGGTGCGGTAGCCGCGCTGCAGGTCGACGTCGATGTGCATGCCGTCGAGGGGGAAGCCGTGCTCGCGGTACCGGCGCGCCGCCTCCTCGACCTTCCACTGGCGGTCGTAGCCGTAGCAGCCCTGGTGGTGGCCGAGCACGTACCGCGGCATCAGCCGGGGCTTGCCGACGAGCGAGCCGTACAGCCGCGTGATGTCGGGCGTGGTGTTGCCGGCCAGGAAGAGGGCCTGGAAGCCGTCGAACCGGGTGCCGATGCGGAACGCGCGCCCGTCCGTCTTGCCGATGTCGAGGCAGACGTGCGAGTAGTTGTCCACGAAGCTCGCCACCTGCGACGCGTAGCCCGGGTGCCGGTTGATTTCTATCCAGAACGGCTCCGAGTGGTACAGCGGCTCCGCGGCCTCTTCCGGGCCTTTGGCGTAGATGTTGTTGTAGCGCATGTTGTCGAAATCTGACGACACACCCCCCGTGTTAGCGACGACTCGTCATATGATATGATGCTCCGTGATGTGGCATCTCACTGAAGTAGTTCATGTAGACTTTGTCCTTGAATAGCTTGCCCCCACCCTGCCCCCCAAAGCCCATGTACTTTGCCTGCGGGTGCTTTTCCACGGACAAGATCGTCGCGCGCTCGTCGTATTTCAATGGGTTCTCGGTGGTCTGCCAGATGATGGCCCTCCCGGAATGTCCAGGGATATCCACCGGGATCCTCGGGGGTCCAGTAATCGAAGCGGCTTTGATGGTCCGGACTGCTGTGATCTGAAAAGGGCTCCGTTGGATCCACAGTTCGACGACAGGCAGGCGTTTCCCTTTCAGCACCACCACGGATCGGAGGATGAAGTGGTTGACGTGGGTGGGATCGAACTCGACGTCCCAGATGATGTCCTCGGCGGCATCCAAGACTCGGATCGTCTTGGACAGCCTGTCCTCGAGCATCGTCCGCCTGCAACCGTTAAATATTTTTGGGCTGCGTGTTTCCAGTCTGACGAGCTGAACTCACGTGTTCCAGTCCGTGAAGCTCGATCCTTGCGTGCAACCGGGGTTGAACTGGATTTTCCACACGAGAGGGCGGATGAAGTGAACAAGCAACACGGCATCGCTGTTCAACCGGAAAATGCGGCCGTGAGAACTGATTGAGTTTCTTGTTTTCTCTTCCGTGAGTTGGTCTTCGGGCCTGTATGCAACCGAAGTAGGTTGGCGTTTTGCTGCAAACTTCTCAAAGAAGTCTTCTGCGGGTACGAAGCGATATGGATCGCTGTGTTTGGGGTGCGTTGCATCTGCCGTGTGCTGCGTCTTGTCTCGGCCGTCCCACGGCATTGTGCTGGTTGGAGTAAAAGACGCCGAGAAGCAAATTGCGTAAATCAGTGAAAGAAGAGAAGAGAATGAATGCAAAAACTTTTAGGACCGCGACGCCGACGCTCAATGCTTCGAAACCAGATGAAAAGAATGAAAGTGAGGTAGCAAACGGCGGGAATAAAAAGGGAGCGGTGAGATAGCACTATGATATAGCAGATTCTCTTGGATACGCTTTGACTCGCGACAGGGGGCCGCTTGGAGCGCTACAAGAGCAAGCACGCACGTGGTACTATCCTCTTCCAGCTAGTCTCGTTGGGCGAGGCCGGTTGTGGTCTAGAATCGCGGCCACAGTGGCACACGGGCACGCCCCTGAATATGGGCCGTACCGAGCCGCAGCCGGGTCTTCCGCAATTTCTATCTGGGTTTACAACAGGGTATTCTGCTCAATGTTCGGTTGACCCTGAGAGAAGTGAAGTGTGGTGGTATTGGTTTTCTCGCTGCTTCTACTGCTACACTAGATCCACGCGACGCACGGGTGGGGAAGCGATCCCTGTGACGGTTCAAGGAATAGTCGGAACAACACCCAGTATACAGCGACAGCTTGTTCATCTTACTTACCCCTAGACCAGTCAGAAGCAAGGGGCAGGTAAAGTCCGTGTGAAGAGTGATGGTGGAGTTCACACGCGGCAGACGATGCAAAACGGGCCGCGTGTCAACCGATTTCTTTTACCTTTTTGAGCCAGTCAAATTTTCAGTAGCACTGCACGTTTGGGAAACGCCACAAGGCCCGTTCTTTGTTTTTTTTTCTTTTTTTTCTGGCGTATTTGCCGAGTCTCAGCACGATCCCGAAACAAGATTGTCGAGCCCGGGGCTGGAACATTACGGTCTTTCACGGGATGGGTATACCATCATCACAATCACCACTAGCACGGGTGGAGCGGCACAGTCAGGACTGCTTTCGGGAGAATGCAGGAGCCTCTGCTCGCCAGCTGGTAGCTGACGAACAGAGCCTCCCCCGAAGAGCAGGACTTTCATTTCAGGGATGAAGATCTAAGGGTCGAAACTAAAACAATGCGGTTCGTAAAGAGTTGTCATCATCCATCAGGTATACCGTGGGCAATTTGTGCTCATAATCCTCAGGTGGTTGCTCAACCGGCGGGAAACGATGGCTTTCTCAGTCGCCACGGATCAGGCCGGCCAGCATCTGCTTGAAGGTACGAGGCTGCTGGAGGTCGTACAGCGGCTTGTGCTCATCGTGGACACTGTGGTCGTGCTCATAGTCGACGTGGACGAAGGCGCGCTCGACGTCGGCCAGGCCCTCGAGCTTGCGCTGCAGGGCCTGGCTCACGTCGTGCGAGTCGCGCAGGCGGATCTCCGGGTCCATGACGACGTCGACCTCGACGTAGAGCCGCTCGCCGGCGTGGTAGGCGCGGCACTTGGGGGGGGAAATCAGCCGGGGGGGTCACTTTGGTGGCGGTGGACGGAGACTTACCGTGTCAACCTTGCTGATGCGCGGATCGTGGGTCAAGGTGACGTAGATGACCTTGTTGATGAACTCGCGCGAGGCCGACTTGCCGACGAGCAGCCAGACTTGGTCGAAGGCCTGCGAGACCCACGAGAAGAGGATGAGCAGGCCGATGCACATGGCGCCGACGGGGTCGAGATACCAGACGAGGCGCTCGCCGACGATGGACATGGTCAGGCCGAAGACGTTGACGACCAGGTCGTTGCGGTGGTCGATGAAGAAGACGTGGGCGGCAGGATAGCGGCGGAAGGCGAAGCAGTAGCAGAACAGGCCGAACTTGGCGCCAATGGCCAGGGCAACACAGATCAGCGGCACCAGCTTGAGATGGCCGTCGGTGCGGGCGCCCTCGCCCAGGGCGCGGGCCGACTCGACCAGCAGCTGGACGGCGACGGTGGTCATCAGGGCGCAGAACAGGATGATGCCGACCGTCTCGATGCGGCGGCGGCCGACGGGGTACTTGACGGGGTTGGGCTTGTTGGCCAGGCGCGACGTGACCAGCATCACGACGGACGACACCAGGTCCATGAAGGCGTCGGCGGCGGTGGCGAACAGCGACAGCGAGCCGGTGGTGACGGCGGCGAAGAGCTGGATGCAGAAGAGGCAGAAGTTGACGGCGAAGGAGGCGTTGACGGCGAACTTGACCTTGGCGCCGTTCTTCTCCTGGTCCTCGGCGTGCAGGCGCTCCTCGTCGCCGCTCTGCAGCAGCTCGTCAATCAGCTCGTTCTGCTTCTCGTAGAACGACTCGACCTTGCGGGCGCGGGAGCGGTTCCACAGGCCGCGCGACGCCTTGATCTCGGGGCGCGACATGGCGTCGTTCTTGCGTGCAGCCAGGCCGTAGGGATCGGGGCCGTAGTGGTCGTCCATTCCGACGGACGCCTCCTCGTCGCGCACCCGCGTCATGGCATCGTCGGCCGGCACGAGCGGCGCCGGGCTGGCCAGCTTACTGGTAGTCTCGGTGGTGTTGACCGAGGGCTGGGTGGGCGAGCTGGGCGAGTTGGGCGAGCTGGGAGCGGGCTCCTCGGCCTCACGAACAACGGAGGCAGGCACGCTTTGCGGGGGCGGCTTCTCGTTGGGCCCGGGAGCGGCAGCGGCAGCGGCAGCAGCGTCTGGCGGCTGGCTGTGGACGGGACTGGCAGGCACGGCAACCAGGGTGTGGGCGGCGCTCACGCGACGGAGGTTTGCAGCGGCCGCCGCATGCTCCGACGCCTCGGACGCCCTCCGTTCGAAGACTCCCACAATCGACCGCACGCTCTCGTGCTCCGATCCGGCTCGGGGCCTTCCGCCGGCAGGGGCGGCGCCGTTGTCGATCTTGTCGGAAGCCATGGCGGGTGGCGGGGCTCAAGCTTGGGCAAGCGAAAAGAGAAAGGCTTGGATCAGATCTCGGGGCTGGGCAGGTGTTGATCTTTTCCTCCAAGAGGCCACGATGGGGTTCCGCCGCGCAGTCCTGGGGCTTGGCGCAATGCTGTTGGGAACGCAGTGGGACGGGTGCGCGTGGGTGCGACCGAGAGCCCAGCTGGGTGAGGCCATGGTTATATTCGCAGCCGTCGACGAGCATCTGGCGGCAGAGCTTCAACGCATTGACGAGCCTCTTGGCTGACATCATGGGCTGCGCCGTTTTGATACATCTGGCCATCGTTTATTCGCCCATCCGCCGACGCATGAAGCACTTTCCGCTTCAGATTGGCCGCCGGCAATCTAGAACTGCGTGCACTGCCCCCTCGGCCGCACATGGGGAAGATGTTCGCCGCAAGGTTGACTTTGCCTCTCCCCACGGCTGCCTTGCACCACCGGTCAACCTGCACAGTGCTCCTCAATGAAACACCTACTTCACCCACCCCATGACCTGCTTTCGTCTCCACCTCGTCCGATAGGTGGGAGCTTATCGTCGACCTTTTACGCCTTGGCCCTGAAGAAGACATCTTGTCTCAAGCCTGTCCGCGTCAATGGTCAGGTCAGCCTGCGATGGGTTTGTTGGCAGAGGAAGAAACAAACGAAACCATCCAGGTTGTTGATATGCGGTGGATGGGCCCCATGCTGCACTTTTTCTCTTTGCGGTATGATCAGAGAATGAGCGGTAACACCGTGATGTGCATCACAGCTGCGCGAAAGAAGGGCGCCAAGTCGCCGACGCCTTCCCAGCTATAAGATGTAGATAAACACTATAAGATCGCCAGCTCGGTCTCCGCACTAGACTGATTGTAGACTAGGACACTTCTGTGGGGGTCCGCTTTCCTTGGTCAGCCTACTATATTCCCCTCACCACACGTCAGCACCATATCCCCCACCAAATGGACCTGGCGATACTCTACTTCTCCTCCTTCAACTTTGCGCGTGGCCAGGATCCCCGCTTCAAGGGGATGATGTGAGCCTGGCTGAGATGAGACGGCTGGCGCGTGCGGTAGACCATCTCGTGGCCCTTTCGCCGCTCAAGATGTTGAAGGCGCCGATATGCTGCTCGCAATGTAAAAAGCCGACGTTTCGACCAAATGTGAAGGCTGCTTGCGCATTCTTGCGCTTGAGCCGGAGAAGTTGCCAGACGCCTGGAAATTGCCTTTTGCGCGCGTAGACTGTGGTATCATGCTCAATACATGATCTCAGCCGAAGAAGTTCCCGGATTTCGGTGGTCGGTAGAAGGCACATTTAGCTCTAGTTAAATATTGGGACCGATATAAGCCGACAGCCCCTTTGGGGAAACAAAGAAAAAAGAAAAAAAAGGAGCAGCTCTGGACACGTGCGAATGATGAATAATGAAACGGGACGCACGGTCGCAGCCTGCTGCTGCGGCTAATTCCATGGCGACGCACAAGGATCAATAATGAAGAATCCTTTACGTTTAGATGATCGTTTCCGGGCCAACAGGGGGAGCAAGGGGTGACAAGCTTGCACAACAAGAGAGCCGATGGCTGGAATCCCTTGCTTCGGGAATGAGTGAAGGCCAGTGCCACACGTGGCGTTGGACACCAGACGGGCAGCATCCCGGTTGGCTCAATGAGCTGGCCTGCGGGAAGGGCGAAAGGGTCGGATTGCGGAGAACCTTGAACCACCTCAAGATCGGCCCCAACAACCCGAGCCCGTCACGATGCCTGTGTAGCTGCTCTCTCAACCTTACAGCAACTGCAAATCCAATAGTCGGCCTGCAATCTAGCCACATACACACATGATATGACATGCTCGACCGTCCTCGACCACTTGGCGTTGGAGAACCGAACCGCCTTCTCGTCGTATTATTATTGCCATGCCGCTCGCTCGCCACTTGCCGCCGGGAAACCGACACCCCTTCGCTTAAGGTTGCGGTCCATGGCTTAATCATCCTTTCTTGCATGGTGCACGGCGCCTCCCAGCGGGACAACACACCTTCGGATACAGTCAGCGTCAGCCAAATCAGTCTTGCGGGCGGTGATAGGCTTCATCGACTGACCTGGAGCGTTGATCGTTTCCGACACTTCGGTCTCTCCTTCAACCGACACTTTCATGTGGGATCCTGATAGGCGTGTTGTAGAGAGCATCTGGACGTTTTTGGTTAACACACTGCAAGACAAGCCTTTGGCTCCCCAACTCCGATGGTGACTTGCCCAGGCTCGAATGGCTTTTGAGTTTTCTTATCTGGCTCGTCTATTTATTCCAGGCATGACTGATGCCATCAAGTCCGGCCTTTGCTCTTCTCATACATAATCTTTGCACAGCCCCGGGTGGATTGCGTCTGAGGCACCGCAGCAAGCATCCCTCTCGGCTCCGAGTCTTTCCTTGCACCATCCCCTTTTCGTCATGGCTTCGTCACTGGAGAAGCAAGCGGCAGCCAGACTCAGTGCGCCCGCGCCCTCTGAGCTCGAGCGCGGCCTGTCGACCTCCAATTCCGAGGAGCTTGTGCTCGCCAAGGATGGAACCGTACTGGTCCCTCAGCCTTCGTCAAACCCAGATGATCCCCTGAATTGGAGCTGGACGAAGAAGCATGTTGTACTATGTGCTTTGATCCCCGGCTGCCTTCTGTCCGACTGGGCTTTGACGTGGGGCTCTGTCGTATTTCAACTGCAAGCTCCAGAATGGTGGGTGGCTGCCTTCTCTACTTCCAGGCGCGCAGCTAATGTGGTTCCGCAGGCATATGTCTGTACAGGCAGTTTCTCAATCCATGAGCCCCGGCATATTCTTGCAAGGACCCGGCGGTATCCTGGCCGTACCCCTGTGCCAGCGTTACGGACGGTAAGGAAAGCGCCCCATGTCGCCATACGGTTCACTGACTTTCCCTGTCAGGCTTCCTGTTCTGTTCTGGTCTCAGCTCCTCTCACTCATAGTGACTATTGGGGCCACTTTCGCCGACAGCTATGCCTCCTTCACGGCGATGCGTACGCTCCAGGGGTTCTTCGGTGCCGCGCCTCAGGTCATCGGTCTCTCCATGATCCACGACATGTTCTTCTTCCACGAGCGGGCTCGGAAGATCAACATCTGGGCTGCATCCTTCCTGATTGGGCCATACCTGGGACCCTTCTTCTCCAGTCTGATCATCACGAAGCTCAAGTGGCGCGAAGACTTTGGCGTGCTTGCCGGCTTCTACGGTCTGAGTCTGCTGATGGTTGTTTTCCTCGGTGATGAGACCCTCTACGAAAGAAACGTGTCAGAGAAGCCCCGGGATAGGTCTGTTGTCTCTCATGTTTCTTCGCTGCTCGGGATTGAAGGCGCACGCGTGAGAGGCCGGCCGGGCCTGTGGACTGTGACGAAGCATCAATACTCTTTGCTTGCCAGACCATACCTGTTCGCTCCCAGTAAGTGGACGCACGTATTTCGCTGATGACACACAACATGTCCAGCTGACGGCCAATGCAGCCGCTCTCTTCGTAATGCCCCTCACCATGTGGACCATCGGCCTCGTATCCACAATCTCGCAGTTCGTTCTGCCGCCTCCCCAGGCCGGCGGCTACGGCTTCTCCTACGTCTCGCTGGCAATGATTCACTTCGCCCCCATGATCGGGACCATTGTGGCCGAGCTCTGGGGCCACTGGTTCAACGACTTCATCGCGGCCCGCTACATGAAGCGTCACGGCGGCACGCATCTCCCAGAGAACCGCCTGAACGGCGTCTACATCCCCGTCATGATCGGCGTGTGCGGCCTGGTCCTCTTCGGCGAGACGCTGCAGCACCACCTGAGCTGGGTCGGCCTCGCGTTCGGATGGGTAAGCGTCTCTCCCCTCCCCCCTGCCGGCAGAAAAGTCACAGCCACTGACACACACACACCAGGGGATGACCTGCTTCGCGACGCTGGGCGGCATGACGGCCATCTCGGCCTACGTGCTCGACTGCTTCCCGCACCACGCGGCACTGGCGGCGGCCTGGATCAACTTCTGGCGCGTCGTCGGCGGCTTCACGGTGCTCTACTTCCAGCTCGACTGGGTGCATCTCAACGGGCCCGCCGTCACCTTCGGCTGCCAGGCGGCCGTCATCGCCGGCGCCGCCGTCATCGGCGTCGTCCCCACCCAGATCTGGGGCTCGCGCTGGAGAGCCAAGTGGCCGGCGCCCGTTCCGGAAAACTAGTGGAATTGCCAAATGTGGTATCGTCGGCCAACAAGTAGTGTGCCGGCTGGTAATAATGTCGTCGGGTGCGTCATTTGATGGCAGTTGATTGGTCGAGATCAGGAAGGGCGATCCGAGTCCTGGGTCACGGATATGGTGGCCCACGCGGGAATAATACCCTAATCCAATGACATACAGAGATTTCGATAGAAACAACAGGTGGGCTTTGCGTGCCGGCTCTTTGTCACACGTGGCTGCCCTCCCATGTTCTAATTTCATCCACAAGAAACCTTTACACACTACAGGTGAAGCCTTGAGTGATTTCTCACGACTGAAGGTCCGCTCGGTGGCATGATCCGTTCACCTGGTTTTGAAGGGGTTCGTTCCTGCCCGAGGGTGCCAAAAACCAATCGCTTGACGGAGGTAGCTCCTCTCTTCTATGCACTATTGTCTCCTTTTGAGTCTTGCTGGGTTGTAGATCGTTGCCATCTGGATGCGGAAGCGCGAATTCAGCAGCGTCCTTTTCCTCCTCTTCCTCACTACTATCGATAGAGAATTTCCGCAACCGGCCGAGCCACAGTGTTGGGTCCATATCGCGCCTGGTGTACTCCTGGCTGATACTACTACTAACGCATGCTTACTCCATTTTCATTGGATGTACATGGTGCGAACCCTGGGGAGAGGTGTTAAGGGGGTTTTGCATGCGGAAACGCCAACGGATAGCCCCTGGGAATCAGAGCCGCAGTGCATCTAGATCTGTGACGTATCTTTTTCAATCGAAGAGGCTGTGGAATTGCCTTGGTACTTTTGCTTGCTCTCCCAAATGGTATAAGAGTCGCCAAGGATCCAGCTTTGTTGCTGCAGCATCACAAGCACTTCGGTATCGCACACTCACATCATTTCTCATCATCTTCCGTACAACGATGCGCCGCTCTTCGCTCGTGCTTGCTTTGGGTGGCCTCTATGCTGCCAGCGTATCGGCCCAAACCTGTGCGCCCCAATACGCACAGATTGCCGACTGGATTGACGACTACCAACCGGCCAAGGTATGGTGCGCTTCGAGGTATGGGGCTCCCACGACCACAGTTGTCGCCACACAGACCATCCGCCTTCAGCAGAAGCGCGCTGCCCCGACTCACGTCTTCGCCAACATCGGGTCCCACAACAAGCCTCGCCCTGATGAGGACCATGAGCCGCACCGCTACAAGAGGCAGGGGACCTCCGCATCCCGGGGGCAGTTCTACTACGACCTCATGAACCAGCAGAGCAGGAGCGCGTGGGTGCAGGGCGTCTGCGGGTGCATAGTCGATACCGTGACCAAGACGGTCACTACGAGAGTCACACTTGGGCCTGTAAGTTTTGCCCCCCGTTACCCCGATGCATCCTTCCTTTTTCCTCATCAGGGGGCTGAAACAAATCTCCTTGTAGACCGGCCGAACCTCGTCCACAGCGAGGACCTCTACAACCAGCATCAGGACTTCTTCGACTTCCTCGACCCTGAGGACGTCGACCCTCCCGGTGCAGTTGCCCAGACCATCCACCACCTCTTCTTCCTCCTCCTCCTCCTCCTCCTCCTCCTCCTCAACGTCACCAAACGTCCTCGTCCGCCCCTCGGCTTCAGCAGCGCCACCTCCCCTTCCGCCCTCTGCGGCCGCTCCACCGCAACTCGGAAGCTCCGTCGGGCCGCCTGCTGCGCCGCCGCCGCCGCCTCCCGGCCCACCGCCCTCGTCTCAGAACGTCCCGTCCCAGCCCGTAGGCTTGCCCATCAACGTCCCATCTCAGCCTGCAGGGAGCTTCCCCTCCAACCTTCCAGCTCAGCCCGCGGCGCCCTCCAACCTCCCAGCTCAGCCGACGGGCTTCGCTCCGCCGCCGCCGCCGCCGCCGCCGCCGCCCGCCCCAGGGGCCCCCGTCCAGCAAGCGGGGTGCGTGGAAGGGCTGTACGCGGGCCTGGGCGCGTGCCAGTGCGGGTACAACGTGCTGTGCGGGTGGACGGGCAACTGCGGCAGCGCCGACGGGACCGTCGTGACGCCGACGGCGTCGTGGGTCGACTGCGGCAAGCTGTGCGACGACAACAGCGACTGCACCGCGTGGACCTACAGCTACGACTCGGGCCTGTGCACCGAGATCACCGACCCGGACTGCAGCACCGACCTGTTCCAGACCATCGCGGACCCCAACTCGGCGCTGGGCGTCTATGCGGGGACGGATTGCGGGGGTGTGTGTTTGATTTGATTTTTTTTTTTTGGTTGGGAAAAAGGCGGCGATGATGGATGGATGGATGGATGGTAGTATATGTAGGAATCGTCAAAAAGAAAGAAAACTTCACACTGCTACGAACTTGCTTGGATCCCAACCCCCGCCGTCCGCCTGCCTTCGACGAAGATGACGGGCGGGGTGAAATGCTGCTTCCCGTGCACGACGTAGGTGCCGGCGCTGATGGCGATGACGCCGGCCCAGATGGCCGGGGCCCAGTTGGCGTCGGCCGTCGTCACCGGCGTCGAGGTCGGGAAGCAGCTGAAGACGATGACGAACAGCGAGTAGCAGAAGGCGAAGGCGTTGACGGGGAGGCCGAGCCGGCCGAGGCTCCAACGCGCGGGCGGGAGCTCGTCGCCCCTGATGCGGCGGAGCAGGACACAGCCGATGGACAGCATGTATGTCGAAAGCAGGGCGAGGAGGGAGAGCGAGACGATGATGTTGAAGGCGAGGGTGGAGCCGAGGTTCACCAAACACAGGACGCCGGCGCCAACCGAGGAGAGGTAGACCGAGTTGAAGGGGATGTCGTACTTGCGGTTCATCTGGGCGGACAGCACGTCAGTGGCGCGAAGCGCGAGGCGGCGAGGATTGGACGTACATGCGAAATCCAGGCCGAGCAGGGGAATCCCTTGTCCCTTGAGAAAGCCCACAGCTCTCGCGAGACGGTGGCCAGGGTGGTGATGTTGCCGGCGAAGATGAGCAGCAGGAGGAGGATGGTCAGGAACAGGGCAACGCCGGTCGAGCCCGTGTTGACAAAGAGGTTCAGGTAGGGGGCATCGGCTTCCAGCGTGGCCTCGAGCGGACCGATGCAGAAAAGCATGGTGATGAGCATGACGATGCCGAGTAGGACGTTGATGACATAGGACCACCACATGGCGCGGGGGACGATCCAAGACGCATCCTCGACTTCTTCAGCTACGGATGGTCAGCTAGGCTTTGCCCATGCGGCAGCGGCGACTTACAGATGTGGACAATGCTGTCGGATCCCAGGTTGCAGTACATGACGGTGACTTGGCTGATCAGGCAGGCGGTTCCCACGTTGCTCCATCCGCCGCTGTTCACGAAGGTGAAGAAGACGTCACTGGCCGGGTTCAAGGGGCGGCACATGGCCCAGCACACTACGACGACGACGAAGAAGCCGAGCACATGGGCAAACAGAGAGGCCGTCTCCAGCATGGGCAGCGAAGCGGCGCCGATGGTGTTGAAGAAGATGGTGATGACGATGAAGGCGAGCATGAGGAGGGTTGCCTGCCAGTTGGTGAAGGCAAAGTCTGGGTCGATGACCTCGGCGCAGATGTCGATGAGTGTGGTGACGACGAAGCAGCTGGAGGCGAAGCTCGCCAGCCATCCCAGCGTCGACATCCAGCCGGCGGCGTAGCTCAGGAACTTCTGGTGCTGGGCGGGGGCGAACTCGGAGACCCAATGATACTGGCCGCCGCTGGTCGGGGCCATGCTCTCCATCTCGGCCAGCGAGGCGACAATGGTGGCGTAGCAGATGACGGTGCCGATGAAGGTCCAGAAGAGGCCGGCAAAGCCTCCGTTGATGAAGCCGGCGGAGAGAGAGCTGGCATGGAGTGGTCAACAGAGCAGAGGGCGGCGGGGCCGGCGTGTTAATTGCAAGGGTTCATACACTAGGACGAACTCCCAGGTGGCCATGTAGATGGAGACGAATCCGAGAGTCGAGAGAAAGCCGAAGTTCCGCTGCGGGATTGGTCAGGCGAGCTGAGCGAGTGGGGAGGAGGGAGGAGGGTGGGTTTGGCACACCTGGAACTCCTGCTTCTTCCCCAGGCGCTGCATGTCGCGCACGTCGCTGGTGGTGTCGCCCCAGCCATCATAGCCAACGGCTTGCTCGGCGGGCATCACGTTCTTCTCCGTCGGGGCCATGTCCATGGTGGCGGGAGAGAAGCAGCGTGCACTGGGGAACGGCGGCGAGGGGGCATTTAAACGCAGAGGCAGAACGGCTGCGTATCGGAGAATAGATTATAGATAAGTAGCTGCTTACTGAGTCGATAAGCAGCGGCGGGCAGCCACAAGCGGCTGGCCGGCTGCCAAGGCCTCGGCTCGTCAAGGCGCACAGTTGTCATCATCCCAAAATCATCATCCCAAAAATCAGCTCGTGTACCGTGAGACACTTGCTGACAGAGTCTCGTTTCTGCGATCCTCTTGCGAGAGGTTACAGCCGGCGCGTGCACGAGCTAACACCTGGCAGCCAATCCGTTACCCCGCAGGACCCAGCTCACCGGAAATGCCCCCAAAATAGCAACACCGGTTCCTGGGAGACGCAGGTGAAGACATCAGATGTCTAGGAACCTCGTCCAGGCGCGATGCAACCCTGCCGGCACTGGAGCGAGCTCGTATGTGCAGAGGCACTACCGGCTTCCGGCATCGCAGTACTACCAATGCTGTAGCACCTGCGTCCTGCGCGGGTATAAAACCCAAGAGAGAGGTGCGCTGTAGTTTGCTTCCACCATCATCATCACTCAGTCTCGCGCCCCGTCCTCTGCAAAGAAATCGTCGAAAAATGCGCGCCGCCACCGTCCTCGCCGCGGCGCTTCCGGTGCTCGGAGCGTCTGCCCGCCTCATCGGCGTCAAAGTGCCGTCGACCATTGCGCCGGGCGACACCTTCACTGCCATCATGATCAACGAGATCTACATCCAGACCGTCTACGATGTCGCCATCGCCTTCGGCATCGACACGCCGCCCGGGCACGAGGGCTACATCGGCCAGGTCGTCGGGTCCCAGTACCTGGGCCCGGCGCTGTCCAACCAGGGCCAGAACCTCAACCTGACCGTCACCATGCCGTCGTCGGCCCAGAAGGGCACCGACCAGGTCTTCTACGCCGCCTTGTACAGTCTGTACGGCGTCAGCTCCGGCCCGACCATCTCCAGCTTCAACGTCACCACCACGATTGGGGAGGTGACTTCGGACGACTATGTCAGCAGCTTGTAGTCGATGTTTCCTTTTTCTGTTTCCAGCGTCTAATTAGCAGAAGCAATTGATATGTCTTGATTGAAAGCGGTCGGAAGATGCCATGCACCAGAAGACAGAGTTTACGACGATGAGCGCATTCGGACTTGCTACGTTGGATGTTCGCAGGCGGCCGCAAGTGACGCGTCCCTGTTGGAAGGGCGCTCCGCCCCTCGAGCCGTTTGACGCCCACTCCACGCACTGTGCTCTGGCGTTATTTGAGGGAACGATGTGGAAAGCGGGCGCTCCGTGAAAAGCGTGTGTGTTGTAGGCCGGGGGTGACGCCAGCTCGGCTAGGCTGCGGCCGTCTTCCCCGTCAGGGGCAAGCCACGGGCGGCGCCTTCACCCGTACTCAGCCGCAATATGAATCTATTTGGTAAGTGTGGCTGGGCTGGCTGCTTCTTTTCTCAGGATCCTGTCGCGTGCTCGGGTTCCGAAGCGGTCAGCCCCTCGCGCCCAACTCCGCAATCGTGCACCTCCACCCACCTCCACCCTCGATCCGCGGCCAATCATCTGGCCCTCGCCACCTCTCCACACGGATGCTCGCAGCACTTCGTTCAAAATGCCGTCGGGCAGACCCGTGCAACAAAGCCGTCTTTTTTTTTTTTTTTTTAGGTGGCAGGAGAAATGCTAGTGTGCTGGTGTGCTGGCGTGCTGGCGCGGGGTGAGACGGCGCTTGGGCGCAATCATTTTGTCCAGACTCTGGTCCCTGAGCCGACGTGGCAGTTGCCGCATCCAGTAACCAGACACTGCTTCATATTTTACACGCTACTCCATAAGGCTTGTTTCCGGTCACGTTCCCGTCGAGCTGCCCGTCAGGCCTCGGGAGCTGCAAACTACCACCGAGCAGTCTCTTTTGCTCTTGACTGATGCCCATTCACGAGCATCCACTCGCCCGCCTCCATCCAGTTCCTTCCGAGCTCGGCTCGGTGCTCTGCATCAATGGCACCTTTTTTTCCCCCCTTCCGTTTTCGACTACTGTTTCGGGGTGCTTGGGCCTCCAGCTAAGCTTCAACCACCAGCCCAAGCCACCACCTTTGCCGCGGGAGACACCGAAGCCACCATCTCGATTATAGCGGAAAGGGCCGAGGCGCGAGTAGGCCTGGAAGCCTGCAACATGTACAAAAAGCCCTCGCCTTCCTCAGTGCTGTCCCGTCAAGTGGATTTGGGTTTTGGTCGCGCGCCGTCAATCATTATTCCTTCGCTTTTTTGTTCTTCAACATGTCCGCACAGACTGGTTTGGTCGTGCCGTCGCTCTTTTCAGACTCGAGAACTTCGTCCACCACCGATGTCAGCGATGTGAAGGAGAAGCAGCAGCCCGACGTAGAATGTCAGAGCATCGACAACACCGGCTCGGCTTCCGAGTCCGAGGAGAAGGAAGATTCAAACTTGGTAAGCTCCTCCCATCACCGCATTTTCTTCGTCGACGTGCTGACAAAATCAACAGGTCACTTGGGACGGCCCTAATGACCCGGAAAACCCCAAGAACTGGACCCAGTCGCGAAAGTGGGCCGTAAGTTTCCATCCCAGAGCTGCTGGCCGGCCGGTGCTGACCGACACCAGACGACCATGATCGTCTCCGCATTCGCCTTCGTCTCGCCTCTTTCTTCTTCCATGGCCGCCCCGGCCCTGGATGCTATCGGGACTGAGCTGCACATTCCCGACGGCTTCCAGCTCCAAATGGTTCTTTCCATCTTCCTGTTGGCATACTCGTTCGGCTCCTTCGTCTTGTCTCCGTGCTCCGAGATATGGGGGCGTTCTTGGATCATTCGTACCGGCAATGCCGTCTTCATCCTCTTCAACACCGCCTGTGGCTTCTCCCAGTCGCGAGCTCAGATCACGGCCTTCCGTTTCATTTCTGGCTTTGGCGGCAGCGCCATGCTCGGAGTAAGTGCAGCCGCCGTCCCTTGGCTACCACTTGATGCTAACCCGCCGAAGATGGGTGCAGGAGTACTTTCTGATTGCTGGCTTCCTTCTGAGCGAGGCAAGGGATTCAGCATCTATCAGCTCGCGCCTGTTCTCGGGCCTGCTCTGGGTCCCATCGGTAAGTCGGTCCACTCCACAGGGAGGCCAAGTGCTGACCCAAGCCAGCCGGTGGCTTCATCTCGCAGTACACCACCTGGAGGTGGACCTTCTGGTCCATCACCCTCTTCAACCTCTTCATCCAAACCCTCGGCCTCTTCTTCCTCCGCGAGACATACGCTCCCCGCATCCTCCTCCTCAAGGCCCGCGCCCTCCGCGCAAAGACCGGAAACGCCAGCCTCCGCACCCAATGGGAGCGCGACGACCGCACCCTGCCCAAGCTGCTCGCCATCTCCCTGACCAGGCCGTGGCGGCTGCTCGCGACCCAGCCCATCGTCCAGCTGCTCGCCCTCTACCAAGCATACAACTACGGCATGCTGTACCTGCTGATCTCCAGCTTCCCCTCTCTGTGGGAAGGAAAGTACGGCATGCCCAAGGGCGTTGCCAGCTTGAACTACATTTCGCTGGCCGTCGGCTCGCTCATCGGCGCCCAGATCTGCGGCCCTATGATGGACGCCATCTACAGGCGCCTCCAAAAGCGCAGCGGCACTCCAGACAAGCCCGGCCCGCCCGAGTTCCGCATCCCGATGATGGTGCCGGCATCCATCATCAGCCCATGCGGTGTTTTCCTGTACGCGTGGTCGGCGCAGGCGCAGTGTTTCTGGCTCGTGCCGAACGTAAGGCCCCCCTCCGCTCTCTCCTCCTCCTCCTGACCAATGCTGACACGCCTGATGCAGATTGGAGCCGCGCTCTTTGCCTGCGGCAGCATGATTTCCTACCAGTGCATCTCGACGTACATTGTCGACTGCTACGCGCAGTACTCGGCCTCGGCCTCGGCCGCGTCGGGCTTCCTGCGGTCGCTCGCTGCCTTTGGATTCCCGCTGTTCGTTCCTTACCTGTTCAAGTCCCTAGGATACGGTGTCGGTGGAAGCATCCTGGGCGCTGTTTCCGTCGTTCTGGGCATTCCCGCTCCGCTGCTTTTCTGGAAGTACGGGAGCGTCATCCGGGCATGGAGCAGCTTTGATGGCTGATCAGCGGCGTCAGCAATATGTGTGTTTTTTCAGCATAGCAGGAGGAGTTACTGGTAATTCGTATCGGAAAAGTCTAGCGTTACTTAATGTATGAACCTTGTACCTACGAGATGGATGGAGACAACATATACCCAACGTCCTGTGCCATGTGTTTCTGGCCCACCCGGCGCAGCCGGCAATCCTGCGCGTCCCATCACGCACGTGGGCGGCTCAATGGCGCCAGCGAAACACTTACGCAATGGAAACCTTTTGCGCAATTGCACGGCCGGCTAGCGTTACTCCAGCCAAGTCACTCCGAACATCACGCCTTATTTAGGCTCTACCTCTACCCCACAATCTGCCGACTGCTTGTCCTGTAGCTCTCCATCTCCTGGCGCCGTCTTTGCCCTTCCCGCAGCTTTGCTCGCGCTTTGCCAGAGCGGCCAGCAGCCCCCGTCCACTCCACGCTCTTGTATCCCCGGCCTATCGGCCGTTTAGATAGTGTGAGGGCTGGGAATTACTTGGTGGAACGAGTCAAGCTCGGCATCTACAAGGAAAAAGGCCCACCACCGCAGTCATGGCCACCACAACGCACTCCAGACAAGCCTCTTACCTGTGCGGAAACGACGCTTTCCACACCCCTTCTTTGACCCCTGCCAGCACGCTGGCCAGCAGCCATGATCCATCTTCTCCATCACATCACCACACTTGCGATGACGTTCTTGAAGACACTGTGTTTCCAGAGCTGAAGAAGAACGAAGAGAGCGACGTCGACGAGCTCCAGAAAGAAGATCCGATGGGAATAGACATGTGGAAATTCTACCGGAATCAGTCCAACGTGCCCGATGCTGAGCGCATGGAGAACATGACGTGGAGGATGATGGCCATCAACCTCCGCAAAGCACAACAGAAGAAAGAGTATGTGTTGCCCACTTGCCGTGCAGCTAAAAAAAAAGCTGATCGAAATCCCAGATCATCTCATCCAGCGGTGGGACACGTCAAGACTCCGGCTGCGGAGTATTGGTCGCCGACAACGGCGAGTCACCAGTCCACGACTGCGCAACCACCAAAAACAAGAACAACAACAACATCAACAACCCCGGGCATACCAGACCCCCCAGGCGCCTCCTGGACGACGGCACCCGGGGGCCGGATGGGCACCATCAAGTCCGAACAAGACCTCAGCGACTACCAGTTCAGCTTCACTTCCCATCATCATAATCATCATCATCATCATCATCATCATCACCTCTCGCAAGATCCCCAACAGGACCAGCCTGCGCGCTTCTTCCCGCCCCCATATGGATACGGCGCGCTGGACGGTCCCCGCGGCCGCATCCAGCTGCCCAACGGCCCCCTCAAGCACGAGCCCGACGCGCCCATGCCCATGATGCACGCGCGACACGTCTCGCTGGGGGCGGCGGCGGCGGCGGCGGGGTGCCCGGACGGGGGGGATTCCTTTGGCGGCGTCAAAGCCGACGACTTCACCCCCCACGCCCAACACGCGTCGGGCGGCGGCGGCGGCGGCGGCGGCAACGTCGCCCCGTGGGATCCGGGCTGGGCCGAGGACGCATTCGGGGGCCAGTCTCTGTACGACAGGCCCGAGCTGGTCAAAAGGGAGGGGAGCGAGCACGGCCCTTTGTTCGATGCCGACGGCTATCTCTTGCCGGCGGATGATGGGTGGATGGCACAGGACAGCTCGGTGCTCGGCGGCCATGGCGCGACCGCCGCGCAAAGCCTGCCACAATGGCAGCAGTTTGGAGAAAACCGATATGCCGAGTTTTCGGGACAGAGGCATCGGTTCGGGACGCAGCTGAGCCAGTTCGGGCACATATTCACGCCATCAGCGTCTGGACTTGGTACGCAACTATCGTCAAATCATCAAGCAACATGCTCGAGTCAAGCGTCAAGTCCTGGAACGGTGGGCAGAAAACGGCGAAAGGAGAGATGAGGGCACTTACTATGATACAGAAGTATAACAACAACAACAACAACAACAACAACAACATGCTTACATGGGGAAGCTCTTGTGTATCCTGACTTGTAGTGTACAAACGTATGCCGGGCAATAACCGAACCCAGCCGTGAAGGGTATATCGAACTCTAACCTGAACCATCAAACCACGCATGCATAGCTCGTGCACCGGCTTAGCCAAAGGTATCCCACCGGCGGATCCCCATCTCCAACTTCCCGAAACCCGCATCGCTGCCTCTCTTGGGCCCAAGCACAGAGCCCGCGCGATTGAAGCAACCGTAATGGACAACCGTACCGTCAGGATATACTCTGATTGCACTGTTCCCGAACCGCTTTCCACAGACCCTGCAATGCCTGTCCTCCCCAATGACTACCCTTCTATTCTTTCCACCCACCACTCCTGACGGTCCGGTACCTAGCAGTAGAGCTGTCTCGACCCCGAGTTTCTCCACCCCACGCAATTGAGACACAATGCGCTCCTCGTTCATCACGCTGTTGGCGCTGCGAATGCGGCCGCAGAAGTAGGATTCCAGGTCCTTGATCGGGAGCACCGATGGAATAAGCTCTAGCGTTGATGACGCCGGCAGACGAGCGCCGTGCTTGGAAAGGAGGGAGAGCGCCGGCTCCCAGTTTGCTTTGTGGGGGGGAGGCGGAGTAAGGTAAAGCGAGAGGAGGGTGTGATAGATTGATGGCTCGGAATCCTCTGGATCTTGTTGTTGTGAAACGCCCTGGTGGCGGGACTGCGGTCGACTGGATGGTGTGACGAAAGTCGGTTGTTGGGAGGCGGTAAGATAAACATGGTTACAGTATCTGGATCAAGTTAGTAGGAATCATGGAGAGGGGGCTCGTTTGATGCATACACTTCCGCCTTGTTGTAATCTTCAAGCTGGAAGACATAGATCTGCAGGGCTTGCTTGTGTTGGCCCATTTTGCTGAGAACAATTGCACGTGACTCGTAGAAGTCCGGCACTGCGTTCTTGCGTTAGCATCTGCCTCGAACGCCGGCACGTACCACGCTTACCGTCTTGTGGGAGGGCTCGGAAGATTCTGGCTTTATTGTACTGGTGGCTATTCCTCAAGAACACCTCCAGCTTCTCCCGCCATTCTTTGTGTTCTTCCTCGCTTTCAAACGCCTCGCCTTCTCTCGCCTTGAGCAGTCGGTCGAGATATTCATCGACCAGCCGCTGGTGGAAATCAGGTGTCCGGTCACCAAGCTCGTTGATAACGTGTTCCAAGTATCGGACAGACAGCCTTATATCGATTGCGTGCAAAAAGTCCAGCACGCGGTCCCGGGGCAGAGTCTCCGCATTCTCCGTGTCCGCAAGGAATATCTCCATTCCCTTTTCGGGATCAGCGCGAACGGGCCAGTCCGCGTATTCCAGAATCAAGTCAATCAGGTCAGGTGGTAATTGCTGAAGATACGCTATGGTTCTTTGCGGGCCACGAAGTGCAGGCGTGACATCTGCGCCATCCTCGTCTTTTCCAAATTTCTCGAGCAACTCCAAAGCTTCGTGGTGCATCTTCTTACCGTGCAAAAAGTCGATGAGATCCGTGTATCGACCACTCTCATACAACTTCTCCCGGACCACTTCAGGATCGCAGAAGTTGTCGAGACGGAACAAAGGACCGGCCATTCCGGGCCTCGCAAGCATGTATGCGCGGAACAGAGTCGTATCCGTGATGCGCGCCACTTTATGCAGTCGTTCAGACCAGCCAATCTCCTCCGAGTCTTCCGGGAGAAGGATGAATTGAGCGAACGGAGGCTTGTAGTTTTCCTTCTGCTGCTCCTTGGGCGGAAGAGGTTGTTTGAGCGTACCATCGTAGTTGATGAACTTCTGGAGCTGCGCACGAGTCTGTGCCAGGAAGCCAAAAAGTGCAGTGACTGCTACGATCAAGTCTTTGCCTTCTGCATTTATGTGAGCATGTACCCCTGAGGATTCCGCGGAGCATACCAGCACTTACGCAGTGGTTTATCCTCCTCGCCAAGGTTGTCAGCCGACTTCTTGCCCTTGACACTTGCCGTATCACTGTCTGCCTTGAAGGAACGGACAGATGCAGTATCGGAGTCTACCGTCTTTTTCTGTTCGGCCACCAGCCTTCCAAACATTGCTCTAGTAAGGGTGTTGCCAGAGTGTTTTTCGGCCGGGGCGGCCTCTTCGTCGTCTTCAGGGTCGGCCTCGGCATCGCTATCCCTAGGCTCTTCGACAGTAGAAAGATCGCCAGCGATGGATTTCGGATAAAGGGCGATGACTTTCTCGGGCTGGGCAACGGCATCCGAAAAGAGGTCCATGGCCTCGCGGTAGCGTCTCTGTTGAAACAGATTCTGCGCCTTGAGGATCTGCACTTCTCGGATGCGGCCCTCTTTGTCCTTGAGTAGAGTGTCTTCCAGCATGTTCAGGAGACTGACAGCTTCGTCATAGCGGCCGTTGGCTACAAGTTCGTCGATTTGCTCTTCGTAGTGAAGAGCACCCATGCGCCAAATACACCTATCACTAGCAACGAGGAAGCCCTTGCCGGCATGGGCCAGGCTGATGTTGGGCTGAGGGACGTGGAGGAAGGCTGCGCTGGGAATGTTGATGGTCTGGAGCAAGTTCAATGTATCTGGATTGCGAACTTCGAGAGCACCCTTTGCAGGAGGCTGCAAAGCCAGCATGTAGGGATAGGAGTATCCAATGGCCTCGGGTGCCACGGTCCACGGAATCTGGCGCTTTTCCAAAGCTTTGCCCGCAGTATCAATGAACAGACTGTTGACATCCTTGGCAAGCAGCATCTCGGAGTCACCCAGCCTTGTTGCCATGGGCTTGGGCACCCAGCTCCCCATGGCCATGTAACTCATGCCAGAAGTGTTGACGGCACCGAAGCGGTTGAGCTGCTGGGCGGCAGAATCGCTCAAGGAACTGGGCTTCACGATGTCCGTGACCTCCTGGGACTCAATGTCGACCATGACGAAGCCGGGATCCATTCCAGCAACAATACTGGTGCCTGTTGCCCATGTGAGCGACTTGACGGTGGACACCAGGGTGATTTCAGCCGTGTCCTCGGAGAGCTCCATGTCCTGCCATGCCCACAGTATGATCCTCCGCTTGACGGCGACGGCGAGACGCGAGACGATGGAGGGAATGCCGGTGGCAGGGTCCTTGACGATGTTGGAGGTGACGGCGAAGGTGGCGGCACCCTTGGTCTTCTCGAGGCGCTCCTGCAGCTCGTAGGTCTGCAAGTCGTAGATGGAGACGTAGTTGTCGCTCAACGACACCAGGATGCTCGACTCCTTGATCATGGCCAGCTGCTGGACGGGGCGGCGGGAGAACTTCTCGACCTCGCGCAGCAGGTCGGCGGGCTTCTGCCGCGGGCGGGGCGGGTCATCGCCATCCTCGGCGGGGTCGGGCTCGGGCTCGTCGTTCAGCTCGTTGAGGCGGTAGATGCGCAGACAGCCGGTGCTAAGGCCGACCAGCAGGCGATCGCCTGTCTCGGTCAGCAAGAGTGGCAGTGGCCGCAGACGGGCATACCATAGGCGAGGATGGAGTCGATTTTGGACTTGTCGCGCTGGCGGAACTCGACGACGGGTCGAGCAATGAAGGCGGTCAGCATGGTCGTGAGGCGGCGCAGCGACGAGCCGGCTCACTCCACGCAGCGTTGCGGGGAGCTGTGGGTGGGGTGGTCGGGAAGACCGCAGCAGCTGCCGCAAACTAGGTAGGTAGTCAGAGCTCGGCGGTGACGACGCCAGCGACGCCAACGACGCCAATGCAGCCCCGGCCACGACTTCGCGGTAGGCCACGACTTCCGTCTCCCCAGTCGGCGTGCGTCCGAACCCGAATGCGGGCCCTTGTCTCGCGCAGAGCCAACTCCATGGTCGCAGGGCGGGTGATGAGCCACAGCGTAGCCCGTTGCGGAGGCTAATATAATAAAACCGACCTGGATGGACCTGCACCGTGTTCCGGATCCGTCCGCACAGGTTCGCAGCCCGGGAAGCCTACGTCACGACCATCTCTCCTTGGGGACAAAGACGCTCGGCTTCTGCTCCCTTCCCTCCCTCCAGCGTCTGGAGCGATCCAGCTCCAGCTCCAGCTCCAGCTCCAGCTCCAGCTCCAGCTCCAGCTCCGCCGCTGAAACAGTCGCATACGTCTTCCATCTCGACCGCAGGCTTCTCGACCCCGCCCGCGCCCCACTCCCACCCGTCCCGCGCCCCAACTCGTCGCCTGTGCTCCCTGTGCCGTCTTCTGGCTCACTTATGCTAGGCTTCTGTCGAATGGGATGGCAGCTTGGCTCTGTCGAGGGGCAGTCTTGCATTAGGCCCGTCAGGAAGATGTCTTCTACCTATATGAAAGCACCGCGCCCCCCGGTCTCGCGCTCTTTGTCGTTCATGCTTCTTGTTTTTCTAGCTTCAACCGCTTGCAGTCCCGCGTGCAGTATGGCAAGAGCCGGTCCTTGGTCTCTGTCGTACCGTGTAATGACATTTGCTTCCCTTGTCGTATATGTCTTCTGTATGCTAACAACCAGGATTTAACTACCGCCCCGCTTATGCGTGCTGCCTGGCCACAAACCCCTCGCTCCTCCGTAGGCTCTTCTCTCTTTTCAGCCCGCCATGACGCCAATGAACGGACGCCAGCTGATCATGTGGGATCTGGCCATCTCACTCATCGTCATATCCAGCATCTTGATGATCAGTCGCCTCTATGTCAGATTCATCATGCTCAAAACCCCGGGTTGGGACGACTACTTTGCAATCTTCGCCTGGGCAAGTCTTAGCGGGTGTGCTGTTCTACCTCCTTTTCTTACTCCTAACAGCCTGTAGGTCTGTCTCCTGGGACAGGCTTCCGTTGAAATTGCCGGTGAGCGCCGTGGTCAGCGTCTTTGGCAATGCACCGGACTAATCGCAACCCAGCAACCTACAACGGCTCCGGCAGGGACATGCGTTTGGTACCTCAAAACCAAATCCACACCTACTTCATGGTACCCGCTCAGTGGTGCTCCTTACCCGTCGGCAACTGACAACATCCAAAGCTCCTCCCAACCGCACAGCTTCTGTATTTCCTCGGCACTGGTTGTGTGCGTCTGTCCATCCTGGCCTTTTTACCGCGTCTGAATAAAGAGAGTGAGTCCCTGGCTCATGTCTCCCACCTGAGAAGCAGACTACTCATCAGGAGTCCTACGCGCATCCAGGGGCTTTCATGAGGTGGGTCTATATCGTTGGCGTTGGCATTGCCATTCTCACCGTCGGATCTTTCTTTACGCTCCTGTTCGAGTGTAGCCCTGTCAGGTAATATCTTCCATGTCCATGTGTCCGTGTCTGCTGACCCCCCTCAGAGCGCTGTGGGACAAGATGATGCCAGGAGCCAAGTGCCTAGCCCAGTCCAAGGAGGCTGCACTTATGTACATACATAGTGCGTCATTGATCATCTACGGCTTTCTGGTCTTGCTGACCCCTCTACAGGTGGCCTCAGCATATTTTTCGACCTAGTCCTCTTGATCATGCCAATGTGGGTTCTCCATAGGAAGATGATTTTCACAGTGAGGACGCTCAAAGTTGCCATTGTATTCGCCGTAGGTAAGGATATGTCGCCCATCTTTCCGACATATTGTCTGACATTGGCCCGCAGGCGTCTTTACCGTCGTTACTGGAATCATTCGCCTTTCTAGTAAGCGCATGCCGGCATCTTCTAATCTTCTTGGCTGATGCATATAGCCATCATCATGATAAACATGGCGGACAACACGTGCGTTCGGCCATTCTTGTGTGTGCTGTTTTCGTTGACCTTCTACAGTACCTACAACGTCACCTTTGCAGCCGTCTGGACTAATCTTGAAGGTCATTGCGGGCTCTGGGTAGCATGCTTCCCTGCACTCCAACCCTTGATCCGGCGTGTCGCTGTCCGTCTTGGCCTTCGTCCCGCCAGCTCCAAGCGCTCCTCCAACCCCACAAACAAACTCCCAACGAATGACCAGAGTTACGCCTCCACTCGTATCTCCATGTTCCTTCACAAGTGGGTTCATCTCCAAACAGGCACCACCGGTGCGACCAACGAGCCTGCTTCGGGAGAGCACACAGCTTCCACGATTAGCAATCGAGGTAGGATGCCGCCACCCAGCAAGACGGGTGACACTGGATGTGGAACGGTCCAGTCCGATGCTACTGTCTCTTTGCAATTCGCCGGCGGGGGTGGAGAGAGTGCGGATGGAACGGGCCAGCAGCACCATCACAGCGAAGAGGAGGAAAATTGGGAGGACGTGGATTTCGAGGAGCCAATCCCTGACGGTACAGACTTGGAGAGCGGAGAAGAGTTGCAAGTGCTCGTGCCACAGCCATTAAGTGGAATAATGAGGACTACGGTCGTCAGGCAGGAGAGCGAGGCTAGAACAAGCTTGTATGACAGGGAATGTATCCGCGGATGGAAAGAGAGGGATGAATGAGCGAAATTGCCAGCTGTATAGCCCACACTACACTAGAACCACGCCAACGACTGCACTAGTGAGAGGCCAAGGTATAATCGCTACATATAGGAAATCGTTGTTGGGTTACCGTCTTGCAGCTGCACTGCACATATTGTCGTGCCGCCAGCACAGACGCCGTGCAACACCAACCGGCGTCTTTGCTGTAGGGCGGGCAGAAACAACATTCGAGATTCCGTCACTTGCAGGATCACGTCCCCAGAAAAGTCAAGGCTAGTCCGATGGCGGCAGTTGTCAGTTGCGGTGTGTGCGGCTATGTAAGGCCGGGCCCCTTGCATTCCACAGCACTTCGGGGTCAAGCATGACCAGAATGCGCCCGCCTGCCACCGCGATTCGGCGGCACGGCACACGGCATACAGCATACACCCGCTTTGCCCGCACCCTTGCGGCCTTGATTGGCGCGCTGCAATGCCAGCTGCGCGCAACCGCTTCTCCTCGCAACTGATGTCTGAGGAATCCAATATTACCGCCAACACGACATGATAGCGGGACAAGAACAAAGAGAAAGCTTGTCTTGCTTGGCATGAGCCTTCCGTTCGCAGAAATCTGTGATGGCGGGGAGGCGAGGGGCGGCAAATGCACCTCACACCAGTTTGCTGGCATCCGCTGGTATCTCAAGCCATGACATCTCTCACAAGTAGCAGACCACGTCTGCAAAACGCGCTTCTGGGACCGACCGGTCAGGAATTGACTACCAGCCCCCGCCATGACATCGTCCCACCAGGATGCTGCGGCTTCGGGCCAGCAGGATATAAATGCCGCGGTAGATCGGAAGCTCTATCCGCAACGTGAACTCGTAGTGCCCATTTCAGATGCCTGCATACGCGATCAGATACTTCCTCAGTCCTGCTCCCATTATGATCAGGGCCGCCGCCGCTTTTCTTCTCCTCATGCCCTATATTGCCTCGGCGATTCCAATCAGTCCAGATTCGGTAGATACAGCCAGTGTACGTACCCCTTGTTCTTGCCGTTGCTCCAACTATGGACCCGAGAGCTCTCCACCAGATTCGAGTCCCTCACGCACATTGAAAGCTCACCATTAAACTCAGGTCCTCCTCTGCACCGATGTCAACTACACCGGCACCTGCACCTCCTATCCCACACTGCTCGGCAACGACAACTGCAACTCCATCGATAGCGACAGCAGCACCGTCAAGTCTATCAAAACCGACGATGGCTTAGACTGCATCTTCTACTCGTATGTGTCAATCTCTTCTCAAGTTCCTTCGTCTTCATCTCCAATCATGCCAACGAAACGCCATCATAGCAACGGTGTCTGCCGCACCTTCTTCGACCCGTCCACCGAATCCTTGACGGTCCGCGCCCCTGGAAACGCCGATTTAGGTGCCATCAGCGGCTGGATACAGCCGCTGCTGAGTTACGAGTGCGTTTCAGTCAAGGCGACCGAGTTTGCCAGCCATCTTCAAGCTCTCGACGCTGAGGATAAGAAAGAAAAAGCATCTGACATGTCTGGCTCGCCAAGTGTGATCCGCGGATTCGGCGTGGAGGCTGGTGTGTCGTCGAGATGATCTAATAGGACAAGAAGAATTGAAGGGTGAGAAAGAAGGGTGAAGTCGATGGATCGGAGTTCGGGGCGCTTCCATTTTCCTGTCTCTACGCTGGCTTTCTGTGCTTACTTTCTTTTGTTTCTTTCGTCCGTACCAAATTGGGACATCTGACAACCCATATCTCGATCTTGACATTGCCGCAGTCCAAAAGCGCTTCATTTCATTTCACGGTTGGTATCATCCCTTCCATAGGTCAAGACAGCCTATGGAGCCTCTATTTCCAAACCGGGGCGGTACACATACGTTCGCTAGACAGTACTTCCCCTCTAATGCTATGTTACAAACCAGGTGTTTCCTCCTTATTTACTCAACATCGGATTAATCCAATTTACCTTACATGGGGGAAATGATGAGCCATGTATTCACCGCCATGCGCATCTCCTCCCAAACATTGGGGATAGACCATGTCGCGTTATCAATATAAAAAAAAAAGGAGCGAAACAGTTCTAGAAACCGACCGCAAGCATCAAACCGTAACCCACCGTAATAACGATTACAAACGTAAGTACGGATGCCGGCACACCTCTGGTGATAAAGTGTTTGACCTGAAGGTAACGATGCCCCGTTTCCGTCTCCATCATAATCGCCGCTGTGGACGTGCGTCAGTTTTCTGCGTGCTTCATTGATGGATAAGGTAGACTTACTCATATTCGGGAATCCGCTCGTCGGCAAACCCATTGCCGCCGAGCACATCAGTACACTGCCCATGACCAACAGGTTCGGGTGGGGCTCGGCCATGCCCTGGCCAACCTCCTTAACAAGCGGCAACACGATCAGCGCTGCAACCGTGTGACTGATGAAGGTCGCGACAACCAGAATCAGACCAGCAAACACAACGAGCACGCCATACAGACTCATTCCTTCAACTCCCTGCGTGATTCTATTGGCGATGGTGTGAAGAAGGCCAGAGCTGTTGACAGCCTTGCCGAGCGCAAGCCCACCGGCTGCTAGGATGATGATGGTCCAGAGGAAGTTGTTGAAGTCCTCCTTGGTGAGAATGCCGGTACCGAAGAAGAGGACGATGGGGATGATGGCCACCACGCCCATGTCGCCAAAAACGGGCTCCAGTTGATGGCTCACGCACCAGAGCGCAATGGTGAGGACGGTTACAATGCTGATGAACCACTGGATTCCGGTAAATTTGTCCTTCATACGCCGGATGGGGACGATGGTCGTGCCCTTTCCTGGTTGGAAAGTGACCAACAGAAGTACCCAGATCAAGAGGATGCTGATGATGCAGACTGGGAGCGCAATGAAGAACCAAACGCCCCAACCGGGTTGTGGCGACATGTTCTGCAAAGCGATCAAGTTCTGCGGCGACGCGATGGGCGAGGCGGCACCGCCGATGTTGGAGGAGAGCGCGATGCCGAGAAGCAAGGCTTTCGACATACTCGAGTCCGCGGCGAGATTGCGCAGAATAGGCTGGACGATGGAAAAGCACAGCACAGGTGCAGCAACGTTGCTAATCCACATGCTTGCGAACATGGCTACGAACATGCTTGTAAGCAGGACGGTTCTCGGCCTCGTCCCTGCTTTGCTGAGAACAAGAGTTGCCATCATCTTGGCGATGTTGTACTTGGACAAGGCTGCAGCGATGGTAAAGCCACCCAGAAGAAGCATGATGACCGGTGTCCACATTGCAGCAAAGATATAGCTCGCAGCAGCCTTCGACTCCAAGCGATCGTGTGGTTTCGCATCTGTGCGGACCACGCGCAGAACGACCACGAGGAAGGGGACGAGCAACGAGGTAACGAAGAGTGGAATGGCTTCTGTAGCCCACAGCGAACTGACAAACACCACCAGCGCCAAGCAATTCTGCTGCTCAGGCTCGTCCATGATGGGGACCAGGAGGAGCACGGCGAAGATGGCGATGATGGCGATGATGGTATAGAAGGTCGAGCTGAGCAACCATCTCGGGCAAGTATAGCGCCCCACCGGCGTCGAGATCTCCTTCATTCCAAACTCGGCCTCGTCGCCCTGCAGGCCCTTGGGATCGGAATCACGGCCCAAAATCGTCTGTCTGATTCCCAGGTTTGCAGCCTGGGCCTTCCTTTCAATTCCAATCATCTCGCGCCACACCGTGTTGCGTTCCCACACCACGTGCTCACGGAGGTGCAGACGGAGCTCCCGCTTGGCGGTTGCGACATCTCCGCCGGCGCACAGATTTGCATAAGAGTTCTCGATCATGGAGAGGTTGTCGGCCAGCTTGTCCATTGTGGACTGCTGGAAAGGGTATGCAGAGTCCACATTTTGCTCGATGTAGCTGCCCTTCAAGCTTCGATCCAAAGTTTTGTCGTACTTCTTCAGGACCTTGCTGAAGCCGGTTTTGTTCAGCTGGATGTAGGAGCGCAGCTCGCACATGTTGACGTAGAGGCTGATGGTCCGCTTCTTGAGCGAGATGACCGAGTCGTACAGGACGGCAAAGGACATGTCGTTCTCGTCATCAAAGGCCAAGCTCCGGCGCCGCCGAGACATGGCACCGTTGGAGGACAAGACGCCAGAAGCGGACATGGGGTCTTCACCGCGGGAAGTTCTCCGGTTTCTCGAAGGGGTCTTGCGAAGGGCAGAGCGCTCGTCGGCATCGTCGTCGCTCTCGTCGTCGTCAGCTGCGGAACGGCGGCTGATGGTGCTCCGGCGGCGCTTGCCCATAGCGAAGCCGCCGAACAGGCTCTGCTTTCGCCCTTTGCTTCCGTTGGTGGCGCGCGATGGCGGCGGGCCATCGTCGTCCTCGCCGCCCACGCCATCGTTTTCCTCCAAGTACTCCTGGGTTTCCCTCAGCAGCGACTCCAGCTCGGCATACACCTCGCGCTCTTTGGTCCTGTAAAAATCGCATATTTTCTCCAGCTCATGGTCCAAGGCGCTCGAGAAGGTCTTGTCAGGATCGTCGACGGTGCCGGCGAGCAGAGGCGAAGATTCGGCATCCTGGGCGTCCGGGCCGGCTCGTTGGTGGATTTGCTTCTCGAGCTGATATATCCTGCAGCGCGGCGCAACAGACAGTCAGCTAAATTTGGACACGGCGCGTACTGGAAGCCGGACAGGCGACGCACAGCTTCTTGAGGTTGCTGTAGTTGATGTATTGGCTGCTCCAATCCGGGACAGCATTGAACTGGATGCTGTGGGAGAACTTCATGTCGGCCTCGTCGAGCAGGAGCTCGAGTTTCCAGAGGCGGAGCCGCCGACGCGCTTCGCTTAGGGGGGCTTTGGGGCGCAGAGGAGAGGCCGACGGGGGCGCAGCGAGTTCGCGGAGTTCAAAGGCGTCGCCGACGCGATCGGAGAGGAGAGGAGACGGGAGACGGAGGCTGCCGCGGCGGTCCAGGATCGCGGTGGGCAGGCGGCGAAGAAGCGGGAGCTGGTGAAGGGCGAGCGGCCAGCACGGCTACAAGTAAGGCGGCGGCGGGGCGGGAAGACTGAGGGCTAGTGTGGCGGGCTGGGGCGTCATGCAGCGATAGGAGTGGAGGCCGGCTTTTGAGGTGACATGGCGAGGCTGCCCTGCAAAGCAGAAGCAAGCGTGCAATTGGGCCCGGCCGCCGAGCCTGCGCCCAGCGCCGCTGCTGGCTCCCGCCGCACGCCCGACCTCCCATGGCCAGACTTCATCATCATCATCGTGGTGCTCCTCGTGCGCGATTGGCGAAGACTGCGGCCCGAGTCCCTGCGCACCCGGCATGCACGCCCTGGCATGGAGCCGCCATGGGAGGCTGTAGCGAGCTAGACGTCATCCATCCGACCGCTCGCGTCTCAACAACCCTCGGCCGCACCGCCCTGCGGCCTGCCCTCGCCCCGCCTGCGCTCGCCGTTAGAATAGCGTGTCAAGGAGCCTGCCGCGTGGGGAGTACCTGTGTGCCTGTTAGAGAGAGAGAGAGAGAGAGAGAGAGAGAGAGAGAGAGCCTTGTGTCTGCATCGGCCGGCGGCGACACACGCTGCAGCATGTTGGAGACGCCCTGCCCTCCGCTGCCTCACTCGGTCGAAGCATGCACCCAGGCGAATGGGAGGGGCGCATCCGAGAACGTGGCCGGCAACCGCAACCCTCTATAAAGCCTGCCGTCCGGGGAGCTGTCCATGTGCCCGGCCTGGCGCATGACCACACCGCCGTGTCAGCAGGCCCCTACCCGCCTGTCAACACCAGTACGCTGCGGGAGCATCCGCCCATCGCCTCCAATGGGATTTCAAAAAGGCGCACGTCACGTACTAATCTGTGCCACCTTCCGTTTCGCCTTTCTGGCCATTCTCTGCATGCCGCGATTACAGCCATCACTTCTGCCACTGCCGCTCATTGAGGGAGAGACTCCAATTAACTATCTACCTCTGCCCTCAAACACCCCCTACTGGCCCACTCCACTTCGTTGCCATGTGAGAATCGATATGTCCACTCCTAACCACTCGCTCTCGACGAGGATTCGAGCCGCTGCGAGCCATCGTAGCAGCTCGAAAACCTCCAACAGAATGTCATCAAAGCCAGAAAACTCCCGGAATAAATCAACAAGAACCGGAGCGGCGCAAAGCGCTAGAAAACCAAATCACTGACGCCTGCGTCAGACGCGAACAACAGCGCTTCTCACTCGTCTTCAGCTGCACTTGCCACGACCAGAAAAGGACGGGCAAGGAGGCAAGACAGAACGCTCGTTACCAGTCAGCAGCTGCCGGGGCCTCCGGGCCTTGCATCAACAGCGTGGAGACGCTGCCGGAAAGATCCAGCTCCGCCCCGCATAGTGCGCTACCAACAGTCCTGGGTCCGGAGATGCAATCGCAGGAAGGGCGAATCGCGCGGAGCGGGAGACCCAAATAAAACGACAGGCGAGTGAGCGATCATACCCAAGATGTCCGGCTCGTACACAGCATCGGCACGCCGCCCCCATCGCGGCCTGCAGCCTCATCCAACTCGTCATCAGGATCCTACGAGCAACCTCGCGGCCAAAGGGGCAAGCCAACGCTAAGGCGGGGAGGCTGCGAGAAGCCTGATCCGAGTGGGTGGGGAGACGGGGATGGAGACGGGGGAGCTGGAGAGGAACGGGAGGGCAAGGGCGAAAGTACCGGGACCAACTGCTTTCAACGCTGCACCACTGCCTCCACAAGGGAGGGGGGTGAGGGAAAGTGGAGAAAACTCAACAGACGCCCCCAGAACGCATACAAACGTAACTCAGTTCTTCAAACCAATTAAATCCTCCCCTTCTTTTTGGCATCCCTCGAAATGGTGGGCCAAACGACACATTCCCAATGCATCTAACGTAGAGAAAGAAACAAGTTTGATTTTGACGAGTGGGAATGATCCAGACCCTGCTTCGAAATCGAGGTATGTAAAAAGAAGACAGATGAAGGAGTAAACACCAGTTTCCAGTGGCGAGATCCCGAAGGACCTACAAACCAGTGGTTTCGCGCAGCCGAAGAGCGCGCGTAATGACCTCAGGGACCAAGGTACGTAACCTGAGCAATTACGAACTCAGTCGCAGATATGAGCAGCGGGTGCGCGGTCCTCGATAGACAACGGTCCGTCACGCCGAAGCGGAGGAAAGGTCAGTCGAGAATCCCGCTCGCTGCTCAAGTGAATGGATTCCAGCTTCTGCCGCCGCCGGACTTCTCGTTGGTTGGCGTCGTCTCCTCGATGCTGCCAACCTTACTCGTGCGCTCCTGTGCGGGCCGCGACACAGCAAGCCCCACAGGGTGGGACGCACCCACGTCTCCGACCTTTTCGTTGTTCATTGGCACTTCAGAGAAGTTGTCGTGCTGCTGTTGCTGCTGGTTGAAGTTCGGAAAAGGTCGCGGAACGATGGTGTAGGGCGCCGCTTTGTTGACGTACTCATACGGGGGCGCGGCATCACTCGGGCGAGGCGGCGAGGCCACGTGAATAGGTGCGTCGTGGCCGCGATAGCGGTCGGTTTCGGGGTCCGAAACGTAACGCTGACCGCCTTCAGCACGCGTTTTACCGCTGCCGGAGAATACCATGAGCGCCCGGACGATTCCAATAATGAGAACAGTGACCCATATCAAGACGATGCAGGTGGAAATGATGGCCTCGATGCGTACGCCTTCCTTGAGCTTGTTGACGAGTTTGACAATGGCATCCGATACCTTGTCCGCGCTTTCACTGCCGGGAGACGCGAGGAACGAGTCATCGGAAGAGTCACCCGACAGTGAGGCGGCGGCACCAAGGGAAAATGTGTCATTGCTCAACGTCGGCAAATCAACATGGGCATTGTCGTGGACCCAGGTGAGCCCTTTCTGGATTCCCTCGATCTTCATGACAACGAGGCAATTCAGAACATCCTTGATGGGCTCGTAGAGGATGGTACCACCAAAGGTCGCGTTGAGAGCGTCGCTCATTTCGTCAACAAACACGTTCAGGGTATCGTTGACGGCCTGCGTGCTGGTGTTGACCCAGCTGAACAGGTCGTCGTTGAGATCCGTGTTGAAGGTTCCAATAGCTTCGTTGGTGCCATTGGCCCACGACTCCGAGGCGTTGTTCAGGGCAAAGACGACTTTGTCGGCAAAGGCGCCGACCTGTTGGGTCAACTCTGGGACCTCCTTCTCAATGGTCTTGAGGAGGATGTATTGGCAAAGGCAGGCAAAGAGGCCTGCGAGTCCCAAGCAAAGAACCAACAGTGCGGGAGTCGAAGTGGCATAGGCGACAGCCCAACGCACGGCGGTTTGGCGGCGAGTTGAGCCGAAGCGGTTGGCAAGCCAGATGCCGATGGATGACGAGTACGGCCTGGAGGCGATGTAGACGACATCAAGCGGATCGTGGGCGCTCTGGCTGACAAGTTGAGCACGTCTCTGCATCGTCTGCCAGCGCTTGATCTCTCGCCAGGCCACGGGCGCACAAACGAGAACGGCAAGCGCGATGATGACGCCAATAAAAGCTCGCCTGGCGACAACCTCGGTCTCAACGAGGCCATCGAAGAAGTCGTTGATGCCATTGCTGTCGGAGCAGAAGGTGAGCTTTTCCTTGGCAGGTACCGGGAACATGGAGTTGTTGAATGTGTAGTTCCCGGTCTTCTCGTTGATGAGCTGCTTCACCAGCTCAAAGGGGAGGCGAATGGCACTATCAGTGAGGTTCTTGACCTGATCGAAGGTGGGAATCGAGCTGTTCAGTTTCTCCAGGCCTTGGTCGTAGCCAGATGGCAGCTGGAGATCCTTGAGCTCGTCGATCTGCGAGGTCAAGTTGAGCTTGTCCATTCCGTCGCCGCCAAAGATCTGGGGAATGCTGTTGATGCCGTCGATGAGCTTGTTGACTTCGTCCTGGAAACTGTCGGCAACGTTGGCAATGTCGTCTCCGACGGCGTCCAGTGTCTTGTTCAGGCCGTCACCAATGAACTCGGCAGCCTCGATGACTGTGTGGAGACTGCCGCGGACGGCCAGGGTAATGAGACACAGGTAGGTCGAGGTCAGCAGGCCGATGTAGAAAACGACCATCTCTTCCACACCGGTGACGATGAGGTCGAGCAGGGACATCAGGCCGCTGACCGTCTTCTCAATACCGGAGGCAGCGAGCTCGTTGACGCCTCTTGACATGTAGTGGGGCATGGAGGCCATGGCACTACCGACAGACTCGACACTGGTACACGCGGAAAGGGCCTCGGTGCGGGCCGAGCCCAGGTTGTCGTTGAGGTTGGCGGTGGCGATGAGGACGCGCACGAGCACGAGGAGAAGGAGGATGGTCCAGCGGTTGATCCAGACCTGCGAGAGCCTAGCTCGAAGGCCGAGGTATGGTGTGAGGTATGGTGCTTGGTTTGTGACAGGTCGCGGTGCGTCCTGGGGGGCGTAGTAGTCCCGCATCTCATGACCGCCAGCGGAGTGAGAAGGAGGTACGTCCGGAAAGGCGTAGGGGTGGTTCGCTGCGGAAGCCATGATGGAGCAGAGGGTGAAAAGGCTCGCCTGGAGCTGTGGGATTAGAAAAGTTTGGGGGATGCCAGCCAGCAGCACCGGATGCAGTCGATGCAGTCGTGAGGTCGTAAAAGCAAGTGCGAAAAGTCGGAGAGTCGTGAAGCGTCGAGGACGGGCAGAAGAAAAGGGCTTGAGCAGACAAGGCCTCGGGGCAAGAACAAAGCAGGAGCGAGGATTACTCTATTAGAAAGACAATAGGAGAGTGAATGGACACATGACTCAATGGCAAAACAAAGAGGTGAAGGCGAGGGTGAAGCGGCGGGGGAGGAGGACAATAAGACATGGCGACGTACCTGGGGCAGACATGGCCCGGGCTGCGACCTGGCGGCAGTGGCTGGGCGCCGGTGGGTAAAACAAGCAGATCGCTTGGGCAAGCCGTTTCAGCGCGGTGCAGGCCATCGGGGCTCTATTCTGGGCTCTGCGGCTCTGGTGGTGGCGCGGCGCAAATAGCCGCCCTCGGAGGCGGGTGGAGAGCGGAGAGCCAACCGATGCGCGGCGGAGCGGCGAGTCTGGAGGAGGGCGTGGACAGTGCGCTGCAGCACGAAGCCAGCGCGCGACTTGACTGCTGGCCGCTGGCCGCTGGCTGCTGGCTGCTGGCTCCGGGCCGCGGCACCTGCAGCGGCGAGCAGGCGACGCTCGAACGGACCGGGGCCCGCGGGTCGCGATGCTGCGCGCAGGTGGCGGGGGCAACGCGGCAGCGCAGCAGCGCAGCAGCGCAGCAGGACTGTCACGTACGGGCGCCCGCCGTGGGTCAGGCGCGGGCGCGGCGGGTGGTTGTTAAGTAGTGACGCCGCTGCCCCTCGCGTGCGGGAAACCCTGTTTTGCTGCCTCTTACCCACGTCATCCACCAGCCAGGCGGGGATCCGGGCTCGTTTCTATCATGCTGTCTGCCCTGTCCAACGGCGTGCGCAATAATAATGCAGTGCGCGGGTGGTGATGGTGCTGCCGCGATGAGGCTCGCCGTCAGACCCCCGGGTGCTCCGCCTGAGATCTCCCGTTTTGTTTTTTTTTCTGCGCTTTCGTACATCTCGTAGCGCGACCGGGCGCGGCGGCAGCAGCGACGAGTCTTGCTGGGTCGATTGGCTGTCGTCGCTTGTTCCAGCGCACCGGTAGGCGCCTGTGCGACGGCGTTGATCCTCCGCCTGAAACGCGGCCTGACCGCCTCCGCCAACCTCCGCACTCCCTCAACACCAACCATTCCCACGACCAAAACACCCGCTTGCTCCCATCTCGTATCTCCACTTCACCCAGCCCTCTTGGCTGTGTGCTGATGTTCGCACCCTGGTCCACTGCCTCCCAACTGCCGCGCCGTGACGCGTTGCAAAATTGCGTGATGGTTGCGCGTCCATCTTTGTCACTCTCAAGTGCACTCGAAAGCCAAGCTTCCTCTTTCGACCATCTGTGGACTACCCCCATCGCCATTACGTTCTTCCCTGCCTGCTCTTGCACGCGCGAAGTATTTCAAGGCCTCGTCGAAGGGCCTTCTTGATGGTTCACTGTGCACGCATGCATCTTCTCCACTTTTGGTCCCCTGCGCCGATGAATTCCAGCCCCGTGCAACCGCTGCACGGCTCAGGGCTGCTGCATCATGTACAGCACGGATCCCTTCTTCAGATCGGCCCATCCAATCTACGTATATATATATATATATATCAATCACGACGGTTGCTTCTTTCCAGGACTTAATCAGACCGTGCTGCTGGTTGTTATTCTGATATCCCCTGGCCCACCCTGATGCTTTCTATATATATTGACTGGAGGTGGCTCTTGTGGCTTCGGTCAGGGCATGTCTGTTTTCTCCCATCCCATTGATTCCACTCCCCAGCTCTCCAGTCACAGACGGTCGAGATCGTAGCAGTGAGGGGAAAGATTCGCCTTGGTTTCAACCACCTTCCAAATGGCCCTTCACGTGATGTGGCTGGCTGGCTGCGGCGGCAAATAGTCGGGGAATCCGTGCTCCACCATGAGTTTCTATAGAACCCTTTGGTCTTCATGCCTAGAAGATCTGCTTGGTGCCAACCTCCACTACCTTACAACACCTTTGAATCGCATTGTTCCGTAAGTAGTTACCCGCAACCTGCCCCTCCACGGGAAGCTCATGATCTCCATGCAGGTTCTCTGCTTCTTCTTCACCTTCTTTCCGTTCCTGCCGAAGCGGTTGAAGGCGCGTCGTCGCTACGCCTCTTGCTCCGCCACTTGCTTCGCTCACCACCTTCAGCTGCTCGTTTCTGACTCCATCGTCGCCTTGAGCTTTTCCTTCCCAGCATCTTCGCCTCACCCTGTTGCTTGGACAAACCCTCGCCCATTCTTCAGAGCACCGTCTTGCAATACCCTCACTTGCTACGCGGGACAGACCTATCTGGTGAACGCGACGCCTCGAGAATCTGCCTACGCACCTCTCGCCCCGGCCTCATCAGCCCCGGCCTCGACGACCGTCACTTGGCAGAGTGTCTGATACTGCCGTTCCCTCTGGTCAACCACGACACCTGAGCGCGGTACTCTTGCTGACCACGCAAGCACACTTACCTGCAGAGCTGAACGCCTGGTTTACTTACACGGTTGCCATTTTTGGCAGCGCCACACCCAGATCACGCTCACGTTCTTGTTGAATCGCACGCCATTTGGATCCCCATTCGGCGTCTGTGTTGGAACTCCCCGGTTTTCACCACCACAAGCTCCGCCCCGGGCGCCCGTGAGTTTGCTCCTCCCTAAAGCTTGACGTCCAACGTCAAGCGTTCCAATACTATATCCCAGAAAGCCTCTCCTCAGGCAAGGGTCAGGTGAGCTTTGCGTGCATCTTATTCACCGGAAAGTATGTGTTGTATTGGCACGAGATCTGCTACTGCATGCAGGGTTCTGCACGTGCCTTGAGATTCGAACTATCTTTTGGGGGCAGTTCTGTCATGCGCCCTCACTGTCGTCGTATTTGTTGTCGGGGTCCGATATTGCTCACTGGCTGCCTTCCTGTAGAAAACTCGACTCCGCGACACCTGAGACAGCACACCCGGATAACGTCATTGAAGCAGCCTTTGCACAATCCAAATCTCAGCCCCAGCACCTCGAAGCCCATTTCTACCTCCTTCCCGTTCAAACATCAAGCCTGCGGGAATTCGGCCACGTCGCAGCTTGCAAAGCCCATAACCAACATTTTGGGTGAAAGTATCAATACCACCATGGAAAAACAAAAGTCGACTCTGCAACCTATCAAGCCCATGCCGCTCCGTCAGCTCAAGCCGTCGACGGAACCCGCCCCCAGCACTGAAGACCCAAACAAAGAGCGTTCCCGAGAAGCCGCCATGAGCCAGCATATGCCTACGTACGATCATGACGAATTCTATGATGAGGACGTGATGGAGGTCGGATATAGTGGATCTCACACTCAGAGCTGGACCTGGTCATCGCCCCGCGCGCTTCAGGAAGACATGTACACGGTTGCCAAGGTCTCCGTAGAGCGTCACTTTCGTGGTTACGATCGCGACATGGCTGATGCGCTGAAGAGCCTGGAGAAATGGTGCGAGCACGCTGCTAACATGAAGATGGTGGCAATCAAACTTGAGCAGCGGAGGATTGCGGAGAAAGAAGTCTTCAGGCGGTTGCGGAACGAGGGCAACGTGACTTGGAAGGCGTTTGGCGGTCGGAAACTGACCGTCGGCTTAGGCGCAGTGCTCTGCTTCCACACCCTCTGGTGTGCCGACTACAAGACGGATTGGCGTAGACTTGCGCCTTGGCCAAGCATTGCCGAGCAGAAGTGGGAGGGTGAGGATCGCGCCCGCACCAAGGTCGGCAGGTACTTCCCTCTACCCCGCGAGCCTAGCAACGGAAGCGTTCCTTGGAACTATCTTCCCATGATCACTTCGTCGCCCTTCGACCAGATCTGGCAGGTTCCGTCCGAGTTGGACATCCTCTATCCGATGGGACAGATCAATGCGGAGGTCGAGCATGATAAGCACATGCTCTTAAATCAGGGCATTCTGGACGCCATCGACCTCGGGTCGTTCGACGTGTGGGCTAACGACGACCTTCCCAAGGATCTTTTAGGCACTGCGTAAGCATCCCCGCTCCTTCCGGCTTTCGAAGTCTAATCGTGACTCAGGTAGCGGGGACCTATGATGTATGCTCCTCGTGGAGTAATTGAGGCGCCGCCATCAGCATTCCAGACCCAAATTTGGCCCCATCAGAGCTCCACAAATCGTGCTCTTTACCCCAGCCTACTATTTACGACCAACGGCGACCTTCTGATATCGACTGAACATTCTTCCACCATGCTGACCATTCAGCTCCTTGGCTTCAGGTATATATCTTATTTTTGTTCCTTCCCGTCTTGCTTCTGTTTTTGTGTCATGCCTTGACTTACTGGAAGGGGTCATGAAGAAGCGCAGAGCCAAGTGAATTGGCGCTTTTTTTTTTTTTTTGGTACAGGATCAGGCTAACACTCATGTTGACAGCAACCAACGCCCCGTTGCAATTACTCTCAGCGCGAAATCGAATGCAACCACAAGACTGTTCCGGCCCAACACCAGCTGATTTACTCTTTCCCCAACACATTTCGAAGACAAGATTGCAACGATACAAGCTCCGGTATTAGCGTAGCTAAAAGACCCATCAACTCGGCTTGGACTTCTCAATTTGTACTATACGGTTCAGTTTCACGCAGACAGCACGTTATCATCGAAAGGTGGTCATGGCTTCGTTGCCACGACTTTTCGGGTTGATCCATCAACTGGACAATCCATCATCTAGCCTTACTTTCTTCATCGAGGTCTCAGCTTGGTTGAAGTTTACGACAACTTGTTGGAAACTTCCTGGAATCGTGTTGCTGGACCTTGGTCTTTCCTGATATCCATTTCTCGGCTTCTAACCAATCTGCATAGGAAGCCACTCCTATTTGCTTTTTCCGTCTGCTTCCTTGCCAAGGCGTTCCATCAGAGGCGTGGCCATCCTTGGCAAACAAAGGCGAGAAATCTAGCTCGAGCGTAACAAATTGAATCAAAACTATCTTCTGATACCTCATCTATGCAGAGAGTGAGCTTCATGTTGGGGGCGGTTCAGTGATTCAAAGATGCATTCGGGTCGGAGAGCTGGGTGGATCGTGAGATTGAAATGGCGGGCGCTATTGGATTGGGTGGAAGCTGCTTCACGGATATTCACAAAGAAACGAAACAAGGATTGTTCGCGGCCACCCAGTTTGGAGGGACGGGAAGAATGGGTAGATGTTGAAAGGCATGTCAGAATAACAGCCATCAACAGGGTATGGTTCCTCTACCAGTTGGTCAAGAGCGAGCTGCGTGCGATTCTGCGCAGCCCACGGGAGTGTTCTGGGCTGTAGCGACCGGGCTTCAGCAGCCAGGTCAATCAGGAAGGCCGGTAGAGGAACAAGGATAGTAGTCGCACTCAGAAGACTCGTACCTAGTGCAGCGGCCCCGAGCCCACCACGTCGACTGTCGCACTGTCGCAAACAAAGGAGGCGTGGGGTGGGGTCGGGTGGAAAGGGAAGCTTCAACTCTGCATGGCTGATTTTTGGAGGGCGGGCGCTCGCTCCAAGTCGAGCCTAGCGCCCCGCGGCTTTCTTCTTTGCGTCTGTCGCAACACCACCCAGCGCCAACCTCTTCCAACTCCGACCTAAGCTCGACTTCGCGCGAGCCCTTCTTCGAGCCGTCGCTTCGCGCTCTCGTCTTGCCCACAGGCGCCTTCGTCGCCCATCCGTCGCGCCCGCGCCTCTCACAATGGCCGCTCAGCCCGACATCTCACAGATTCTGGCCGCTCTGGGTACGATGCGCTGCTCATCCCGCCCGCCCGCTCAATTTTGCCGCTGACAGTGTGCCTCGCTCCAGCTGCCACCCAGAGGCCCCAGAGCACTCCGTCGCAAACCCCCCACCAACCGCCTTCGCAGGCCCAACCACCCCAGCCGCCGCAGAGCATACCGCCAACCTACCCGACTTCCTACGTCACCCCGACGCCGCCCGCCGCCCTGTCGCCCTACGGCTTGCCCCAGCCGACGAATTCTGGCAGCGTCGACCTGAGCTCCATAAAGCCCACCAGCACTGGCTCCGTCAGCATCGCCGATGCGCTGGCGAAGGCGCGCAACATCGCAGCCGAGAAAGGCCTGCAGCCCTACGAGGGTAAGTCAAGCCCGGGTGAGCCGAGTAGTCATCTTCCGCTTACTGACACTGTGTCCTCGCCCCCAGCCTCATCTCGTGAGGATCCCAGGCTAGCCGGTCGTCCCTACCGTCGATCGCGCTCTCGGTCACGCTCTCCTCCTCGCCGCGACAACTTCCGCGACAACTACAATCCCTACCGTGACGAGAGACGCGAAGACCGCCGCTACGGTCGCGATCGTTCGCGCTCGCCCCCCTCCCACGGTCGGGACACCTTTTCCCCCCAGCGCGGCTATGGCGGCCGTGACAGGTCGCCTCCCGACAGCGAGACCATCACCATCGAATCGTCGCTCGTTGGTCTCGTCATTGGCCGCCAGGGCGAGAACCTCCGCCGAATCGAGCAGGACACCGGTACCAGGATTCAGTTCGTCACCGGGCCCGAAGCAGGTGGTCCTCAGCGTCAGTGCAGGATCACCGGGCCAATGCGCTCTCGTGCAGATGCTAAGAGGGAGATCTACCGCATCATCGACGAGAACGGCGGCCAGGGCGCAAGAGATGCAACCCAGAGGGCAGCAGCTGGCGCCAACAGACAACAGCAAAGAGGCAACCAGCCCGTGCTTCGCGATGGCGAAAACAGCGTCCAGATCATGGTGCCCGATAGGACGGTTGGCTTGATCATCGGTCGGCAAGGCGAGACGATCCGAGACCTGCAGGAAAGGAGCGGGTGCCACGTGAACATTGTGGGTGAAAACAAGAGCGTCAACGGCCTCCGGCCCGTCAATCTCATCGGCAGCAGAGAGGCTGCCACTCGTGCCAAGGAACTCATCATGGAGATTGTGGAAAGCGACACGCGTCCTTCGGGGCCTCCGGCGAAGGAGCACGGACGTGGCAGTACCTTCGACCCGGCAGGGCCTGGTAAGATTAACGATTCCATCGTGGTGCCGTCGGAAGCTGTCGGCATGATCATTGGCAAAGGTTAGTGATGCCGTTAGCGCTTGCTCCCGGGACCACCTCTAACTAAGCTGCCTAGGTGGTGAGACGATCAAGGAGATGCAGAACTCGACTGGATGCAAGATCAACGTGTCCCAGGCCTCCGGGGCCGACATTGAGCGAGAAATTGGCCTTGTCGGAACCCGGCAGGCGATCGAAGATGCCAAGGGGGCCATCTGGGACAAGGTGGATACAGTGGTACGTGTAAGTTGACCCTCCCAGCCGTGGCGGGCTCGTACTGACGGTGGGCAGCGTGAGAAGAATGGCGGGGTAGGCAGTCGAGGAGGCCGTGGCCGTGACAACGAACCATATAATGAGCGCTACTCACAATCGCAGCAACAACAAGGCTACGCGCAGCAGCAGCCGGCAGGCATGTCACAGCAGCAAGCTGCCGGGCCGGGAGGCGACGCTGCTGCTGCTGCGGGTGGAGCTGACCCCTACGCCATGTATGGCGGCTACCAGAACTACATGGCCATGTGGTATGCGGCGCTGGCTCAACAGCAGCAGGGCCAGCCGGGACAGACGCCGGGCCAACAGCCTCCTGGAGCATAGACGATCAGCGTGACGTCGTGAAGGCCGTGACACCGATGCTTCTCAAAGCGATGATGCGATGCGCCCGGCACTACTGCTTGCATGCATGCTTGACGATGGCTGATGCTCTCTGCTGCTTACTCATGGCTTGCAACCCGGGACCCCTATTTCTCCGACAGCCGTTGCTCTCTGCTTACCTCTCTGCCCGCCTACACGCATGTCGACGACGTCTGACACACCTGGCTTGGGTGCCTCTGTGCAATCATGCTTGACCTGCGCTGCATTGGACGGACAGGGAGACCTGCCATGGCCATGCGATGACCTACTATACCCCGATACTCACTGGATGGCTTCAGCCAAGCGTCTTTTGGCAGCGCTCATGACCCATGATCTCTTCTTATCGGACGTGCTCGGCGTGGTCTTGGACGATGTGGCTGCAGGAGCCACAATTCCGCCGACATTTGCTACTTGTCGCCCTCCTGTTCGTGCTGGAGCCCTCCGGAGAACCTCCCCAAAAAAAAAAAAGTTTTTAAAGCCTGCACTTAATGGACACTCTTGAAATTTGGAAATGACGGACGTCTAAGGATAAGGACGTGACTGATGGTGACGGCGCGTGGCGCGAGGATAGCTGCCTCGAGCACTTCGTAGTTGCGGGACTCTCTTTGTATTCGTAGTTCAGCCCTCTTTTCTGCAGTAATGCAAGATCCATTGTTACTAGACAATCGGTTTGCGGTGACGAGCGTGAGCGGCCAATCAGGGCGGCGTGGTCACGGCTGACGGGCATCACGTGGGCTTCCCCAGCATAGGTACCTAGGTACGTTCCAGGGCGCGGCGGCGGCGGCGGCGGCGGCGGCGGCGGGCTCATCGGCGTTGGCCCCACGATTCGGACGTCGCCGCCCAGCGCGCGCAACAGCTCCCTCCCAGTCCGCACGGTTCGCAACCGGCCGCCCCTCCAGATAAGACGGACCCTTTGCCGATTACACTTCTCCATTTGGCGCATGGCTGGCCTCCGCCTTCCTTAGCCGTCGCCGCGCCCTTTTCTCTTCGCCCGCCGCTCTCTCTAATACCCTACCGACTGCACCTTCCCTTCGCCTCTTCCGTCCAGAGCGCCTGCCGTTCGCATTCCTCGTGTTATCTAGCCCCGCGAACAGTAGCTAGGCGCCGAAAAGAAAGACTATATAAGACCGCTCCCATTGATTCTGCCGTCCCTTGTCCTCCAAGCTGAACCCTCCGCTCTTTCGCCACCATGGCCCCCGGCCTCGTCGAGCCCGCCGTCTCCGCCCCCTCGGCCTCCGCCCTCGCCTCCGCAACTGCCGAGTACGATGACACCCTGCGCTTCTACCTCAACGGCACGCGCGTTGTCCTGGATAGTGCCGACCCGGAGGTTACGCTGCTCGAGTATCTGCGCGGCGTCGGCCTGACTGGCACCAAACTTGGCTGCGCTGAGGGCGGCTGTGGCGCCTGCACCGTTGTAGTTTCGCAGTGGAACCCGACCACTAAGTCGATTTACCATGCCAGTGTGAATGCCTGCTTGGCCCCGCTGGTCAGCGTCGACGGCAAGCATGTCGTGACGGTTGAGGCGCTCGGAGACTCCAGCAGACCGCACCCGGTGCAGGAGCGAATTGCGAAGATGAACGGAAGCCAGTGCGGCTTCTGCACTCCGGGAATTGTCATGGTATGTACGCCTTGCCAGTGGCGCGCCTGACCGCGTTGAGGCCCCGAGTGCCTAGCTGTCCCAAAGTGTTCCTGTGGAGCCGGCAAAGGACTCCATTACTGACCAGGTGGCAACTAGAGTCTATACGCCCTCCTGCGGAACAATCCCGATCCTTCCGAACACGATGTCGAAGAAGCCTTCGATGGCAACCTCTGCCGCTGCACAGGGTACAGACCTATTCTGGATGCAGCGCAAAGCTTCAGCACGAAAGGTCTGTGCGGCAAGGCAACGGTCAACGGCGGCGGCGGCGGCGGCTGCTGCATGGAAAAGACGAACGGTGCGAACGGGGGCTGCTGTAAGAATGGCACAAACGGCACGAATGGTGCGAAGAATGGCGATGCGCAGCCGGTCAAGCGTTTCACGCCCCCGGGCTTCATCGAGTACCAGCCGGATACTGAACTCATCTTCCCACCCGCGTTGCGGAAACACGCCTTTAGACCGCTGGCTTTTGGCAACAAGAGGAAGAGATGGTTCAGGCCAACTACTCTGCAACAACTGCTAGAGATCAAGAGCGCTTACCCGTCGGCCAAGCTCATCGGTGGAAGCACCGAGACGCAAATCGAGGTCAAGTTCAAGAACATGCAATATACAGCCTCTGTGTTTGTGGGCGACATCCCTGAACTGAGACAATATGCCTTCAACGATGATCACCTTGAGATTGGTGGAAATGTCGTTCTCACAGACCTTGAGACGATCGCCAAGGAAGCCCTACAGCATTACGGAGAGACCAGGGGCCAGCCGTTTGCGCTGATTCTCAAACAGCTCAAATACTTCGCCGGCAGGCAGATCCGCAATGTGGGCACTCCTGCGGGAAACCTCGCTACTGCATCGCCCATTTCGGACTTGAATCCCGTTTTCGTCGCCACGAGGGCGACACTGATCGCCAAGAGTTTGAACAAGATCACCGAAATTCCAATGGCTGAGTTTTTCAAAGGATACAGAACGACTGCGCTTGCCCCGGACGCCGTCATTGCCAGCCTGCGGATTCCGGTTGCTAAGGAGAAGGGCGAGTATCTGCAGGCTTTCAAGCAGGCCAAAAGGAAAGATGACGATATTGCAATAGTCAACGCTGCTCTACGCGTCGAAGTCAGCGATGCCTACACGGTTGACTCAATAGACCTCGTCTACGGCGGCATGGCGCCGACTACCGTCGCCGCGAAGAAAACGAGCGAGTTTCTCCAGGGCAAAAAGTGGACGGATCCGCAGACCCTCGAGGGTGCCTTTGGCGCATTGGAAGAGGACTTTGATCTACGCTTCGGAGTGCCCGGCGGCATGGCAACGTACCGGAAGACACTCGCGCTCAGCTTTTTCTACAAATTCTACCACGAGGTCCTCGCCAAGCTCCAAGCGGAAGAGGTCGAGGTCGACAAGCAAGCCATTGGGGAAATCGAGCGCCAGATCTCTTTTGGTAAGAAGGACCACGGAGCCGCCGAGAAGTACGAGCAGAAGATCCTGGGAAAGCAGCGTGAACATGTTGCTGCCATGAAGCAAGTCACTGGTCAAGCACAGTACACGGACGACATCCCCGCCCAGAAGAACGAGGCTTACGGTTGCCTGGTCCTCTCCACCAAGGCACGTGCGAAGCTCCTCAGCGTGGATCCTTCACCTGCACTCGACCTGCCTGGCGTCATGGACTGGGTTGACCACACTGACCTACCCAATGCCAAGGCGAATTGGTGGGGGGCTCCTGTATGTGATGAAGTCTTCTTCGCCGTCGACGAGGTTTTTACTGCTGGTCAGCCGATTGGCATCATCTTGGCCGATTCCGCCAAGCACGCTGAGGCTGCAGCCAGGGCGGTGAAAGTTGAATACGAGGAGCTTCCCGCCATATTCACCATTGAGGAAGCCATTGAACAGGAGAGTTTTTTCGAGCACTACAGGTTCATCAAGAAGGGAGATACCGAGGCAGCTTTCGACAAGTGCGACCACGTCTTCACCGGTGTTGCACGCATGGGCGGCCAAGAGCATTTCTATCTCGAGACCAACGCATCCATTGCCATACCGAAGCCCGAGGACGGTGAGATGGAGATCTGGAGCAGCACGCAAAACCCAACCGAGACGTAAGTTTTGCTTCCGTTCTCCTCCAAGCATGATGGAAATATTGACTATGCGCAGGCAAGCCTACGTCGCTCAAGTCACCGGTGTCGCTGCTAACAAGATCGTTGCCAAGGTCAAGCGCATGGGTGGTGGCTTCGGAGGCAAGGAGACCCGGTCGATTCAGCTTGCGGGCATTGTTGCCACGGCTGCAAAGAAATGCAAACGTCCAGTGCGCTGCATGCTGAACCGTGACGAGGACATCTTAACTTCTGGTCAGCGCCATCCTTTCCTGGGCCGGTGGAAGATCGGCGTGAACAAAGATGGCAAGATTCAAGCGCTTGACGTGGATATCTTCAACAACGGTGGGTGGAGTCAGGACCTTAGTGGTGCCGTCGTGGACAGGGCGTGCTCTCACGCAGATGGCGTCTACCGCATTCCAAACGTCTACGTCCGCGGAAGGGTTTGCAAGACCAATACGGTTTCGAACACCGCCTTCCGTGGCTTTGGCGGGCCGCAGGGTATGTTCATCGCCGAGAGCTACATGGAAGAGGTCGCCGATGGCCTGGGAATGCCCGTGGACGAGCTCCGCAAGATCAACATGTACAAGCCTGGCGACCGCACTCACTTCGATCAAGAGCTGAAGGACTATTTTGTGCCGCTCATGTACAAACAGGTTGTCGATGAGTCGGATTACGAACGTCGCCGCAAGGAGGTGGATGAGTTCAACCAGACGCACAAGTGGAACAAACGCGGTCTCTCTATCATCCCGACCAAGTTTGGCATCTCCTTCACCGCATTATTCCTCAACCAGGCCGGCGCACTGGTCCACATCTACCACGACGGATCGGTGCTGCTGGCGCATGGCGGCACGGAAATGGGCCAGGGCCTGCACACCAAGATGACGATGATTGCGGCAGAGGCGCTCAGTATTCCGCAGGACAGCGTCTTCATCTCCGAGACCGCCACCAACACCGTCGCAAACACCTCCTCCACTGCAGCATCTGCGTCGTCAGACTTGAATGGCTACGCGGTTTGGAACGCGTGCCAGCAGTTGAATGAGCGCCTGGCGCCGTACAGGGAGAAACTCGGGCCCAATGCCACGATGAAAGAGCTCGCCCACGCCGCCTACTTCGACCGTGTCAATCTCTCCGCCAACGGCTTTTACAAGACACCGGACATTGGCTATGTTTGGGGTGAGAACGTAGGACAGATGTTCTTCTATTTCACACAGGGCGTTGCTGCTGCGGAAGTGGAGATTGATACGTTGACGGGCGATTGGAGCTGTCGCCGTGCCGATATCAAGATGGACGTCGGCCGCTCCATCAATCCGGCCATCGATTATGGCCAGATTGAAGGCGCATTCGTGCAAGGCCAAGGCCTTTTTACCACCGAGGAGATGCTATGGCATCGGGCATCCGGTCAAATCTTCACCCGTGGTCCCGGCGCGTACAAGATCCCTGGCTTCAGAGACATTCCGCAGGAGTTCAATGTCAGCCTTCTCAAGGATGTGAATTGGGAGAACCTCAGAACCATCCAAAGATCTAGGGGTGTGGGTGAGCCTCCGTTGTTCTTAGGTTCGTCGGTGTTCTTTGCCATTAGGGACGCGCTGAAGGCGGCGAGGAAAGAGTTTGGGGAGGACAGCTTGCTCAGTCTGCATAGTCCCGCCACAGTGGAAAGGATCAGAGTGAGCTGCGCCGATCCGATCGTGCGGAGGGCAAAGGTCGAGCCGCGAGAGGGTGAAAAAAGTTTCTTTGTTAGCATCTGAGGAAAACGCCCGTCTTTTGGCGCCTCTGTTTGACTGGATCTCTTGGGTACGATGTATATTTTGATGCAGAAAAAAAAGATCCCCACTAAAAATTTAGTGTAGCGAACCACTTACGGAAATATAGGACGTGTGGACGTCCGGCGAGAGTCTGCACTAGAAGTCCATGCATATTAGACTGCTGCTACATTACGAATGGATTTATGAACCTAGTTAAAATGATGGTCTCTCCGCTAGTGGTCTAGTTTGTTTTTACTTCGCGTTTTCTATATATAAAAGGATCGTTGCTGTTGCTATCTCCAGGCACGATGTTGCGGCGCTGACTGCTCCTTCGTACGACCGCGGAAACAGGGGGCAACGACTTCTCCCCACACCATAAGCGGGATTGCGGGAGCTATACCAAACCAAGCATTCGGCCCGCTCCGGGCCGATGCAGCCCTATGCCGAGGTTCATTCACAGCCGACGATGCAAATAATCCTCGCCGAAGCCGCCGCCGCACCAGGCCCCCAATTTACCACCCCAAAAGAACAAAAGAAGAGTCGGGTATTGAGCCCAGTGCCGGGGTCGAGGCCGAACCCGCAACCTTGAGATTGCACCACCCCTGGGAGGCTAAGAGCCTCACGCTCTACCGATTGAGCTAGCCGGGCATGCAGCTGTGGTGACAACTATCTAAGTAACGTCGTGGGGCGAAGAGACTAAGATAGTGGATCAGGACGTTTCCGTTTTCGTTTATAGAAGACTCTGGCTTTCCGTACAAACGCGGCTTCACCCTAGCGGTCGACTGCGGATCTCTCTTGCGGACTTTTGCGAGATCTCTGGCCGAGGGGGGATATTCGTCATGTGTAAGTTTTTAGGAGCATCGCTGGATTGCAGTCTCTAATGCTTGTATAGATTAAGTCTACAGGATGTTGGCACAAGTTTCGAGAACTGGGTTGCGATGTGACTCACAACATGATTTCACGACAATGGAGAATTTTAGAGGGTGGGATGTAAGGGTTTCATCCCTCCACGTCCTACCGAGAAATGTACACCGTCCATCCATAGACATGTAGCATAAATATCCGGAAGTCAATATAGATTTTAAACGAAGGAGACGACTAGCCACATAGATATGTTCTCAATAGCCGGAAGCCTAACAACCGCATGCGCAGCGTCGTATTGGAATGGAACGGGGTTTCCAAATGAGTACCCACTTCCGTCTGCATGTGTAGCGAATACCAGATGACTGTACGATCGAAACTCGACCGTCGTAAGGATCAAATGCAATTGACGGAGAATCCTATCCTCTAATCTCAGCTGATGCAATCTGTTCATACTCCTCGCTAACCACAATCCCCTGTGAATTGAGGATCTTCTTTGCGCCCATTTTGCAGATGGAAACTCTGTCTACATGTATGCTGTCGGCCCAAATATGATCCGCATACTTTGAGAGTAATGGGGTTGCATCTAGCCGAATAGGCGCACGAGCGTTCGGCCCGTGCCCAGTCGAAGTGCCTGTGGAAGCTTCAGCGGTACCCTCCTTTGATTGCTCTGACGAGCCAGTGCCGCTTCTGATGAAGCCCTTACCGTGCCTTCCTCTGGTCTTTGCGTAGGTTGTGTTAACTACAGTCGCATGGAGTTTAAGAGGCCGTGTATCCTCAATAACCAAACCTTTTTCCGTGAACATTTGCCTGAGGGCATTGCAGAACGAATGCAGTCGGCGCGTCGGGTCTTCGGGCTCTGCGTAGAGGATGGATGTCTTGTGAGGGGGATGCATGGAAAATAGCGATCTCAAGGAAATGACCAGAGGTGAGTGGTCCGAGGCGTTTACATGTGCTACATCTGGTGCCGGTACATCTTTTCCGGCATCGGCGGCGGCAGGGTTTGCAGGCTGGCTCGCCCCGAGTAGGGCAGCCAGATCCAGGCTTTGCAAGAGGGAGATTGCCTCGTCGACCTTCTCGGGAGTCGGGAGGCTCATCACACCAAGCGTGAGGTGTAGCGTGCCAACAGGCCGGATGGCCTTTTCAGGAATCGAGGTAGTGGTGGGCAGTCGGCGCTCCTGGTCCCCCACACGCACTGGCGACCCCGCTCCGTAATCCTGCTCTGCTCCCAAATCGGCGTCGAATCCGACGTCCTCCTGACGTAGCACGGCTTCCTTGAACCTTTGCAGCGATGCTTGCAGCTGCGGCCTCGACTCTGCGGTCACGAGCGGCAGGCAGAGGAAGTGAGTTAAGGGCGGCCTTTTTGCGGGCTTCTGCGCCGTGACGGACCGCTCGCCCTCTGCGTCGCTCTTTTCAGGCCCTGGGAGCGGGCCCTTGTACCCGCCTTTCCCTTTGCCGAATCCGCGGCGAGGCATAATTTTCGGAGGGTCGACGGGTGTCGGTGGAACTTGCGACGAAGCTGCGCGCCCAATCGGAGTGCTGGAGCGGGTGCAGGCCAGGGGCGGGCGCAGTGTTCTGATTGGAGACGGCGGGCGGCGTCGATGGGCATGGCCGGGCGGAGAAGGGCACGATGCACTCGCGAAGAGCTGGCGTGGGCAGAGACCCGGGCGGAGGCTGCACAGCAAGCGGCGAGGATGGCGGTGCACCATGCAATGACTCACCCCACGGCCTCGCGGTGTTGCGAAAGCTGGGTGTTGGGCGGCGGAGGCTAAGCTGGGCGCTGCGGATCAGGGTTCGCCCTATGGCGTGGCAGCCCCAGAGCCGGACCAGCCGCCGGATTCTGCAGCGGCAGCGGGCGCAAGCGCAGGCGCCGGCCACAGACGAACGCGTAGGACGTACGGTTTGATGAATTCCCCGGAATAGACTCCAACGGCGGCGCAACCGAGATAGCCGTCGGCGCGGAGGCCATGAGCAGCTGTTGCCCGGCAGCCTTGCCCCCAATAATCCCATCCCGGGACAAGGATACCGCTGCACGCCCCTCTCCGCTAGCAGCACGCGGACACATCAACACACAGCAAAATACACGACGGCCGGGTGCCATGATCAACCCATCGTTTAGTACTAAAGTTAACTCAATGCCGCCAATGCAACGTCTGCGAGGCCGTGGCTCTCGCAGCTTTTCAACCCGAACACTTCGAAACCCATCAAGTCATGATCCAGCGGCGCAGCCGTGTGGCCCCGTCCCCGCGCGAGACGGCGAGACGGCGAGCCGGCGGATCCCTCGTCTATGTGCGCGTCGCCATCTTGCATTATTGTTTCTACGTAGAGTCCGACGTGCCTTCGTCGTGGTAGAATTTCCGCAGCGCTTTCTCGACGTCCTTGAACTCCTGCTTGGCCTGCGCAATCGTCTTGGCCAGGCGCTCGAGGCAGACCTCGTCGTCCGGCTCATCGTGCGTGCCCGTCTCATCCATGTTCGCGCCAAAGTGCTGTATCTTCTCGCAGCTGTCCTTCACCTTGGTCAGGCCGAGCGTGGCCGACGAGCCCTTGAGGAAGTGCCCAAGCTGCGACAGCTGATTGAGGTCCTTCTTCGCGCTGCGTGGGTCAGCGTCAGTTGCCGGGCGGGCGGGGGGAGGGGGAGGCGTACAGATTCGACTCCATCTTCTCGAAGGTATTTTCGGCCTGCAGGAAGAAGTCGAAGACAATGCTCTTGCTGAACTCGCGCTCGTCCTCGTCGTCGTCCATCTCGAGGATCTGCTCAAAGGTGACCAAGTCAATGGCGTCGCCGGCGTCCGGCAGGCCCATGGAGCCCTCCTCACTCTGCGATTTCATGGCGGTTAGCGGTGATGACGGGCGCGTGAGGAGACGGTGAGGCGGAGCGCACCCTGTCCTCCGGGTGGTCGGTGGTGGTGGTCGTCGCGCCAGCCATGCTTGCTGCAATGCAGGTGCAATGCGGGAGGCGAGGTGCGGATGGTCGCTTTGTGTGGCGCGTGTTGGATGAGAACGGCGGAGCGGTGCCGGCGGGGCTAGGGAGCGGCGATGATCGGGCGCTTCGCAGGGCGATTGGGCCTGGACTAGGAGCGAGACAGCGGGCTGCGGGCGGCGCACAGGGCTGGCGGAGGGCGGCTCAGCAGCAGAGGTTACAGGTGGTGAGACAGCGCGGTTGTTGGGGCGGCAGGGCAGATGAAGGGCGCGCAACGGGCCGACGAGGCGAGACGAAAGGAGGATGATGAGTTAGGATTGCTCAAAAAATCAGTCTTTGGAGGGGGAAAGGAAGTGGGGTTTGGCGTGCTACTTGGCCGGCGAGTCAGTGCTTTAGGGCAGACCCGGCAGTGCGCAGCGACGACGACAGCACAACGGCACCCGCGACTGCGCCGGCGGCAGTGCTGCTGATGCTCCAGGTGCCCGCCGCCGCCGCCGCCGCCGCCGCCGCTGCTCGCCGCGCTGCGCCTGGCCGCCGGCCTACCGTCGACGTACGCGCTCTCGAGCGGGCGGGCTGGGCACGCGCTCGCAGCGTGGGAGCTGGGGCGTGCGCTCCCTGCCACCATGGAGCCCGCGAGCCGAACCTATGACCTCAACGCCCGACGACGGCACGGGGTTGGCCTGAGGGCGAGCTTGGGCGCCGCATCAGCGCTCCCAGTGCAAGCCGGCCGAGGGGGGGGTTCAGTCTAGAACTCGCGCCCCCAGGCGCCCGTCAGAAGATATACCACGAACGGCGCAGTGCTGGGTGGCCGCCTGTCGTCACTCCGCAGGGCTGTGACGTAGCCGACGCGGTCCGCGCTTTCAGCTTGTCTCGCGCGCCAGCCCCCGCCCTGCTGCCCTCGCACACGGCGAGACAGCAGCCCACACAGCATCGCGCCGGCGGCTGCCTGGCCGGCTGCGGCGTGCGGGCACGCGGCGGGCTGGGCGGCGGACAGCGGGCAACGGGCGCCAGCGCAGCCTTGGCCCCTGGCCCCTGAGGGTGTGCGTGGTGATCGCTGCGCTGCCAACGCCTGCGAGCCTCCCCAGGCGAGGCGGCTCCGTGCGGCAGCAGCTGAGGAAGCAGCTGTCATCTGTGCGACGCCGGCCGGTCCCCGACGCGGTTCGATGCGACCCGGCCGCGCTCTCTGACCGCCGCTCTGTCGTCCGATTTGCAGCAGCCCAGCCCGCCGATCCGCGCTGCTGACTCGCCGCCTTGATATTGACCATTTGTGCCACCTCCGATGCGCGCGTCCTGCGCCCGCCCGCGCAACTCGCTTCCGCCCCGCCGGCTCCGCGCGTCGAGAACGCCTGTGCGACGGCTGCAGCTAGCATGGGCCGCTCGCTAAGCCCCGAGCTCTCTCAGCGATCGAATCTGGCAACCCTCATCGCCCGCCGCCCATCTCGATCTCTCTTTGCCCCGACCTGACCTCTTCGTTCGCAGCTCCGTCCGCCAGCCCTCCCGAGTCTGCAGGTGCTGATTTCGTGCGTCCAAGCTCCACATTTGCGCAGCTTGTGTCATCGCACGTCGTATCTTGCTCCACCTGCACATGCACCCTCGCATGTGTAAAGGACGGCTGAAATTGCCGAGTCCGGCGCATTCGTTCGTTCGCACCCTTCACCAACGGCATTTCCCAACTCCCAGCAAGCGTCTGCTGTCGCTATCTTGGAACGACCGCTGGCAACCGATCCGCAAGTGACGCCTCTAGCTATTTCCGTAAGCGGCTCCCGCCTCTGCCCAGCAGTCCTCTCCGACACCATAGCATGGTCCAGAGGTGTTGTAGGAGTGCGATGGACTCTGCGCGGTTACGGCCATTTGGAAAGATCCTGCATCATGTCAAAATGCCTGCGACAGGCCACAGCTGACTTTCCTCTTGCTACATCCGCTTTTGCTGTCTGTCGTCGGCTCCGGTGCTGAGGCTCGGCTAGCGTAGTGATTACTGTCGAAAAGGAGAGGTACACTTCAGGTGCTAGTCGCGTAGGGCATGTGCCGAAGAGAAATTGTCATTGACGAAGATGTTCGGGGCCAGACCGGCGCGATATGTCATGTGGGTCGCGCATCCAAGACCCTGCAGGCTCGCCCTGAGATCTTTTCGGAAATGGAGAGCTGGCGCAGCTGGGGCCGGAATGTGTGCTGGGTTGCACACCAGTCTGTTGGCCAACGCAGGCGAAGGGACGATTCAACATCGATTTGAAGGCGTGCAGACGTGCAGGAGGCCATCGCCTAGCTGAGGCTTTCGTCCGGCTCGCTCTGTCCACCTTTATTGTAAAATGCCAAAAGTCAGTTCTTGGACGGCCCCTCTGCATACCGCAAGAGAAGTAGCCAAGATGAGAGGTCCGTATATGTACAGAGGAGAGTGCTGTGGGAGATTGTTGTGTATGAACGGGTCAAGGTGAGGTTGGAGAATTCGTTTCTCCGCTGTCGCCGACACGTGCTTGGCTTCAGCGACCTATCGCCGGCGTGCTTGAGTCGCCACCGATCTCGCAGCCCGGAACACTCCACCAACCACTACATACTCCCACTGCTCCCAACTCCCATCGTCCGCAAAGTTGCCAGTTGACTTCACACGCGACAGAACGTCAAGATGCGCACAATCCTCAGCCCTCGGCGCTTCGTTTTCCGCCTCACACCAAGCGTCCGCTACGCTTCCAACTTCCGTGCTTCGCCGTCGCCGCACCGCCTACCTGACGAGGAACAGAAGATTTTCGAAGAGCTTCAACGCCGCTCGACAGGTGCCTTCAGCACTCCGCGAGAGCCTCCTGCCATCAACCAATCGCCACACACGGCTTCGCCGGCAACACCAACATCACGTCCGCACATCAACCAGTCGCCCGATTCAGCCACCGAAGAGAAAGTGTACAAGGTCGCTGCAGATGGTGAAGGCGAGGAGCTGCACCCGGATATTCGAAGAGGCGCTCGCCCCGAATTCGACGGTGACACCAATCCCAGGACCGGCGAGGTCGGTGGCCCCAAGAACGAGCCGCTTCGGTGGGGTGCATCTGGCGACTGGAGCTTCAACGGGAGAGTGACGGATTTCTAATCTGCCTTGCCACAGCCCGACGGTCCATGGGTAGTGTAGAGAGGGAAATATTGCAGCCTGGTTCAGCAAGCTGCAGTCTTGCTACATGACGGCACGACAAACCAATCGGCCATAGCAAGCGTGCCACTGCTTGGATGGAGGCCCGCTGCAATGTGCCTAAGCGGCCGGAGATGTTCCGTAATGCATAGTCATGTCTGCCATATGCGATATCAGATTCGCGGCGACGCCGGACCAGGCCTATGTGTTCCGACTCGTAACGTTGTGCTAGGCTTCGGCCGTAGCCTCTCCGTCGATAGACTGGTGTATCTGTAACCCGGAGTTGTACATACATACAAGTAAGACTTTTATTGCTGCTAGCGACTGCAGGTCGATCCAGAAGCAACAAATCTGGGGTAATTTAAAGGCCCCATTAATACTTGTCCCCTGCCCTTGGTTGGAGACCCTGGCAGCAGCATCGTCGTCATCGACGATCTGATTCCGGTATGCTCGGGTACCAATCAAGGAAAGACATGCCGCAGCTAAGCCAGGCAGGCGGGTGCCGGGCCTGCGCACAGGCGTGGCATCGAACAAGACCCTTATGATCGCCGACAGATCGCTTCTCACCTCGATCGGATGGCTGTCACCGACATCTTCCCGTTCTCAATGGGCCTTTTTCCACAGCACCACGTGCACCGCCTAAACGGCTCGTGTCCGTGCAGCCGTCTCTCGGGCGCACAACATGGCCGTTTCTGTCCCGCAGCACGCGGATGGGTGATGGCAAGCTCCACGCTAGCACCGTAGCCGCAACAGCAGCAAGACCGCGTGCGTATGTACGTCAGCGTAGAACCTAGCACGGCAGGCAAGCTTGCTTTCACCGACCGCTCTGCACTTTACACGACAAGGCAGACTGTCCCCTCACGCCATTACCGGGGCGCGGCAAGATGCCAAGCCTTGACTCCTGCTCGAGACCCTATCTGTACCTTTCCTAAACGAAACCTCGCTTGGGCACAAAGGGTCCAGGTGACAGGTATTGCGAAAACGTAGCCCAGCTAGAGCCATCACATAAGACTACCTTCTTCCTGCGCCATGGTGTTGGCATCGAATCCCAATCCCGTCCTCCTCTTTCAACGGTGATATATTCACAACCTTGCTCCCTTTTTGTTGTCTACTATTTCTTTTGCTGGTCAGTCGTACGGGCGGGGGGAGCTTGCATCTCCTAGACACCTTGCTTTGCGCGTTTTTCTTTCATCCCACGGCCTTCCAGCACATCCTTGCGAAGCTCGGCATCAGCGACTAGTCTCTGGCATATTTGACCATTCAGCGTCCAGACTATCGCGACCAACAGACTGTACCACTCCCTGACTCGAGATCGCAAACTGTAAACGGCAGTACTGTGCGCTGCGGCCACATTCTCACTCAGGCGTAAAGAATAAGAAGGCGTGGGCGCAAACGTGCTGCTGCCCCAGTGCTGCTCTTTTGGGAGGATCGCGTGCGCACTGTGCAGCAGCGGAAGCATCTCACATCAACTCTTTCCTTCCCCAGCCTCCCGGACAAATCGCCCGCCCCCGCGAGGCGACAGGACTCCTGGCTGTGTCCTGTTCCTGCCCATCTCGACGGTTATCCGAAGGCCTGTCCTATTCCATCCCTCTGCACAGCAGGTGTTCAATCGGACAGCACTTTTCTTGTCTCGATCTCTTCGTCACCTGTCCTCACTGTTTCACGTGTCTGCTCTGCCCCACCTCGGAACAAACAGACTTCGAGCTTGCCCCAGATCCACGCTTGCCGTTTTGAGGAGTTGGAAAATCGCGACAACGAACAATGGCTTACAGCAAGCGGTCGGTCGTCACTGTTCTTAGCGTCATGGTAAGCTTGTTCGTCTGCATGCCGCCCTGCAGAAAAGCTAACCGTTCCACGCAGTACTTCGTAGCTCTAACTGTCGTGGCATGGTAAGCGGCCAACAAGCGCTACACCGACCCGCACCTGCTTTTTCAACTCGCCTCAATCCAATGGCAGACACCGCAGCTAATGCACCTTCCCAGCTACGCCCACTATTGCAAACAGCGCCTTTCGCTGCCTGTTCCAAGCATCCTCAGCGGCTTAACCGTCATTCTTCCAGCACTTCACGGTGTCTGCCTGGAGCGCCTCACCCAATTGGCTCGACCAGGACTGCAGTCGGCATCGGCATCGGCGTCGGCATCGGCATCGCCCATGGTTGGCCCACGAAACAAACGCCACGACATTGTCACCACGCTCACTCTCCTGGCATTGACCATATTCACCACCGTCTTAGCAACCATGGCGGGCACCCATCTGGCACCAGCAGATGGCTTGAGTTGTGCGTTGGACGACAAATGGCTCAAACTGTTCCGCAATGAACAGGGTCCTGAGATACGCAGGATACAGGACACGTTCAATTGCTGCGGGCTCCGCAGCGTCTACGACATGGCATGGCCGTTTGAGAAGCATGAAGCTGGTAATACGATACCAAGTACGTGCCCGAGAACTTATGGGCGGGATAGGTCTTGCTTTGGGGCCTGGAGGGGGGAGGAACAGGTGGTTTCCGGCCTGATCATCGTCGTCTGCGGAGGAGTCTGGCTCTGGGATGTGAGTCCATTCAAACGGAGAAAAGGCCAACATTTAATGCCAAGGAAAGTGAGGCAAGGAACAGTCGCTGAGTATGAATCACAGATGATCATTCTTTACGTCCCCGGTCGACGTCCATCGTGGCTGGCGCGTGGTGCGGACGGCACAAAATTAGACAATCACGTCGACACCAATGGGCACGCCCAGCGGACCACAGAGTACCTCGACACCGAGGACGGCAGTAGTGGTTATTACGATGCGCCGGTCGACCGTGTCGTAGATGCTAATGCTGATCCCGAGGCGGAGTTGGAACATTCACTTCGGTCCAGGACAGGAAGCGTGCAAAGAGCCATTGAGGCTCGTCTCGGCATAGACGGCGAGCATGATGAGCACCACACATTGGTCCCGTCTTCCCAGTCACATCGCGAAGAGAACGAGTGGGCAAGGTCCTGAACAGCGGGTCCATTATAGATAGAGATGGGATGGGTCATGAACGGATTCGATATTGTTTCTACAGGATGGGCCTCGTGGGGATACCGGCATATGGAGGTGAAACCCGTCCCTCAGCTTAACGGGCGAGACCTCTGGAAGGCCTATGAGCTGGTGGCTGGAGGAGCCTTTACATGGTGGTGCCTTTTTGGCGCTGGTTTTTCACGGAAACCATGCTCTTTCTGGGCCTGTTTCTCAGCTCCGAGGTCTTCTTCTTGGGTTTGTTCAATAGCCATGCGTTCATGGGACGTCTATTGCCGACAAATTGACCCTCAGGAGTAACGACCTCAATTTCGGGGTACGGGACGTCAGTTGCTTTCGAAGCAACCTCGTCAAGAGCTTCACCAATGTCCCCATCGTTGCGATAAAGCCTTTGACCTTTCCTCGTCTGGGCAACAATCTCCACCCATCCAACCCCCTCTATGAGGATATCGGTAGCCCAGACAGTAAAGGGTAACCGTTCGGGACTCAAAGCAACGGCGTCCTTGCGTGTTAACGGACCTGCTTGCGCCTTGGTGACATCCCAGCGCAGAGAGAACAGGCCGGCTGACCTCATCTTCTCGCCGACGCCTTCTCCCATAACCGACGAGATGCCAGATACGCGCTCGCCAGCTTCCATGGCAAGGGCTTTCTGAGTTGAGGTGACGTGCGATGCAAGTGGCACAAAGGGGTGCATTAGAAAAACCAAGTTCTGGGTCGTGGGTGTAATGCGCACCAGGCCGCCGCCAAGGAGCAAGGATTGGCCGGGCTTGACACTGATGCGCTCAGGCACTACGCGGCCGTTCATAACAAGATTGAGCCTATTTTCAGGTCGGACATATGTATCCAGAGAGGTGCGGGCAAGGCCGGGGAGATCGATCAACTCTCCCCTTCCATTGCCGAACGGGACACGGATGGGTGATGCGGTAGTACCAGGGAGAGACGATACGACCGGCATGACAGGATAGGGCACTTCGCGTTGGGCTGGGGGGAGCAGTGATGTTTCATCAACAAGTGCCGCCTCGTCATCGGTTTGCTCGCTCGGTGTGTGAGCCTGCGCGGCATCATGTGGCGTAATAATCTGTGAGGAAATGGCTTCTTGTGCTGCGGCACTGCGGATCTTGTTGGAGTTGGGAGAAACGTTGCGGCCTTTGGGAAAGACGACTTCGAAAAGATTGCTCTTACCCACGTTGACCTTGCCCACCATCCAGCCAGCACCACCACGCTCCCAGATGTTCTCTTTCACCTCTTTGGTCCACCAACCCCTCTTAGAGCTCACGCAACGCACGTTACCAAGGCGTACAGTTCGGCCGGATCTCCCCAGAGCGTCACGCAGCACTTCCACAAGATAAGGCATCAAACTGTCGACCTGCTCCTTGGTCGGCGCCAGCAAGTCGGAGCGAGTGATGATGAAGCTGACGTCAGCCACCCTGCCATGGCTGTATTCCATGTGCTTTGAGCGGCGATTTTGAGTGCGCAGGGGGGAGAGCTTCAAGGCGGTGGTCAGGTTGGGAACCAGAGACATGGGGAAGTCGGCGGCGTCCAGTACATGGTAGATGTGGTTGTGCTTGTAAGGCGACTCGGCGATAGTGCGCTCGATGGAATCGAGGGAAGGGTGGTGGATAGGAACTCCGGCGGCGTGGTTGAGCAGGTTGTGGCAGCGGTCACATACCGGCGCCGGCGGCGGTTGGGGCAGCTGCAAGAGCGCATCTCCTTCGGAAACGTGATCGTCTTCTGGCACGGACAACTGGGCCTTTAAAGAGTGATCCAGGTTCTGCACGGCTTGGTTGAAGACGACATCCTCCTTCCCCTTTCCAGTGGCCTCTGACGACGGGTGTGTCGAAGGCGTGAGGTAGGCCTTTACCACCCTCCTTGACGCCGAGTAGTAACCGACAGCGTTGCGATCTACCGTCTGGCGGGGAGCACCGCAGCCCGGACACGACAGTGGCAGGCTTGGGACAGGCGGTGTGGGGGCATGGCGGAGTGGCTCTGCAGCGGACGAGCGGGAGAGGCCTTGGGCGGTTCGCCTTCGAGCCGACGTCGCAAGGGCGCGCGGGTTGCCGATGGATTTGCGGAGGCGTCGGACGGGTGGGTCGAGCAGCGCCGGGCAGAGGAAGAGCGGGACTGCTGCCTCGAAGCGACGCAGCTCAGCGCGCGAGAAGATCAGGGAGCGGAGCGACTTCATGGCGCGATGCATGGCTGAGCGACGCACAAAAAAAAAAGAGCACCGGCAGGTTTGCCCCAAATGCCGGCGAGCAGCTGCCTAGGTGGGGGCCGGTGGGCGTAGGTGGGTCCAAGCTCCCGGCGCAACCGGCGCGAGACGGCGCCCCGAGCACAGCGGGCTCTGGGGTAGGTAAGTAAATACTACTCACACCACCAGCTCCACGTCCTGCTCCGATCGCCGCCCAGTCATCACCCTCCCGCACCCCACGAGCTCCGCAGTCCCAATTGCCATTGCCCTCATCCCCACAATGCTGTCCTCCACCTCCGCCGTCAGGCAGCTTGCTGCTCGCCGCCTCGTCGTCGCGCCTGCTGCCCGCGCCGCCTCTGCTTGGGCCAATGTGGCCCAGGGTCCTCCCGATGCCATCCTGGGCATCACTGAGGCCTTCAAGGCCGACAAGAACCCAAACAAGATCAACCTCGGTACGTCCCCCAGTTGCCTGCCTTCGCGCAGCCGCTGACCACTCGCAGGTGTGGGCGCCTACCGTGATGACCAGGGCAAGCCCTACGTGCTGCCCTCGGTGAAGCTGGCCGAGAAGAAGGTCGTCGACTCCAACCTCGACAAGGAGTACGCTGGCATCACCGGCCTCCCCGACTTCACTACTGCCGCCGCGAAGCTGGCCTACGGTGCCGACTCCAAGGCCATCGCCGACGCCCGCATCGCCATCACCCAGTCCATCTCCGGCACCGGCGCCCTGCGCATCGGCGGCGCCTTTTTGCAGCGCCACTACCCCCACGCGAAGGCCATCTACATCCCCACGCCCTCGTGGGCCAACCACAAGGCCGTCTTCTCCGACTGCGGCCTCGAGGTCAAGCAGTACCGCTACTACAACAAGGACACCATTGGTCTGGACTTCGACGGCCTGCTCAGGGACATCAGGGACATGCCCAAGAACAGCATCATCCTGCTGCACGCCTGCGCCCACAACCCCACCGGCGTCGACCCCACTAGGGAGCAGTGGCGCGCCATCAGCGACGCCGTCAAGGCCGGCGGGCACTTGCCCTTCTTCGACATGGCCTACCAGGGCTTCGCCAGCGGTGACACCAACAAGGACGCCTACGCTCTGCGCTACTTCGTCGAGCAGGGCCACCTGCCTGTTCTGGCCCAGAGCTTCGCCAAGAACATGGTAAGTTTCGTTCCCCTCTTTTGCGCTCGTGGAGCCATGCTAACGCATTAGCTAGGGATTGTACGGCGAGCGTGTTGGCGCTTTCTCCGTCGTCTGCGAGTCGGCTGAGGAGAAGAAGCGTGTCGACTCCCAGATCAAGATCCTCGTTCGCCCCATGTACTCGAACCCGCCCATCCATGGCGCTCGCATTGCCTCGACCCTGCTGAACGACCCGGCGCTGAACAAGCAGTGGCTTGGTGAGGTCAAGGACATGGCCAGCCGCATTATCCAGATGCGTACCCTACTGCAGATGCACCTCGGGACACTGGGCTCCAAGCGCAACTGGAACCACATCACCAGCCAGATCGGCATGTTCGCTTACACTGGCCTTACGCCTGAGCAGATGGAGACCTTGGCGAAGGAGCACTCTGTCTACGCTACCAAGGACGGCCGCATCTCGGTTGCTGGCATCACCTCCAAAAACGTCACGAGGCTTGCTTCGAGTATCTTCCAGGTTGCTGGCTAAGTTAAGGACCAGGATATAGATTCTTAGAACATGGCATGGTCCCATGCCGGAAACCAAAAAAAAAAAAACAATATGGTTTGTACAACAGCATGTACGGCTACTACTGGGCATAGATGTCAAAATGATGAGTCAAGATGCAATGAATTGTTGATATTGGCGACTACATCACTCCAAATCTAGCCGTTGCACCGTGAGCCCCGTATGGTGAGGAAACCAATGGCATGGCTAAACCATGAAAGCCTAACCACGTGAGCAGACCTCTAACACCATAGTTCTAGAGCTTATCAGTCGCTCTACTACGATGAATTATCACGGCTTGGGTCTCCGTATTGCCAAAGTACATACGAAGCTTATTGCGGTACGCTTTTATGACAAACAATCAGCCTCGCGTAGCCTCTAAGGCGTTCCTCGTCGTTGGAAAGTCCTTTGAGTCAGTTTGTGGGAATTAGTGCGGAGCTTTACCAAAGGCGTGCGTTCCACGGCCAAGGTCTGCTCAACAGACATGTTAAACCTATCTGCAATGTTATACTGCGAGGGCTCAGTACCTGACCAAGCCAGTGGCCATGAGATAGCGGTTGCCGCATCATCATGCCTACATATGTTCAATCTCTCCCAAGCAACGCAGACTGGCTGAGCGAGTCACCCACGGCCGTGCTGCGCTTCGTATGGCAACAACTTTGCGGAGTGTTGGAAATCACCACAATTGATCTGACTCGTGGAACAAACCATATTTTTTCAAGTCGGACCATACGGAATCGCGAGTCACTTCCGCTCGTCATTGAACACTACTAATATAAACGGCACCACTGGCACGGTGCGTGTATACCACGTCTTGGTCCTTGGCTGACCCGAGCGCGGACCGCAGTCACGTCTGAACATCTGAGTAGGCTTCTACCCAGCTATTCAAGCTACCAGTATACTTTCACTATCCGATTAGCTTGCTTCCGTAAAATAGATCTAGTCCGCACCGGTTGCCCCACGCGGGCTTGGCTCGTCCGTATTCTTGACTTGGCAGTTACAGGCTAATATGCAGGATCACCTCCGCAACCGACGGGAAAGAGCGCCTTAACAATAAGAGGTCATTGGTAGCCATTCGATATTTATATGGGCCTGCAGACTTTCTATCTAGATACATTGTCTCTAGACAGCCAGTAGGTGTCCATCTCTCTGGATCGATTTATTTCCTAGATTCTAACCAGCCCACGGATTGCCCCCACTCTCTCGACATCGCCCGCCATGCGTCACTTCGGTTCTCTATTCTTAGCCAGTGCGCTAGGTGCCACCGCCTCCAAAGCCGTCAACCTCTACGCGGCTACGTCGGATGGAAATCTTACCTCCCTTTCTCTGACCGTTGCCGACAGCGGCAACAATCTCACTGTGGCCAGCAAAACCGCCTGCGGCGCCAATGCGTCGTGGCTAACCTTCGACTCAAAGAATCGCTTGCTGTACTGTCTCGATCGTGGAGCTTCCTCTTCTACGAATGGGTCCATGAATTCATATTCGGTTGCGTCTGATGGGTTCCTGACGAGCATCGATTCCGTGACCGCACCCCTTTCCGGCGTCAGTCACGAAGTCTTCACCAACAAAGCCGGCAAGCAGGGCTTTGCTACTGCATCATAGTACGTGTGAAGTTCCCCTAGTATGTAATGCAAACTGACTGTATTCAGCAACCGGACTGCAATTTCTGTTATAGGCCTGGGGGGAGACGGTGCTCTTGACGAGCCCCTTCAGATAATCTATCCGACTCTCGAGACCACTGGCCCGGTGATCTCACGTCAAGACCTCTCTTACCTTCACCAGGTGCTTGTCGATCCCAAGGGCGAGTATCTCGTCATGAACGATCTGGGAGGCGACCGCATCAGAATCCTTAAATGGGACGCCGAGAACCTAGCCCCTCTTACAGAGCTGGAGCCTCTGCGTACTGACGCTGGATCTGGTCCGCGCCATGGGGTCTTTTGGAAGCCAGCCGCCTCTGACGACTTGTACTACTTTGTCGTCGGCGAGTTATCGCAAAACGTATACTCGTACAAGATTACCTACACTGATGCTGGTTTGACCGGGACTAAGATATTCGAGATTCCAGGACTTGGTTTCGAGAATAAAGTCCCGGCTCTGACCTCTCCATTGTCTGAAATTGCGCTTTCGGTGAGAGGATACTCGAGACACGTATCGGGTGCAGAACACTGACCGTCTTCGCAGCCGGACAACAAGTTCCTAATCGTCTCCCACCGCGATGTGTCTTTCGCCAACTCCACGAAACGGGCTTCTGGGCCTTCGGACACCTTGTCCACCTTTGCCATCAACCAAGATGGTACACTTGACCTAGTCCAGCTTGCACCATCAGGAGGCTGGTCACCACGCCATTTCGCCCTCAACAAGGCAGGCGACCTCCTTGCTGTTGGTCATCAGAATAACAAAACTGTCGTCATCTGGGAGCGCGACCTGGAGACGGGCAAAATCGTGACTGCCGAAGGCGGTGGTCCTGTAGCTATCGTTCAACTGTCGGGGGCTGTTGTCTGTACCATTTGGGACGAATGAGTTCAGCTGCTCTGTTGAACTTTTGATGCATCTCACTCTTGCACGTGGGCATACGGTCGTATAGGAATCGCATCAACTACAAATGTTTTATAACCGAGCAACGTCTGAAGATGGTTGGTCCGGGGTCATATGTCCTATAGCATATCCACGATGATACGCAAGATGTGTTGAGAAGCCACGTGGTCTGATAAAGAGAAATTGAATTTCAGGTACGCTCTGATGATCTTTTATCATATGGGTCGTGTTGGCCCCTCCCTTTTTGTCTGGTTCCAGCCCGACGCTCATCCCCACTCCAGCCCAGCAACCTCGCTCAATGCTCAAACGAGTGTACCGTTCCTCCTCGCCAGATAAGCCTGCACTCCATTCCTGTCCCTGCCCCCGGTCATGCTGTTCTCCTCGACTGTCTTCAACAATTTGGCAGCCCCCGTTGCAATCAACAGCGCACCTGCCACGCTGCCAACACCAGCCATTCCGGCTTTGTTGTGGTGAACCGCTTGCGCCACAGTCATGGGGGTGCCCTTGTACGGCTTGAACGGGCGGTTGTGGATGAGGCGGGCGAATTGTTGAGGAAGCTGAGCACGTGGTGCTACTTGGAGCGTGGGGCGGACTGCCTGGCAGGCCTTGGCGACGTTGGTGGCGCAGCGGTAGCACATGCTCGCAAGATTGCTCGGAGAAAGCGGATGGTTGTGGTAACTGAGGTTGTGCGGAGTAATGACGTGATAAAGTGGCCGGCACTTTTGGTGGTGTGGGATGATGATCAGTTGAGGAGGCTGGAGGGTTTGGCAAGGGCTTGGAGGAGAAAGAATCTGCGGGTTGCTGCTGTTGGATAGAGGCACACTTAGTGTTCTTTATAAACTGTAGAAGCCCGTGGAGACATATTGGGCATCTGTATGGTGTTGTGCCAGTATGGTCTGTTGTATGGTCCGAGTCTCAGCCGAAGTTGCGTTTTTGGGCATCTGAGGTCGTCTGAGACGTCGTCTGAGGATGTGACTGCCACCCCTCGCGGCGGTTGCGACTCGCATGAGAAATAGTGGAGTGTTTCATGCTGTGGTGTACGTTCGAGACAACGCAAGCGTCGAGAACCACCCCTCTTAGCGCTTGCACGACTCACATCATGGCCCTAAGGGCATTTGAACTACGCTGATGAACTCTCGCTCCTATCAGCACTAACGCTTCATCTATGACTAGAAAGTTTTCCTTAGGGTGTGGTATTTCTCTTCTAAAGTCTGGGCAATGTGTCAGACTAAGTAGTGAGCTGATGAGCTGATGGCAGCAATCGCGTAATAGACCATGTTTCCACCGTAGAGGATAGCGGGACCCGCATCGACTGCAGGCGTACGTACACAAAGGCTCTCGTGAGACTACTGAGCATGTCAGCTCATAATGTTGCTTCCGGTGAGATTGTGCAACAGATATCCCCGTTATAAAGACCCACTTTAGTACCCGCCGAGTTGCTTGAAAGCGTAGATTCCCGGTTCGTATGAAGGTCTCCCACCCCACTACGCCAGTCACCTAAAGCCTCGCTAAAAGAGATGGGCGTCTCTTCCGATGCCAGTGACGAAGGGTAAGACGTCGGGTAAACACCTAGGATAATTAGTCACAACAACCACACGCCGCAGGCAGGCGAAACTAAGATAAGAGGCAGATAATAGGAAGGTTAGAGAGAAGAGGTAGTAGTTAGTTATTATCTATACTATACTATGAGGTGTAAGGCACGAATAGGGAGCTTAAGATAGACACAAGAAGAGGGCTTATAATTAATAGACGAATTCTTAAGGAATTCGGCCTTCGCCCGTAGGCCGAAGGGCTTTTATATATAGCTAAGCGAGAGTTACGTAACTAGTACGTAACTTCTATAGGTCTCGTATATAAAGCGTATACGAGACGCGGCTATAGATTCTTATACTATCCCCCCTACTATAGGGGTCGACTACGACCCCGTAAAGGATAAAAAAACTCGAGAACCTTATATACCTTCTACGAGGAAAATCTTTCTTATTAAAAAGAAAAAAGCTCGTAGCTAGGGTCGTTAAGAAAATCCCTAGGCGCGAAAGCCGTAGCCTATATTTCTTAAAATATCCGCTTTTACCCGTGTTATAAGTAGATACGTAGAGTATACTTAACGCGTACGACTATTATACGCGAATCGAGTATATAGCGCTATACGCTAGAATAGTAGGAAAGTTTAGCTACTCTAGGCCGTTACGCGGCTTAGAGTGTCTAAAAGTAGAACTCTATTAGGGGTTTAATTCTACGTAGGAAAAGTAGTAATTACTTTCTACGTAATAGTAGTTATTCCGTCTTTTATCTTTTTAGGTTTATAATCGCGAGTCTCGTATATAGCTTAAGCGTTTTAGAACTATTATTTATACGTTCTAGATACGTATAGTATACGCGACGCGTACTTCCCCCCTAGTATTCCTTCGTAGTAATTATATTAGGCGTATCTATCTTTATAGAGTTTACTATTACTACTTATAATTCTTAATCTACGGCTAGATTTAGTAGCTAGTATCGTTATATCTATATCTATTAGCTAGATAATAGGTTCTTATCTCTTTACGAGTAGTACTTAGGCGTTAGATAGATATAGTTTCTTCTATTAGATAGATACGTTTTTATAGAGTCTAGGTCTATACGTTTTACGTACGCGTACCGTAGAAGGAGCTAGTAAGAAGTCTTTATATATTAGAGTTCTCTTACGCGATCGTTTTCCGACTCTACGCTATATCTATTTTCTAATATAGCTTTATCTTTAACTCCCCCTTACGGCTCTACCGCTTATTCTTTAACGTCTTCTATTACTCTAGAAGCTAGTTCTATAGATAGTATAGATAAGAAAGAGAAGAAGCTATCTCGTATAAGCTAGCTCGGTCTTAAATTAGCTTAAGATAAAGATAAAGATAAGACTCGGGCTCGCTATAAGCTATTTAGTATATAGGACGTCTCTCGACGTCGTCTCGTTAGTATCCGCGGCCTAGCTTCTTATTAGAAGCTAATTCCGCCTTATTATAAGGCCTTCTATAAATATTATCTTTTATACTAGGCTTCCGCTTCTTAGATCGATAATAACGTAAAAAATATTATTAAGTAGGGCTATATATGTAAGATATCGCTCTCGAAGTACTAAAGATATACTAGAGCGCGGTACGATTATACTTAGATAAGTTTTACTCTACGATTTATATACGCGTCGTATCTTTAGCTAACTCTTTTTATCTATTTAGCTATCTTCCGAGTTTCGCCGCGCTATAAACGTATTATCGTTTATACGCTAGTAGGCTATTCGTTATAATACTTCTAAGAAGTAGAATTTAGTCTATAGCTACGCCTCTAAGTATCTTAACTACGTTAAGAACTTCCGCCGGCTCGAGAAGGCTCGCGTTAAGAACGCTAGCGGTCTTAAGAAGTACTTATACGCTCGGTAGATCTCTCGCGACTATAATCTCTAACGTAAGTAGATAAGGGCTTTCTTAACCGTCTACTTTTACTTTTACTAATTCTTAGTATAGCTTAGTATAGGCGGTATCGATCTAATACTCTCTACGAACTAACGTATCGACGTAGCTACCGAGAACCGCCTTCTACGTAGCTAGAATAACCTCTTTAAGAAGAATAACCTTAATCCGAACCGCGATAAGTCTCTTAACGAGAGTAATAGCTAGAAGAGTATACGGTAATACTAGTACGGGCCCTTAGTAAAGTAAGAAATAGAGAGTAGATAAAATTTAGTTTTAATATTTAGCGAGGTTTTAGGGTTCTTTACGAGTTAGACTAGGCTTAAAGTTTTATATAAATTAGATACGCTTCTCGTACGCGGCGCTTACGCCTAGTAATAAAAATCTATTCTTTTTATATTATAGTTATTAACCTAAAAGTTTTCGTAAGTTAATCGGTCCTATAGAATTTCCTAACTATAAAAGAAACTACGATTTTTATTCTAGGTGCCTTTCGGCGACGTATCGATCTCGACCGTAGTATAACGATATATTTAGTAGCTTTCGCCCTCTAATTCTAAATTCTAAAGACTAAGCTTTTACCGCTTTATCTTATTTCTTAAGCCGGGAGGCCTTCCCCGCCCGCGTTTTATAGATTTTTCGCCTACTTACGATAAATCCCCGCGTATTCTTCGTACGCTCTTCGTATCTTTAGAGTTATTCCCCGGTAGATCTTTTTAAGGTTTTTCGCCTTATTATAAAGGTTCTCCGCGTACTCTTCGTACGCGTTTCGTATTCGGTAGGTTTATTCCCCTAGAGTATCGTTAACGGTATTCGTCGAGTAGTTTCTAGTAGTTCTCGAGTTCGTACTCGTACTTCTACTTATTATATTTATTTAGCTAGCCTAGCTATTTAATAAGATACTACTATAGTAGTGGTAATACTACGGTTTTCCTAGGTTTCTTATCGGGCTCTCGCTAGAGAGTAAGGGATCCCGTTAGTTCCTGCTCTAGCAGGCGGGAATCTAGACGTTCCGGTCCGGAAGGAGTAGAAAAAAATATATATCGACTACTAAAATTACAACCTCCGACTTAAATATATAAACTTCCGTAATACTCCCCTCGGGCCGAGTTCCTCCCGGCTAATTCCCTAAAGTCCCTACCGCCTTCCGTAATAGCCCCGCTATAATTCTTCCTTCTAGTAGCTAGCACGCCCTATCGTGCCTAAAACCCTTAGAATACCTTAACCAGCCCTAATCCTCTCGATTAGGCAACTTACCCGGCTAAACGTTTCTCCGCTCGCCGGCGCATCTAACCCCTTAACCACTATACGTATAGACTATCTAGGCTCCTAGTTATATTCCGCTAATTCTTCTCTAATACCTCTTCTTCTTCTTTACCCGTTACCTAAGATAAGCTTTCGTACTCACCCTTTCCTTCCGCGGGCTTTTAGTATTACCCTTAAAACCTTTTCTTTACCTTTATAATCCTTACGTCCCCTTTACTCCCCTTTCTTACCTCCTCGCTGCTACCTTACCTGCCCTTTATCTTCTCCCTCGGACCCGCCTCTTAACGCCTCGGATTTCTAACTCCTACTTTCTTCTTAAGTTTCCCTCCCTTCTATTAGTACTTCCGTTACTAACTCCCGCTTCTTCTAATACTTAGTTCTACGGGTCTTTACTATTAATATGCGTATCGACCCTTAGGTTAGTTCTTCCTCCTAGTTCCCGATCCGGGTTCCGTCTATAGCTTCTTTAGAGGATTCCTCTATTTACCTTAAGTAGGAGCCTAAGGATATTCCTATAGAGCACCCGCGTACTACCCGTAAAAAGCCGCCCGAGGTTCCCGAGGACACTTCGCCTTCCGAGTATACCGAGGTCTCGTACTTCGACTAGAAGACTCCGGAACTTACTCCTCCGGCCGAGCGCGAAAAGTCCCGCCGCTCCCGCTATACGAGCCCAAACCCGGATAATAATAGTAAAGAGGAAGATTACGAGGAGGCTTAGGAAGATACTTAAGCCGCCTCGGAAGCCTCTAAGAAGAATCCGACTCCCGAATCCTCTAAGCCCGTAAAGCGAATTCTAACGACTCCCGGCTCGTCCCGCCGCGATTTCCTTTAGGCTCGCCGTATCGACGCGGCGTACGCCGCCAACCGTACTTAGGCCGATAAAGTCCTAGCGAACCCCTTAACCCTCTTCTCGTCCTATACTATCTCGG